ATTGGAGCTTAGCAATTTTGATGCAAAGTAATGGATATCAGCTGAGCAAGGATTACAAACCTTGCGCCAGCTTCCACAGTCAGAATACCAATCAAGCTAAGATCTTTGGGCAGCAGCTTCGACATGAGAGTTGGCTCGTGGCATCTTCCATGGTAAGGGGGCGGCATGGCGGCGGTCCACTTGCTGTGGCTCCTGGATCCTTGGTTGCTCTGCACTAATTCGAATCGAGCTGAAATCTGTGGATGCTCAGATTTCATTGCGTCTCCTTAGCATTAACTTTGAAGCACCCTTCGTAAGTCGACATTTTCCTAGATATTCAATCACTTTCACTAATCGACATTCTAGACTTGGAGAATTTGGGGAATGTTCTCTATGGGAAGACGACTGATATTCATATAAGCTACTCAAAGGAAGGAAGAAAAGACTAGACAGCCTGGGCAATGGTTGAACGATTAAGAAGATCATCCTGTGTACTCGCCCTGTTCTTCCGCACATTCGGTTCTTGCACTCTCATCCTAATACAATTAGGAACATATAGGTGCAACCTTTCTCTTTAGGATGATGGGATGCATAGATTTAGCCCTTTGCACCCACACTTCCACGAATTTGGGCTTGTTCCTAAGCTAGTAACAGTTTCGCAATACCAGCTTTAGCCCTGACTCCTGGTAGGTATCTGAACTTGTTGCTAGCCTTCTTGAAAATCTATTAGAATGTAAAGGAAAAGGATGTGGTATGTGATCAATGAAATACCTGTACTCGGCATGAGTGCCATCAATAGCAAAAGGTATCTTAAGGCTTTCGCTACCTGGGCTTTGCTATGATATATTAGCAGCTTTCATACTGCAATGGGAGGATAACATATGCGGAGGGGCGGGCTTTGGTATGCCTGTAGTATCATAGCCAGATCTAGCGAAAATATAGAGGACTGGGTGCTGTAACATTCTGAGTGGCTAGTATAATGTGAGGAGAGTTGATTTACTTGAAGGTATTTGGTTCGAGACACATGAACGAACAGGACAGAATGAACAATAAAAGCAATGAACTATATGAAAGACAAGAAAAGATGCTTCCTTTTATAGCTGAAGACTACATGAGCACTTTCCGCAGCCAGCTGATAGCCCGTCATGAGACAGCTACTTTCAAAACCAGTGCTTTGGATAAGGATACTAGGTTTGCTGCTATTGCCTTTATTGCTTCGTGTACATGTGCCAGTACTGGCAATCAAAGTTTATACGCTACTCAAAAGCATGTTTCGAATCCCAGCTGATGCTGCTGCTGAGTCTAGGCCCCCTTCAATGCTAGTTGCATGTTAAGTGTGCTTGAGAACTACCAACCTGCATTGGCCAGCCAAGACAATCTGGGCACATGAGCTGCTATTCAATGACTGTTTACTGCTTCTTGAAGCAAGTTGGACTATGTAACACATGAGAGCTTCTGTAAGAATATTACAGTCTTTCTGATACAACTGGGGCAGCTGTAGTCAGAGCTGCATCAATGAATGCCTGCATAGCTTGTAGCTTCGAATACAAGCTGTTTATGTTGCGAGTTGCTTTCTGGAGCTTCTGTGGGAGATCCCTGTTCTTCTTACGAAGTATATTGTTATCCATCTTCAAGAATTGTTCTGCAGAGCTGTTCTGCTGTGGCAGAGGCCATAGGGGCCTCGAGTGAATGAGGCCTGGCTGGCCACCCTGACTCACTGGCCTGGGCCATTCAATAGAAAGGCAGTGAGTCGCTAGGTACGCTAGCCCAGTTGGGACTAGTGCCAATTGCCTTTCTATATAGAAGGCAATTGGCAAGCGTGCTTTGAGATAGATTAATTGAAGAACCATCTTCCCTTATACCATTTGTAGTACACCATAGAGTGCCTTCTACATCTGCCTCTCATCTCTGTAGCTAGCAGCATTGCTTATAGCTGCTGCCTGCACAGGGCTCGGAATTGCATCAACAACTGCAGGCGTCAATGGGGCTGCATTGCTGTTGATGTTGTTGATGGTGCTTCTGAGCGATGATTCTGGGAATGAATGGGTAGTCCACAAGAGTTGAGAAAAGTGATTCTCTTCCCTTTCTGCTGTTGGTATCTCTGTACAATTGGGATTTGACCATGTTGCAGCCCAGATATTGGGACTCCAGATTGGCCACACATCGTTGTGATGGTTCAACGCCCACTGATATTTTTGCTCCCAAGTATTAACCTCAGTATTATCTCCTTGTGGAGAGCTGAGCAGTCTCAGGCGGCGTGGTGACTTTCGGCAGTCTCGGAAGATGATTTCGAAGCAAGGCTCGTGGAATGTGCACCCTTATTAGATGTGTCAGTGAGAAAAGGCATGTCATCTTAATGAACAATTACATACTGCATGGAAGGAGAATCGTTGTTCCTGTGAATGGTTTTGAGCACTCATCGCAGATCTTCTTGGTGCAGCTGCCAGTACTTGCATTTCCAGGTAATGATTGAGCCATAGCGGTATATAGATGGGATCTTATCTAGATAAGTAGGACAGCTGCAAAATGATGGTAAGGAGGGAAGAAGAGAAGAAAGATGCCTCAGCAAGGGATAAATATCAAATATTGGCAGCTCTCATTGACTGTTTGTATTCTGCATATATTGCAGAGTTCTGGATGTTTTTGCGATGTGTGCTGGCCTGTTGATGTTCTCTTGACAGTGCCTGCCCAAAATCCTTTGATTATGTTGGGAAATAATTACTGGATGAAGCGGATACCAATTCAGAGACTCGTCACAAGCTCTTGTCCACTGCAACTGTGGGGCTTGTTGGTTGCCTCAATGTTCGCTTCTGGAGCATATTGCCCGGAGTTGTAAGTGGTGTTGAGTGATAATGTTTCCAACATCCACAGATTTCGGCTTGATTAGGTATAGAGCTGAGCAAGGATTGTATCCCCTGTGCCAGCTCTCGAGACACTATACCCGACAAAGCAGAAATGTTTGAAAAGTGACCTCTCCATAAAATTCCGGGTAAATCTTCCTGCAGCGCTAATGCGTCAGCCAGCACCAGGCCGCAGCTTTTCTCCGAGAGCGCTTCTTCGGACTTGCGCCTGACCAAGCTTCGATAACCTGTGCATGTCATCTGCTTGAAGCTGCCCAACTTGGAACTCCTGTGCCCGGGCATAATTCAAAACACATACTATGAGATACAAGTCTTGTAGTATTCAGATGTCTACCAAAACATGGGCCGCCAGTCTCCCTTCAGGGTAGATCTCCATTCTCAATAGATTCTTTGAGCTTCTCTTCGTCCTTTCCTGGGTAGACTTCATAATCCTCTCCCCAAAGCTCTTTCCAAAGGTCTTGATCACACCATCTTCCTCGGGATATGCATTATACAACCTAAAAGATTTTACAATCTTTGTGTTTGGCCCAATAGACCTCCATGAGCCATGGTCCCGAATGTCAATCCTGAAGAGGCTTCTTGCAATATCCTCCACATGTTCAGCAGAGACAGGCATTCGTACACAGAGTTTACTTCGACTATTTTTCAAAACCCAATCTGGTGATATGGAATAGATATGAGCCCTACTTTGGGCATCGATATGAAAGGAGATGCGTTGTGACGGTCGGTTTGCGGACAGTCCTGCAGCCGGTTGCAGAGCTATACTCTGAAGTGTTGAAGTTATGCGCTGTCTCTTGTTTGGCACATCTTCTTTACCAAAACAAAAGCGGCGTTTCTGTGGTGCTGCGTATCGGTGAAGAGTGGTTGCAGGGATCTCTCGGTTCATTGGTGAAGGGAGCAAAGCATTCTGAGGAGCCGCAATACTGTGCTGGATGTGTGGTATGCTGTTTCGGTCAGAGCCGGGGAGACCGAATGGTATTGAGTTATCTTCATGAAATTATAATAAGACGATTAGCTTCAATCACGCCTTCGGGTAAGATGTATAGTACTTGCTCAGGTATTTGTTGGGCAGCTGACCCCTCATGCAGCAGTAGGATCTCTTAGTCCTATATTCCAGAGTCAGAAATATGGAGGACAACAAATGAATCGAAGGAACTAACGATGCCACAAGTGCACGAATCTCCTCTCTTGCATCTGCATATCTGCCATGGATGATTTCCTCGACTGCAACCTGTCTTCTATCGTTGTTTTGAAGAGAATGTTGATGACTCTCTCTCTTCTTGAACTGGACCCTGGAAGATCTAGAGTTATAATATCATTAGACACAGTAATCCCTGGAAAAGCACAATTGAGAATACTGACAGCTGGGGATGCCTCTCCACCACAGTCTGTCTCGCCTCCCGCAAGATAGCTGCACTGTGGCTCTTGTCATGACCAGACTTCCACCGCAAAGCCATCAGGACCTCTAACTTGAGCAGCTGACAGTAATGTTTTCCAAAATAACCAGCATCGAAGATTTTGCCAAGCCGAGCTGCAGCTGCCCAACTATACGCAGCACTTCGAGGTTTCGCGGCGATTGTGAGATTGATCCTGTGTTCAATCTTTTTATCAAAGCAGTGTAGGGAAATTGATATATCTGCCCTTCACGCTCTTCACCCACAGACTCTTGAAATCTCGTTTAGACATGCAGAGCCACGTAGCTCCAAGACGTCATGGTACACAGCTTGGGCACATCGGACTTCCTGTGCAGGGGCTGCAGACAGGAGCGCTAAAGCATCGTGGCTCGTCTTTCCCAAAGTAGCGAGCTCGGCTTGATCATGGACCCTCTGAGGATCCCAATTGAATCCCTGTTGTGTGGGATCACTTCTTGAGTGAGAACAGGTGAAATCATCCGAGAGAAGGATCACTACCTGGTACACTCAAGCCTCAAGCCAACCTGGAGGGAATGGAACCTGGGTGGGAACCGGGAAGCGAACTGGGAAGAAGAAACTAGAGGTGGGCTTCTGGGCGGGCAACCTGGGTGGGAACCGGGAAAGGAACCGGGAAGAAGAAACCATTCTGACTGCTAGTGCACTATTACGTAATGTAGAGATCCAGCTGGGTGAAGCTTCCAACATCGCTGACCATCTCTAGCATTCATCTTAACAGCATCTCTGTGATCTCGAAACGCCGTGTCCACCCACTGCCGCAGACTCCTGATCTGAATCTATTCCGCAAGAGTCAGAAAACATATAGCTTCTTATGGAGTAAATTGGCAACGAGATTACCCCCCTTCTTTCCCCCCTTCTCTTCTCTTCCCTCCGAGAAAAGAACGAGTTGCGCGGTATCTGTCAACATGATCTTCCCGTCAGTCTCTGCCGTCGTTGGCCTTCTCGCCCTTCCTGCCACCGTCCGAGCTGTGTTCCATGACGAAGTTGGTGACATCGACTTCCATTTCGACCTTGTCGGCCTACCTCAACGCGAAACCACATTCTTCCACAAGCCCCGGCCAGACGACAAGGCCAGCCTCCTCTATACCCTTAGCGACGTTGGGGTTCTTGGCGCGGTCAACCCAGGAAGCGGAGCTGTGGTATGGAGGCAGCTGATCAGTGGCAACATAACAAATGGCGGTGGTCATCTACGAGCTGGGGACGGCGAGACTTGGATCGCCAGCGCGTACGGCAGCTCGGTCCAGGCCTGGGAGGCGATCAGCGGTCGGAATCTGTGGTCGTTAGACTTCCAAGGCGAGATCAAAGACCTCGAGGTGATGGAAATTACAGAGAACGGGCGCAAGGACGTGTTGGCTCTTCATCATGATGATGGCGCTACGACGCTGAGGCGGCTGTCCAGCACCGAAGGACGTGTGTTGTGGGAGTTCAAAGAGACGACCAAAGACCTGCCCTTACAAGTCAGCACAGACGTCGAGAAGGTCTTTGTCATCAGCTTGCACGGGAATCTCCTGTCATACGGCCTGAAGGTCACTGTCCTCGACATATTGACAGGCAAACGCCTGGACGAGATCTCTGTTGGCACCAAGGGCGATGTCACCAGCGAGGAAGATGTCATGTTCGTCGGCGCTAACTCTGCTGCGCCGATTGTCGCCTGGGCGGATGCCTCTCTGACAAGGCTGAGAGTCAATGTGCTGGGCACCAAGAATACCCAGGATTTGGCCCTGCCGGCTGACACCACTGCGGTGGAGATACATGCACCTCACCTGGCACAATCGCAACCGCACTTTCTTGTGCACAGCCGAACCAAGGTCGGCACAAAGGCCGAGGTTTACCATATTGATCTGAAGAGCCATGCGATCAAGCTGGCTTACGAACTCCCTCATCTTGCAGGCCCAGGCGCTGTGTCTACCAGCTCAGATGGTGCCAATGTCTACTTCACGCGTATCACGGGTTCTGAGATGACTTTGGTCTCGTCTACCTCGCACGGTGTTTTGTCTCGCTGGCAAGTCAACACTGGCAACTATACGGCAGGTGCAGTGCATGGCGTTTCCGAGGTCATCAAGAAGTCTGGCGATGAGTTTGCAGTCCGAGCTGTCGTTGTCACTGATGCCGAGGACTGGCTCCTTTTCCGAAACGGAGAGTCGGGTTGGTCTCGCCCCGAAGGAATGACTGCTGCTGTGGCTGCGACGTGGGCTGAGATACCTGAGTCTGAGGACCTGGTCAAGTCTCTCGAGGCTGAAGCTCACGACAATCCCCTGTCCGCGTATGTGCACCGTGTCAAGAGGCACTTTGACGATCTGCAGTACCTACCGGGCTACCTGGTCTCTGTCCCTCAACGCATCATCAGCAGTATCTTCGGAACAGAGAGCTCGCGGAAGGCTGGTCTCTTTCGTGATAGCTTTGGTTTCAACAAAATCGTGATTCTGGCCACGAGGCGCGGCCGGCTTTATGGTCTCAATGTAGGAGATCATGGGAAAGTGCTCTGGACTCAAAGAGCGCGTGCCCTGGCTCCTGGTGAGATCTGGAACGTGAAAGGAATGAATGTCGACGACGCCAGGGGCTACATCACTGTCCGTGGCGCTCAAGGTGATTACGTGATCGTCAAGACGGACTCTGGCCAAATCATCGAGTCCATGCCGCCAGGTTCATGGCCCCCAGTTCAGAGCACCGCGTCTGTCGACACTCCCTCGGGCAAATTCCTTCTTTCTGTTGGACTCGATGGGAAGGTCGGCAGTATCCCGGCTACCTGGGCTCCTGAGCAGATTGTTGTGGTTCAGGGTACCGAAGGCGAACTGAAGGGCCTCAAGTTCGTGGTCGACGGTGCTCAGTCTCGAGAAGAGACAGCATGGACATTCTCCCTCCCTCCTTCTCAACGGTTGGTGGACACTGCTTCTCGACCATCCCACGACCCCGTCGCCTCAATCGGTCGCGTGCTGGGGGATAGACGGGTCAAGTACAAATACCTAAACCCCAACACCATAGTTGTGGCCGCTATGGATGATGCTGCCTCCACTCTCACGGTATATCTGCTGGATACCGTCTCTGGGCAGATCCTGTCCTCGGCCGAGCATGAGGGAGTTGACACAGGAAAGCTTGCACATTGTGCGGTGTCAGAGAATTGGTTCGCCTGCTCCTTCTATGGCCAATATGCCCTTCAGGACAACCCCACTCAGTCTGTGAAGGGATATCAGCTGGTCGTCTCTGATCTGTATGAGTCGGAGCTTGCGAACGATAGGGGCCCCCTCGGAGACTCCGCGAACTTCTCATCACTCAACCCCATTGATACTCCTACTGGTCCTCCTCTTCCGTCTGTCGTCTCTCAGACATATATCCTTGCGGCCCCAGTCTCTGTCCTTGCAGTTACCGAGACCAGGCAAGGCATATCCTCTAGGCAACTTCTTGCTTACCTTCCGGAGACGCACAGTATCTACGGCATCCCGCGCGCGCTTCTCGAGCCTCGAAGAGTCGTCGGCCGAGACCCCTCACCTCTCGAGGCCGAGGAGGGCTTGATGAAGTACCACCCAGCCATCGAGGTTGACGCCAAACTGATTATTACCCACGAGAGAGACGTGGTTGGGATCCAGAAGATCATTACGGCCCCTGCGATAGTCGAGAGCACTAGCCTGGTCTTTGCGTTCGGCATTGACGTGTTCGGCACTCGAGTAGCGCCGAGTTTTGTGTTTGACATTCTCGGCAAAGGGTTCAACAAAGTGACCCTTGTCGCTACAGTGGCTGCATTAATGGTTGGTGTTCTGGTCCTGGGCCCCATTGTAAGTTCCTTTCCCCACCTCGGAGTTTGGTCAATTCATAGCTAACCATGATGGCCAGATTCGGAGGAAGCAGATCAACATGCGTTGGAAACCCACACAGTAGATGTAGACTATCCCAATTAGAATTTCATACGATTTCACGACCCTTGCGAACTTGATTGCATTGGACTCGGGGTCTGGTCCCCAGCGGCGCTTTCTCATCACGACTTTACATCTTCGTCCTGATGCCGAGTTCAGTCACCACCACCATCGCCCTGTCCGACCCGCTCGTTGTCAGCTCCGGCCTCATTCTTGTGGCTGCACATGATCTCGCAGGCAGGAGACGATGGATTCCTGCATGACAACTAGGATACCACGGTGGTGCCACCAAAGGCACCGCCTCCGTGGTCTTTCGATGCATTACCGCATCGCATCACAGGCGGGCTCGTCATGAGCTTCCTCATATCCATCCTCAGCCTGTCGACGTCCGTCTTTAGCCCTGTCTCGTCCTCCCCCTCCGGCCTCACTCTAATACCCAGCTCCTTGGTCTTCTTCTCGGGCCTTAGATCCCTCCAGCATTCCACCTCGCGATCCAACGAGCCGATACTATCCGCCCTCGGGCGATCGGGTTCCTTCAGCCGATCCAGCAATGCCAATATCTTCGAGTCGAACCCCTGGGCTATGCCATGATCTACCATATTCCGGTCCAGCTTCCTGTCCAACTCTCGGGCTATGGGGCTTAGCATCCCATTTTTCTGATCCCGTGTTCGCCTGCAGTCCGCATATTGTTGTACTGAATCGTCATTTCGACTGAGAATGTGCTGTCGTGCCCCACCGCTGAGGCAGCAGCGGTTCTGTGTCCCGTCAGCCACGGCTGCCACAGTGGGATCAATGGCACTGGCGGGAAAAGTGCTGCCGTCTTCCATCTCTTCGAAGATGCCGTCTGGGCCGAGATTGGATGAGCTCAAGGAGTCGGTGCCGCCGGGCCATGGCGCGCTGGCGTTGCCAATCCCGGGCGATTCGTGGGCCCAGTTTTGGCTTCAGAATCAGTGACTCTCCCCTTCGAAACTCTCATACTTGGGGGGAGAGGGGGTTGGGGGTTGGGGGGGCAACAACAACAATCTGAACGCGTCTTGGGTGGGAGGGGTTTGAGAGGATGAAGGTTCCCATCAGGCGAAATGAACCTACGTGCGTTCCCTGGCCCCAATGTTCCTCTTCGCGGTGAACCGTTGGACCCCACGGCCGACATCGTGACATCTCACTGCCCATTCCCTCGCAGCAACAGCGGGTTGGTGGCGATCCGAAGATGAACCGCCTCATGCGGGCCAAGATACCTGGCTGCGGCTGCTGCACACAATATCGCGCTGGTGGTGGTGAATGCTGGTGACAGCAGCCCTAGTTGCTCGTCCTGTAGCGGCCCTGCTCATCTCCGCCGTCTTAAATACGCAGTCGACGGTAGCTAGCGGTGACTAAGAGGCTGAAAATAAACGCCGGGCCGTACGGCGGGTATGTCGAGATCATTGTCTAAGATGACGGCCCCATGTCGACCACAATGATGATAATGATGGCGCCACCACCGCGGGGCCAATGGGTAGGGCGTCCTGTTGCTGTCGTAAGACGCAGAGTCGGATCTGAAGTCGGAGTCGGAGCCGGAGGAGAATGAGGAGTCGCTATCAGAAGAGGACGAATGGCGTCTGCGGCGGGTGCTGTAGAAATGAAGCCTGCGATGGCGGCCTCGGCCACGGTTCTTGTGTTCAAAGGCGACGCGTTCGCCGTCCGCCATGGGAAATGTTCTTTCTTTTCTTTCTTTGTTGGTGTATTTGATTGGGTTATCCGCTGGAATATTGAATAAGATGAGAGTCGCCTTGGAGTTTCAACTTGCTGATGACGCTGGGGCTTAAATCGTTGCGAGCCTCCTCGCGTGGGAAGGTGGCTCGACCTTTGCATCTGGGCGAATGGTCTTTGCACAGCTCGATCCTTATCTCAGAAAGAAGCCATATATCTCACTGGTTACAAACGGGGGTGCCGTTCAGCACGTCGGGAGCCTGTAGCATTGGTTGTGTAGGTTGCTTCATCGGGCAGCGTCCCAAAAGCACCAGGCTAGGGTTATGCTCTGATTCTGTCCTGGGACCTTAGTATTTTGTATGTTGTCTCCCCTTTCTCGTGTGAACTTTGATTATCCCAAGGCCTGAGCGAGGCAATCAATCACCTCTCTCCTGTACAAGCCGCTGTTGCCGCTGCCGCTGCCGACGCCATGTTAACGTTATGGTAGGAGAGCAGACATCCGGCCCAGAGCTAGAGACGTTAGCTCGGAGTTATGTGTGACCAGGGCTTCAACAGACGTTTGAAGCCCGGCTCATCTGGTGTTGAGGAGGGGCTCGGGATTCTATACATCCACTGAAGGCATCACGAGGACTACAGCGTGGCCACTGGCAGGTCACAGTCGCACAACACCATCTGCGGGTCGAGGGGCCATCGTGGTCATGGGAAGTAGTACACACTAGCCCTCTTGTGCGACTACACAGCATAGAACATCGGGTGTCATGCACAACGGAACGGCTTGCTCAACCGAAGCAGAGGGGGAGGGGGGGGGGGGAAGGTTATGTGGTGCTCCTCTCCTCGCCGGGCTCCCCCAGGACACGCCTCAAGTTTGCTGCCTCGGGCTCCCTAGATCTCGTCCAAGGCACAACAGGGAAGGTTTCCACAGGGTATGAGTGAGATTATCACTATGTATACATCTGTAAGAACATATTTAAAGAGGCACAAGTGCAGGTCTGGGGTCCTGGTACCATTTCTCACAATGAGTCCTGACGGCTGTCAACCAAAAGTCCGTCAAGCCACTGTATAGGCGATTTCTGAGACCTTGAACAAAAGCCATTGTGTATTCATCAGAACACACGCACACACACACACGGCAGAGCCGCGTGGGGTTGGTGTCCTGGGGCTGCGAGCCCCAACGACTGTCCATGCAAGGGTCGGAAAAGAAACAGACATCATGAGGGCACGAGGTAGCACGGTCGACATGTCGGGATGCAGGCTGCCAGGGCTGACATCAGAATGGCAGCATGGCAGCATGGGTTGCTTTTGTTTCACGCAGCGCAGATCAATGTTTGTTCAACGGTGCAGCATGCGGTGTGGTTGTGCTGCTCGCATCCGCAACGGGGGAAGAAGCACTTAGTCACACGCACACCGCTACGGTTACTTGTTGGGAACAAACCCTCCTCAGACCGGATAGGCCACCACCACCACCACCACCACCACCAGCCCAGCCCATCTCACCTATACAACTTTTCTAGGAGTATTAGAAAGAAAGGGAGAGTTTACAGACTCTTTTTTTCTTCTTTTTTTTTTCTTCTGGATATAAAAAAAGATAAGGGAGGGAGGGGGCGGGGGGCAGGGCAGACAAAGTAAAAGGAAGAATAGATTTCTGCCTCGTCTACGAGAAGGCCACACCATCAGCGGCCGCTACCATGCGCTAGCCAGGCCGTCAAGCTTAGGTCGAGACGCAAACGGCGACGAGGCTGGCTAGTGGGCGTCTGTCCCGTCACCGACACTTTGAACCTGGACCGTTTTCTCTCTCCCCCTCGCCTGTTTCTTCCGTTTCAATACTGCAAGAGTGCGGTGGTGCGTGTGTGTCCCCCCACGACGCAGTAGCGGCTCTCTTCCACCCCCGCCCCCTTCCCTTCCAAAACACATCTACACCCCCGCCTCTCGCCAATGAGCTGTGACCCGACCCGTTGTCGGTGGGTAAGTATAGTATCCGCTCTTTCCCAGCCAACCTTGACCAGGGCACACTACTCTGGTACATGCTTATGGTAGCATTTGGTACTGCTCGGTGGTAGGAAGTAGAGGTATTTTGTTGGGGAGATACACACAACGCAAACCAAGGCGCATAGGAAGTCTAGGGTTACACAGACGGCATGAATGAATGAAAGAAGAAGGAAAAAAAAAGAAGAAAAAAAAGGGTGTTGTCAAAAGAGAAACAGTAAAAAGTCTGGTGCGGAAAGAGCATGCCGTTTCCCCCTTTCTCCTCTTTTTTTCCCCTCGACGACGACGACGAGGCGAAACGATATTCCTCGGATGATCAATGGTAGCGTTATGTCGAGGGGTTGTCAGGGGTGGATTGAATGGTACGCCCTCGCGGCGTCTTATCAATCCAAATTCTACATAACGTACCGTGGTATTGGGATATATCTTGATTTCCCAGCCTTTGATACCCTTTTTTCCAAGGTCCCGTGCGGGTCTCAAACTCACTGGTGAGTGGGCGGGGAGAAAGATAGATTGGTCATTACTGAGTCGTCTGGTGTCGCGAGCATGTCCCAAAAAGGAGCATCCTTGTAACCTGGCGAGGGCCGGGGGAGGGGCGGGGGGGGCTGAATCCCTTGACCCAAATGGACAGATGGATGGATGGGTTCAGGCGTTGACGACTGGCCCGCTGTCAAAAGGTCCTCGGGTGAGGCCACGATGGAAAGAAGGCAGCCAGCAGCAGCAGCAGCAGCAGGAGGAGGAGGACCTCGGGTCAATCAAGTACTAATTAGTTCGCCATCAAATTAGTCTTTTACGCATGATTATTCTACTGCTTGCTTCTGAATTTGCAGACGAGACAGAGGCCTGTGAGATGCAGCAGAAAAACACAAAACAGCCTCGGCTCTCGGGCCCTCGACAGGAGATCCCGGATCTTCAGGGCTTTTAGCTGCAAACAGCAAAGGCTCTGGTTGATGCTCTGCATGCTTCCGCTGTAACGTGGAGAATTTTTTTTTTCTCTTCTTCTTTCCCTTCCTGTTAGAATGCGTCGGGGCAATAATGTGGGATGGGTTAAGAGAAAGTCAAATACCACCCGAGACAACCTTCCCCGGGGGTTTCTCCTGACAGGGTGGCGCTTGAGAAGGGGGGCCCAGCGTCTGGTTGTTCCCTCGATCACGTGTGAACTTTGTGAATGACAATAGACAGGGCTTTGTCCATCTGGTGGTGCCTCTCGTGGCCCCAAAGAGAACAAAGACATCTCATGGAACCAGGGGGGAGCCAAGGTGTTACCTTTGGAATTGGGATCAAGTCCGTTTCCTGAGCGACCTTGTCCTTGGCGCCGTCCATCAAACGACAAGACGAGGAGCAACACTAACTCATGGTAGTATAGTACGTCGTCGTCGTCGTAAAAGTAGTAGTAGTGGAAGTAGGGGAGGAGGGTGGTGGTGGTGGTGGTGGTCGGGTCTTGGCAAGATCGCGCTCCAGGTACCCATGAGGCGAGACCCTGTTGGGTCCGAGAGGGACGAGATCGTTTTGGTGACGATGATGACAGGTCCGCGAGTGGAGCGACGCACGGGTCAGAGGCCGAGCAGTGTTTTCCGGTACAAGAGCCGGGCGGGGCCAAGCCCACGATGCAGGCCCTTGGGAGGAATGGAGACATCTGGGCATCTGGAAATAACAGAGAGCTGGACCCAGTGGAGGGCGAGGGAGGTCGCAGCCCGTTGAGAGCTGAGGCTCGACACATCAGCCACACACATTCACGCGCGCGCACACACACCCACTGGGTACTCACCCACCCGATACTAGCATTTTGTTTCTCTTTCTTCTTTCATTTATGCTTCTTTTCTCGTATTCTATGATTCTTCTTATTCTTCTTCTTGATAATAATCAAATTCAAGCAGGCTGACCGGATTGGTGCAGCCAAGCCCCTTCCTTCAATGTACTTGGGCCATCCCTTGTAAGGTTTTCCCAATGGGATTGCCATGATGATGGATGGTCCACAGCCCAGCGGCCCATCATCGAGGCGCGGGTCCCACTTTGGGCTTACTGCGGTTTCTTCCGTCTCTAGCTGTGTGGAGAGAGAGAGAGATGACTCGTCACATCAAAACCCTCCATTTATCTCAAATCTGGTCTGCAGTGCCCATATTTGAACAAGCGGGCTGTCCCAAAAAAAAAAGAAAAAGAAAGAAGAATAAAGGGGAAAGAAAGGAAAAGGAACAAAACATAAGAAGAAGGCGAGGCATACAAGAAGCACATGGTAGTGGTGGTGGCGCGCGAGGAGGGCGAAGTACCTCGGGCACATGCCAGACGCATACTACACGACGGCTCCAGGGCACCCAGAGCCTACGCCCGCACCCGTCCAAGAAAGAGGGTGTATGGACTTTTGCTCACCGGTCCCCTGGGCGAAACCTTGGCCCTCCACCCTCTCCCCCCCCCCCATTTCACCACCCCCCCTCAACCCTCTCCCTCTTTGGGCTACCATCATCGCATCAGGCGGTTGGAGGAATAGATATCGGCCTTGCACATGCCCCATCCTGCCACCTGCACCGGTCTGACCCCCTCTGGGCGAAGCGACGGAAAGAGAAAGAAGAAAAAAGACTGCAGTGTTCCGGGGCGAGGCCCCTGTTGGAAGACCGATTCGATCCAGACTGGGGATGTGTCTCGATGTGGACAAGCGTCGCACCGGCTGATCTGAGACATGGTGGCCTTTCTCTAGGTGGTGCGGTGCATGATAGGGCAGCCTTGGGGATAATCTGTCGTCGGGTTTGATCTGGGATGGACACACCGCACACATGTACAAACCACCAGCATCCCAAACATGGTCCGCTGCGTGCAATGAAACGAAATGGATCCCGGCGATGTTGATCCACCATGTCTGTTAAGCCAGCATATGCGCAATACCTTGTTGTTGATCGTTGGATTCGCTCTGCAAAACATTTTATCTCCATGCTTATCCTTTTTTTTTCCCTGGCCATTTTTCTCACTCTAACTGCAATGTAATGCAACACGATGCAAGCCCTACCATGCCCCGCTGTAGCGTCAGAAACAACAATAGCCGTTTGTTCTGGGACAGGTCAAAAGGCGTCTGATTGGGCTAGAGAGGTCAGGGACCAATGTGAGCTACTGCCAAGTAACGTCAACCTCGTCGAAAGTGTTGTGAGAGTCTTGTATGCCTTGTTTTGATTACATAATAAGGGCAAGCTTGTATTGCTATCTTGGAAACGTGCTGATGGTGGAAAACTGGTTGCATCGAATTGAAACTGTGAGAAGACAAGGGGAGGGGGAAGTGGTAAGGCAAGGAAAGGGGTGAGAAAGACACACACACACACAGATGCACCGAAAAAGAAGAGGGATGATGGATGGTCTGGACCGTCTACAGCGACTTGGACCCCTGTCCTAATCCTTCAAGAAAAGACCCAGAGCACATGTGCCGCAATAGCCATGATTGGGCCGGGCCACATACCATGTCCCCCCCTCCCCCCGACCCGCATGATAGCTGCAGGGCCTAAAGCACAGGCCCTGGGCACTACGCCATCACTAGGTAGTACTATAGTAGTCCTCTCCCAGAGAGATGTGCCCTGGTTCGCCCGGGGACACTGGAGCACTCTTTGGTTGTAACAGGCTTGTGTGCAGAGGGTACCTGTCATCAGAGCCACGCCGGTGCTTGCATGACGTGTATAGAGGACATACTAGATGTGCACCGGCCAGTAGTAACCACAGTAGTAATGTTTAGTACTCAGTACATGGAGTACCTTGTTTTTTCCACTCTTCCTTCTCTTCTGCCCTCTACCATACGTTTTAGCGTTCAATCACGGGCTGCGGCAGTCACCCGTCAGAAGAGGGACCCCCACCTTCTCGTGCCTTTTTTTTTTTTCTTCCTCCTTCTTTTCCCTCTCTCCATAGACACCTGGCGAGAACCTCCCGCCGCATCCTCAATCTTGGGATGTTTCCAACCTCAACGCCATCTATTCAATCCATTTCAATTCCCTCTATCTCTGGAGCTACTTCAACTTCTTATGTTTATCAGAACAGTTTAAGAAATAAGATTAGAAAAGAAAAGAAATATTCAAAAAAGAATGGAAGAAGAAAGACGAAGACTGCACACCGCCAGCATACTTTCACGCGAATTCAGTCCAAACTGAAGGATGCGAGTCCAAGCAAACAAGACCATCTACAAACAAGTTTCAGTTCAGCGATATCGATATTCTTCATCTACGAGCCAAGGCGACAGCATCTACAGCATTCACCATACCGGCATCTGCATTAGAGAAGAGGAACAACCGTCTTGACCACAGCAATCTTGCCATTCGAGGCCCACCCAATAATCTCATACCAAACCACCTCCTTCCATCAACAACATCACCCACCGGGCCAGGAGGAGCGAGCAGCCTTGTGTCACCCCCCCTCCTTTACTTCTTCTTCTTTCTGTCTACACACACGAACATAAACGGCACACTTTCTTGGATTCTCGTTCCAAGACCACTTGACTTTCTCCTCCCGGAATCCTGCCCCGGCACGGGGCATCCCTCTAGCGCGTCACCATCTCGTCGAGGTGTGACTCCGCACGCTTGCAGAGCTTAGGGCAATACGGTTTTACCGGGTGCATCCTGCGAGCGACCCATTATCTCTCGCTCACTCTTTCTCTCTTCGCACAAGCAACCCCTCCCCCCTCTCTTTCCCGTTTGCACTTCTGGTCGTCCTCACCACTTCGACCTCATCCTCGTCCTCCTAATAATACCCATACGCAATCCCACACATCCCCACCTATTTTCTGTCACGTTTCCAAGGATTCCAGACCTTGACCAACATTCATCTGGGAGACTGTACCTACATGAGCAATCAACATCATCGTCATCAACTTGAACAAGAGTACGACGACTTCTTCTACTACAACCCTCCCCCACCTCCTTCGGCACCGCCTCGTTAGGGGTTGCGTCGCCCCTCGCCCTGTCAGGCCAAGGCCAGGCCTTGCCTTGCCCTACATACGCGACCGCACCGCATCGCATTGCATCGCGTCACATCTCCCACAGCAGACGGGCCAAGCACCCAGCGGGGACGGGCGAAGCACGGGACGGGCGTGTCAAGCAGAGTACTATTTCCTGCTGCTACTACTACTACCTAACAGTCCACTCCCACAATCCCTGACACACTCTCCCACACACAAGACACACACACCCCCCCTCCCACCACCTCCCAGAGAGGTCTCTCTTATCTTTTCAAGGCCAATCCTTGCAACTAGCCAACTCCGGGTACCTGGCACCCCCATACTTTTGACTTTCCGGAAGACGACCCAAGTCCCATCTGCGACAACCTGGAACTGCTCTCACTCGTGACAAAGCGACCTCTTACTCTGCTCTGCACTACTCGAACTCGGCCCTCTCTCTCTTCTCTGTCTCCATCCACTTTACCACCTATTCTTCGACAATCAGCCTTGGACTGCTGCCACTGGACGGCGCACCACCCACCCACCCACCCACCAACCACTCCGCCCCACACCCACAACCACAACCATCATTCCGTCTTCTCTCTACTCTCCCCAAGGTTCAAACAGGCCCCATCCGTCCTGCGTTTAGCATCCACACCCACACGCAAGGCCAACCCATCGGCTTGTTCGTTCGTCTCCACCAATTTCCGCCTCCATTCCGTTTGAATTCTAATCCCTCCCCCCCATGGGCAGGAAGTGAGCAGATCTGCCACACATTCTTTCTCTACAACCCCTCCCCACACGCAAGTCTTATCTACAAACGACTTGTGTCCCTTCTTTTCCATCCTCACCAGCAACCTGCGACACATATTTTTTTCTCTCTCATCCCGCGCGACGGCCGAGACAGTCTCACCAACCATCCCTCTCTTGATCGGCGACCTGCATTCCTGCGCGCTCCGTCATCACCGTCTATCGCGCGCTACGGACAGACCTAACCTGCCCCTGTGCATTCGAATTTCTGATCGCGACGGAAGCGCTCAGACGCGTCCTGACCATTAAAGATTAAATCCCGTTCCTGCCACGCGACCGAGGAGCGCGAGGAAAAGGGAGATCGATTTTGTTCAGCATCGACGTCGCGATTAAACATCCGTGTGAGCCTCGCAAGATCTGTTTTCCGGCCATCGCGAACATTTCATCTCCACATTTCGTCGCATCTGCAATCTTGAGTCGATCAGCGCGATCGTCGCCTCTTGTCACCACCTCTTCTTTCGTAGGGGTTTCCATAGGGCTGTGCTGCATGCATCGCGACTCATGAATCGAGATTCGATCAACACCAGCGCCCAAGCCGGCGCTCTCCATCCTCTTCCTCTGTTGTCGCAGTCACAATCACAGTCGCAAACGCTGTCGCAAACATTATCGCAGTCGCAACAGCAGCATCCTGGTTTATCGTCATCCTCCTCATCGTCGTCTTACCCACCAGCCTCCCGACCGCTGAGCTCGACTCGGACAAGCCCTCTGGGTCCAACTTCCGCCACCGATACGACGGCGGTGACGACGACAACAACAGCAGCAGCAGCAGCAGCAGCAGCAGCAGCAGCAACAGCAACCACAAGCAGCGCTGCTATGGCGGCCTCTATTCTCGCCCCGGCCGTTCCGGCCCTTCCTTTCTCGTATACCCAGCCATCTTTCCCTCCCACTTTCCCCAGCGGACGGAATAGCGATCGCGATGCGCCAATCCATTCTGGCCTCCTTCAGGACGACTCCAAGCCCAGTGTTCTCATCCGCGGCCTCCGGGCCAACGTCGACGAGCAGTACGTGCGCATCATGTGCACCTTTGCCGAGAATGATATCGTCCACGTTGAACTTGTAGCCCCCCAGGGTGGTGGCGAGCAGGCAGTCACCCGCTCCGCCGTCCTCCAGCTGAAGTCGCTCGCGGCTGCGTGGGACGTCAAGAACACCCTCAACGGGAAGAACGGCCTGGCGGTCGAGATCCTCAACTTCACCTTCACACAGTCTTCCAACTCGTCGTCTAGTGGCCCCTCATCCACAACCTCGCCCGCCGTCGGTCCAACACAGGGTTCTCGGTTCGATGCGGCCTTCGCATCGCTCGACAGGACGTCGCCCTCGAGCACATCGCCCCCCAACGGCGATACTTATGCGCGCAACGGCAGTCTAGCCTACACCGAGTCGAGTGCAAATTACGGGTACAGGAATGCCTTTTCTTCGCCCCTCGGCGAGCAGCCACCGCGCGTGTCGGGCAAGTCACTGATCAACGATGCCACGGATGATGATGAGACTGGGGACATCATCAACAATCCTCGTGCGTACGCCGAGGGAGGAGCGTTCTCCTCCCAGCGCCGTGCCACTGCGCCTCACATCCCTCTCTCTGCGCACATGGCCGCGCTGTCCCTCAACACTGGCACCAATGCCATGTCCACAGCCCAGCGCGCCCACTCGGGCATGTTTCTACCAGCTGCGGCCCACGCCAGCCACATGTCTCCAACCGGTCTGAGCAGCGGCATGACAAACTTTCAGCGCGGGTTCGCACCCCTGAACGGCCGTATGCATTCCCACGCCCCACCGCCTGCGAATCCTGCCGACCAGAACCCGCCCTGCAATACCCTCTATGTCGGTAATCTGCCCATGGATGCGATCGAGGACGAGCTGAGGCGGCTGTTCACGATGCAGCGTGGCTACAGGCGCATGTGTTTCCGGAGCAAGGTGAACGGGCCCATGTGCTTCGTCGAGTTCGAGGATATCACAGCCGCGACCAAGGCGCTCAATGAGCTCTACGGTGCGATGCTCAGCAACAGCAAGAAGGGTGGCATCCGCCTGAGCTTTTCCAAGAACCCTCTGGGTGTCCGCGCAAACCCACCCGGTCTGGGCCATATCGGATCGCTGTCTGGAGTCAACGGCATGCCACCACACGGTGCCACCGGCTTTGGGGTGACTGGTCCTCCTCCTGGCCTCAGCGTCCCGCCAGGTCTCGGTGGCAACCGATCGGCAAATTCGTACCCAGTCTCCCCTCTGCCGAATGGATCTGGCGCCGCCCCCGCCCCCAATAACAGCAACAACACCAACACCAGCACGTCCTCGTATGCACATTCGACCAGCAATGCCAGCAGCTCGCTTGGCTTTGGCAATGGTGCCGCCTTCGGAAGGGACCCATGGGCGTCGGCCACTGGCAACTACTTCCATGCCGCGCCTACGACGAACAATGTGACTCCAACATCCAACGGGGGAGTAAGTGGTTCAAGCCTCTACCAGAATGGCTCTAGCCCTTACACAAACGACTCTACTTCTCACCTGAATGGTCCGACCCCTTATTCCAAGTATGGGAGGGGCCACTTCTAGGGTAGTAGCCGAGCCTTAGCTCCTCCTGAATACTCGGGAGGTGTGAGCGCTGTTTGTTTTTGCGCATGTATCCTGCGTTTTCTTTCCATTCTCCGTTTTCCCTTGTTTAATTTTTACAGTTTTACCTCCCAGTGTTGGAGTTGGCGCGCTCGGTTTTCTTCGACAGGTCGCAACGCATGGATTGAACAGACAACGCACCGGACACATGTCTTCTTTTTTGCTTTCATTTTTATCTCCCTTCTTTTTTTTTTCTCTTCTCTTTCCCATCACACAAGATTCCCCCCTTTCGCATATTCCTTCCACTTTTTCACGACACGGGCGGAGTTTATTGGTTTACGTTCTGCTTCACACCACAGCAACGAGGTTGATGAACCATGAGATATTCTCGGCTCTTGATACCCCCCTGCGAAAGCTGGTTTTTGAGGGCAGCACGGCGCATCTGGACGATGGGGTGATGACGGACCCCCCACCCTCCCATGCATGACACAGACTTTCTGTGCACAGACATGTCCTGGGGATTCGGCTTCACCCAGGGCCACGCATTCTCACGGGGCAGCGTATGGAGTTTCGGGTTCTCGCACACTTGACTACGGTCCGTGGCGCAGGACAACAACACTCATGACTGGCGGCTTTTGGGATCAGGGTTATGGATTGTTCAGGTTGTTTTATCCGGCGCGCATGAGCCATCGGATCCCAACGGGCCATAGTCTTGAAGAAGGGGTGCCAGTACCAAACTACTCAGCGCACCCGAAGGGAGTGGAAGAGGTACATCGAGACGTTGGGCAACCACCGGCGCCGACGTCAATTTCAACATGTTGTTTCGAACAAAAAGAAAAGTACGAAAAAGAAAGGGAAGGGTGGACATGCTGGAATTGTATTTTGAAAGGAAAGATCTCATCATTCAAGGCGCGGGAGGAAAACGCATCACATGGCGGCGGCAACATTCACCATACCCAAGGCACGAATACATACACGGCGGGGGGGCTTGAGACGTTTTATGGTGAGGGGAACCCAAGAAACACGAGAGAGGGGTTCGGCTTCTTTTGATTTGATCCTGGATGGCGCGACGACCTAAGGTGACGTCCTGGCAGGGACTGGAAATCGGCATAGACGCACCGGGCGTTCTCAGCGGCAGTACAAGACGCGCACGCGTGTAGACTGCTGGCGGCCATCTCGTCATGCTCAAAGTCTGACCTGGAAAACACAATATTTTTCTCTTTTTGTTTCCAGCAAGGAGGCCTGCATGAGATCCGCACCAACAGTTCACGGTGGTGGCATTGGACAGAGAATCAGCATCATCATCGGGGTTCTCTGTGGTCGGTTGGTGTTTGATAAAGGCCTGGGAAACCGCAAGAGGATGTTTTGGTGCTGGGGTATTCCTTGGTGCGGCGTTGGCTTTAGGGCGGCAATCGTTTTGTTTCGAGAAGAATTCTGATCTTGTTGTTGTATGTTCTCTGAGGCTGGCAAGCCTGGGCGATGGGATGGGATGGTACTCTTTATCGGGCAGCCATCGTCAATATTCTCCTGTCCTGTCCTCCTGACTGCCATCGTCATCGTTTTCTATCTTATATTTTTCATACTCGGGTTCCGGCGCGGCAGAAAGGTTCCGGGTTGCTATTCTCTCCTTGTCAAGGTTCACTAAATGTTGCTCCATGTCGGTGGGACATTTTTTTCTTTGCTTGTTGTCTCAGTTGCTCTGGGGGAAATCCAAAATCAAATCAATGCTCGGGGATCAATTGTCATAATAAGTACCTGCGTCATGCTCTCTCTCTCTCTCACTCTTTCACTGTGATAACCTGTCCACGGTCAGTAAGTAGTGCAGTAAGTACCTCCATGCTACCTTGACTGATTTTGTCCATGTTTTTGGGCGCCCTGCATTTGTAGGAGGAGGGGTAAAGTCTGAGTAGAAGGGAGGGATGAAAACATAAAACAGAAACAGTGGGTGGAGACGACCTTGGCCCCCATCCATCCTCCTCCTGATCATATGTATATGTATATGCATGCATGTCTCAGCCTCACATATATGCACAGTAAAAACACAACACCCCTCGCATAAGTTCCATCCAACAACATTAACAACAACAACAACAAGAAGAAGAAGAAGAAGAAGGGACTCCTCTCTCTTCAAATCTTGGCCCTTGCGGTTTTGGGATCCTTGCGCACAAACAGTGTGTGACACAGGTCCCGAATGAAGCCGACCCAGCCCTTGACCGTGGCGACGGTGTTGAGCAGCCGAATATACCTTCTGATGAAGAAGTCGACTGTGTCGTAGTCGTGTGCGTACACCTCCCAGACTGCCTGCCCTTTCCCCTCGGCCACGCTTTTGTCGACCAGCACCTCGTCTCCGTCATCCCCCTCCTCTTGTCTTACCTCTACGTCTTCGTACCCGGAAGATGACGGCGACACCTCGCCATCCGGCAAAACCCTTTTCCGCAGGTCCATTCTGGGCCCAACCAGCAGGGCCCGGCCTGCGATGCGGCCCTGCTGCTGGTCGCAGGCCACGAGGCGGGTGGCGGCGTCGACAGTGTCGTCGACGCGGGCGAGCCCCAGGCCGGAGAGCACGGCGACGGCCCGGTTCGGTAGGATCGGAGTGTCGACAAAGTATGGGCACAGCATATTGACGCGAATCCCCTGGCGGTAGCTAAGGATGCGCAGGGACCGGAAGAGCCCCGTCACACCATGCTTGGAGGTGACATACTCGGGCACGCCGGGGAGGGGGTATAGCCCTGCCGAGGAACCGACGAGGAGGAGGTGTCTGTCTCTGGTCTTGGTTGTGGTGGGGGGAATTCCTTGTTGTTCTGCTGCTGCTGCCGCTGCTGCTGCAGCATCGGGCGATGATGCGTCCCTCGGCAGCCAGAACAAGGCCAGGTGCGCCGTATACATGATGCCGACGAGGTTCACCTGGATGCAGCTCAGGTCCGGGGCTGGCGGGTTTGGTAGGTCCAGGCCGGCCGGGTTCTCGAAGCCTTTCCCCGTCGTAGCGCCATTCCTATCCGAGATGCCTGCAGAGGCGACGACGGCGTCGAGGGCACCGGTGGGCGAGAGACGTACGGCCTGCTGGAAGAGAGAAGCCTGTGAGGCCCATGAGGTCACGTCGCAATGGATGAAGTGGTGAGAGCCGCTGTTGTTGTCCGAGGTGCGCAGCTCGGCGATGAGGGCCTCGCCGGCATCGGTGTTGATGTCACCGATGATGAGGTGAGCGCCGTGAGAAGCCCAGTGCCGGGCAAAGGCGGCGCCACTGTGGGTGTTGCAGGTGTGATTGTGAGCGAGCTCATCCTCTCATGTGTGCGGAGAAAGAGAAGAAGAAGAAAAGAATGATTCAAGTAAAGACATACAGCCCTGAAGAGCCGCCTGTGATGAGGATGACCTTTCCCCTGAGCGTAGAAGGGGAATACGGTGCAGAAATGTCGACGGGGGCGGACTGGTCGATGGTCTCGACGATACGGTTCAGATCAGCCGGCGCGAGAGGCGCCATATTGTCTGTGTGCTTGTCCTTTTTTTCCTGCTTTCTTTCTTTTATACTATCTTTCTTTCTTTCCCTTCCTTCCTTCCTTTTCTTGCTTTCCCTTCCTTGTTTCCCCCTTCCCTCTTTGTAGTGTTATCACCGTCGAGTGGCCCTAGTGATGACAAATTGGATTGAGAAACGCACAAAAGAAGCACTTGAGGGTTTTGTCTTTTGGTAATTTTCAAGGTGGGCCAGTAATGAGGACGATAACAATGGTGGTGAAAAAGGAGAAAGTAAACTGATACAAATACGAAAAAAGATATTCTCAAGGAAAATGGATACACAACACTCAGGACCAAGGGGAGCAACAAGTAGTATGCAGCTCTGCCGAGGTACGACTTAATAAGAACATTATTGAAAAAAGGGTCGGCCGACATTGTTGTCTCCCCGGTCTGGTGGTGGTGGTGTGGTTTGCACACATGCCATCACTCGCCCTCCCCCTCTCAAATCTCGTCTCTAAATCCCCCCACACGGGGCTATAAAGGACATACCATAGTAGTGCTATTACCTCTTCTCATCGCAGCTTGCCTCCCGATGTGGTCGGTGGGCGCGGAGTGTCAGTCACCGAACGAGGCAAGGGTTGTGGGGGGAGAAAACGCCACCATCCCAGGAGGGGGGAAGAGAGGGGGGGAGGGTTTATCACGATGTGGTCAGACAGAGGAAAAGAGTGGGAAGAGTGGGTGGGGAGCAAGATGGGAGGGGGCGTTCAAGGGGGCTTTCAGCCACGCCGGCTGGATGGGGAAGGTGGCGTTGTGCCGTCGACGTGCAGGACGGCTATCATGGCGTCTCTGCTGACTAGGTACTCTAATCAAGGGCGGCGCTCTATTTGATTGATGTTTTGATCCCCCAAATACGAAGAAAGAAGTAGAAAAGAAAAGAGGAAAAAAGAGGGAGGGGTGGGAGAAATGGAGGTGGGGGCAACTTTGAACAAGAGGGAGGAAAGAGGGGAGAAGAAGGGAAAGAAAGAGGGACAGAAACCACGTTCGTTCCTGCAGAATGTGACCAACAACAACAGGGAATGAACGACCCAATTGTAACCTCGTCACCGACAACTGGGTAAAGATCAAGTCATCATTACATATGCAAATGACAAGAGAGAGGTTCCCCCCCCCCCCCCCCCCGGGCCCCCAACCCGCCAAGTAGTGGCACTCGAGAGCCGGAGATCTGTGGCTCTAATGTCTCCAATTGTCTGTATTATCTCTTTTTCTTACTTTGTACAGCCAAATCCCTATCCGCTGCAATCAATATGGACTTGTCGTACCATGAGGTAAAATATATTAGGTCAGCACAGCCGTGTGGATGCAACGCGTGTCATTATGACAATATTGAAGAGTCCATAATGGTTTGTTCTCCCCTTTGTCTTCCCTTCTTTATCATCCGACCTTACCCCCTGGTAGTGGGCTGACTTTACTGACTGATTTGACAAGGGGCCACAAATTCGGCTCCTATCTCCTAGGAGAATAAAAATAAAAACCCTCCGACCCGGTCGTCTCTCCAGATCCTCGACTACGCGGCTCCATAGAAGGTTCAATTTGACACGTGAGTGGACATGCCTGGACTGAGGGCAAGGATAAATTAATTTCTCTGGTGTTGCATCTCGCATGCAGCGCATAAACCATCCTCCCATGACTTCCCAGGAGAACAACTTTTTGGCTTCCTCCTCCTTCTCCCATCACCATTTGGCTGACTTCTTAATGTAGACATACATATACATACATATATCTATATATATATATATATAATAAATAGAAAGGATATACAGAGTCACATCAACACAAGAGATACAAAAACGTATGAAAAAAGCATTGCGTATGTGCCCGTCCATCACACCACCAGCCATGTCTTTCTCCACATCATATATATATATGTTTCCTGATCGCGGTACCAAAGATAAAAACATAGAAAGGAGCAATAGGCAGTAGTAGCAAATCGAAACCTTCTCTGACATGAAGCTCCTGACCCAAAACGCCTTACACAGACAGGGGATATGAATTAAGAAAGCAAAAGAACCCTCCAAGAAATATCGTGAAGGAAAATAGAAAGTCACTCTTTCGTGCCTTTATGGTTGGTTTTTTTTTCTTGGTTTTTTTTTTTTTTTTTTTTCAGTAAGGAGGCCTCGTCAGGTTCCCCAGACTTCCCTCTCCAGCCCTGGCGTCGATACCCCTGAGCAGCGACTGCAGGCCCATGGTGGGCAGAGGTTCGTCGGCCGACTGAATACTGCCCAGAGTCGAGGACCGGATGGTATCGCCGCCCCTACTCTTGATGCTCCGCTGTCTGAGCTGCTGTCCCTGCTGCCTAGAGCCCGCCGCTGCGGCTGTCGTTGCTGTTGTCGTCGTTGTCACGGGCGAGTTGGACACGGGAGAAGAGGACGCATAGTCCTGTCTGGCGATACCTGCCGTCGGCGAGCCACTACTGCTCAACCCAGAGGGCAGCGGTGGCACGGGCGGCACCCCTTCGTCATCCTGCAGGACGGGTGAGGACTCTGAGGGCGGGTTTGAGTTCAATGGCCCTAGGGACACGCCGTCAGAGCCCTTGCGCTCGCGAGACATGGACCGAGACCGCCTGACAGCGGCTGGCGAACCGGTCGTGCTGCTCTGGCTCTGGTTCTGAGAGTATGCCGTGGCTGGGGGCTGTGGAGGGTTGAAGGACATGTCCGAGGTGGACATGTCGTAACTGATCATGCTGTCGTCGCTGCTGGACATGTCGCGCACACCCGCCGTGAGCGGTGGCGCCTCGACCTCGCCCGAGAGGACCATCTTTAGGTGGCTGATGGACGTGACAAAGCCGCCGCCCTGTTGATTATGATGATGATGATGATCTTCTTCTCCTTCTCCTCTCGAGACGCCGCTGCGTACACTCGTCCTGCGAACTTTGGAGCCCGTGCCGCCTCCTCCTCCTCCTATGGGTAGCGCGAGCGTGCGTCCCGCCCCCGCCATCTCTGGCCCTGGTTGTGACCGCGGACGGAGGTCATTTGTGCTCTGGAAAGGCGAGTCGGCCAACAATGCCCTGCTGTTCCCCGTCCCGTTCGCCACGGCACCATTAAGACCAAGGCGACCACGGCTGGTCGTCCCCCCGTTGGTGCCCGAACGAGAGCCATTCAACGAGGTAGACTTGCTGGCGGCTTGGATGGCAGCCATAGCCGAGTCACGAGACCAGTCAAACAACATGGCCTCCTTGAAGATAGACGGGACTTCTCGGGTCGTAGAGGACGTGCCTGCAGCAGCAGTGGGGCTCGCCGTCAGGCTGGAGCCGAGCATGGGCTGGGAGAATTGACGGCTGGGCGAGCCTGGAGGGCTGCTCGGTGGAGACATGGCGCCGCCGCCGGACCCTTCCTGGTAGCTGGTGCAGATACAGTCGACCAAAGACAGGCGGTCGTCAAAGGGGAGCAGTGCCTCGGACTCTGCCTCCTCGGGCGACAGCTTGGTCTGCTGTGTGGCGAGCATGCCCGGCGTCCCGATCTTGTCCAGCGGCGGTGCGGGAACCTGAACCCCGTCGACCCAAAAGTGCTTGGTCCGGCGGCGGATGATCTCGTTCTGGATGGCCCTGCCGACCACGGAGGCGTCAAAGTCAAACTTCTCGGTCAGGATCCAAAAGTAGCCGTGGCACAGGCTGCCCAGGCGGACTTTTTGTTGCGGAGTGTCCACCTCCTGGATATCCTCCTGCAGCCGGAAGATCATAGGTAGCCCGAACCGCACCGCGTTGACCCCGAGGCGCATGACAAGTTTGGTGTTGAGGGTGTGCAGGAGCACAATGTCCGCGTCGTAGTCCAGAAACTGCAGTGCATTGTCGTAGATGGTGACGTGGAGCAGGTGAAGGAAGTGGCTCTTGGGTCTCCTAGAGGACTTGTCTCTGTAGGACCCTGCTGCCGCTACTGACCGGGCCCGCCTGGCATCCACTGCTGTTGACGTTGTCGTCATCGCCATCAGGGCTTCCGTCCTGGATGCCGCCCTGGAGGGAGGAAAGCTGTCCTCTCGTGCGACCAGATCCTTTTTGTTGGTCTCCCGGTCAAGCCACGTAACAAGGGCATCGACATAGGCCTTTCTGACCTCTCCGTCCGGGTCCCTCAAAAGCCACTGGGTGCCGTCCCACTTCTCCATGGGCACGGGATACCTGGACAGGCTGATGGTGCCGCTCATCTTGACCTTTGGGTTTGCCACCCGTAGGATGAGCTTGATGGCCCGCAGTGCCGTCAGTTTGGCGATGGTAAGTGAGAACAGCGACGACTCGAGGTGTTGCTGCCCCTGCTGCCCCTGCTCGTCCGACCTGGTCTCTGTATCCGTCAGGACTTCTCCGTGGGGGGTCGAGGTTGGCGTCCTGGACGGCTTCAGCCTCAAAAGGAGCGCAGACACCATATCGATGATCTGCTCGTTGTAGTACACATGCGTTGCCAGGTCGCCCATGGTCTGCTGGATCCGGCCTAGCAGCTCCTTGCGCTGTGCATTTGGTGTGGCGACCGCTGTCGCTGTTGTCCCCTTTTCCTCGTCCTCGTCGCTGCCACTTGTTGTCCTTGTCGCGCCGTTGCCGCCACCCGTCGGATCACCAGGCATCTGCAGAAGCCTCCTCATCTGTTGGAGCAGGCCCAGCAGCACATCCATGACGCTGAGCCCAATCAGGTTGACATCGGACCGCAGCAGAGAGCCCATCATGGCTGTGAGCACAATGTGGTGGCGAAGGGTGTCGTCCCTCATGGGCGTGCGCACCATCGTGTCCATGGCGTTGACCAGGATCACATATCGTTCCTGCATGGGAGCCCACCGTGCCACCAGGCCGTACAACTTGATGGCCCAGCCGTGGTCTCTCCCGCCGCTGCCACCACCGCCGCCACCGCTCGTCTTGAGTACCATCTCGTCCTGTCGGATGCGCTCCTCGGTAAATCGGAGCAGGGCCGTGGTGGCCGTATGCATCTGCGACCTGTTGGGCACAACAAAGATCTGCTTCAGGCACTGAATAGCCAGCACGCCCGCATCTTCCTCCTCCATCTTCTCCACGTCGCCTGCTGACCCAGACAGTGCGATCGGGTTGGGGTCGCCCTCGCCCTCGGCCGTCCTCGCCGTCGCGCTGCTGTTCCTTCTCTTGAGGAGGTGTTCTGTGCTCACTTTCTCCTCCATGTTGGCACGCCGCAGCAGCACGTCCAGGGAATCCTCGTCGTCCGTCCATAGGTTCTCTAGAATCATCGGCACCAGCGTGTCGATCTGCCGCCCCGCTGGAGATGACAGCGCATCCGAGGCCGCGATGCTCTTGATGGCCTCCAGGCCCGCATTCCTCCACCGAAGCGCCACCGGCTTGCTCCGCTTGTTCTTGACCCCCCCTTGCGGCTCGCGGGTCGACGCCAGGGACGCATACTGCTTGACGATGGCTTCGTACTGGCCCAGGTAGAGCTGATCGGCAAATAGCGACGAGGCGTCGTGGTTCTGGCAGAAGGCGTCAAACGTGGGAATGGAAGACTCGACCATTGTAATGTCGCCGGACCGCAGGATGAGGTCGAGGATCTTGAGCACCGATGGCGCAAACAACGGCAGGTCCTTGGGGCTCTTCTCGATCAGCGCCTCGAGGATCTGGAGCGTAACCTGGACATTTCTTGGCACACGGGGTCAGTATTATCATCATGCGTGTGTGTTTGTATGCGCGCGCACGTCCTATCCAGGTCTCTCTCTACCCCCCGGAGACACGACTTTGAGAAGAGCGAGGGGAGCGAAGAAAGGAACAAGAGAGGAAAGAAGAAGAAAAAAACAAGGGGGGAAGAGTGAAAAGAGCATACCCGATACGCTGGCGCCATACATCACTGGCCGTCTTCTTCTCCAGGAAGCTGCCAACCTTCTGGATCTTTGTCCTGCGCGAGGTGGCATAGAACAGAAGATAGCTCAGCTCGGACGAGTTGGGCTTGACATCAACAGCCCCCTTGGACGTCCGGGGATAGCACTTGAGCACAAGGACCTGATGCTTGGGCCGGCATTTCTGCTGGAGCGCGTGCATTGTGCCTGTGTCTTTCTGGCCGCCGGGCCCTTGATCAAGCTCAGGCTGGCGCTGGCCTGTGTTCCCCTCCGCGTAGCAATAATAGTACTTGTCCTTCTTCCTTCTTCTCCTCCTCCTCTTCTCCTCCTCTGTCGTTTCTAGCACAGCGTACAACTTCTCCGGATAGGCAACCCTGGTTGATTCGCTGTAGAGCAGAACTGCTTGGGCGTCCAATCGATCGTGTCGGGTCGGGTGCGGTTGTTGTGTAAGGCTGGCTCAGGGTCCAACAGGAATGGGGCAGTTCAGGTAGGACTCGATTCGGAGTGTGGTTTACGGTAAAAGGTCCGACGTCAGCCAAACACGGGGCGGAGAGAAAAGAGGAAGGAAGGAAACAAGGCCCCCGAAGCAGAAAGGAGTGACGCGAGGAATGCAAGATGCTGCAGCAGGGTCAGAAGACAAGAGAGAGAGAGAGAGAGAGAGAGAGAGAGAGAGAGAAGAACTTAGAGGAGTAGAACAACAAGAAGATGAGTGACGTGGAACCCAAGCACACAAAACAAGCTTGGGGTGGGCATTATAGGAAAACGGGAAATTTGCGAGGGAAGCGAAGGCCTACCCCGAGATGCCCGTATCGCAGATGCAGGTAATCTTACTGGTACTTTGCTACTGGCTGTGCATATAGTAGTGACAAGGGCTACGACGCCTACGGTAAGTAACGGAGTGTTAAGAGTGCGCTCGCTGCAGTGGCCGTAAAATTAGTGACTGTTTAGTGAGTGGGATTTAGAGTTGGGGCATCCACCAACCATCCCACTGAAGGCGGATCTTTGCACGGGCCGCACAGCCTGTGTGTGTATTATGCAGTGGTCCAGATGCACGGCGTAAAATTAATTTCAAAATTACCATGTTGCGATCAAAGTATGGTAGCATATAATAAATATACCAGCAAGAGGGGAAAGATTTTCTCTGTTTTTGTTTCCCCAATACGCATGAATCATAGGTTTTGATGTAGTATACGGTATGTTTGATTTCTATTCCTTCAAAATGGATTGTGTTTCTTCTGCAGGTCTCTGTGCCTTGTGGTGGTGGAGTCAGCCCACACCATCCAAGTATTCGGTCCTCCTCCTCATTTATCATCGCCCAGACCAGGATCGTCATCATACATATCAGCTAGGTATTTTATGCTTAGTAGCTATCATAGTGGTGATTCTCTCTTCTATTCATACCTTTGCGATGGGCTTGTGCTTCCGTCAGCAGCCTATAATTGTCTCGTGCACCTTGTTTCTCCAGTTCCCTCGCTTCTCTCCTCTTCACACTACAGTCACAGCTGAGCTGAGCAGAGGATGTTGGTGAATGGCTGGGAGCCTGTTGGATGGAGGCAGAGCCCACTTTGATATGCAGCCAGCCCTACAAAGCCTCCACACAGCATGGCTGCTTATGGTACGTAGCACACATCTTACATGGAGGAGTTGACACATTCTTAGGTAGAAGATAGCGTGGTCTGGTTCAGTGGACCCTAGTTGAACAACAAACCACGCAGCACCCAAGGCTGAACTCTGTCGTCACTGTGCAGCAACAGCAGCGAGGGGGGCTACCCTCGTCATCAAGAGCTAGCAAAGCTACGCAGAAGATGTGATGGCTGTCTGTTCTATTCTCTTTAGTTTTTTTCCACCAACAGTCTTCATCACATCCAGATGAAAAGTCATGTTATAGATGGCCCTTCTCATTGACTGCCGACATCAGGTCAGCTGCCCACAAGGCAGGTGGGTGCATGAGCATCACCAGACTTGACTTGTGGTGATGGGAGGGTGTCCTAATGCTATCCTCGCCATACATTGTAGTGGTGAACCCTTGTCAAACATGAGCACTGTATCATTTTATCGCCAAGCTAATTCCCATTGCAGCACTCGACGTGGTGCTTGGTAAACAACTGCTCTGCCAAGGAGGGATCCACAGGAGTATCCCAGGCCTTTCGACCACCACCAACTTTTGACCACACTTGTGTCGCCCTGTGCATTGCATATATAAAACAAAGATTCCATCCCAATGTTGCCACCCCCTCAGCGATTCCTAGGGTCTGGAGTCGGGGCCACCCTTCTGAGCGTGGCAATCAGGCAACTGCTTCGTCTCTATTCCTCTTCCTTACACCATCTCTACAGCTGTGACTGGCGAGCTGTCTGCTGTGGAAACTGGCAAGGAGGAAAAGACAGGTCAGTCAAACCATAAACCTGGATATCATCAACCATGAGAGGAGGACATATTCAACCCCCCCCCCCCAAGGTGTTCAGATTACTCACCACCACTCCTCCTTTTCCCCCACCCAAACAACCTCCTCTTCTTCCCAGAAGACCCATCTGCAACCGAGGCGCCCATCACCGCTCTCGGGCTCTCGCCATTATAGTCCTCATGCTGCGGAGGAGCCCTGGACACGACGGTGGCTGACGACAACCGCGACTCGACAACAGGGCGGAAGGTCTCATGCACCGACGACGCGGAGGAGGTCAAAGATCTCGGCACGGCGGTGGCAGCCATGTCGCCCATTTTGGCCATGTACTTGTCCCTCTCGAGCTTGACGCAGTAGAACAGCGCGCTCACGACCAGGATAAAGATGGCCACTGTCCCGACGATGATGCCGATGACCGTGGGCGTCACGGTGCCCTCATGCTCTGCGCCGCCCAGGCTGTCGTTGTCTGAGGGCCTGTTGGCGCAGTCAATGCACTGGGACATGTTTGGTGTGCCTGTGTGCCTGGTAGGTATCGCCGTTGACTGTCGTGCCGTGTGATAGGACCCTCCAAGAATGGTTGGGTTGTGTCCGCGTGCAGACTGAGTAGGTGGGTACTGAGGAGTTTCAAATTCCGCGTTGCTGGTTGCTGGCAGAGAAAGGCACTTAATTATTCTGATGATGAACTGTTAGTTTAACTGTCATATGTCCCCAAGATCGATCCGAGAGAGATCACGTAGGTAGCATTCAGACAGAAAGGCTGGAGAAGGAGAGGGAACCCCAAGCTTACCCCGTTCCGTGGTCGTTGTTTTGTGTCTAGAAAAGGAATCTCAAGCATAAAGCTCGCCTCTGCGCCGGGCACTGGCGAGTGGTATAAGTGATGAAGGGAGGGCAATGAAGTCGTGAAATGATGTCCACCGCCTAAGGTAAATGAATCACAAGCCTGACCTGCAATTACCTAACCAGGCATGTCTGGTCTTTTCTCAGCATCCTCTTTCGATCCTCAAGCCGCGGAGGAGCTGTTGGGTGGCGTCGGAGTGATGAGGAGCACTAGCAAGAAGAAGACTGGCCGTGAATGAGGCTGGATGGAGCTTGACAACTACACTGTTGCCGTTCCCAAAATGTGGAAAAGTTTTGGTCTGTTTATTAGAAGGGGAATAAGTAGTGTTCAACGAGAGAGAGAAACGGGGGCAACTACGACACAGAGGGGAAAAGGCTGAGAACACAGCGACATCTACTACCACCACCTAATTACCACCTCCTTCACCATCAGCTTCAACACGGCTCCTCCTTTGTTTTCCCTGATCCTTCTTCCTCCTGTCCAAGACTCGACAGAGACATGTGCTCACACAAGGCTCCTCGGCAATCCTGCATCCACTCATTTCATCAAAGTGCCTTGTCACAAAATAACGGGCACGTCACACACCACCACACCCACCCACTCTCCCTGTCTTCCCGCCCGCTCCCGCCTCGACTCACACATCCCGCAAAAAGCAACCTCTCTGCTTCCCCCACGGCCGTACCCTATTCGCCCTCCCCTGTTCAAGCCCCCAAAGGACCTAAGCTTTCCCTTTCCCGAGACAGGCAGAATTTCAGCCGACGGCCTCGTTACAGAGTCAACCCCGATCGGCGAGTTTCCTTGGACGCATAATTTCTTCCTCTCCCTGAGAGAGCGGGCAGAGCCCCTCTCAAAAGTGTCGCACATATACACACACAACGGGGACAGTAGGAAAGAAATAGAGAAACAGAGAAACACACACACACACACAGAGAGAGAGAGAGAGAGAGAGATTGTCTACGGCCGTGTAACACCGCGTACGCGCATCAAAACTTCTCACCCGCCCTTAGCCAGCCAGCCGCCTACATAAACGTACCCCCGATCCAGGAGGTGACACATTGACGCGCTGCTTTTTCCTCAGGATGAGCAGGAACAACAAGCTGTTAAACAGCCCCCAAAAACAGCCCCCGCCCGCCAAATCACCGAAGTTCCAAGACACAGTCTCAGATTTTCCTTTTCCCCCTTCCCTGGTGGGGTCCGGCCCAGATATATGAGACTGTTTTGCTTCGGTTATAGAAGCGCGGCAGCCTCGTAATAGTGAAGCCCGTCTCTTGTTCTTGGCTTGTCCTCCTGTTGCTTGATCTCAGACAGGCAAAGAAGAAACAGTGCCAAATCCCAATAACATCGAGGTCACACACATCACCGTCTCTGCTGCACATAGATGATGGGCCCGTTGTAAGCGGCAAGAACAAACTACACACAACAGGAGGGATCGTGTACCATTCCCCTCCTTTCCTGCAAGACGAGCCTGCGGTTCCGTATTGCATTGTTCGTGTGCAAGTACAAATTAAGCATCCTCATCATAATTTCATGTACGTTCAAAATTCTTCAAACTGCCCTGAAATGGTCAGTTCAAGAAACCTCACTTACGAAACTTGCACCATTTCTACCCTCCGAGAATTTTATCTGGCATTTCTCTCTGCCCTCCTTTGTGATGCCTTCCCCCGCCCCCCACCAAAAAAAAAAAAAAAAAAAAAAAAAAGCACCGCCGAATCTATGTGAGCTTACAGCATTATCCCCCCAACTTTCCTGTTTCCCATGCTCTCCTGCTGCTCCCTGCTCCCTAGGCCTGGAAGGGACGGCAGAGGCTTTCCTTGGAGCTTGAGTCTCGTGCCCAGCTTTGGCTCGTGTGTCTTGTTGGTCCCGACGTCGAATCTAACCCTCTTGGCTCGTCGACCAGCCAAAGATGGACCTCCTGTGGCCCGGGATGAGGAGGATGGCACTGGTGGTGAAAACGGTGATGAAGACTTGCATCTCTGTGGATTGGCTCTGCTCTTGGGACGATCCATGACAAAACCAAATCCAGCTCCGTCCCCTCTATTGGGGTCAATGGCACCGGCGAAATCTCCTTCTCGTACTGGTCGCCTCCATGGCTGCTCATTTGGGTATTGATCCTCGCGGTTGAAGGTCACCACCGACGTCGGTCCTCTGGCTCTAGACCCGGTGTTGGAGGAGGCCACCGGCGCAGTCCTAGATATCCTGGCCAACGGAAGGGGAGCAGGAGCGCCATCGAGGTTCATCCCCAATAACGAGATCTGGTCATTTGGATCCCGTCCCATCACCGCCTTGCCTTTATCTATGCGGCCACCAGAAGATGGCAGGGTACCGTCCCGTAGAGAGTTCGTGTTGAGTTCATACCACCTCTCACTCATCGTCCTGTCGCTCACATCATCCCATAGGACGATCCGCATGCCGAGCACGAGAAATACGATGATGACAGTCGTCAAAAGCCACCCTCCTGCCTTATCTGCAGTGGTAATGGGCCGCATCCCTTGCACGCTATCATCATTTGCACCTGCTAGGCTCACACCGGCGGCGCCATCGTCTGGATCTCCGGCACTGGTTCCGCCGGTCGAGTTGGTGACGGGAGGCCCCGAATCTCGAATTAGGTTCGCAAGGACAGCTTCCATGGCGGCCATCTGCTGTCCTACGCCCGTGCTTCCGTCCCATTTCCCATTGTTTCCTGCCCACATAAGCCCGCACATCCTGCCGTTGCTGCCGCCGGTACACTGCTGTGCTGCAGCCATAGACGAGGCTTCCAACAACGGGCTGACTGTGTCATACGTCCAAGGCGCCCATTTTGTGGTGGCTGCCATCCAGCGCGCGAGATAGGCCTTGAAGCTCTGTTGGTCATTATCGCACAGGTGCACGCTCTCGCAGGCTACCTCTGCCATGATGTTCTTCTCGGCACCAATGAAGAACACCTGACTACCATCAAGCAGGCCGTCGACCCGTTGGCGCCATATCTCGCTTGCGGCAGGACTTCTGTCTGACGTGTAGTTATACATGGCGGCGGCACCCAGGAGGAAGGCGCCGACGTTGTAGGTCCACTGGTAGGTTGTGATGTCGGTGCAATTGTCATTGATGTGCGCGCCGTCATAGATGTAGTATGATTCCTGTGTCATGAGCCCGGTGCCGATCATCCATTCCCAAATGCGATTCGCCCACTTCGCATAGACCTCGTTACCAGTATAGAGTGCCAGTCGGGCAGCCATGTTGAAAAAACAGGCCTGCGATATAGAGTTCTTGTAGTCGAAGCCCTTGTTCCACTGGAAAATCTGCCAGCGAAGGCCACCATTACAATGTGCAGTGTCCCACCGTGCTGCTTGTGTATTGAAGACGGCCTGTGCGAGGGAGAGCCACTGTGGCTGGCCCAGAGGAGGGTTGGGAAAGTTGTACTCGGCAGCCGAGAGAACAGCCATCCCCCAGAAGCCCTTGATCGAAGGGAAAAAAGAAAAACAGTGTCAGTGATTCTTGAGATAACAGTCCATTCATTGGCAGGGCAAATAGATGATATATTACCTGGTCATCATTGCCCTCGGTCATGGTCTGATTGGGAGGTATATAGTCACGATTAGGGCCGACCTGAAAGAGGAGACCTTGCATGGCTATGTCGTTCCACTTGTCATTTCCCGTGTAGTACCAGTAGTCGATGAGGGCACCCATGAGAGCACCGCCTTCCCACCCTAAAGGCGGCAAGAGACAGCCGGGTCAGCCCACCCTGTCTCTCGTGTGAAGGTTGTAGGCTCGTATCTCACGACTCACAATAATATGGATCTGGGAGCAGGCCCGGAACCTGGCCAGGTTCGTTCCCAGTATAGAACGACATCATATCATCAGCCATATCTGCCGCAACAGACATGACTGAGTCTGTGACATGTGTGAACGGGTGTTCAGAAGGTCACCGTTGGCCCATAGGCTGCTGCGTACCTTGCGAATTTGGGTTCAACATGTAGCCTCTTGCAAACTGGACAGCAATGAGAAGACAGGCTGCCAAGCTGCCTTGGCTGACCTGCAGCGTATGCCCACGAAGGGCCGTCCTCCATATGCCCCAGCGCATATCATCAAGACGTGAAGAGGGGCCGTAAAACGTACTATCAGAATATCAACAGCCACCAGAGAAGTGAGGGTTTATAGAGAGAGAGAGAGAGAGAAAGGAAGAGGGGGGGGAGAAAGGGAGGGAAACAGAGCAAAAGAGAAAGTATAGGAAATTGGCAGCACATCAACCTCGAGGCGGGCTGTGGAAGACAGAATGGTGTGGTTGAAGTTACCCACAGAGAATGGGATAGGCTAGTGGTTCAATCTCTTCCTGCCAAGTAGCAGAGAAGGTTGTCTGCCGCATTAAGTGTTCACGATGACGATGAAGGGGTTTGAAGGGTCAGGCCAGTTGTGTACTGGCACGTCTCTCGGCCCCCCACGGCAGGTGCACCCGTAGCACGAGCCTGCCCAACGCCAAACTCCCAACTGGCCCTAGACTATAGAGGGGGCAAAGTTGAAGTCGACGATTTCTAGCAATCCTCTGATGCTACTGAGCAAGAGCATTAGCGGAGAACGGACCACAATATCACGCCATGAGGTTGACGTCAGCCCCTTTCCCTTTACGCTTTACACATCCCTCCCTCCAATATACCTTCCTAACCGTAGTAATGACATCTGTCTTGTCGTCGTCGTCGTTGTTGTTGTGCGGTGCTCGATTCTGTGACCTGTCTAAACCTTTCTAGACACAACGCTTGCAGTCAAACCCACCACATGCACACACACCTGGCCCGTGTCCGTGTGAAACAGAGGAGGAAATCAACATAAAAACCAGAGGCATTGGAGGAAGCGAGATGCCATGATAAAAACAAAACACCGCTTCCCAAGAAATCCAATACAACCCATCCCATGCTCTTCACTCTCGCTCTCGCTATCTCTGTCTCTCACTTCTTCCTCTCTCACCAGTTCGACCTGCTATAGTGCCATCGCTTCAGGGGTACAGAAAGAAAAGAAAGTGGTACAGAAGAGTATAAACCTCGGCCGTGATGCTTAAAAAAAATAAACTTCAACCTTCAAACTCGACAGTACTCGATGCTGCGGCCACCTCATTCTCGACCACGCTCCTCCGTCGAGCTTCTTCGGCATCATTTATTTGGGCTGCAGAGCCGGCGCCAGGCTCGCCATCGGCTCTACCCTGCTGCCCGTTCCCCCCAGCCTCGGCGTCGGCACCTTCGAGCAGCGCCCGGTCCTCGATCCTGACACTGCGTACGCTCCTCCCATCCGCATCCTTCTTGCTCGACGCGCGCGTCAGCTGATGGATATCCACATCACCGTCCTCGTCATCGTCTTCCTCTTCGTGCGAGTGTCTCTGTCCGGGCGCTGCGTTCTTCTCCAGCTCCCTCTGAGCTTCCTCCATGCGCCGCCTGACCTCGGCCGCCACTCGCATGCCATCGGTCACGATGCCGTCCAGAACGCCTCGGAGGCCACGCTGGCCTCCTCCTCCTGCCGCCGCCGCCGCTGCTGAGGGTCCGGCCATGGCTGCTGCGGCTGCGCGTCCTGCAGACTGGCCAAGGCTGGAAAAGGTTGTCAGGTTCGATGACGGGGTGCTGGGGACAGCAAGGCCCTCGATGATGTGGAAGGATGCCGGGAAGCTCGACTCGAAAAATTGCTCGAGAAGCTCGTCGGCCAGGACAACCATCCGGAACGTGGGGAGGGTCATGTGGAGCGGGTTGGAGGGGTCGAGAGCCACGTTGGCTGCTTCCGACTGTGCTTTTGAGGCACTGCGTTGTCCTCCAGCAGCAGCTGGCGTGGTATGGCTGGGGTTGACAACATTAATCGCCGGCGGAATATTTGACTTCTTGGGCTGTTTCTTGTTCTCCTCCTCAGGGCTGTCTTTCTCTGGTGGTTCCTCGAGGTCGAGAAGATCCTCCTCGTCCTCCTCATCCTCATCGTCTCCAATCGTGAAGGCGCTATTATCAACAGGCTCCTCCTCCGCGTTGAGTACAACTCGAACCCCCTCCGGATCTGCGCCTCCTTTATTATTGGGATGATCAGGATCCGCGTACTCGAAACAACGCTGGATGAAGGCGCTGATACTGCTGAGGAATCTCTCGTTAATAGACGCCCCCTGCAACGCGCCATCCGGGCTTTGCAGCGCTCCATTGGGATCCTGGAGTCCGTTCAGTCCCATAAAGGAAGCTGAAGGGCTGAGGGTGCCTTCCAAGCCACGGCGGGAGAGGAAAAGTAGAGCCTCAGAGATGCGGAGGATACCCTCGCGGTCGACTCTACCGTCTCCATTGTCGTCGTACAGCTCAAAGAAGTAGGTGATGGTGCCCATGATGTCCCGCTTGCCCTTGATCCCCGCCATACCCGAGACGACGTTCTGCAAGGTGATGCGGCCGTTGCCTTCTCGATCCCAGTGCTTGAATAGCCTCCGGAGGAACTCATGATCCGCCGGCTCGGGCCCATCCCCCCAAGGCCCATTGTACACGGCATCTGTCTTCTTCATGCTGTTGAAATACGCCTGCTTATCTTTTTCCGAAAACGTACTCCGGCGCGGTGTGGTCGGCGAGTCGGAGATGGCCCATTTGGACATGCCTGCGAGGAATTCACGGAACGCATCATAGTCCATCTCCGAGGTGCTCGGGGCGCCAAGACCTGCCCTCCCTTTCTCGACCTTCTCCTCGTGCTGCTGCTGGTGGTGGTTGTTGCTGTTGTCTCCCAGCCTCGGCCGGCCAGTCTTTGCCCTCCGCTGTTGTTCCTGTTGCAGCAGGTTGCTGCGCTGCTGTCGCTCGTACAAGACCCCAAAGAATCTGTCATAGAGGGCACCAAGCTCATCTGTGCTCATAATCTTAGCGTCGGGGCCTAGATTTCGGATGGCCGTCCGTTTGGCGAAATTCTCAATGTTGTTGAGAACCGCATCCTTGTTCTTCAACCGTAGGTCAGTGATGGTGCTATGTGTGACCTGCGAGAATTCCTTAAAAGCCACCACCATGAGCTCCTGGAACCGCGTCACGGCCCGTAGTTTGGGATTCTCGGACTTGGGGTGCGCAGACTCGTCCAGCCGCGAGAAGTAGGACTTGAGAACCGAGATAAAGGCGCCGTCGTCGGCCGAATCCAGCAGCTCCTCGCCGTTAATGCGCAGGATGGCCAGACCGACCTGAAAGAGTACCTTGGGACCCTCGACGAAGAAGACGTCGAGAACCCGAAACGCAAAGACGAGCGGCATAGAGTTAATGTACAGGGACAGGAACCAGGGGAGGGACACGACCGACAGCTGCACGTCGCTCCTGACCAGGTGTTCCCACAGGACTGGCATGGTCTTCTCGACCAAGCCCTCGAAGACCTTCTGGTCCAGCAGGGTGCCATACATGGTGGTCGAGTAGTATCCGGGCACCAACCGATCGCAAAGTGCAGAGAGGAGGAAGAATGCTTGCGTCTCGGACATGTAGATCAGAAGCGCGGCCACGACGATGTTCATGGCCTGGCAGTAGCCGACATCGGCGTTCACCCAACTGTAGGCCGTAAGGACGCGACGTAGGCGGCCGATGCCCTCCTCGCTCTGGAATCCGGGGTACTCTGGCAGACTCCGGTTGAGATCCTTCTCGATCTCATCGATGGCAAGAGACTCCTGTCCTTGGTACTTGTTCAGGGTGTCGCTGTACAGCGTCGGGTTCTCGAGGCGCAGGTACAGCGAGCCCGAGGTCAGCTCCCATATCTCGCCCCTGAGCCTGTTGGGCAGGCCAACGCGGATCAGCTTGTGGAAGGTGGGCTGGCGGATCACGTTCATGTTCCTGCCGTTGTCCCGCAGGTATTCGGCCCAGAGGCGCATCTTGGCTCTATCTCGAAGCTTCTTGGGGTCACCTGGGTACCGAAACACCATGCCCAGCCCGGCGTCCGGCGGAGTCTTTTCCTTCTGGTCCTCGGCGCGCAGGAGGTACTCGGAGTAGCACTCAGCCATGACCTTCTTCAGCTTGCCGACATTACCGACGCCAGCACGGAGTCCCTTCTTCAAACCGTCACAGAACCGCTCACAGGCCTGGCGTGTGCCGGCGAGGGTGATGGTTATGCGTTGCTCCCTCACGTCCTTGTTGTTGTCCTTTGGCGGATCTTTATCCTTGTCTTTCCCCGTCGTCTGGGTCAGGCCATTCCACGTCGTGATAGCAAGGGCAAACTAACCCACACACACGAGTACAGTCAGTCAATCAGCCAGCCTCTCTTTATCGTACCATGTATCATCATCGTCACTTATAAGATGATGCCAAAAAGGTCGGGACCGGGCCATATCTTTCGTCCTCCCTTACCTGAAAGTTTTGGCTGTGCAGCCGCTCTACCCTCCGAATAGAGCAGAGGGGAAAGGTGAAGCCATTGCCGCTGGGGCCACCGCCGTGTGTCTGCCCGGTATATACCATCGAGGTGGAGCTGCTGGCCGAGGACATGAAGCTCGAGGGAGTCGTAGAGAAGCACATGTAGGCCTCTGAGAGGTGTAACTTCCCGGCATAATGATACCCAGCATCGTTCTTACCGCCCTGGGTGGCATTGGAAGGCGGGACGGTGAGCTCGGCATTGATCTCGTACAGGGGGTGCTGGGAGGAGGGGAGGCGGAACTGGTTCTGGAAGAGGGTGGCCTTGGAGGGGTTCCGGTCCGAGTCGGAGAGATTCAAGCCCTGCATGGGGTCCAGCAGCTGCTGGGCCTTCTGCACGAAGTTCGAGAGGTTAAACATGGCGGCTGCAAGGCGTCGTTGGGGCAGGGCGTCAATGCGCCCTCGATGCTGCGGCGCTTCTCCTCGATCCTGATATGTGTAGGGTGTTGATCGTGCTCGCGAGATCGTGAAGAGGAGGCGGAGGACGACGACGACGACCAAAGGGAGGGCAGGCGCTTGGCCAGGGGAACGAAACTCTGGGTGGGTGACACGGGAAGGAGCTGGGGCTAAAGCATGACAGAGACCAGCTGAGAGAGGGTGAGAGGAAGTTATTGCCCTGTTGGCGGTATGCTCCCATCAACTGTGAAAGGATTCGAGGTTATTCACACAGCAAATGGCTGTTTGGGTGGTACAAGTGTAGCCCAGATGTTGGTGATGGTCCTTGTCGTCTTTGGGGTGTCTCGCTCAGCACATGCTACGAAGGCTGAAGCGGCGGCTTTAGCGGGGGGAATATCAGGGGTCCGGGGCTGGGGGGGCGGAGGGTAGAGGCCGACCACCTAGCATCCTCTCTGGTGGAGGATGGTGCTGTGGTAAGGACACCCCTCTTTCTACCACTCCCGGGAGCGTAGGGCCCCACTAATTGCTGTACATGACTTTAGTACTACAGTGCCAAATAGTAGTTGTTTCGATCTGATATGAATTACTGACATATTACGATACTATGTATGTATGTATGTATGTATGTATGTATGTATGTTTATATGTAGTATGTAGTATGTAGTATGTATGTGCTCAATTGCCTTGGTCATTTCCCAACATTTCAAGTTACAATTACTGCAGTCCTTGGAATCGTCCAGTATTCGATCTACTTCTCTCTGCCAATCCGATGCCTTTCCTCCTAATGCACACGCACTCATACAAGTGCAAGCACACATTGACATTGTCAGAGGAATGCATGTCCAACACGCTACATATGTGCACTAGACTAAGAATGGCCTGTCACTTCAAGTAAGTTATCCATTCAGTCAGTGAATGACAAGTCTCGGGTAGGCATGGATGGGAAGAAGGAGGGGGAAAGCAGCCAGTGATTGTGGTGGAGGAGCAGAGCAGAGGGTACTATGGTACAACCTTGCTCCCCTCCATCCCACTCGAGGCAGCAGGCAGGCGAGGTCACACACCACAGACCCTCTCAGCCTACTATACAGCCTGAGTTCCTTGCCAGGAGAGGCTGTCACTCGTAGGCGACAGGCAGCACATGCAGGAACAGGGGTTGGCTTGGTGCCTTGCAGTTACAAATTACTACCATAACAATATCACTACTATATTAAATGACAATGACAGCAATCCTTATTCTCTAACTACAATCACAACATTACTATGGGACTACAACACACAAGTGTTCCTATTGGATGTAGCTTGCAGGTTCTGACAGGGAATGTTGAGAAACAAATGTTGCTCCCCCACTTTGACAGGCGCAGCAGGCAGGACTACTTTTTGTTCATCGCGATCCTTCTTCTTTTTGGCATCCCTCGGCCACCTTCCGGTCGGTCAGATGGCCAGGTCTCCTGTTGAGAGAGGTGGCTGGCTGGGAGCGCGTCACAGCTTGAGAGGCGTCAAAAGAAAAAAGTGAACAACAATTGAGCCCTCCCACTACTGTACTCAAGGCAGCTGGGGAGCGGGACCAACCGAGAATCAAGAAGCAACCGCAGCCCAACGAAGCCAGTGAAGTCAATCATCTGGGGGCCAGGCCTGAAAAGCAAAGGGGGAGGGGGCCGGGGGGGGGAGGGGGCGGTGCCTCCAGAAACAAGCATGTCTCGGCCGATATCAAGAAACAAAAACAAAAAAGAGAAAAGAGATGAGTCGAGGTAATAAAAAGGAATTCACCGAAGATGTAGCTTGATCTCGGCTCTTGGCTGCATGCATGCCGAATCCCGTCCCGACCATGAACGGGTCCTCGTCACCGTTCACGCCTTCCCACTGGTGGGGTAAAGTGGTGGCAGGACAGACTCTTAAAACAAACAAGAGGGAGAAGAGACAGGGCTTGCATTGCTCCACATAATTGTATCTTCTGACAGGACAATTCAGCCATGCCCGATTTGCAAGATCTCCCGGGTGGAAGGGGCAGTTAACGATCTAAAGGCATAGCGTAATCATCCAGCTCACACTCTTTCTTCGCCCTCCTCCCAACGCCCCCCCCCCACCCCGGCTCAATTGGTTCGGCGGGAAGATCTCAACTTTTGAAGATGTGACGTCAAAAAAAAAAAAAAAAAAAAAAAAAAAGAGAACCAAGCCATCCTTGGGTCTGACTCTGGCTTTTCTTTGGCTGCCCAGAGGAATAAAGTCTCTTGTCTGTCAGAACGGCGACTTTTTTCTTCTTCTTTTTTCTGCTGACATCTCAGCTCTCAACCTTGGTTTGGTTTCATTTTCCGGGGTACTCTACTCGATTCCATAGTAGACCAGACCAGGCAAGGGAGAAAAAGAAAGGCGAGACACGAGAAGATCCTCCAGCTGCCCGATCCGTCCAAGACAAACCCAGCCTGCCAGCCCTGCTCAGGGAAAACGGACTCTTGTAACACTTACATTAGCCTCTTATTATAGTGCTGTCTGCTTTTGCTGTTTCCCTCCACCCCCCGTCTCGCCCACCCACCCCATGTCTTACATGACGCTTTGGCCCTATTGTCTCTGTCGCTCTCTTTCTTTTTCCTCTTCCCGCCATCCTACACTCTACTTCGTCTTACATCTCCCCCTCCCTCCCTTGATTTAAGGAAACATCAACCACAAGAAAAAAAGACAAAACATCCTACTATATCTATATATTGTAGACGATGCCAATTGGGCCACCCTCACTTCATTCCCAAAGCGCTCTCAAGTCCCACCGCTTTGGTATCCGCCCAAAAAATAAACAAGCTCGTTCTCTTTTACTACCGTCTCAGCCTTCAACGCCGTCTACTGCTGCTGCTGCTGCAGTAGTGGACTTGCACCGCTCGGGCATCCTGCCCAGCAACCACCCTCCAACTTAAGTTTCCTGCAAACCTGGACTCGAGCCAAAACCAACCCGTTGGGCCGTAGGAGATGGGGTGGCGCTTGTGATCTTGCGATCCCAGAGCTACGGATACGACAAGGCGTACACACGACTTAATCCACAACGCCCGCCAGCCCTTGCCGACTAGGCCTTGTCCCACGCGCCATTATCGTCGTCGCATCTGCTGGAACACGGGTCCCCTTCCTTTCTTACCTTGACCAAACCTGGCCACGAGACACGGCACGACTCGTCTCTCCTTCACCAACACCTTGCTCCCACCCGCCACCTCATCTCCCTTCTCCCCTCTCTATGAGATGGCGGCAACAGTGGCCCACCAGGTCCCAGCGACAGTCGGCCACACGGGAGGAGGAGGAGGAGGAGGAGGAGGAGGAGGAGGAGGAGCAGGCGCTGGCGCTGGCGCTGGCACAGGGGCAGTAGGTCGAAATCTTGACAAGGCCTTACAGGCGAGCAGCAGTGTGGTCCTCCCTGGCTTGTCGAGCGATACCTCCAAGACGTCGCGCAAATTGAAGTTGGACGACTTTGCGAGGGTACGCACACTCGGGACGGGTAGGTACTTAGAACCAGCCAACCCGGAAGCCCCATCCACCATCCCCCCCCCCCTTCTCCGACCCTCTCCGACCCCTCCTGATCCTGTGTTGGTGGCACAAATCCCACCCCTCTTCGAATCAAAGAGGAACCTGATCGGCTTACTCGAGAACAAGGCACTTTTGCGCGGGTATGTCTCGTGAAACTCTCGGACCCGCAAACCGAGCCGGAGCGGAATAAGGTGTTTGCGCTCAAGATATTACGCAAGTCAGAAGGTAGGTTTCGTTCGTTGGTGCGCCGCCATGCGCCCGCTCAAATTAGAGAGGAGAGATCTTCTTTTTGCTTCTTTTTCTTTAGGCTAACGAGGTGACACGTGTGCGCGCACCGCAGTGATCAAGCTTAAGCAGATCGACCATGTCCGCCACGAGCGCGAGATTCTCGGCGACGTCAGCGGCCACCCCTTCATCACGAACCTGTGCGCCTCCTTCTCTGACCGCGACTTCCTCTACCTCCTCCTCGACTATGTTCCCGGCGGCGAGCTCTTCTCCTACCTGCGCAAGTTCCGCCGCTTCGACGAGGGCATGGCTCGCTTCTACGCCGCCGAGATCGTCCTGGTGCTCGAGTACCTACACGAGCAGCAAGGAGGCGTCGCCTACCGGGACCTCAAGCCCGAGAACCTGCTCCTCGACGCCGAGGGCCACATAAAACTCGTCGATTTCGGTTTTGCAAAGAGATTAGGAGGCAGGGACTGCTCGACCGAGACCTACACCCTGTGCGGCACACCAGAATACCTCGCACCCGAGGTCATCCATAACAAGGGCCACACGACCGCTGTGGACTGGTGGGCACTGGGCATCCTGATATATGAGTTCCTGACTGGATACCCACCATTCTGGCACCAGAATCCTATCGAAATATATAAACAGTGAGTGAATCTCCTTCTCCCTCACTGCCCCCCCCCCCTCCTTCTTCTCTCTGGGAGGGAAACGAGGAAGAAAGGAAAGGAAAGAAAAAGCGTCTCGACTAACCAATGTGTCTTCTCTTTCTCTCTTACCCTTTTTTCAGAATTGTCGACAAACCCGTCATCTTTCCTCAAGAGCCCAGCCTCTCCCTCGAGGCCATGGACATTATCCGCTCCTTCTGCACCGTCGACCGGTCCCGGCGCCTGGGGAACGTCCAGGGCGGTGCTAAGCGCGTTAAGGAGCACCCGTTTTTTCGCGGCGTTGACTGGGACGCCGTCTACCGCCGCCAGTACCGCGGCCCCATCATCCCCCCGGTCCGCTTTCCCGGCGATGCCCAGTGTTTCGATATCTACCCCGAGGAGGACGTAGGTCATGGCGAGTACACAGACGAGCTGCGGGCCAAGTACGAGAGCTACTTTAAGGACTTTTGAGACGTCCGGCCCGGCCCCGACCGCTATAGTGCGTCAAAAGATGATTAAATTTACAGGCGATGGAGCGGGGGCTGGATGATAGCCGGCTCTTCTTCCTTTTCTCCCCCTTTCTTCTTTCTTCTCTTCTTCGTCATGCCTATATTGTGTATATATATATATGTGTGTGTGTGTGTGTCTCTCTCTCTCTCTTACTCCGTCTCTGGACGGAAGTAGGATCTCCCCTCCAACCAAAGTATGAACAGCAAAACCTTTAATGGGCACGAAGGAAAGGGTAGACAGAGCATGAACGTTACGAGAGGGAGAAAAGGAAAATTGACCAGGCCAAACCAAACCTTTTCAAGTGTCACCGAAACATGGGTCTGACGACGAACATGGCAGCATCATTACAATTATCAAATCATTATTTCTGAACGAAACTCAGCATCACGATTGTCAAATTTTTTTAATTTTTTTTTTTAACCCATATATCCGTGTACGATAGAGAATGAGAATAAGACTGGGTGATGCTGATGATAGGGGGGTGGAGGGGTCTGGCGTATGCGGATGGAACAGGAAATCAAGCGGCGGCCAAGAATTAGATATTCAGAAACGAAATCGAAGAAAGAATTATTATTTTCCAAAAAAAAAAAAAAAAAAGAAAAAAAAAAAAAGGATTTCCCAGTACAAGCTTCTCCCAGTTTGGAAGAGTTGGAGGTAGTTCTCTTGACGGCATTATACAATAATGTATTGTAGTGGACAACCCACTTTTGAGATGACAATACATTAGCCTTCAGCGATCACTCTTAGGAACATACTAACAATGTGGAAATCTAATGATGGCGGTAGTGATGGCCTGTTCATCCACCACTTTGCTCCCAGTCAACTCACATTACAAAAGTTCTTGTGCAATTTGGCGGCCACTAGATACTCTTCTCGCTGAAAGTATTCATCATTCTTGCATCAAAGTACCTGGCTCGTATGCTCTTATCAAGAGGTAGGCAACTGACAAGTCACAGAACCCCTGTCGTACCATCTACCATAGGATGGCTACGGTAGTCTACCGATACTCCCATCGCTAAATCGTTGTTCCTATCTTACAGTGGGTATCAATGTATGACCGTTCCCTGCATCCATATGCTTTCCCTCCTCCCCCAATCAGAGAGTCGTCCAGAGATGCTCCTGCATAACCGAAACTCCTGTGAAAGACACCCTAGTACGATCGCCACAACCAGAGACAACCGTCCATAGACCCTTCTTGACCTGTCTTCCTCCCCAGAAAGGAAAAAGCCTTGTCACAGCCACCACAATTAAAAGGCTCACTGGCCTCTGTTGACCTCTAGAAGAAGCCCTGATACAACCACCACGACCACAGAGCTAAACCCACCACAGCAACCGTAACGATCAGGCCTTCTTTAGTAGAGAAGAACAGCGCCGTCATGCCAGTATATATTTCTCTCTTGCGGGCCGCCGCACGACGAGCAAAAGCGCCCGTGTCGATGGGGACGGGGAGCGTCAGACGAGGGTCATTCACGTCGCGAGGTGACAACTCAATTGTGAGCGGCTGCTGGGGCACGAGCTCACCAGGGACCAGCAGTGGCACCGAAGCTCTCAGAAATACGGCCTGGTGGTCGGATGTCATCACGGTTGGGAGGGAGCTGTAAGCGTGGATCTTGATCTCAGGAGCCGGCTCCGAGGAGCTAGCGCCGGTGCTGGGTGTGTATCGCTCCTTGACCCAATCTGGAATATCGAGGAAGAGAACACGATCACACCAGCCGGGCCAGCGGTGAGACGCCCACTTCCACGGTATAACCTCGTCCTCACGACCGGCCGCCCGGGCCGCGATGAGCTCCTCCTTGTTGACGGCTTCCGCAACCTTGTTAGGGCTCAGGTGCTTGATCTTATAAGTGGGAGGAAAGTCGATGGGCGCCTCTGATAGGCCATGCAGTGTTCTTCCTGCCGCCTTCTCCTGCGTGAGCTGGTCGCGCTCAAGGAAATCCATATAGGTATCCATGGTTGGGAAGGTTGCCAGCGCCGGGGGTGTGGTCGTTGAGATGCGATAATTCAGATCGCCCGCCACGAAAAGGTGTGTGCCTGGCTTGAAGATGCTGATGTCTTGCAGATGTGCCGCGTACTCAGACGGCATTGAAGCCTCATTCTGCCGCCGTGTGAGAAGAGCATGGCGCTCCTCCTCGGTCTCGGGCGGGATGTCTTCGCCACCGTCTGTCTGTTTGCCGTCTCTCCTGGCAGAGGACGAGGATGTCGACGCCTCGATGATGTTCTTAGCACCAGGCTCATCGAAATGGAATTCGTCGGGGAGTGTCTTCTTTGGGTCCTCAAAGAGGCAAGAAGAGCAAATACTAGAGGGAGAAATTAGTATGGTGAAGAAAGCTCACATGATGGACATTTGATCAGGATCAGGCTCCAGACAGCATAGACAGCACCTCACCCTCACCAAGCCACGACATCCTGATATCTACTCTCAATATGCCAAAAGAGGAGGGTGAGAGCTTGAAGCGTTCAAAAGAGATATATACTAGAAGAAGAAGAAGAAGAAGAAGAAGAAGAAGAAAAGAAAAATAAAGTAACTTACCTCGCCCAATTGGCATTCCTGCGTCTCAAATTATACTCCATCGCAGCCAGATGGGTCGCCACAAAGGTGACCTCCGCGACCCTTCTGGCCGCATTGTGTCCTGTAGCCTCGCCATTCACACTCACATCTGCAGTATGGTCCTCGTCGTTTCCGGTGAACAAGACCCTCAGAGCGATTGCTCCCTTGTTGCCCATGTTGGCAATGCCGAACGCGCACTCGGCAACCTCGACCCGGGCAATGGCCTCAGGCTGGCGGGCGAACATCATGATAGCGGTCATACCAACATTTCGGGCCTCGACCAGTTTGTAAGGGGGATCAGGCTGCCTGCGGAAGATGTTGGAAAGGGCCGACTTGGACCGGTTGAGTGGCTGACGCCGGGGCGTTGACCGGCCGCTGTTCTCGGCGGTGCTGAGAGGGACTGGCGACGGAGAAGAAGACGACGACGACGGTCGTTGCGATTCTAGCGGCTGGCCAAGAAGGTCAAGGGCTGCGAGGTTCAGGGCATCCTTGAAAGCATTCAAATAAGGGGCGAGGAAGTGCCCGCCCAGGTAGCCAGACGTAAGGGGAGCAATCTCCTGGAGGGAGCTGCGCATCAGGAGAGCAAAGGCAAGGTGGTCAATAGACATTTTCAAGATTGCCGTGTTTGGGGATGCACGTTGTGTGGGGGCACTCACAAGACCACCAGATCAGGCAGCGTAGGACTATCCTCCTGCCCGTCTCGTCCGACCTCGCCGGCCTCCTCAGCAGGTGTACTGTCAAATGGGTTCCTGCCCGCCTGGCCCTTCTGCTGCAGCGCGGTGCGCAGGTGCGTCGCGAAGGGTGCCACATCAATCACCACCTTGCCGCAGTTGAACGTGAGGACGAGAACGTCCATGGCCGCAGCCGGTGGAGGGGAAGAGGAGGAGGTGAAGGAGGGTATCCCCGTAATCTTGCTCAAAAAAACCACGTCCTCGTTATCATCAAGGTCGTCGACGCCGTCGTCCTCGCCGTCCTCAACAGCAGATCCCTCCGGGTATTGAGCAGCAGGCAATGTCAGCTTGTCCTGCTGGGGTTGGGGCTGGGCTAGGGGCTGGGACTGGGGCTTCAGGCCAAGGAATGGGACTTTGTTGACGGGGAGCCCTGGTCCTTCTAAGGCCGAGTCAGCGGCTAAGGCCGTCGACTCCTGGGGTCCTACTGCTGACGCCATCGTCCTGTACTGCGTCATAGGGGTTTCCTTGACCCTTGAAGAGCGGCGAATTGGGTCTAGACTTTCGGGTGATTGCTCGGGTAGTTCAGGTCCCGAACTTCTTGGTCGGGCCGGCCGCTGATTGAGTGGGGTTCACACCCAGCAGGCGGAAATGGTTGTTGACTGTTGGTGATCTTGAAGCTGTGTCCGAGATCTGGAAAAATAGTTGAGATGGGCGCAGGGAGAGATTGCTTGAGACCGGGAGAGAGAGAGAGAGAGGATAAGAAGACAGTAAGAGGTTGGAGAAGGTTAGAGGCAGGCCAAGAGAAGGGCGAGAGAGGCCTATGGGCGAATCGTAATTGTTAAGGCAAGAAGGGAAAGAGAGGAAAACAACAACACAACATCACGAGACGCGCTTGCCAAGCACTATAACCATTTACTTGAGCCTGAGCACAAGTTGATAAGGTTGGAGTAAAGAGCCACTCAGGCTTGACACCAAGAATTGCCTAATACCACCACAAAGGACATCTATTTCGGACCGTCACCCTGTGGTGCAAGTATTGGTTGCCCCAGAAGGTCTCAAGATCTCGGAAGGTGCAACCTCGAGTTCGAGTTAGAAGCTTGTAAGCAAAAATGACCAGACTTGCTGCCTCTCTCCACATCCCTTGCATCCTCATCTTCAGGCTTCGTAGAGTGCCTTCTCTCCCCAGCTCCCTCACCATCCTCTACTGCCTACTGACTTGCCTGGATCCCTAATTTCTCACACTTAGCGAGACTACACCTTCACTTCACAATCTTATCACAGCAAGAGACACAAAGGTTGCACAGGTCTGTGAAGGGGAACAATCTGAATAATTTCTCGTGTATGGAGGATTAAGCTGAAACGAGGGACTGTGTGACTGTGATATCTTAGCTGTCGACCATCAAAACCCCAAGGCCCTCACCGTCTGTCAGAGACAGAGACAAGAGGACAAGGAATCCGCATCCCAAAATGGATAGCGATATGACGATCTGCCATGGACATGAAGTTTGGCATCAATGTGCGAAAATGAGAAGAACTGAACCAGAACATGACAGCCTTGACATGCCTGCTTGCTGCAAGACCAATGATTCCGCCTTGCAACAGACATTCGCAACCATCCGCCCACAAACCTCCTCCACAATCAATGCTGCTGTTGTGCTTGTTCCACAACAGGACACGCCAGGAGTCCAAAGCTGAGCCCAAGATTAGGCTCGCTCAGTCATCCTGCTTCTCCTTACGTTCTAGGTCACCGAGCTGTCCTAAGTGGAAGCAAGGAGGGTGGAACCGGAGATTTTCCATGCGAGAGTAAAGTCAAAACGAGCTCGTCCCCAAAAATTACCTCCCCAGAAGCGCACGCACATAATCTCGAAAACGTAAATAAGGAAAAAAGACAAAAACCGTGATTAAGAGGAAGGAAGGAAAAAGGCACTCGCCGGGTTGGCGAACCCAAAGTGATAGCCGTGTTATCGCAACGACGGAGCTGATCGTAACCAGAGGTGAGATGTGTAGCATGGCATGAAGCCAGCCTCGATCCTACGGAATGATCTTTGTTGTGCTCGACTCGGTCGTTTTCTTGAGAAGCTGATGCTAATGCTTTCTCATAAACGTGGTTTGGTTTTCTCTCGCGTTTCGATACTGCCACAGTGGAAGTACCGGGCTTGCCGTTCAGCCAGTACCAGATTGAGGACCTCAGCAGAATCACCATGGCCCAATGCCACAGTGAACCTAAAGGTTGGCCTTCTCACCGGACTGCCCGAGATACGAGAGGAAACAAAATAACCAGAAATAAACCGCGAAGACGTCGAAAAACGATAATAGTGCTGGGGGGGAGGGGGGGATGGAGACGATTGAGAATGAGATTTCCCTGAGCGGCGACATGTAACCAAATGAGGGGTAAACGCCAGCAGACAGCCTGCGGCAACCTTGGCATACTGTCTTCCAGTGTCGCTCAGGGATCAAAAACAATGTCTCCATACGTGTAACAATCTTGAGTTGAGAAGGCCACAATTCATTCAGTTGCCTCGCTGTGTTCCGGAGCGCAGCTGCCTGCCATGAGCCCTATCATCGCGGACTAACGGTCAGCACACTGGTCAGCATTTTCCCTTGGCCACCAGGTTATGAAGCGCACCATAGTCCAAGGAGGAAATCCTTACAATTTGGGCCGGGTTTGCATTATGTTTGTAACTCACATCGGCTGGTCAGAATCATTACCGATCCTGGGGGGGTTGCGACGTGTAGCAGGCTGAGCAGTCGTCTGCTTGGTGGCAGCAGCAGTGCCCGCAGCCTCCTTCTGCTCCTCCTGAGCCTTGATCTGGCTGGCGTTCTTCTGGTACTTGTAGACAGTCCAGTCGAAGACGTAGTCGTACTGGAAGCCCTCGCGGACGAACAAGTCACGGAAGATCTTGCGCAGGTAGCTGTAGTCGGGCTTGTCGTCGAAACGCAGAGAGCGGGTGTAGTTCAGGTAGATGGCGAACTCGTTGGGGAAGCCACGGCAGAGGACCTCAGTAGGGGTGGTCATCTTCTTCTCCATGATACGGTCGTACTTCTGCTTCTTGGTCGCAGCCTTAAGACCCTGCCAGGGCAGAGAGCCACGGCAAAAGTAGAGCATAACGTATCCTAGAGACTCCATATCGTCACGGCGAGATTGCTCTGCAGGCCAGGTTAGTACACACACACACACACATCAGAAACGGGTAAAGCAAGAAGAAAAAAAAGTGGGGGGTTCTCAACATACCAACACCGAGGTGAGTGTTGATCGACGCGTAGCGAGCGGTACCCGTGAGGTTCTTGTTCTCTCTGTAGGGGATGTGGAAGTGAGTCTTGGGGTCGCGGTACTTCTTGGCCAGACCGAAGTCGATGACATTGACCTGGTTGCCACGCTTGCCGATGCCCATCAGGAAGTTGTCAGGCTTGATGTCACGGTGGATGAAGGACTTGGCGTGAATGTACTCGATGCGGGAGATGAGCTGATCGGCCAGGAGAAGGACCGTCTTCAGCGAGAACTTGCGGTTGCAGAAGTTGAAGAGATCCTCCAGACTGGGGCCGAGGAGGTCCAAAACCATGGCATTGTAGTCACACTCGGTACCGAACCAACGGACAAAAGGAATTCCCACGCCACCGGCGAGGGACTTATAGACGCGAGCCTCATACTCGAGCTGAGGGTGCTTGGCCTTGACGCTCTCGAGCTTGATGGCAATCTCCTCGCCGGAGATGATGTTGGTACCCAGGTAGATATCACCAAAGGAACCAGAGCCAATCTTTCGGCCGATACGGTATTTGTTACCGACGCGCAGGTCCTATAAGAGGAGATCAATCAGCAAAAGACCATCATGTGTGCCATCAGTGCAGCGCAGGCACGCAAGCGACATGAAACATCCCAAATACCACGTATCAATAGCGGCACATCGAGTACATGATCGCTCGTTGGAGGGGACAAGGTGATCGGTAAAGGCTCAGTCTGCAGCATCGTCTATGTACGTACCATGGTAGTCATGTTGACAGGTGTTGCTGGGTCGTAGTCTGTGCTACGAACAGGAATGTGGGTTTGGTTGGTACGATCGCTTCGCTTCGCGCTGTATTGCCGTTGGCGACTGGGAAGACTGGTCGTCAGATGATTGAAAGATCCGAAGATAATTTGAAATAATCAAAGTGGAAGCACAGATGGTAATGTTATGATGCAATCTGCAATTGAGGAGAAAGAGATTGAGGTTGGTTGTTGGAGGGTTGCGCTCAAAGGGTAGAAGAGAGAGAGAAAAAGGGTAAACAAGGTCAGGCAGGGTCAAGCCAATGCTGAAAACCGCAAGCCTTTTTGAGGAAGGGTAGGTGAAAGAAGTTGTGTGGTCAGGGAAGGCAATGAACGGTGAAGGCACAGAAGAGTAAAGGTTGGGAATGCAAGGTCAGAAGTGGCCAACCGATGCTTGCTCAGACTTTTTAGGCCTGGCAAAAGATGGCAAAAGGGCGTGGAAGCTAAATCAAACAAGACCTGATTTGACTCAAGGTTCAACGGCAGGCAGTGCTGCCCGTTTGAACGTCGTAGATGGAGAGGGGAAGGTGCAAAGGCTGAGGCTGAGAAAAAAGGGGGGTGTTGCTCTGTCGATGAACTTACGTCTCGAAAGTACTGTCCTCCAAGATGGAATTTCAGATGATTGAAAGGGGGTCGGTCAATGACGAGGGCGGGAAAAGGACGTCGGGGGTGAAAGGTGAGCCGACAAAAGGGTCGTTTGGTTGTCGTGATGAAAGAAGGGTCAGGACGGAAACTGGCTGCAAAATGCCTCGAATGAAGAAACCAAATGTCCTGGCGCGAGAAGGGAAAAGAAACAGCCAAGACGATCGAATGATACCGTTCTTTCTTGCCCCAACTAGTTCTCGCTCTTCGATCAAGAAAGAAGAGGTCGAAGGTTGCGAGGGACGTCCAGAACGTAGATAGGTGGATGGGTGGGTGTGCGTTTGTTGGTGGAGGAGGGAAGGAGGGAAGGGAGAGGAACGACCAGGACGAAATGAGATATGGGGGGGGACTGTGGGAGGTTTGGCAGTTGGGAAAACGAGGATTGCAGCGCAGCCTAAGCGGCCAGGCCAGGCCAGACCAAGAATGAGTGGGCGGGTTGTGGGCTGCAGGATTTCACCTGTGCGGAGTGTAGCAGCAGCCCCTGGCCTGTGCAGTACTGGTTGCTCAGGTAGTCAGTGGTTTGTGCTGGCTTGGCTGGCTAACTGGCAGGCAGACAGGACGGGCAGCTGAGTGGCGTGGCGGTGGGCGCACTGGCGTCAGATTGGGTAGGGGTGATTGGCACTGACCGCTTGCTGGGCACCGCTGGACTCTGGGATGGGGGAGGTTGGGCACCACTGAAGCTCAGGCCAGGCTTGGGCTGTGGGCGCTTAGAAGACCCACCTGCAGCGGAACCAGACCACGCCATAACACGGGGCTCTTGTTCCCTTCTCTTTGCTATTGTAAGATCTAGAGGAGATTTGATACTGTCTATAAACTGTACGGCCCGCCGCGGGAACCAGCCCTGCTGTGTAGACCTCGCTATAAGGTTGGGTCAGCATCTACTTGTTGTCAGTGCATAGTCTTGCATGAAGTGCATGACCTGCACTGTATTGTCAGGTTTGCGATGAGATGAGTTTAGTGATCATGCCCAAGAGCGGCCCCATAGCCCCTGTCCCCCTCGCCTCCTCTCATCCCGAATCTTCTCCATCATCATCGTGCTGTTGTGGCTGCAGCTAAAACCTGCCTCTGCTCAAAATTCGAGACAAGCGAACGGCACAAAGAAGGCATATAGATTGCCTCTTGGCGGCCCATGCTGACCATGGCGGATGAGCACATTAGCCGCACTGAGGCAGGCAGGACTAGCATCATCAGACATCAGCTGCAGCAGCATCTGCCCGCGCCAAATGTAAGCGACACCGACCTGCTGACCGAGCGCCGTTGAGCCTCGGAAGCCGGGTGCTAATTGCGCACCAAGGTCAAAATTGCATTACCTGATGTGATAGAACGAGGCATGCCGCTTCCCCCCAAGGATCACGCGAGCATCTCACCGGGCACAATCGTGCCTTGATCCTGTCTCAAACTGACCCCATCTCCGCCTCCGAAGATTGCACGGGTCTTCTGTGGTCTTTGGATAGAGAAGACGAGGACTTTCCTACATTAGTAGCACGCACAAAACAGGACAAATTCGGAACAACAGCTGGCGGCTAAAGTTCCTTTGCGAAAAGGGGGCCTCTCGCATTCGAGGATCTCAGGGCTCCTCAGCGGGACTTTTTGTTCGTTGTGCTGGTTGCCGGTGAGCCCGACAGCTCGGATGAGAACGTGAGCTTGCGCTGTTGGCCCACGGTGCAGCCTATCACAGCCTCGCCCCAGACACAACTGGCAAAAGCCGCCCACTCGGTGCGATCAGCGCTGAGGCCAAAGCACCTCGCCACGTCTGGGCCTCTCACTGCCCTCCTTCTCCTCTTTCTGCTCCTCCTGACGATGGGTCGCCGGGGAGAGCACACGGCAACCAGGCAAACCCGGCCCGCCGCACTCCCACCTCACGTCCGGCACTAGTTACCAATTCGATGCGTCTTTTAGCCCCGGACCAGAAGGGTTCCACGATTTATCTCGTTTTTCTATTCTTGTCCGCTTTGACAACTTCGGGTATCTCTTCTCTGGGTCGTAAGCGCGTGCCGCGGCGTCGATCCACTTATGTTATCGCACGTTTGGCCTACCCGAGCTGGCGCCGTAATATGACGTGCCACCATCCCATCCGCATGCATGCAATGCATGCTTGCTTGCTTGCTTTGCTTGCCATCTCTCTCGTACTGCTCAAGATGGCCTCACAGTTGTAACCCAGACGTACCAGGGAAAGAAACCTGGCCCGCCCTCAGCGTTGATTGCGGGGGACTGCATGTCCGCTTATGGCGAAACCCAGTGATCTGGTCCACGATCGGATGGCCACTCTCATTGGTATGACCGAGGACGGACGGGCCAACCGCTTGACCAGACCTCGCCGTAGACGATGTAAACGGGTCCAGGGCATGGTAGTTTTCGACTCGTGCCACGTCGCCGCCATTTCGTTGTCCACCTGTCTTGCATATGAAGAGAGCCGGCAAATCCCAGGGCATGCGTAGCCGCTGATCCCAAGTTACGTCCTGTCTCTTACGAGGAGAGCAGTATGCTATTGAGATGCGTGCGTGGGTGTACTACCTGAAACTTCCCAGGCAAACCCGTGCCGGAACTGCTTCCTTCTCGCAGCCTCGTAAATTATACGCCCTCTCGGGACCGCAATTTCATTTTGATGAATTTGCGGGAATGCCAGTCTCGGCATGCCCTGCCCGTATCCTCCCCTACCGTAATTACTGTACTATATAAGGTCTCACGCAGGTTGGCCTGGCTGCGTGGCTGGTTACGCAAAAGCTCCTCCCCCGCAGCCATTCCAGTCTGCCGTGCAACGATGGGACGCCTCGACAACCCGTTCGGTTGGTGTTGCATTTTTTGACGGATCTTTCCCACGTCAGATGGGGGCGCCAAACGGACACCGAAATGAGGGGCATGCTTTTCCCTGTGCTCCATGCCACACTTTACTACAATGGTATACGCATAACTCAACTCATGGCACAGCACAGCAGCCCCTCGCCAGCGGCTGCCCACATGAAAAGCTGCGTCTCACAGGACAGGTCTTGCCGACGACGTGCAGAATTGACTTGGTCCTAGGAGCCAATGCATGTCTTTGACTTATATGTGGTTGAAAACAAGCACAAACACATGAGATCAGCGGCTGAGCTTGAGACGGAGGATGAATCATCCGACCAAGCCCCTGCCAACCTGCATCTTCTAGTGGACGGGTTCTTGAACCTGACTTCATTCCGAGCTGCCTTGAAAGATGAAAGGTACAGGCGGACAAATGTCATCCACGCGTTTGAGCATTTTTGCTCGGGCAGGTCTGATAAAAAAGAAGACGGATTCTCGGGGAAATAATGGCGTTACGCCTGGCTGTCAGCTTGGTAGCCCCTGCTGTCAATACATGCAGGTTAGAGATGCAGGTCTAGCAGATCTAAGCCGCCTTCAGAAAAAAAAGTGGAAGAAGAATTAAAATCACGTCTCCCCCTCTCAAAGGGATGAGACAAGGCTGCCTCTTTATTTACTATTGTGCCATAGTGGTAGCTGAGGTCAGGTCACACCCGTGAGAACAGCATTTCCTCAGGTCTTCAGCTGTACTAGCGACCTACAATATTCTGGAGCATCTCTTCTTTTCATGAGTCACATTGAAATACAAGAGTCAGTGGCTTGATTTGGGAATGAAGATCCCACAACTGTTTCGTCATCTTGATCCTGATTTGGGAAACAATGTGGCGAGGTCTTTTATGAAGGCAGAACTTCGCCTCTTTCGGCAATGGAGAGACTTTCTTGAGAGGAACAAATAAGATAGGTGCTTAGGTGATCGGCCGATAACCCTTTATCAAGTAGCCTTTCAGGTCCACACGAGAGTGACCTTGAATTACAGGGGACTTCAAGCACCTGGGACCCACGGTAAAAATACCCTCAGGGTACCCTTCCAGAACACTAACATATGTGTATGACAGATGAATCAGTGCAGGACCATCCAGATATTTGCCATTGCAAGCGTCTTTGCTCAAGCTCTGACTACGGAAACTCTGCTCCACGCACACACACACACACAAGAATTTGTATCCACCGTTGATCCTTGCCTTGTTCGTGGAATCTACCTTGGTAACCTGGAGTCCAGGCCTTTCCGTAGCACCCGCTAGAGCCAACGGTATACTTACTATGGCTACCATGTTTGATGTGGTTCTACTTGTCCCACCGGCTCAAAACGCAATAGGTGATCAGAGGTAGTCTGATGATCCTGTTCCTCGTTCTTTATAATCCGATGAGTCTGTATGTACTACACCGGCTCAGCGCTGCATCAACAATTGTCCTACCTACCAAATAAGTACTTAGGTACATGGATTCCACCTAAAGTAGTACATACGTCTTATGATGGCAGTGGTTATGTGGACATGCTAGGGATCGGCTTCTAGACCGACCGTTGAGAGTCTAACAACTACCCGAGACCATGGTCTATGGTTTTACACTACGAGTCCATTGATATGCTCGGTCTAAATATATGAAATCATTCTTGATACACTAATACAAAACCATAGAAGCATGACAAATCTGAGGAATCTATTTCCTGCAGAGCATACGTCAGCCACTAGTGATGCAGTCAGGATTCATCTTCTCTGAAGCAGGGTATAGGTAGTACTTGGTAATTATGTAATTCATGCTCTGTTGTAATTATTTTGGATATATCTTGGTAAGCTCTTGTTGAGTGAGTCCCTGTAATAAAAACATCAGCACCCTCAGAAATTCCAAGAAGCCAGCCGACCTTTAAAAGTGAGCGAGCGCAAAACGTTGGGGCTTTTTTTTCATCAACCCAAATACCATGCCTTTGAAGGAGTCTCAAATATGAGTCCCTCAAATTATACCATGGGCAAAACACACACACACACACAATGTATAGAGAGTCGTCCTGAATGTCAGCTAATCTTGCTCATCCACTAGACATGACAAATATCTTGAGTTGAGCCCAACAGTCATGCTATATGATTGAGGTAGTAATAATGAGACAAGTCCATTTCTCTGACTGTGCAGTTCAAGGAGTGACGTTTAGAGGTCCGAATTGTCATTCCAGACACGGGAACGTGTAGTTGTATATTGTTATGCAGAAATCCTGAGTTCATAATATTAGGAAATACGTGTGACGAATGCAATTTTGGTAACAGACTTCTTTTTCACTCAAAACCCATCACGTCTCCCGCTTTCTCACCTTCCAAAGTCTCTTTCTCTTATTGGTGAGGTTTGCATCCAACTCAGGCTCCTGTCATGAAGAGAGATTGCAATCTTGTCAGTAGAAGAAAGATTCCCTCTTCACTTTCTCAACATGAGTCACTCTCACGTGCATCAATTGCCTATATAAACCTCCTATAAATCCTATTGCTCTTCCCAAACTTCTAATCTCCATCGACAACTCCCCGAAGATCAACTGCCAGGCTCTTTTGTTCTCCCGGAACACCTTATATCCGTCACATCTGGAAGTCAACCAGACTTGCTAATATGTACAGGTGATCTGGCTCTTCATACAGCGCTATTCTAGAAGCGAAATGCTGAAACAGACTATTGGAGAGACTAATGTCTGGTGAGCGTCTGTTTACCTAGAGCAAGCAACATCCTCAAGATGCCTCTCCCTACCAAATCTGCTGCTGATGAGAAAATGCTACATCAAGGGTTTCGGGCTACAATGAGAATCAATAGCCTCAGCAAATACGAAACGCTATGTTAAGTAGCGCTTCTTATTAGGGGTCCAGAGCAAAGTCGTTGATGCCAAGCTCATGTCCGCTGCTACCACCACTGTCGCATGCTAGCTATATTCTCAACCCCTCACGAGACTTGCAACAATCTCGAGTCGATGCTATATTATGCTATGATTCATCACTCTCTATCTTTGAGGTATGAACCATGTTGTCGACCTTGTCTAGCTCTGCTACCAGAGGGCACATCAATAGCACCACCTCCAATGCAGCTTTACCAACTTTCTGTACTTATTCAAGCAGCGCTTTATGAGCAGATATTCTCATGCTATGGGATGTAAGTATAGATCTAGCGGCTAAATTGGCATATCTGACATTGCTAGCTGACTTCTCTCTTCCTTTGCTCTGCAAACAGCATAATTATACGTCATCCCCTACAATCTGGGACTGGGAATACATCCCCTTGGCCTTTGTTTGGACTATGCAACTTGGATAATTGTAGCATCGAATCAGAGACACCCTGATCATCAGCATTGCCAGACCGAAGCCACTCGCCTTATCGCTGCTATCGCTGCTATCACTGCTACTCAGGTGTTCTGTGAGTAGCTGTGGAATATTACATCAAGGCATGCAGTCTCACAAACATGTCACTTTTAATGTCATGACAGAGGGCTGTGTTGGGCAGTATGTGGATAGAGACTTCAAAGAAACTGCTGCCCATGAACAACTAGACTCCTTTGCTCTGCCTTCATCAATACGAATTCAGCCCCCTTTTTCACCTGCTAAGCATTGTCCCTCTCCTCAGCTGTAAGTATCTTCCTGTTCCTCGAGTATTGATCATCAGTCTAGTCCTAAGTTACCATTTACAATCCTCCATCAGCACCAGCAAGGTTGTCGTGTTCATTTCAAGACCTCTTTACTGACAACCGAGTAGGTGATCAAAGCTGTGTCTAGTGCTATCAATTCAGCTTCTGCTAGATGGCAGAACACCTGACTTGCTGGGCATAGTGAGCAACTACATAACTGCTTGCAGTGCTTGCTTATGTTCATTCTGCTATTGTTTATTCAGTTGCCAGCTATACCTCACTAATCCTGAACTCTACGGCATCCGTCAGCCAGAGCTTGTGGGCGCTCGGTTATGATCATCTCCTTCAGCCTGAACCACGGCTGCTGGACGAGGAACAACGGCCACCTGGGCAGCTAATTTCTCGCTCAACTTCAAAAGGCTGTGATTGAGTCTTGCAAAATGCAAGAAACATCAGCACCCCGGCTTCATCGAGATTGCTATGGGATTTTTCTATCTGTGCTAGGGCTGTGGTTGTGGTACTTGGTGCCCCGATGTACATGCTCGCTATACAGTGGCGCATGAGATTTGAGCAAACAATACCCTTCTAAGGGGAAGGCCAAAGAGAACCACTTTGCTGTGCTATTCAGAGGTGAGCAACTTGTCCTATTCGTGTGGATGATCCACTAAACTGTAATTGCTGACCATGAACATTGTCGACTTATGCAGATATTCGAGCGACACGCTTCGCGATCGACGTTTTCGAAAAACTATGGCTGGCCGGAATCGGTACTCTTATGTGAAACCAGTGAGGAAGGCAATAGCAATCTCCGCGTCGCGCCTGCCAATCCGCACCGGATCCTCCAGGCAGTCACTTGTCCGGTGCTGCATCTTCAAACGAGTAGCTGGACAGCCGAGTGGTCCATCGCGCCAAGCAAGTATCAAGGGCACGTGTACGAAGCACAGGCACAAGCGCGGTGGGAAGCAGTAGCACGGTGTGAAGCAGCACCACTTGTCGCAGAGGTCAGATGGCTGACCCGCTCGTCCTGTTTGACATCGATCACGAGAGTTAAGGTCAAAGCCGCACCGAGGCACTATTTCTGCAGCTCACAGTCTCTCCCTGACCAGACCAAGAACCTCATGCTTGGCCTGAATAATGGCAGACAGGCTGTACTACGAGTGCAAGACCCCAGCCCATGGACTTCCACGCTTCTGGCAGCATCAACAGTAGACAGCCGTTTGCGTGGCAGGACCGAACATACCCTTCAGTACGCTGCACTATTAGAAGGTCTCTCTCGAAGTGCTGTACGAAAATCAAGGGCTAGATATGTGGGCGTATGCTGGCAAGCCTGCCCACGATATTTGGTACCCCACTAGTTCTCCCTCAGCAGCACCGACATATAACCGTTCCGTCGGGCTGGGTGAGACGAAGTTGATGGGCAGGAAAGCCTTCACCAAGAGCTTCGCAGCGGACGCAGCGCAACAAGCGATGCCAATTCCGAAGGCAATCCGAATGAGGGGAAATGCGACTGAAATATACCGCTGTATCTCTATCGTTTCAAGGTGGAGACCAAGAACACAACCTATCGCCTCGGCTGTCACTTCTTTTACACTATTGCCATACGCCCAGTATCCGTCAGGGCTCAAGATAGTGACGCCTTCTACAACACGCCTGTCGTGGCGCCGTATCCCTGTGCCTCATCTGTCGGCTGTCCTCTGATAATCAAGGACCTTCCGAAATGACCACTATATTCGAGGTGCTCCCTGCTATCTGGCATGCTCTCGGGGAATTTGTTCAAAAGTCTTTGCTACGGCCTGGACAACTTCAAACGGATTGTATGGATATTGCCCAAGCAGGCCTGGCGTTGCTGGGTCAGAATCAGGATCACCAGTGCGCTCCTGAGAATCCCAATTACCCAGCAGTTATGAGGAACGTATAGCCAGCCCTGCCAGTCACCCAGGCAGTATACGATCCATATACTCCATTTTCTCTGACGAGACATCATGGCAATGGAATTTATGTACTCACCAGGGCTCTTCCATTCATCCTACAATTTATTCGGCCAGTTTGAAGCAAGGCAGGGGCAGTATTTTACAACTATTCCAAAGAAAAAGATACACTATTGCCCAGAGACATCTCCAGCCCTCATCTCGCCTTCACCTGGGGAAATTCTCAAGATATCTACTCCATCCAGCCTTTCCCTTTGAAGAGAAGCTCCTTTCTTACCAGGGCGACCTTGTGGGATCATCAGCACTGAATCTGCCAATGAGATCCAGCTCATAAACTCGACCTTGTCGCCCAACCCACCTACCCGTGGGCGGGGTTAAGCTGGAGGTAGACACGACTGACGCTGGCCCCTCTCAACTTTCCTTCTGAACTCCATCTATGGTACTATCGTCCGGGGCCTCGAGATTGTCCCACAGCCTCAGCAAGTTTGAGAGCAGTGCGACGGCAGCGTTGTATCTCTGCATTATTCAGCCTTGTTCCGGAATAGGGGCACTTTTATCACCAGATACAACCAAATCACAGACCAGAAAGCTCTATCTGTTTCATTGGGCTCTCGAATTTATTAAGCCCATATGCATATCAGGGGAGGAGCATTACAGAGAAGAAGCATTACAGAGAAGAAGCATAACAGAAAGAATTGGAAATTAGTTTCATCACACTCGTTCCTGAGGACAACAAGTAGTATCTTGTCCTTCATGCCAGTGTGACCTGTATCATTTCATTGCACATAGCCCCCACCAAGACGAACTGCGCCCTCCAAGCCATACACGAGCTCAAGCCAGGCACGTTGGGTCCTTGTGTCAACAAGACACTATTTATAATCAAAAACACTAGGAGCGCAACATCTGTGGCAGTCTCCCAAGGAGGACCACTGGTGAAAACGAGTAATGAAACTAGCCGTGGACGACTTGCTGTGCTGTGTCGTGATTATGATCTGAGGCTCCGGCAGATTACCGTTTTTCTTCTTGGTGCCTCAGCATCATCGCCCTGCAATTTCGTGTCAAGACAAAAGGGGCTCTTTGGATCTATTCCCGAGACATTTTCTGTTAGATTCCGTTCCTTTGTTATCTGTCACTTTGAGTGGGCCGACATGATTGGGTTTCAAGCCGGCCTGGCGACACAAGAGTAGGGATACCCAGCATGAACATGTTTGTGATGTGAAAGCGCTTTCATGGTAATTAATTTCAAGACATCTATTCCTAGTCAAATGCAGAAGTTGTGGGGATTATGACATCCATGCATGCAGGCATGCATAGATGGCCTCCAGTAGAGCAGTCAAAAATCCCCAGAGCCATTCTCAGTCATCTACCTGCCTTTGCATGTCCCTTATCTAGGTCCTAAGCAGCTAGTACGAGCCCTTTGCCCTTTCATACCGTCGTCTCTCATCTGACAAGAATAATTTACCATATCCCCATTCCCCATCATCAACCAAACGTATCACTCATATCGTATCATTATGCCCTCGTTCGCGCCCCAAATCCGGGCTACTATTTCCTTAGCAAACTACAAACAAGGTCTCATCTCTTCACCTGGACACATGAAACTTGGCTACCTTGTCTGGCATGCGTGTGATGCAAAGCTCACGGCAGAACTGGCCCCACTCGCCTGACGTGCCATCCTCTACGGCCTCCATCATGTCCTTGCCGTATCTCTCCTGGTAGGCCCTCTTCACGGCGGTCATGTGTGTCCCATCCCAGTGGTAGCGCACCAGGCGCGAGGTCAGCAGCTCGCGACGGAGGGCGTCCTTCTTGGAGGCCGTGAGTGCGTGGTGGACAAGCAGTGCATCGCGGACGGGCTTGTTGATGACCCCGTTGAGGATGTGTGCTAGCAGTTCGCCCTGTGCCGAAAGAGAAAAAAAAGGAGAATGTGTTAGCCTCTATCTTCTCTTGGTGCGTGTGCGGCCTGCTATAGAGAGTCTCGGGGAACGTACCACCAGGTTTCCACTCTTTCGCAGGGCATCTCTCGCAAAGTTGGACCTGTACTTGTCGTTATAGACCCGCAGGACCTCCCTCAGGTGGCTATCGCTCCTCTTGACGACAATGTTGATCATGGCGGACTCGCCACCCTTCTCTGCCTTGACAGCGCTGCGCAGGTCGTCGGCGTCGTCCTCGACGAGGTACTGGTCGATGGGCAGGGGGCGGCCGTACTTGTCGAGATCGTCCATGCGGTCCTCCTCGAGGACCAGCAGCACGGCCTTCTTGAACTTGTCCTCCTTGAGCTCGTGCCTCATGCAACGCGTCAGGCTGTTGTCGTAGGTCTTGTCGCTAAAGGCCTGGCGGATCTCGTGGATCTCTTCGTTGGTGCGGCCCATCAGGCTCTCGATCAGCAGCTCACGACGGGTCTTGTCGCCCTGGTACCAGAAGCTGGACCAGTAGGCCTCGCTCTCCCACCTGCCGAGGGCGGTGGCGTAGCAGGCCTTCATGAGGGAAGGGTCCTCGTCCTTGAGCCGCACGCGGATGTGCTTGGCGATGTTGACGCCCTTCTTCTCGGGGCCCGTCTTGACGAGCCGCTTGTACTCGGCCCGCAGGTCCATGATCTGGTCGTGCGTCAGGCCCGGCAGGATCTCGACCAGCGGCTCAGTGCGTGGCGCCTTGCTCCCCTTGAGCGCGTCGGCGAGCCTCTGGGCGTCATCCTCCGGGTCGGCGAATCGCGCCCGCCGGCTGCGCTTCTTGCCGCCGGCCTCGTCGTCCGAGTTGAGAGGCGAGACGTCTGCGATGTGGGGTACGCCGCCGCCGCCGCCGCCGCCGTGGTGGTGCGTAGGCAGGAGCAAGGGCGAGGGCATGGGCGACATGGACTGGTAGGTTCCGTGGTACGACTCCAGGAGGGGAGACGGCGGTGCGGCGGAGAGGCTGCTGGCGTTGAAGGCGGTGTTGACGGAGAGCGACGACATCTTGGCCACGGGCGGCTGAGGCGACGAGTTGCGCTTCATGGCGCTCTTGCGGGGCGCCGCGTCGCCCGTGGGATCGGCAGTCAGCGAGTCGCGATGGGCGTGATGGTGCTTCCTGCTGCTGCTGTTGTTGTCACGCCCGTCCGTGGAGTGGTCCCTGGCGCCGGTGCTCCTGCTCCTGCTCCTACCCCGGCCACCAGAGCGGCCATCCCCTGCGCTGAGAAGGTCGGCACTGCGCCTGGGATCGGCGAGATACGAGTCTCTGTGCTTACGCTGCTGCTCATGGGTGTGGGCGTGGTCGTCACGGTCATAGGGCGGCGAGGTGGGCGGCGGCGGCGGGATCTTGCCGTAGGCGAGGTCCTCCTCGAGCTTCTCCTTCTTCTCAGCGCGGCGGTCGCGTGACCTCTCGCGCGACCGGTCGGAGAGGGGGGCAGTCATGAGATTGTACGTGTCTGAGTTCTCAAGCTTCTTGGCGTACTTTTGGGGTAGGAAGGCGTCTGCCAGGCCCAGGCCCGTCCTTGCGTTGTCTCTCTCTCGCTCCCTTTCTCTGTCCGAGTCGGAGTGCCTCTCCCGCGGGCTATCGCGCCTGTAGTCTCTCAAATCTCCATAAGAAGAGCGTGCGCCGTTCTCCACGGCTGGGCTCCTGGGACGGTGGTAATAGTCATCGTCAGGCGAGGCAGGTGTCCTGTATGACGACGAGTGCCGGTCTCCATAGTCGTAGGACCTGTCCCTGTCCCTGCCGTTGTCATATGCAGGGTCGACGTCGACGACAACAGGCACGCCACGGCTCCGGCTGCGGTCACGATCACGGCCACCTGGGGACCGAGACCGGCCACGCCGATGACCCTCGACCTGGAGGGACATGAATAATAATAAGGATGAATGCTGCTAGGTTCTCAGACAAGGAAGGGCAGCGCTGGGCAGCCAAGGAACTGTGCTTCGAGACGAACAAGTCCACACCCACAACACACGACGCGCACGCACACAGAATAATAACCGCAGCACACCCACAAACACACCCACACACAAGACTGCGGGGTAGCGCCCTGTCGTCTGGGGATCGGCGTCTCGTGACAAGGGGGGGAGCGGGAGGGAGGGAGGCTGGAGAGAGCTTTCGAGTATGGGATGAGGGATGTGAGTCGAAAGACAGCCGTCTGTTTGTGTGTCTCTCTCTCTCACTCTCTCTCTGTGGGTGTGTCTGGTGAGTGGATCGAACCCACAACAAGAGACACAGTGCTCGACTATATATGTGTGAGGGGAGAGGGAAAGTAAGTATTACAGACAACATACGCGAGTCGAGATGGGAAAGGGAGGGATGTTGGCACAAGGAAGGAAGCACTAGGGATGATCATCAGCTAATGCCAGCCACACAGCAAACAAGCAGCAGTCACTGCCCTTCAGGCTTCAGGGCTGTGACCACTACTGACCACTAAATATCACTGCAATACTATGCGCTTTACCCTGCCCGCTGGCTGTTCTGCCCTCAGCCCTGTCCCAGCTTTATCTTGCTTTTTCTCTTTCTCTCTTTTTCCTTTTCGTTTCCCTTCCCCCATCCTTTTATTCTTTTTCTTCTCTTCTTTTGCTTACAGCGCATTGCCACGCATACATGCATGCAAGAGAAGAAGAGAAGCCCCCAGCAAGACCCAAGCATAGTCCAGTAGTAAAGCGCCTAGAAACGGAGCCCTTTACCCCTCTCTCTTACCAGCCCACCAACTACAGCCCAAGGCCCCACTATTATCACCTCCGTTGGTCTGCAGCTACAGGGGGCGATGGCCGCATTCCTTCTGTACCTGGTCAAGGTTATCATCCTTCCTCGCCATCAGCTAGCGCTCCAGGGTGAGGTGGGACCAGCAGGTTGCAATCGAAAGCTGCTTGTCTTCAGCTGCAGTGCGACACCGTCAAACAATTTTTTATTACTATTACAGCACACATGCACGTGTGTACAGATGGAGTTGCCCTAATTTGAGAATCAGCTTGCCGTCAGTAACACCACCAGCATGCGAATTCATCCAAATATCTCTCAGAAAATTGCTACGAGGAGGCCTCATCTCTCTCTCCCTTCGATCGGGGCTCGCAGTGTTGGAGGAGCGGCAGGGCGCGCATAGTGGTTGATGCATCTGGCAAATCCTTCCTCCCTCGCTCCCCTCCCGCCCTCATTTCTTACTTCTATTTGTACACCTGAACCAGCTGATGATTACTATGATTTTCCCATTGAGACGGATCTGTAGACGAGCTGCCTCTCTGATCCGCGATGTAACCACCTGATACTTTCACGGTGCAGACGCAATATGCCGCCGCGCCCTCAAAAGCGGGCTAACACAATGCACGTCAACGCCATTTCCCCACAGGCTCAGCCTCGTTCCACAGCAAAAGACTTTTCTACGGTACAGTACAACCTTGAGAAGAACGAGAAGGTAATAAAAGCGGGAAAAATCCAAGAAACAAAAGGATAAAGTTGCCCTCCGGGGCAGTGAATGCTGCGTGATAGGAAGCATCTCGTACTACAAATGGCGTCGGCATATCCGGACCAACTTAAGCACCTGTGGCAGTGCACACACGCGCGCGCGACAGAGAAAGAGGCAGAGAGAGTTTACTTTGTCCTCGGCTTGGACAACATGACCAAGTCGCACGCAGGCGAGCAGCCATGGCAGTGAGGCGAAGAAACCAACAAGTCCTTTCGTGATTCTTTTGCCATGCCGTATGGTCGAGGGCCCCCCCTCCCCCCTCCTTCTGTCAGACACAATATGACAGAATGGCATTGTCTTGTGTGTGTAAGGATCGACACGGGAGAGAGTCTTTGGTGAATTAGCTCCTGCCTGGTACTCATGGCCGGAGGAGCCGTTGCTGACAGCTTGGCCGTCACAATGCGGCTCTGCAGCGGCACATAGCTCCACATACGATTGATGACAGGAATGTGCATTGATTCCATCAGCCTGTCTTTGACGGAGCGAACGCCAAACTCAGGATATTCATACTCTTGCCTCTTTGGGGCTGGCTGGCTGTCAGTCCATGCGAGGGCCTTCCTCGGGATTTGCCTACTTGTTCTTATAGAAGCTGTCAGACATCTTTCTTTCCCAGTAGCTAATGTCCTCGAGGTGTCAGAAAGGCCACTTGACAGGAAGTGAGGCGAACTCGGTAGACGTTGACACTTGATGCCTCCCAACGTTTTGTTTTCCTTCTCGTTCCTTTTTTCTTCTTTCTTCCTTCACCTTCTTATCCATTTTCTGTCGAGCATGATCGATACTGTATAGAAGCGCAGGTAATGTCACGCTTCGTTTGTGATTTGATCTGGCACCGTGGTGCGAATTGTGGGGTGGCGTCGTAAGTGGTTGGGTGTGCATTACTGTGCTCTTGCTGGCTACAACCATTTCAGGGTTCTTGATCCGAGTCCACAACCCCTGCCCGAACACCTCCTACTCGGCTTGGCAGAACAATGCTCGTGTGGTTGACAGTTGCCAATCTCGACTCAATAGTATCATCTATCTTGACCATCCATGCGCGAGCCAGCGCGGCTAAAAGTACCAGGGAATCCTACTGTTGTTTACGTGTGCGTGTGTGTGTGTGTGTGTGTGTGTGTTGCGTGAACGTTTCCAGGAGACAGCCAGCCCTAGCGGCGACCTCGACTGTTTCAGTATCTTCCCGGGGTCTCGCGAGCCAGAAACGAGTACAACTCGAGAGAAGACCTTTTTTCTTCTCCCTCCCTCCTCCATCTGAAACATACCTTCGAAATGTTGAAGCTTCCTTACCAGGCGGGTAGCAGTGTCTGGCAGTGAAAGCCCCTGGTGGCATGTGTAGCGGCAAGATTGGAAACGTCCGCGTTCAGATGATACACAATATGTTTAGATGACGTTGCACGGGCTCCCTGCGGAAATCACCTACTACTCTCTTGTATTATATACCAAGCAGATATTGCCCTTAGGATCCTTACAAACGAGGATGGCACGATAGTCATCTGTTGCCAACAACCACCAAAGGAAAAGAAGAAGAAATCAAGACGTCTCCTTCAATATACTTTCATCCCGAAAATTAACCTGGAAGGTGTCCCCCGGCCAAGTGCACCTTACAATTTGATCATCTACCAAGAAAGCCAACAATCAAGACAACAACAAAACAAGATCGCCTAGTCAAACAAAACGTGCGGGTCTTTTGGCTTGGGGGTTTTCCCCAGGATTGTCCACCTTGGAGCTCTTTACAAACAATATCATCATCTTCGATCGGCCAACCCTAGACCGACAACCACTCCTTCATCGCGGGCATCCCCCAAACACACAAAAAGTCGGAGTTCCTCATCATCGACAAGAAGATGGACCAGTCCGACAGGGCAGCAGTGATCGTCTGCCTGGGCCCGCACCCGCAGTCCCTGGACAAGACCATGCAGAGCCTCGTGGTGTGCTCGGGCATCCTCGACTACTTCCGCGCGACCCAGGGCCGCGGCTACATCATGACCATCAACTTCTCGGGCACGAGGCTGCTGCAGGCCCGCGACCCAGACGAGGCCCAGGCCTGCCTGCGCGAGGACTGCCGCGACTGGAGCGCCATCCTGGCCCGCGCCGCCGAGCGCGCCCGCGCCGACGCCCCCGAGACCTGCCGCCACGTCGAGGTTGTCCTGGTCGGCACCAACGACTGCCCCGCCGGCGCCGCCGACCTGGACACGCTGTGCCGCCAGCTCAAGGCGCAGGGCATCCGCGTCAACGCCGTCGTCGTCGAGCCCGAGTCCCCCACCAGCGGCCGCACGCGCTCGTCGTTTGTCCCGGGCCTGGCGGGCGGCTGGATCGTGCTCGACGACGGCCCCGCGGGCGAGGCTCGCAGGCGCCAGACCGGACCGAACTGGGGCATGGTGCAGATCGCCCGCGGGACGGGGGGCCTGACGCTGATGCCAAATGCCGAGGGGAAGCTCGCCATCTACCAGCTCTTTACCGAGATCTTTCGGCGCTGGGGCGAACAGTACTGGAGCATGGCTGCTGCCCACAAGGCGAAGACGTCGCAAGTTGTCACGAGGGATAATACAGTCGGGCTGTCGTCATGAGGGGCCTCTTGTCAGGGCTGGCTGGTAGGACTAGAGTTTGGGAGCGGTAGGGCGAGGCTGTGACGGGGCAAAGAGTCACAAATTCGAGTGCGAAGAGAAACGAAGATATAAGGGGGGAATTAATGGTGTGGAACAAGGCAGACTTTGAGCTGACAGTGTGTCTCCTGGACTGCGTAGGAGGTCGAGTCTCTTTTCTTCTCCTGTCAGGACGATGGCGGGGAGTAATAGAGACGTTCATGATGTAATGATGATGATGAGGAGTCGGAGGGGGAGGAAGACATATATTGATATACACCTTTTTGTATGATAAGTTTCGATTCATGAGAGAAGCCTTTTTTTTTTTTTTTTTTGGTCGTGGTACGCATCCATCATCACACTCTCTGCGAGCCACTCACGGCCACCACGCGAAGCCTCATTGCCAGTTCTCGCCTCTGTGCCATCCGTCGACGGTAAGCCCTGCGCTTCTGACATCTCCAGATCGACACAGCAACCGTCAATAAGAACCAGGCGCCGATTGCTAGCCCTATGGCCATCCGCCTCCCGCGCGAGAGATCGGCCGTGAGAGACTTGTTGGCGATGCGGATCAGTATAGCGCGCGTAATGCCCGGGGTGATGCGGGTGTGAAGGTCCTTGGGTGCCATTATTCTTCTCTTGTGAGTTGGACGGGCACGCCAATGTTGGTCTGTGAAGCAAACCGAGGTCAAAAGTCTGTCGTGGGCTTCAAGGCGGTGCTTGGCACTGGCTGAGATGGGCAGAGACAAGCAGAACAAGCAACGTTAATTCGCATGAGCAAAGTTCGAGTTGCCAAGTCCTTGCGCCGCAGCAAGGCTTGCTTGGGACCTGGAATATACATATATATATATATATATATATCTATATGCAAAGGAGTGACTACTGATTCTTGGCTTCTTATCAATTTTTCCACTTGACCTTACTTCCCTGCCCTGCATTTCTATTCCATTCTTACGCTGGTCCCGATAAACCTGGCTGTCAGCAGGGTAAGCAATGGTCCCAGAGTCCATTCTCCGTTTGGCTTGGCGGTATGCCCTTGTTCATGTAGTTGACCAGGCTGTAACCACCATATGGGAAAGAGGAGAGGAGGGGGGGGGGGGGGGGCGGGGTTGGGAGACCCAGAGTGCAAGCCTTGAAGGGAAGGAAAGGGAATCTTGTCGCACACATGAAAAGTGGTTTCTGCAGGCTGTGAGCTGGACATACCCGGGAAGTCTGAAGCGATGTGGACGACAAGAGAAACTTACATTTTGAGTCTCCAGTTGAAAAGTAGCATTTACATATTATACATCTATCCTGTTGAAAACTTATCCAAAAACGAAGCTCTTGTCAATCACCATCCCAGTGCCTCCTACTGATAATAATCGGCCTCGCAGGATCCCACGGTCCATAGATTTCGTTCTTGTATTTCTGCAACCCAATCAACCACCAGCTGCACCCGCCCATAGCGACCGCAGAAATCAGACAGCCTACGACCATACCCAACAGACCGCTTTTCCACGGCCAAGGGGCGGCCCCGCAGGCAGCAGGCGTCTCGCAGTCTGCTGCGCCGAGGATCATGCCCACGCCGCCGCCAGCACCGAGAACGAGCAGCACTGTCAGGACGACGTGGTATCGCCAGGAGCGGTGGCGGGCGTAGCGTCTGAAGACGGGGAACAGCCCAAAGACCTCGATGGAGAAGAGCGTCAGGCTGAACACCTCCCCTGTGGAGGGCAGCCGGCTCGCGAGCACGGTAGATGCCATCAGTGCGGCATTGGTAGAAAGCGAGGCCACCGGGAACTTGTTTACGCCGACCCAGGTTCCCGAGTAGTCGAAAAAGAAGATGTTGATGGTAAGAAGCCAGAAGGACATGGCCCAGATGCTGTCGGAGGATGTGGACCTGGTCAGGGATTTGAGGATAGGAGAGAGACCCAGCAATGTAAAGTAGATGAGAATGGCAGACTTGATGGTGTTCATGCGGAGGTGGGCTCGGCCGCCTCGCAGAGGAGAAGAAGGCCTGTGTCGCGGTGGTGATAGACTGGACCGGTCGGTAGGTGAAGACGTGCGCCGCGATGTGGTACGTCCGGTATTTGTGCCGGCCATGCTTCCTTGGGATGCTGCAGATACAAGTGACGATGCTGACGTGGAATAGGGCCTAGAGGAGAGTACATGATTCGCGGCGCTGCTGGTGGCGCTCGACAGCTGTATATGGCTGCTGGCCGGCGGGCTGAGCAGGTTGGTGGTCGAGTTCTCGGCTGATGGCAAGGTAGACACGCTGCTGTTTGTTGCCGTCGTAGCTTGCGATGTCGGAACCAAGTCCTCTGTCTGTCCTCCGTTGCCACTGCCGCCCACTCCTGAGTTTCTCTTCTCGTCGTGTTGGAGCCGAGTCGACCGGCGGTATCGACTTGCGTTGATGGATCTCGTCCTATGCAGACCCTCGAGGTCGTCGTTCTCGGTCTCCTTGCCCACCCACCAGTCCCACAGAATCCAACCAGCGGATGTAGCGATGCTGCCCCAGCCGACAACGGCCACGGGGCTCACACGCTGCAGATGGATGCCTACGAAGCATACAACGAATATGATGACGGTGCAGACATGCTGGACGATAACCGTCGAGTCGGCAACCAGAGGCCAAAATTCGTAAGGCTTGAGCCGGGGATTGCGCTGGAGGTTCTCGAGGAATGTCGCTTGATCGGTAAAATTATCCGGGTCTACACGCGTGAGAGACAAGGTTTGTGTTAAATTCGCGATCAGTGAACTAAAAGAGTGGTCTTTTCTCCTGCAACCCCTTGACATGGCTCACATGACTGCTTCACCCATAGCAACTTCTTCCACGGCCTCTTTCTCCTTCGGCTTTGACTCCTGCTGCCGGGCTCCTTGCTGCGCATCCGCAGACGCCGCGAGACCACATGGCTGGTCCCATTCGAGGTCGACTCGAAACCATTCCATCGGGTTGGGGGTGACGCCGCGAGGAAGGCATCCTCTGGCGCAAGATGCGAGGGATCTGGACGCCCCGGCTGGACTTGCTGCTGCTGCTGCTGTGGTAGTGGTAGTAGTGGGCGACTACCTGTAGCAGCAATGGTCCGGGAGGGAGTCGGTGCTGTGACCGAACGGGCCAGAGGCGGTATACTATGGTCACCACCGGGCGCGGAGCTGAAGGTAGTAGAGGTCTGCAGCCCTGAAGAGGGTGCCATGGCGGCTATACAGGCACGCGTGATGACCCCATCCACAAGCGTACCGTTGGTAATGATGGGGGGGGGGGATGTATAAATTGTGTTGTTTTGGTGTTTCGTTGGAAGCTGATTCGGTAGCAAACTGACGTAGCGCGTATTTAGTAACTATGGTAGAGTGCCTAAGTTTAGCGATAGTGAAATTGGACCATTCACGCTGGGGCAGAAGCAATGTGAGCGATAAGAGAATCAGACGGCTGATAAGAAAACGTGGCGCAGGAGTACACATCTCAGCCGCATGCGCCACAGTTACACCCAAAAGCTCCCTGGTGGCTGGGGGTGTTGTACTACTTTTTCCTTTCCAGCCTCCGTCCTCTGGAATGTCTAAATCACGCTCTCCGTTTTCATGACCGCGTCCGACTCACGCAAACAGATTGGCACTTCAATTGCAACCGCCCCACCGTTCTTCTTGCCTGCTCGCACCCTCACGAAATCTACCTTGTCTGGTAAATGGGGCAAAGGGCGAGGCTCGCTCCGTCGCGAACAGGTGGTGGGTTTGGGTCCCTGTTCCAGCAGCTTCAGCATCATGCGACGACGAAACGTCTCATTTGTCAGGCCTGAGCATTTGTCCATAACGGGCCCCTTTTGGCCTTTTCAGCATTGCGCCGAAAGAGTTGAGACAATTCACTTGCATGTCTTGCCTTGGCACCTGTCATTTGCATACTTTGTACCATAGTTACAAAGGTGAAATTGTCTCATTGTTTTTACATGTACTATGATAGTATTGCAATCTGCCCCTCCAACCATCATCGCATGCAGACGGACATAGCACCTGGGAATATCCCTTCCCCCCGGATCAATCAATCGTCACGACCATGATCTAATGTGACTGGTTCCAAAACGGAGATCTTGTCATTTGGCAGTGCAGTGCAGGCGATCAAGAAGACACGGAACTCTGGACAGGACACATTGCAGGATGTGCTGGCGCCGCCACATCTCTTCAGCCTTGTGCTTTTTGAAGTGCAGGGCTTGGTCGATCAACCTGCTAGGTCTGGAACAGCCTCGAATAATGCATACTATTGGTAATCCGCACAAAAGGTTGTCTGCTTGCTGGAGGCCGGGGAAGGGGAGGCAGTGCTCTTCTAGCATGGGTTATTCATGTTCAGATGGAACTTGTCCCGTATTACTCTACACCCAAACCCGTGCTTGGCGTCGGACGGCGCAACATGAGGCGCCAAGGACAACATCCAAGCGGCCGATAGCTTGCTGGTAGACAGGTCCGGTCTGGCCAGAGTTACCAGAGGAGTCCTTGCTGCAGCTCAAGGGCGCGCATCCAGGTTGCTGCCGAAGCTCACGAGACTAACGCCCACCGGCCCACCCACAGCAGTAGCAGCAGTACTAGCATCGCATCGGGACCCGTTCCATTCGTACCATAGTAATGGTGGACTGTCTCCCGGTACTTGGTTCCCTCGCGACGACGCAGCGTTCTGGAACAAGCTGGCGCCAGCAAGTCAAGACGCTAGGGTGAGGATGTCCCACCGACGCTGCCCTGCCAAGCCCCGAAGCCAATGGGATCCATTCGAACCAGAATATTCTATAACCACCGACTTTCTTCTGCGCTGCATAATTGCTGGAGGGCATTCCGACCGGCTGTGTGGTGACAAGGAGGGGATGAACTTCGTAACAAATGTCGATCAGGCGAAACACCATCCCAAGGGGTATGGAGGAGGGATGTGGGAAATAACCAGCACTTCTTAGCTGACCGGCTTATATGCAGCACCATTTAAGCTTGAAGTTTAGCGTTTGGATAGCGTCGACAGGGGAGCAGTCAGTCAGTTAGTCAGTCAGTCCACTGCCTTTTTCTCTCTTCTTCCTCTGCAGTGCGGTCTAAGTAGCTAGGTAAAAGTGCACGTGCAGGTCGCCTTCAGCCCAATTGGACCCCCCCTCCACCAAGCAGATCCTTGTGCAGGTGGCCTCGACCCGGGGAAAGTCGAGACGGGTAACTAAGAAAAAGCGGCCCCTCGAGGTCCGCTGCCACCGTATAGTACGATCCTGGGGTTGCTGCCGCGCGCTGCTTTTGGACTACTGTTCAGCCACTTCACCTGACCCTCGCAAAAATCGTGTCCGGGTGTATGGATTCGGAACGCCTCGTTCGGGTTATCTTAGTGGTGGTGAAGCCCAGAAGTAATATAGTTTACTATTGAACAAAATCTAAAGGATCTCCCCTCCTCACCCTCGTCGTTACTCATCTGTTCCGTCACTGTTCATCCACTCTCGCTCTGTCTGTCTTGCGCCTGTCTCTCTGTCTCGTCTGTCCTGGCATTCGAACAAAAGAAAAAGGGTAACAATACGCACAGAATTTGCCCTTCACCCAATCTCTTGGCCATTCCTCAAGACAGGGCAAGTATAACCTGTGGACGCCCATCTCCCTTCCCTGAGGCCTTTCCCGTCCACCCCACGCAAAGCTGTTTCACCTGGCTCCGGGACCCCAGCACTTTTGTGACGCTTCACCGAAACTCAAAACCCATATCGAGCGAGATCAAAGCCTCTTTCTCCATCTCTCTTCGGAATCTTGCCGGGCGGCTGTCTGCCATCGCTTTCCTTCCTTGGCCACTTTTTTCGTCTCGTTTCTCCTCCTAGACTGAGGAACCCATCCCTGGGTCTCGTTCGATCTTGGGCGAAACAGGAGGTCCCCAGAAAGAAGAAAGGAGACGAAGAATAGGAAGCAACGGCAATTAACAAATACATAACTCGACTGGTTGGGCACGCCGTGGCATTTCTTCTTCGGACCTTTTTTGGATCGCAACACGCCGGCACGTCCAATTTGTCTTAGACAGGCTCAAGACATTACATTCATTCACCCCTCAGGAAGGAAGACCAAACACGTTTAATTCCCATAATCTATATCTCTTGGTGTTTTCATTCCCTTCAATACGGTCGGCACCACTTTTCAATTAATTATCCCGTCTATATTCTCGGCTTCCCCCCCCCCCCCGCCCCTCCTTCTCACTTTCTCGAAAGAAGAAAAAGACACGGAAAACAGACAGACAACCAGTTGCCCAACATGAAGGCCTGTCACCTCCTCAGCTCCCTCTATCTCACGCCGCTGGTACTGGCCGCACCAGTGGTCCATACATCGGTTCTCATTGCCGGAGCCGCAACTAGGACTGTCGTCCTCCGCACGGGTCCTGTTTCTCACACATCCCATTTCGACGGATCCTCGGCGCATATCATTGAAGATATGGACCCCAAAGCGCCAGAAGACGCATTATCATCATCACCGCCATTATCACCCTCGGCAGCGCTCGACTCGGAACGGCCCCTCACCACCGCAGAGCTCATGGCCCTCTCCAACCCAGCACCTATCATGTCGACGTCACCATCCAAGAAGGGCCCGGAGGAGAGGCCTCTAGCTACCAAGGGCTCGGCCCTCTCGGTCGGCGCCCTCGTCGCCCCAGGAACCCAACCAGGAGACCAGGCACAGGTCCACGACATGGACAATGTCAAGCCATTTCTCGTCCCGGGGTATTATGTTTCCTCGCAGCGTGCAGACGTGCTCGTGGTGGCCTTGATTTTAGTCTTCGTGCTGGTCGTTCTCGCGGTGGAGACCTCAAGCCTCGTGGTTGGGATGTAAGATCTCTCCCCCCCCCCCCAAACGAGACTCCTCTTCTGAAGAGACGATCGTGTTCATGTACTGACCTTTTTCTTTCATATAGTGTATCGAAAGTTTTTAGATGTGGAAAGCATAGACGGAGTCTGGAGGATAAGGAACGGGGGCCAGTGGTTGTTGGTCTGATGATGGACTGTGGGTTGGATGGCGACGATGAGGGTCTTGCGCCATTTGCAGGGTACAGGCTCCGCGATGAGCAGAGGAGCTTAAGGCTACCCGAGAAGCTGGACGAGAAGGCCGCCTTGGTATGATGGCACATCTTCTCTATGTGTCCATGACTGGATTGGGCGGTGTGCCCTTTCCTTTCTTTCCTTCTCGGATATTTTTTTTCTCTTTATAGCGAATGTTTATGATCTACTGCAATGACGGCACGTTGGATGCTTTCCCGCTCACCATTTTTAACTGCATCGCTACGGAAATCATCTGTGACAGCTGCTCTCGTGCAGGGAGCTATGTGGTGAATCCTTCCATATCGTGTCATCAACTCTAGCACCTTTTTATCTTTTTTTCGATCACTATCAAACGGTCTTGATAGAAGGGGAAATAGATGCACAAAGAGAGAGGCTCAGAGAGGGAGACAGGCAGAGATAGATGCGTTAGGTTGGCAGAGCCTAGCGCGTCCTCCATCTGAGGCCAACGATCAGTTCAGTCCGTTGCCTTTGGGAGCCAACCTGTCAGACTCGGGCCAGCTGAATGAGTCCTCGAGCACTGTGGTACACAACCGGCGTTTCCCTGCCCCTCACACATTCAGTTCTCCAGCCGTGCAGTATTGTCGTTCACATGGAATTGTGACGATTTGTCTCAAGAAACGTGTCAAGTTGAAGTGATACTTTGGCTCCCTTCTCCATATTACATCCAGGATCTTTCCTAGGCCTGCCTTTTGCATCACAGGTAGTGATTGATACTGTCTTTCTATCTCAGTATTACCCGCATACCACTCATCAAAAAGTGCCAACATTGTGCTGGTGGAAGATCTGAGGGATGAACAATTTTTCCTAAAATATGTAATTACAGAGAGCATGCTTCATCTACTTAGGGCACAGGTAAATGACCAATCACCTGGATGAGAGGAGCCTCCATGGGATGTAGTTATCAGCTTCATAACTCAGGAACAGAAGCTCCAGTTCCTTTGCAGGTTTCAAGATACATGAATACTGCAAAGAGAATGAAGCGTAAAACACGATCCTGTGTCGTGCCTTGGTGGTCACTTTACACTTTCTGCCTGAGCAGTTAGCCTAGGATAAGACTCCAAGATGTCTGCAGCTGCTATCAAGCATAGCAGCAAGATCCGTACCTTGAAAAATGAAGACATTCAGCATTGGAGACATTCAGCATAATGACAGGAGAAGATGGTCAACTGAAAAGGACATCATCACGCTATGAACGAGAAGATAATTACTGTTATAGCAGTGAGAGATATACAAGAAAAGTCCTGGAGGAAAAATGTGCCATTGATGTCTTTATTCTGCATGGGGAAAACACCTCTATAAAAGAGTCTATGCATCTAGCTGAAGTCTAACCAACATATCATCAATCTTTCTAAGTAAGATCTGATAGTTCTGGGCATCAAGATCAAACTCATCGTCTACCTCTTCGCCATCAAGAGTCCGAACAATGCCAGTCTGTGCAGCAGGTACTTGTTGTACTGTACTGTCTGATGCCAGAGTCGTCGTACCTTGGGCTGCCTTGGGATCAGCAGCAAGACCATTCTTTCCAACTTCATCAGGTCTTTCTTTATCCTCTGGCTCACCGTCAGACACCCAGTCGTCAAATCCAGTGTCTTCGAACCGTAGACGAAAACGCTCCGATAAGTAATACCGGATGTCGTCAAGCAGTTCGATGGTATCTGTTTCTTGCCTGTCCTTGACCCTTGAGGCGGACTCTTGGATGAGCTCTGCGAACTCTGGCTCATCAATATAGTCCTCCAGTCGATGTGCCAGATAGCGGGCGGCAAATTCCTCCAGACGCTGAACGCGGAGGTCCCAAGCCGCATGGATCACATCATAGATGTTAATAGGCTCTGTCTCGGTAGTATCTGCATCTGGATCATTGGTGTGGGTCCTGTCGACGAGGATATTCCGGGTCGCGCTGCCGAGGGTGCTGATGGCAACGGCCGCTCTGCTCTTCAATTTATCCATAAGGAGCATATCTGCGGTGTAGAGCAGCTCCAGCGCATGGTGTAGGGGACAGTCGGCTTTCTCTGTGTACATGAACTGAAGGACGATCTCCAGGACCTCAGGTATGCAATCGACCTTAACAATGTGCAGATACTCCGAGTCTTGGGCTTCGAGGAACTCGCTCGAGAACATGGTCTCGAAGTAAGGACTCCTGATGAGCATTGCCTTGTGCACAGGGTACACGACCGACTTTCTAGGCTTGAAGTTTCCGTTGATGGCTGACGTTTCGGCAGCACGCCCAATCAGGATAGCAGTAGCTCCATCGGGTGCTGCGGCCCGTGAGGCGGTCTCATTTTTGGATTCTTCTACCTCCTCATCCCACTCCTCCTCGTCATCCTCGTCGGCTCGTACGAGGCAGTCGGCGAATATCGAGTTTTCGGGCTTCCACTTAATCTTGTCGAGTTTATCCGTATCCACACGCATCTTGTGGCCCAAAACCTTGTTTTGAAAGAAGGCCTCGACTTGCGACTGGGCTCGCTCGACCTCGTCCTGGTGCCTCTGGCGGGCGAGTCTCCGGTCGTCCATAGAAAGTACGGCCTCCCACAGCTTCTCGACCTCGAGCTGCTTGCTGATCTTGTCGATCCCCTTGAACACCTGCTCTTCGGTCGTGGTGCTTCGCGCGTCCACCAGGTCTCTCGGCATCTCACCCAAGTAGAGATACCTGACCACCAGTCGGATCGCCTCGGCAGGCACGGCGCTGGACAGTTTCCAATGTGTCGTCTCGGGAGTGTCCTCAAGCTTCTGCCTGAAATACGGGGTTCTGGAGGACAGAAGGAATTTGTGTAGATGTAAGTCGTCAGATCCACAAGACAGGGTGATGTCTGATGTCTTGGGCGTATCTTTGGTCATTAGCGAGGTGATATGTGACGACCATGGTTGCAGCGGATCTGACGATTTGGCATAGTCATAAGATAAAAGCAGTTTCCGTATCCTGTCGTTCAGAGCGTTGTAGACTGCTCTCTCGCCCTGGAAGGTGTCCCTCTCTGCAAGTGCTCCTGTGCTGACGGTAAGTCTCCTTCCCAAGAAGGGATCTCGCCTGACCATGAACTGCTCTCCTTACCTGCTTCTAGGAGGAGCTGGACCAGCTCAAGGTGACCGCACAGGCTGGCCTACAGACGTCGGGTGGGGAGAAATATTAGTTCAAAAGTCCTCTTGCGCAGCCTTCAGGCAGGGACGGAGGCCCACTCACGACGATCAGAGGAGTGTAGTCGAACTTGTCCTTCCCGTTGATGTTTACGCCGACTGACATGAGCTCCTGGCATGTCTTTAAGTCCCCTCTCCGGCAGGCCTCGAGGAATTGGGCAAATTCCGAGGACTGGTCAAGAGGGTTCTCATCCCGGAGAACTCCGCTGGCGATGAGCTGGTTCTCATCCTTCAGTTTGGCCTCCAGCTCATGCTTCCTAAAGATCTCGCCCATATCGGGATCAGGTCGTAAAAAGGGTGGCTACTCAGGTGTAAAGACCTGAGACAATCCCAGAATATTGTGATTCTTTTTTGGGCAGTGAGTAAACTACTTAGGTTGTCAAGTACTGCGAGCCCCAGAAGTTCAGAGTCTTATCATAATTCTACAATACATTACGTGCAGCTCCCCGCCTGTAAGGATGACGCACGGGCCACATTGTTGCCGTCATAGGGGACGTATTGGGGAGGCGTTTGGCCTGTGGAGACACGATTTCTCAAGTTTAGTGGTTTACACTGATTGATGCCCCCTGCCACTTTAGTGCATCCTGCCCCCTGTCTAAGTACCCAGCCCGTTGCCCCTACAACCAGCAGCTCCATTGTCAACATTTGCAACTGGGCAACAACCTAACCTGCAACGTCCAGCACTTCACGACATTTCATACTACAACTTGACTGCTGCTTCTTTTCCCATCCACCCTCGAACTGCCACACCAACCTCTGACTTGGCAGTGTCAACCTACTAACATCTACAGGTACACCAACCCTCGGCACACTCTCTATCTTCAGCTGCCTTGCTACTCGCCTCTTTGTCACCTGCATGGATCATCATTTCTCTGCCTCTTTGCACCCACTCGTCCATTGATACCAGCGGTGCTGGACCCAACACCTTTCAAAATGTCCTCGGACAGCAGCAGTGCTGAGAAGTATGAGGTGCTGGAGAAGATAGGTATGCAGCAACCACCCTCCTCCTCCTCTTGTACCTCTATGCAAATCTCTCCCCCCATCGCGACAAGACTTGAAGCGATGTGCTAACTTGCATGTCCTGGCCAGGTCATGGCTCCTTTGGCATCATTCGCAAGGTGCGCAGAAAGGATGATGGCATGATTCTCTGCCGCAAGGAAATCTCCTACCTCAAAATGTCACAGAAGGAGCGCGAGCAGCTCCACGCCGAGTTTACCATCCTGTCATCCCTCCGTCATACCAACATTGTCGGTTACTACTCCCGAGAGCATCTCAAGACCACCCAAGACCTACACATCTACATGGAGTACTGCGGAAATGGAGATCTCGGCCGTGTCATCCGCGGACTGCAGGAGAAGAACGAATATGCTGAGGAGGCCTTCGTCTGGAGCATCTTTTCGCAGCTGGTGACCGCCCTCTACCGCTGTCACTACGGAATCGATCCTCCCGAGGTTGGCAAGAATGTTATGGGCCTTGGCCCGACTGCGAAGCCCAAGACACCCTCAGGCTGCATGACCATCCTACACCGTGACCTCAAGCCCGAGAATAGTATGTAAACCCGCGCTTATAGATCGGTACCTCCTGAGTGGTGTCATCATGTTACACAAACTGACATGCTTTTCCTAGTTTTTCTTGGGGAAGACAACTCTGTCAAGCTTGGTGATTTCGGCCTGTCCAAGGTCCTGACTGCGCAGCAGTTCGCCTCGACCTATGTCGGCACTCCCTTCTACATGTCTCCCGAGATTTGTGCTGCGGAGACGTACACCCTCAAGTCCGATGTCTGGTCCTTGGGATGCATCATCTACGAGCTCTGCACGCGGCAGCCCCCTTTCAACGCCAAGTCCCATTATCAGCTCGTTCAGAAGATCAAGGAGGGCAAGGTCGCCCCGCTTCCCAACGTCTACTCGTCCGAACTCAGCGCTGTCATCGGAGACTGTCTGCGGGTCAACCCTGACCGACGACCCGACACCGCTACCTTGCTCAATCTGCCTGTCGTGCGGCTGATGAGAAAGGAGCGAGAGGTTGTCGAGATGGGCCATGCGCTCCAGAAAAGGGAGGCTGCCGTGCTGAAGAGGGAGGACTCGGTGAGCCGTCGGGTTCGGGAGCTCGAGAAGAGGGTACAGAAGCTGGACGCCGACAGAATCACGACCAGACAGGAGATTGACTCCTCTCTGCGGCGGGAATGGGAGACACGTGCGCGCCTGGAGATCGACCGGCTGGTGAATCTCGAGATCGAGCAGCTCCAGGCCAAGTTTGAGGAGGAGGTCCAGGCTCGTGTCCAGGTGGAGCTGAACCAGCATAAGAAAATGGTCTCCTTCGCAACGGCCCAGCCCATGGACTTCAACAACTCGTCGTCTACCAAGTCTGATTTCCCGTACTCGTCCATCGGTGCTGACAGTAATCGGAGCGAGCTGACGGCAGCCACCGACGTGACCGAGCTCTCGACTGGTCCTGATACCCCGGAGGACGAGGTGAAGAAGGGAGCCCGCACGCCATTTGTCCGGGCCCAGACCATGTATGCCGGCCCTCTCGGAACGCCCATGGACGTTGACAAGATGTCTCCCTCCCCTTGCGCTATCGCATCACTGTCGCTGTCACCCCGGCGCAAGAATGCAGGCAAGGGCCCTTTTGTGCACCCGCCCAACATCTTTGCCAATGACGAGTGGCGCAGAGTCCCCGAGATCCCCGACGACTTCGATTCTGACCTCGAGGAGGACGAATCTGACGAGACCCCGGCGTCTCCCTCTCCAATGAGAAAGGTCAAGAAGGTCACAGGCATCGCGCGGCCGGGCCTGGCTCACATGAGAACTGCGCCTGCCGAGAACGTGCTCAAGAACAAACCTTCTCTGCCTGCACCGACACGCACTACGGGAAATCTCCTGCACCTGACCTCGGGCCAAGAGATGCGATCCCCCAGCATTCTCCGAGAGCGAGATACGGGCAACCGCCAGCTCTCCAAGATCCCTTCCTATGCGAACCTATCTGCCGCTAGCAGTGGTGATTCGTCTGGCCGGGGCGGCCTGTCTCGCAAGACGTCCTTAACTGGGCCAAGTAGCAACAGCAGCGGTCTGGTCAGCAAGATGACCAACGTGAGGGGTCGAACCCTCGTCGAGCTGTCACAAGCTCGTGCCGGTGGTCGCTTGCCGGGCAGCAACGAGAACTCCAAGGCAGCTGTCTGGGACCCCGAGACAGACGAGATGCCGAGTCCCTTCCTGATACGCAGCAAGCACATCCCCAAGCCCATCCCAAGCGTCTAAACGGCCTCGTCCATCTGGATGGGCGGCCATGGCCAGCGAACGCCTTTTCCTTTATTTCTTTTCTTCTTTTCTTCCTTGTCCATAACACACAAACCCCTAGAGACCAAGGCTCCGTCCACAGGGCCTTCGACAGCAAGTGGCTTCGGACATACTTCTGGCGCCTTCACATAATCGTGCGCTTGCCGGTCCTGCTCATTTGCATCTTCCATATGTGGATTTTCAGTTTGGTACAAAGAGTCATGATGGGTTGGACAACATCATCACAGGGCGAACAGCCACTGTTAGAATACTACTGCACAGTTGCTGTGCGAGACGAGACCAGCATTTCATTTGTCAGCGAGCATTGGAAAAGGGGATGAAATTGGTGGTCATGGGGGCGGAGTTTTGAAAGGACCAAGAGACCAGCCAGCCAGCTTGGTAAGGGCAGTAGCAGCGATGAAGGATCTATACTTCTATCCTGTCGACAGGAGGGTTCCAGGTGACTTTGTTCAGCAACAGCACCTTCACTACACAAGCAGCATGATGGTCTACAAGACTTGTGATTATGTTATTCTTACGATGTCATGGTGTTGGGCGTTGGAGAAAAACTGGTATGATGAGCGCTTGAGGGGGTGGTTCAACTGCTTTTTTCCCTTTTCCTTTGTGTCTTGTTATTGCTGTTTTGCATAATCCACCACCCTCATCATGATATTAGCTTTTGTCCACATGGACTTGTGTGTTTTCTTGTCATTTTTCATTTTCTTTTGAGAAAGCTGCGATAGTACTACTCATGGCTCAAAGCAGCGGAGCAGGCCTGAAAGAAGATCGACTCATTATATTCATTACATGGATGCCTTCTTTCCCTCTGATACCTATTCTATGACCACTTGTCGTTTGAGTAGAGAGGCTGTGATCTCTGTCTTCCTCCACTCCTTTGGCCTTCTGAGTCCCTGGTAGGAAGAATGGCATGCAAAGCTTGTCACTTCGTTGCCAGGCACAAACTATGTACACCCTTTGCACGGCTGATTCTTTCATTAACGGTGAAGGAGTCTACTTACTCCCCTCGTACTCGCTCAACGCTGGGACCTCGCTGCCTACCTCAGCTAGCTGGGGCCAGCCCAGCCCAGTCCAGCCCAGCCCAAGCTTTACAGCCCGCCCTCGCTACAACCCCCGTCCGCCACCACACGCACACAAGCACACACAGACACAGACACACACACACGCGCAAGGACTGCCGTATTCGTGTTCCATGACCCGCAGCCAGGATCCTCTTCGACGCCAGCCTGTCAGCGCATGGCGGCGGCAGGAAAGACAGGGGAGGGATGGAGAAGCAGGGAGGGAGAGAGAGTTTCGCGCGTCTCCGCACCGGCAAGGCCCTTCCCGTGCCCGCCCCTCTGCACCACACGGCAGAGAGCGGGCGTTGGCATAAGCTCAGAAGGGGACGGAACTTTAGGAAAGGGAGGGGATGGGTGGAAGGTCTCACTTCGGAATTTGGCCCACGAGGAAAAGAGGATCTCGTGGTTAGTATTTGGGTCAAATCTGAACCCAGCCGTCCAGCTTTTTGCTGGGGACAAAAAACCTTCCCGCCACAGCCTTCCGAGAAGCGGGACGACAATGCGGTCAAGCTCTTTTCCTTCTCTCAGCTCGATCCTACCCAACTGCGCAAGACCCCTTCCTCCGTTCCCTCGCTCTTCGTCGTCACACGGAGCCGGGATCGTCACGGCTGGCCTGGGCCCCAATATGCGCGATCCCGTGCAGATTCAGGCTCAGATTATCGGCTTTGTCAAGCCACATGGTTCGACTCCCCAGTTGTCAAGTTGCTCAGCAGCGACGCCCCATGGCCTGACGCACCCAGGCACCCGGGAGGGAGGGGGGAAAGGAAATGGGCAAGGCCGCCGTGGCTTTTGGACGAGAATGGGCGTCCTCGCCTCAACAACGCCACAGCCACATCCCGGGGTTCTGGATGCGAGGTCGAGAAGAAGACTGACTACCCATGCAGTATAAGTCAGCAAGCATCGTGATTCGTACTTTGTCTCCCCTCCTCTCTCTCTGTCTCTCTCTATGTGCGTGTCATCTTGTCCCCTCTCTTATTCGGCCGTACGACCCGCAGTGGCTGACCGCTCAAGCCCAACTGACCCGACGGGCCGCTCTGAGCCAAAACGCAACAGTGGCCACGTCAAGATGTCTTGGATTTTTGGGGGTTTTGGGGGGTTTTGGAGGGAAGTAGTTCTCAGCACAAACCACACCGCCCGGGCACTTATATGCGGGCGTATCGAGGTGAGACTCTTTTTTAACCCTTCCAGAGAGGGCTCGAACAAAAAAGTTTGGTGCCGAGCTTCAGAACAACGCGAAACCCACGCGGCTTGTGAGACGGTCTCGGCGCCAGCACTTTTGATTGGGTACATGCTGGGTGGGCGGTGTCGAGAAAGACAGACAGCCTCTCGAAAACGGCATCCAATCGCATCTTGACTCCGAGCCGGCCAAGTCATGTTGGAACTTTTGATTTGGCTTTTTTTCCTGCGGAATAAAAAAGATCATGGACTGTAATCTAGAGAATGATAATTCGGTCCAAGGGGGCAAAGAAAAACAAGATTAAAATTTGGATCATTCAACTACTACTGCGTTAGAACGTCACAGAACAAGCGTCATAGCGGCTGGCAGGACTAAGACGTACACACACACACACACACACACACACACACAGGCTAATACGCAGGACTGGTAGGGCCCTTTGGGAATTTTTTTTTTTTTTTTTTTTTTTTGCTTTGACCCCTGATTGTCGTGCTTGTGTCTCCCGCGCTGTCGATATGGGCTATGAGAATGGAGAGACCCAAAGACAACCTGTCCGTCGCTCGGGTCCAGCTGGTCCATTTTGCGGTGTGCTTTGATAGGTGTTGCTTTGGTGCTGCGCTCTTTTTTGCCTTGACGAAAAGCCGACAACGTAAGACAAAAAAAGTAACCCCCTCGTGCGACCTTGACCTCGGCTCGGCGTCGAGTCAAGATTCGATCTTGGCGTCTTTTCTTGACTTGCATCCTAATGCGTGCACTGGTGCTCATGTCTCTGACCTTTTTCTTTCCCTTCTCTTGTAGTAGTACTGCCATGCTCATGCACGCAATGAGTGCTTTGCTGCGCCGCCGCCCCCCCCCGCTGAGACAAGTGTACGCGTCCTGTCCCTACGTGCGGGAGTGACCTAAACCATGCTGCCACACACTATGGGAGATAGTACTAAGAAAAAAAAAAAAAAGAAAAAGAAAAAGAAGGAAAAAGAGAAAGAAGGGAAATGTGTCTCTGTATTGCCGTTATCATCATGTTCCCTTCGCCACGTGCGCGGTCTGCGGGGATGGGAGAGAAGGTGGATCCTGTCGTCACCACCCATAGCGTGCGGTACCAGGGGATAAACACGCTCGACCCTTGTCCGGTGGTCAAGTTGATGTTGCCCGAGGCTAGAATTGCGCAATAAGCAGCTCATGCGAGGGAGGGAGGACTGGTCCTTTGTAAGGGTTGGCCAATGCCCGAAAAGGAGCTCTCCATCCTCTCGTCGCCTCACCAGCCCCAGGGACCGAGGAAAAGAGAGCCGAATTTCAGTGCAATGTCCGATGCAGGCAGGTGGGTTTTCTGGGTTTGGGTGCACGCAGATTTTTGGGGGGGGGGGGGAAGGGAAGCAGACAAACCCCAACCCAACCTCCCACACAAAAGAGAGAGCTGCCTTTGCTGCAATGCCGGTGCACTGGGGCGGTTGTAGCGAATTTTTTTTTTTTTTTTTTTTTTTCTTGGTTTCTGCCTGGCGATCATATGCAGCCTGCGCCCGGGAAGTGACCGGATGTGCTGCGAGGACGGGTGCAAGGTCTGAGATGGGTAACCCTCACCGCCCGCTGGCCCAGTCCACTTCAAGGTGAGCTTCTGCTTTTCGCCCGGCCCGCCGTCCGTCCGGTCACCTTCCCACTATGAAGACTCCGTCCGCGATTCGGCCGACCAGTGATGGGAGCAAGACGAATTCTTCAGGAAGGTGAGTGTGCCTTTGACCGAGAAGATGATATTTCATACCCATCAATACGTGATCTCTGTTAGCCAGGGAGAAAAGAAGAAAGAAGAAAAGGAAGAAGAGAAAAAAAAAAAAAAAAACCAATTAAGAAATACTACTACCGTCGCAGCGTGATGTCTCGGACCATACGCCCGGAACGACAAGGCGTGATGATGACAACGTCGGTACGTTGAGACAACTCCCCTAAGAGACTGACTGGGGGGGGGGGGCAGCGCCACATCATCTAGATGCAACCAAAGATGATGGTGTGCGGAAAGTGGGTGTGTTGGCGTACGTAGCAGTGAGAAACAGGATGACGGGATCAAGAAGAAGAAGAAGAAGAAGAAGAAGAAGAAGAAGAAAAAAAAAAAATAATGATGTTCGAGGGATTTTGCTGCAACCTGGGCCCGACAGCATCGCCCAGGTTTCCTAACTTGGCATGAAATAATGTGGAGGATTGCGACTCTGCAGACCAGAAAAGGAAGATGGCGGACCCATTCGAGAAGGACCCAGGTCTGCTGCATCCAGATCTTATCTCTCCATGTAGGATTTTTGGAAATAAACCTTGTTCTACTGGCAAAAGTACCTATCTGGTCCCCTGTTGCATAATTAGCACTGTCGATAATAGGTTGTAAGTAACCCTTGACAAAGATGGGTTTTGGGGGGGGGGGGGGAAGGGCATGGCGGGATTCGGGAATGGGGTTGAAAGTGTAATGAAGTGGCTATTGTCCATCCACAACTTGTTTAGGTTGCCTGGCAACTTTTCATGTGATGCTCTAATCATCTGGTATGATAGGCAAGACGACGATCCCTCGCACAGCAATTGTGCAGCCTGTGCTCGCATGCGCTCCCTGAAGAGGAAGCATGGCCCGACTGTCGGTCTTTTTTGGGGGGGGCAAGGGCAAAAGAGATCTGCGCAGGGGGATGTTCGTGATCCCTGACCAACCGCTTCCCCGGATTCGGCGTGCCTGTGGGACCTCGCAGAGCGCGCGTGGCTCGTCAGGGATGGATGGACCCGTCGTTAAAGTACGTACGCGGGGATACCGAGGATGAACCATCATAGTACCATACCATGGCAGTATGTGCAGTCGTATCAGTAGGTGATCGATCCATTAACAGACCTGGGAGTGAGCGGTCAACAGTCGCAATTGTAGAGCAAAGAAAAAGAGAAAGATGGCCACAAGCCAGCCAACAGCGATTGGCAAACACATCCTCTGACCAGTAGCATACTCATAGTTCTTATCGATTGCATGCACCTGGGATCAAGAATGCAATCCTGCAGCACAGTAGTAGCAGACAACGAGCGACCTCGGCGTCTATCACAAGGTAGGTTGAGTTGTCGGCGCCACACGGGGGGCCTCGCATGCTTCCCTGTTCTCTCCCCCGCCGCCGTTTTCACATCAACCCCACCAACTCTGGGCTTGTTGCGCAGCTGCAATGCAAAGCCGCTTGTCGGAGAAATCTAGCCTGTCAAACAAGCAGCCTGGTTACTGGTATTAGCTAGTGCAAGGGGTTGTGGCATCTCCCCCTCCCTCCCCCCCCCCCCACCCGCTTCTCTAAGAGGAGGATTTTGCAGAGCTGCAGTTGAAGTAACTTCACTCTCTTGATGCCACAGTCACACCACCTGTGCCGCTGCCACAAAATAAATTCGGCGCCTAACACATACTCACATGTGCTTTGGAGTAAGATGATGAGGGCCCCTCGGGCGCTGTGTCTAGGAATGGAATCGGTTGCAGCCTGCTGATAAGGCTTGGGAGGTGACCCGGGTCACTGGAAACTTTTACGACCTTCCGAATTCAGCGTGACTAGTCACCGGCTGGACGGAAATGGCATGCACCTACGCCGCTTACACGCAGCCCATCACAAGCCCGACCAGTCATGAAACATGACGATCCTCCGCTATATCCGCTGCCCGCCGACATCCTGCGAGTGCGTCCCCCCCCCCCCCCCTCGGCCGCGAAGGAGGGGTTCCTCCGAACATCGGTTCCTGGAAGTGGTCAGAGAGGGGAGAACTTGTACTGGGCGGTCAGCCTCTCTATGTAGACGGGCGCTGCTGCATAAGCAGACCAGATCGCAGAAGAGCCACCACGATTTTTCTGGATCTCGCAAGAGCGAAAACATGCCAGTAGAGAGACCAGGACCCACCACTTCTCGGTGCCATGTCTAAAAAGCCATCCGGCTCACGCTCCAAGAAGGAACGCCATTGGCGACAGGATACCCTGATGCCGATGCCACCCTGTGCTGCATCTGCACTGCCAACTCAGCAACACACACACACACACACACACACACACACACGTACAGTCAGCCCCCATATGTATATCAGAGCAGATATTGCTGCTGCATGTGCAACAAATGCCGGCCTCGGAAAGATCGATGGCTCGCAGCAGGGCGATCTCCGCCTGCGAGGTCGTACACAACCCATCTACGAGGCGTCGAGGTGTAAGATGAAAGATATAGTACCTGCAGTTATCATGCCCAAGAGATCGGCCACTTCCACGTACGAGACAGCTGTTCTCGTGAGACTGGCTTGCATATCGATATGAGAAGGTCGCAATGACGTGGCGTCAACATCATGCCGTTGCAGTCGAGATGCTGCGCATGGAATTATACGATCCACCTCATACGAATACGCTGTACTATTAATCCGAGTGCATGCTGACAGGGGGCGTCGTATTTGTCCACCTCCTCGCACGTCCTCGGAATTCAGCCGCCACGTCAACACAGCCCGTCGCCCTTCATTCTTTGCATTATCCATCCGTCAACCAAATATCTAAGACTCTTTTCTCGTCATCCGCTCACGATGGATTTCTCCGATGCCGATCACTGCCCACCAATACATTCTCATCTTTTACCCGATTGCAGCCGGCACATGGTCACCTCGGGCGGTGAGCCATCGTGTACCCATTCTACTGGACCCTTTATGGATGGACCGAGCCGGTCTCACCCGGCGGTAAGGTCGCAGCTCGACCTGGTTGTGTCACACTGCATGATTATCGCGATGATCAAGTGGTTTTGGGAGAGAGCGCGAGCAGACCAGATGCTGTGCGTCCTAGCATTGCATTGCAGTCTGGAGCATCCGCTGGCAAGCACCGAAAATACCCCGAATCTGCTTCGGTGGCTGAGACAGCATGTCGTTGCAATAGGCTCGACATTTGCGTCGCTATCCGCGTGACAGACCGTTGGGCGTTGGCTTTTCTCTAGTCCCGGATTGGTATCCAACTCGCTCCCCCGGCCGGCGCACATTGATAACCAAACTGCCTGACCGTTATGTAAAGGGTTTGCTGGAGTGAGGCCTCGAAGTACGCCACTTTGATCGGCGGTCTCACTTGACGTTGGGGGGGGTATTCGAGGACTTGTCGAGTTGAGAAAAGACCCTCTATACAACAATCATTCCACAGTTCCCTCTTTGAACCCAAATGACAACGAGCTACCGGGATGTAGACAATTGAAATCAGGCCATGATGACGAGATGTAACCTGGATTTAGGAGTTAACCAACATGGGTTGAGATTGGATTTGCACAAAAAATCGACTTTCCCAAATAAATCTTGCAGGCCAGCGCTGCAAGGGGTCGTGGAATGAAAACTGCGTTGACAAAAACAAAATGCTACGTGACAATCTGTCACACACGTGTCATGCTGTTCAACAGCGCACCGCCAAGAGTATTCGACCTCTGGTCGTTGAGCGTCCATCAACTAAACTTATTTTGCACGCACGCACCTCAAAAAGCAGATTATGGGCAGGCTGTGCGTGACTTGGATCAACCCTGACAGTGCCACGCGCTCATGACGATCATTCAGGGAGGCCCTTGTAGTTGACTTTGCCGATTGGAGACGAGTTTCCACTTGTAAATGACGATGGTCCACCGCTGCAGTTCAACGCTAAGAGTGCGGGCCGGAACCTCGAGGAGGATTACTGCGATGTTGCTGTGCACACTGCCGCAGAACAGCTGAGGAAGGAAAGCTCTTCGTCGACCCGCTCCGCAATGCACGTTGGTCGATGTCGAATATCATTGCCCAAACGCAGATAGACCGGACCTCCTTCGAATGTTGAGTGCAGACGAGGGTACATTGGCTAGAGCGCTGCCTGGCAGTTGGACCAGACGGGCTGCCCGCGCTACCCACACAACTGACGTGGTCCGAAGAGGAGACAAGGCACGGCGAGATACGTCTTTCTAGAAGCTGTATTGTTTTCTGGCCCCTGGCAATGAGCCTTGGCCGCTGTGGTCGGGTAAATCTGGGAGCCCCACTGACCGACAGACACAGGATGGAGATGGTCAAGATTGCTGCTGAGATGAACAGGGTGGGAATTGGACATCGAGCTACCACGATAGATGGGGTCGTGGCCGTTAGTGGTAATGCCGAATTTAGCTTCGAAGTGAGCAGTAATTCCGCTAACAGATATGAATGGGACCGAGGAGATTTCTCCTGGCAAATGCGCAGAGACCAGCAGCGGATCAGTGCAGTCCGTCGGCGACTCCAGGTGATCGGCGAATAGAACCCTCCTCTCCCCCCTCGGACCACTCTCATCAGATCAAAAGGATGGCAGATAGGCTGGGTTCACGACAATCCTGCCGATCCTGCGAATTTGGTTGTTGGAGTAAGTCCTTGGTGCAGCCAAACTTAGTTGTAAAGCCATCATCAGGCGGACCCGGGCTCGATCGTCATTTGCGGAGAATCCTGTCCTCGTCGTTCAGAGACACATGGACGTCTTCCGGCCTAAGAGAAGTGCCGTGCCAGCCAAGAAGAAAGCACTATTAGAGGGTGGGGTCCTCTTTCGAAAGTGTCGTATTGAAGTCCACAAGCGCTGCAATTGCGGCGTCGTCGTCGATCATTTGATCTGAGTAGGCTGAACTAGCCAGGCTTTGGTGGACGAATCATGTCGGTGACAAGTCGTACTTCTGATAATGTAAGCTCCAAATTACAATAAGCTGCCAGAGAGAAGAAGGGGAAGAGAAAGGAAAAGGCGGCACGTGTCATACATCGGACTTCGAACACAAAGTGATAGTGGTCGTTGAACATTATGGGGTTGGCCAATGAAGAAAGCAGGAGAATTGAAATTCTGGGGCAGAGATCGACAGAACCGAGGACGGGGGGGTTGACGATATGAGGACCCAACGGACGAGACGAAGCTTGGGGAGGGGGCTCGTTGCCATGTTTTGGGCTCCAAGCTGAGCTTCAGGGGGGGGGGGGCAAGATGTCCAGAAGACGTGACCGTAGCGCCAAGACGCCATCTCACGACCCGTGTAGATCGCCGGTTTTTTTTTACTTCTTAGGAGGAGGGGCGGTGGGTGTGCGGGTTCTTGTTCTTCTTTTTTCTTTCTTACTGCGCGCATATGCATTAGCGTTTTAACACCCACAAGCTCAGATACTCCATACCCATAGATGGGTTGCTAGTGCCGGCGCGGCTACCTCATGGCGCGTGTTCGCCCTGGTCCAGCATCTATGTGTCGTCGGAAGTTGTCCTATAACTCACACTATTAGCTTTGAGTCGGTCAACCAGCATCTGGAGGCGTGCCACCAATCCCGGAAATGGACCACCAACTTGAGCCTTACCACGGGAGCGCAACGAGGATGTTCCCGCATGCACGTGGTCCGAGGCCAGCGGCCATGGTTCTGCTTCTCCAACACTCGTCTCCGCCTGCGCGCGGGGCGTTGCATTATGTGCGACGTGGACACCCAAATATCTCAGAGCGGCGTAGAAATGGGGCACCACATGTGATGGGGGACAAGAGCCGAGAGCATGTTTCCTGCCTGCCAATGTAGGTGGTGTGCGGATTGTTGCCGAGAACTCTTGCTACCATAGGGCCAAGTGTCTGTTGGATGGTGGTGGATAGATAATAGTGAAAGAGCCGTAGAGATTGCATGGTACGAGTGCAGAGAGCACAGCACAGGTGCGTGTGATCCCGTCAGGGGATCTGATCGCTACCACCACCACGGTAATCAGCCTCATTGACATCCGCGAACCCGCAGACCTTCTCGAACTTTGCGAAATCGCTTACATATCGCAGTGCCGGTATCTCCAAAGCCCAGTTTCGAGCCCAAGGAAGCCAGGGAATGGGCGATCTTTCGGGGGAGTTGCAGGATGGGCACGAGATCATCGTGATTGTCAACCTGGTCACATGTCATGACAACCTTGATTGTATTTGCCTTTTCTTCTCCCTCTCCTCTTTCTCTCACTATGTGTGTGTGCGCAGATTGCACGACCTGGCATATTGGAGCATCAGCTATTGCCTCCCAACGAGGAAAAAAAAAAAAAGAGAAGGAAACACAAGGGAATGATGGGAATGCGGCCTGTGAGGATGGGATGGGATGGGACTAGAAGTGAGGTTTTGAAGAGTGAAGATGAGAGAAGAAAGAACAAATGATAGCATTTGATGCTGCCTGCATGCCATGACATCAGGTGGTTGTTGCTTGGTACAATGACCTGCCCATCTCCAACACGCTGCCCCTTACCAACCCCACTTACCCTTTCCAGTAGTTCTCAAGCAGTCAACTTCAAGCCTCTCTTTCGCATCTTCTAACACGGCAGGTCTTGGCCCCTCTCCAGTGCATTCACCTCACGTCATATGACCTCAAACGAAGTGTGGCCAATCCAATTCCTGTGCATTTCCAGGCTGTCTTCAATGTCCTCAGACAAGCTGATTGAGGTACTCTACATCCACCCACCTGTGCATACACACCTGCACAGTACGGCACAGTACATCAATAGATCTCGTCCACACACCTTCATTCACATCTACAAGTGGTCTTGAGAACTATAGACCTCTGTAGAATGGTAAAGATAGCAAAGATGTCACTAGCGCCCACCAGATCAATCGCTGCATAAGTTGCAGCCAGTCAGACTGGCTGAACATGAGGTCAGTTGACAGAGGATAGTACACATTGGATGGCATCTTGATCAGACCAAGGCATGATCAGATGCAACTAGAGGAAGCATTAACATCCGAAGCTTCAGATCAAGTGCAGAGATCTTCACTACTGTGTGATACAAGACAAATGACACATTAATGCCATGTTGACCATGACTTAACCCTCAAGGCCCAGGGAGAGAAGGCCTCAAGCAGTCTACCCCCTTCTTGTCATCGTCAGACTCTGCCTTTCCCAACTGGGGATGCAAAAGCGCCATGAGCCCACCCACGGGAAAACCCCCTCGTGAGGCCGGAGGTCTCGGATCACAAGGTTCTGCTTCATGCCAAGCTGCCTGGCGACAACATACTCCAGGATGCGCCTAATTCGCCTGCACCACCCCTGTCTGTTTCCTTACAGTACAGTCGATCACGCCCCCTTTGAAAACGGATCTGGAACCCGTTCTTTGGCGAAGGGGGGGGGGGGGGGTTTGTTAGGACAAGCCTCCCTAGGCGGTGCCTGGGGGGCTTTTGGCCTTACTCATCTCTGAGTCGCATCATTCATGTCAATTAACCTTGTTTTTTTGTTTATCCCTCTCACACAAGCTTATTTGATCCGGTTTGTTTGAGACTTCGTGAGCCGCGTCTCAGCAGACTCCTGACAACCTACTCCAGCACGAGCGCACAAGCAGCAATATGGGAGACCAGAGACCAAGACGTGGACCAGCCTCGCAGCCATCGTGCAATCGGCTGCACCTCAATCCCCAGGTCCATCACTTTTTAGTTGGGGTTGGGGGCGGGAAGAGGGGGGAGAGGGGGGTCCGTTCCGGTGGGCATAATTCCGCCAGGTAACTTTCCACCTGTTAATCGTGGGCGCAAGTCCTCAAGACGCTCGCACAACCCCCCTTCTATTACCTGTAGCATTTACGCCTTGTTGGTCACGATAACGCTTGGCACCCCAGTGACCCCAGAGTAACACGACTGCTTTTCTAGCTGGTGCATGCTCAAAAGAGAGAGAGAGAGAGAGAGAGAGAGAGAGAGAGAAAGAAGAAAGAGCAGGGGCTTGTTATTCACTGCGTGGACAGCGTGTACAACAATGGCGAAAACAGAAGAAAACAACGTCATCATTGCTCGGAAACCTGAAAGACACGCCTCCGTTGGACGTGGCAGCACGTCCGCAGTCCACACTTTCAGGATCCGCCCTCGAGGGTGGTTCCGTGTCCAGGAGGGAGAAACCAAGTGATGATCCATTGGTCCACTCAAGAATCAGATTGGTCAATCTTTACCAAGCGCGCGGTATGATCTGCGCAGAGAGCAGCAAGTGGTGGCTAATCGAGCCGGGTGGTGGCTCAAACGTCTAGCAACCATGCCTTGGTCAAAATGAGTTCGACAAGAGAAGCTACTGATGGAGGGGGGCCCAAATTCTGGAACGGCGAACAGCATCTCATCCGAACGCGGGGCAAAGTAGCATGTTTTGAAGTTTTGAGATGGCATATGGGGGGAGCGACGTTCGGCATAAGATCAGCTGGGCAATCCGGTCGCAGCCCCAAGCCAGGGCTGACCAGCATTGATGAAGCTCCCAAGGCGCTCTGGTCGTGGCTCGTCTCAAGAACGTGATGGACCGACTCGGGGCAACCCTGTCGTCCGAGCGACACATCCCCATAGAACTTATGGTATGAACGGGATTCCTGGTCCTCCCACAAGTGATCTCTTGTCGAGGCTGTTGGGCTCACGGCGGTAGTGAGACCGCAATGGGCAAGCTGATCCGTGGCCCATAAAATTGGCTACAATGCTCACCCTCGTTCGGGTTAGCCTTTGTGCTGGAGCCTCCCATCTAGGCATGTTCATCGCAATTTGGCGCGCCTATCTTCATTCTCGCCAAAGGCCTCATCTCGTGCCGTCCACATCTCTTTTCCACCCCGTCCGCCCTTGCCCACAGCAGAGAGCCAACACAACAACAGAGTGATCGACAGGCTGGTTACTCTGCGGGCTCGGGCAGATCCAGTTCCGCCCCGCTCCATCAGTTTTGACTCCGGGAGATCACAGCATGAAGTGGGTTGACGGATTGGCGGATAGCCGTCTGGCTCGTTGAGCAGATCCTATGCGAGTCCTTGCAGACCTTGGTTCTCTCCTGCCTTCCTCCCTCATTCTCGAGGAGCGATCTGCTGCTATGCTGTACAGCGTATAAGGGTACCTTTGTTCCATACCAATGTACCACAGTACCTTTGCATCGTGGGCTGCCAACGCGGAGCAGCAGGTAACACAGGTGGTCCACTCCACCCACACCGAGTCCTGGGTATTATGTACTGGTACACACCCACCCAGCCGCCTCGCGAGAAGAGAGAATAAAGAGAGACAAGAGAGACCACACACACACACCCAACACACACCCACCCATACCCCCTGGTACCTAAGCTTGTGGTCCACACCATCCCACAACCCTTGACCACGATCAGCCAGGGGAGAGACCGACATGGGGGCTCATGGACCGGCCCACCATGCACGAGCATCGCCAGGGATCACCCCGAGTCAGGCAAGGGCTTTGCAACGTCGAGCAGGGCGCTACGAGTTATACGGTACCGTAGTACGTTTGGTACACCTTGTCTACGGACAAGTACCTAAGATCGACGCCTTGCTGGGCAAGGTCATCTCATGTTCCCCCAAGAGGTTGGATGAGAGACCGACCCGCACAAATTTTGTGACAGCTGCTACTGCGGCACATCCGTCCAGGATCATCGTCCATCATCGTTAGCCTGATCGTCCTGTGCTCTGCTTCGGGAGATTTCATCTACATGCTCTACTACCCTTGGGGGCCCTTACCGTTCCCACATGGCACTTGTCCTCGTGGTCACCTACATAAGATATCCACCCCCTCCCACCTTCTCCCTCTAAGCACATCTGAGAGAAGAAAAAGGCTCCTCATACTCAAAGCACTTACAACTCTTGTGAATTCTCAGAATTCCCATTTCAACATCTCTCAGTCAACTGCTCGCCACACAAAAGTAATATTTAATACTCTTTTTGTGTCATCTCTTTACTATCCATCTCGCCGCCAGCATACCGTACAACTTCACCTCTGGGAGGGAAGAACATAATCATTTCAAAAGGCAAAGATGGTTACCATGATGATGTCTTACTCGGCACAACCAAACACGCATTACGGATACGGGCAACCCCAGGGACCACCCTCACCTCCTATGGACGACACCTCCAAGTGCTCGCTGCCCTCCATCTCAAATCTGCTCGGATTGGCCGACGGTGGATCACCCACCTCAGAAACCTTCCAGGCTTCGCAGCAAGGTAAGAGCCACAGCCGACAGATAACCCCCCCCCCCCCCCCGGGGTTGGGATGATGAAAGGGAAAACAAAGAATATTAACAAGAGCAAGCAGCACCATCACCTGTCTCCGACTCTCGCCCAAACTCCTCTCACTACAATGCTCCTGTCCGTTGTGGTGCTCTGCCACCAACCCCGCCCATGTCATCAGATGCCTCCTTCGACGGGTATCAGTCACCACCACCAACCAAGCCAGTGAGCCAGGTGCCGCAGAACTACTACTTCACCTCAGCACATGCGATGAGCCATGTTGAGGCTTCTGAGGCCCAACGTCAGCAGATGGTGCCTCGCATCCCAGTTCAGTCTGCCTATACCGGTCCCGCCTTTGTCTCGTCCTACATCTCAAACCCAGGGATCCCTTCTTACTACCCTACGATGCAACCCACGCCTCCACCGCAGCCCCAGGTCTCAGGTCTCTTCTACCAGCGGCCCTTGCCTCAGGTACGTGATCTATAAATTGCCCGTGATGAGAATATGAATCTAACAAGACCTTGCAGAGTTTCCCTCCCATGCCTCTCAGCGTCGCTGTGCCCTCGTCTGGGGCCAACCCATGGCAGCACCACCACTACATTTCGCCAACATCGGCAGCCTCGTTCCCTCAGTCTCAAGATCGCTATATCTGCCAGACCTGCAACAAGGCCTTCTCCCGTCCCAGCTCACTCCGCATCCACAGCCACTCGCACACCGGCGAGAAGCCTTTCAAGTGTCCCCATGCCGGGTGCGGCAAGGCCTTCAGTGTACGAAGCAACATGAAGCGACACGAGCGCGGCTGCCACAACGTTGACGGCAGCAGCTCCGGCTCACCCCCGATGTCTTGAGAGAGAGAGAGAGAGAGAGAGAGAGAGAGCGAGAGAGAGAGCGGCTTGCTGCCTGGCACCAAATCACCATTCTCTTCATCTCACACATTCGACCTTACCACCACCAACTCTCTATCTTACTATCTTACATTTGTAATGGGCGCGACTTTCTCTATCATAACGGGACACAGACGGATTCGGGATACCTCGCGGTACAATTACCTGGGCAACGGTTTTCTAAGGACATGGGGCAAACCTGGCATGATACCACAAACAAACGGATGGCGTATAAGGCGCAGCCCTCGTTTAAGGGCAAGCCCAACTTTTGATGCATTTGCACGGCGTTTCACGGTGGTAGCAGCATGGGGGGAAGGGGTTGACTTGGCCAGCAAAGAATTGTGATACTCTCTCTGGCTTGGCGGACGGGGGGGGGCTGGGAAGGAGGGGGTGTTGCAAAACAGAAAGAGAGAAAAGAAAAAGAAAAAAAACGGATCTACCCACACAAGCGGCGGGACAAAGACTACTTTGGATTTTTTTTCTTCTTTGGATTTTTGTTTACATACTATGGTTTCATTCCAAAAAGGCAAAAACTCTTGAATAGCTAGCCACTTACAATCGATCATTCACTATGATGTACACATGGTTCATCTTGCATTTCTCCCTTCCGCCCTCTAGTCCTGTTTTCCCATGATACAATCTCTAAAAGTACACAAACAAATCCTTGCGGTGCGGTTTCCGACAACTGTCCATCCCGACAACTCGCTACCGACTTTGAATGTACTGCTTCCTTTCTTTTGACAGCAACAGACCTACTACGTACTTTGCATACTTAGTACCATTCTTGGAAGTCCATGTGGATCAAAAGTAGTCTCCCGGCTTCAATGATATCCTCCATGGCCAAATACCGGTAACTTCCCATTGGGACTTTTAAATTTTTTTTTTATTTTTTTTTTGAACCCCGGCCTGGGCCCAAGGGCGCAGATCACCGGTTGGTCCAATCTCAAATCACATCACTCAATCTTACCAATGCCGGGATTCGAAGTCAGGCTGATCACTTGACCCTGCCTCGGAGGATTCTTTCCCACATGTCGACTTTCTTTCTTCCCTGGTGGGTTGGGAGCTTGGGGCAGTAGTTCCCATTCTTGGATTTTTTCCTTCCTTTCTTTCCGGGACCCCTTCCCCCTCCCCCCCTCCCCCCAAAGGAGATATTCTTCGTCTTCTTCTGTCATTACTTAGGTTGATTTTATTTTCTATTTGGCATTTGTAGAATTTCTAGCGGCACTTGCTATATTAGCGAGAAGGAAAGTTCCGTGAGCTAGTCTTGGGGTGATCGCCTGCCAATGGCCCACCCAGTAGATCATGATCGCCGGTCGAGTGTAGGTTTAAGATTCTCGTAATACAAATTCAGAACTTATTTGGGGTGGCGGGAGTTGGCCCTGCCACAATCCTCTTCCAGAGGTCAGCATCGCCGTCACCGGTTCAACAGTGGTATCGCTCGTGGTAGCCTTCTTCATTTACTTTCTATATCATTCCTCTTTGGAACCCACTTGTCTCACCGGAGGGGGGGGGGAGGGGGAGGGGCCTTATGGACCCGCAGATCTTCCTCAACAAATGCCCTTGACCCTTGACGATGGTCCCAGCATCTTCTGGCTCCCTGGGCAATCTGATAATGTGCTCGAGTGAGGACTTTGTTCCCTCGTCTCCATGCCGAGCTTGCCTGCCTGGAGGGACCCTCTCACACGCTCTCACCGTATCCCCTTCCCCCCCCCCCCCCCGCGCCAAGCCTCCTCAGATCTGGGCTGCCTTTTCGGTTATGGTTTTGGCTTGTGTGTCTACTCTCCATTGTACACAGTTGCACGGACTCTTCGCCTCAAGCCGGGCCCGTCCTCACACCCTCAGCCCCTGAGAGAAAGAGACCGTATAGTGGGCGGGCGGGCCGCAGACGTCATGTTCTCTCCTGATTTACTCCAACGGGGTCCATCATGAACCATCCTTGTAGCCACGAGCCCTTGGACCAGCAACAAGAAAAGAAGAAGAGAGAGAAGAGAGACAAAACCAAAAGGAAGAAAGAACCTCAATCTGCGAAGGCAGGGCGAACGGATGGCGTGTTGGAATAGGGTTTGGGTCTACGGCTAAAAGGGGGCAGCTGTGCGCCGCCCCATACTACCTAACTGGCCCCCCTCCCCCCATAATGAACAGCCGAAAGTGCCGCGTCCAAAACCCAAGCAGACTGCTGCTACTGTTCACAATGCCTCCTCGTGACAAGCCCAGACAAGACACATGATAACGCAGTAATGGCTATCCGGCACATATCGGCCCACTCGTGAGTGGGGAGGAAAAAGAGAGATCACCGTGGGTTGGGGATCCTTGTGACAATCGCCAACAATGTCTTTTTCCCACACGTCGGCGGCCTGCCCGGCTGGGAATGGGAGGCAGCCAAGCAGACTCATGCTGATCATCTTGGTAGAACCGTTGAGCTACTGAGCGGTGAGCCACGGATTTGCATTCGCAGCAGCAGCAGCAGCAGTAGCATAATGTAAAGGTGAGGATTTTGGATCCTTTCCTTTCTCGTGGCCCACTACTGTGGTCGGCCCCGTCTTGGTCTCCATCGTGCGGAAGCAGAGTTTTATTTTGCCCTTCTCTTTCTTACTTTACTCTTTTGCCCTTATCCCCCACCTGCCCTCCCCTCCCCTCCCTCCAGGTCAGCTGCTTCAGCTTCCGCTTAAGCTCAAGGCTGGACGGCCATGGGTTTTGGGTTTTGGGGTGGGAAACCAGGAGGAGGAGCTGCGCCCATCGTTGTATGCTCGGAGGCTGAGTCATAGTTCCTTCTTGTCCTTTAAGGTTTCAGCCTACATCGTTTTCTGTGAAATGATTTCATATTACAGACATTTGATTAGCGGCTGTGCGGGTAGAACCGTAAGTAAGCTCTGCGATAGCGCCCTGACAAGCACGTGAAGCCTTCATCCCTTTTGTTCCATCTAGACAAGTCTGAATGAAGTCCCGCGCACGGGTGTGACACCTGACCTGCTCCATCAGATAGACGGCACAAACTCTCTGACTCGACGACATGGAAGGGCAAAGACGCAAGGTTTGGGAACCGTCATCAGTAATCAAACGCCACATGTACCGTGGTAAACTACCTTTGGAAAGAGAAAGAAAAGAAAGACATTGATTAAGGAGACTAGAACTGTGAAAATCCCATGTAGATAGATAGATGGTGGATGCTTTGCAGGCCAAAGTTATCATCACCATGTGCATGAACACAGCCAAGTGGTGAAAAGTCATGACATGAGGTCCGAGGTTGCTGGTTGTTGACGGAAGTGGAGCCGCGACAGGGTGGTTCTGTTAGCACTCTACAGTGGAGTTGGGCAGGGGAATAGGTGGGGGTCGTGTTTCTGTTACCAGCTTCCTCCTGTGGTACTGGGTACCAGAGTAAAGGAACAATACAGCCCATGTTGCACAGAGCTGGGGTATCCTGTTTAGTATGCAGATCCCAAATAAGCCCTGCCAGCCCCATGCAACAGCCTTTCTGTTTGATTGCCACGAGGATGAATGAATCCTTCTTCATTTTCTTTTGCTTTCTGGCCCCTACCTCCTTAAACATTGAATCTGAGAGGCCTCAAAAGTGCAAGCCTACTTCGCCCAAAAGCCCTTTTTGGGGGAACTCTGCGACAATGCTCATACAAAGTCCATCTCTCTCTCTCTCTCTCCCTCACTCTCACTCATACTCACACATGACCGTGAACAAACAACAAAGCCGGATTTATGTTCTGCCCAGAGTGTCAAGTTCCTGTCAGACCTTCCAAGGTTGTAATAGTAAAAGAAGCAAGCGCAGGAATTTCCTACCATGTGGCGCGGTACTCCGGTACACTACAGTAGAGTTCTCTCGTGTTGGAGATTTAAGCTTAATGCTGCTAGCCCTGCCAGACCTGCGGTAAGCGCAGGGAATTTTCCCCGGGGGGTGGGCAAGGGGCTTCCAACGTCGGAGAACCCCTTCCTAACCGAAGGTAACACATTACTATGGTACATAGCATGTGCCTAAATTACTGTGTAGTAGTAGTAGTACTGTAGATCTTCCGTTGAGGCGGCCAGAGACACAGCGGTCTCGCAAAATGTTCACAGCCAGCAGCGATCGACGCATGACGAACTTGTTACTAAGGAACCCGGATCATGTGTAATATTTGAATACAACGTGGAATGGATGTACGCCATAGGCAGAGCCGCACCGCAGAGCGAGGAGAATCGGTGCGTAATAAGTACCTTCACTGATCATCATGTTTTGCCTGCGACTCTGTGTTTCAACGACCAAGTTTGTAATGCACTTGTTGAATTGCCCAGGCGAAGCAATACAAATGACTATTGCGAACTAGTTCTCGTGCTACAGGAGTACTGTCAGGTCAATAATGAACCCCAATTCTCTTTTTTTTTTTTCTTAATTGATTCTTTATTGAATCTTTTCGGGACTCTTACTGTACCATAGTGCAGGGAAGGGGAATCTCGGCTCTCGAAGAGGCTGGACGCCAAGTCCATACCAGACTCGACCTCCGGGCTTGGCATTACACTGGCTAGATCGTCGTGTGTCTCAGCATCCTTGCGGTCAGTATCAACGCCATACCCCCAAGGTCAGACGATCACCTGCCACCCGGACTGAGGTGAGGGTGTGGTAAGGGCTCAATGCCACCTGTCGTCTTGTCCTCTGGATTATGCTCCCAACGATTGGACTAGGGTTCGTCCCAGCGGCTCAGTACAGCGATCTTTCGGCATTATGACGGCTGGCTGTACCCTCCTTTGCGGACTCTGCGCTTGGCTTCTGTAGGCTGATGCAGGCCACACACACACACAGAGTCTGCTCAATGTCCTTGCATGCGACTGCAGCTTCTTAACGCCTTCTGACCCTCCAATCACCTACGCGAGGCGTCTGCTTTTGACTCGACTTTTCCGTGCAGAATGGGCGACACCAGGGTGTATGTTATCGCGGTGGTACTGTCGTCGACGAGCCCCATGTCTTATTTCGTTGAGGTGGTACCTAAACCGTCCCCCGCCCCCCCCCCCCCAAAACAACAGAGACAATGTTCAGGGACGCCTGTACATGTACCTGCCTGAACGCATGCAGCAGGCGAGAATCCATAGGGCTGTCGATGTCTCAGCCCAGTCAGGATGGCTGGGAGGCCGAGCGACCAGCGACGAGAACCAAGTCACTACACGCACGGACAAATGTTTCGTGACGGCAGCGGCAGCGGCAGCGGCGACGACGACGAGGGCAAGGAGAAGTATGTGGATGTGAGACCGCCACGAAGTTGTGTGCGCTGAGTATGCCTTGTGAGGCCTAGTGGCGATATTCTATGGGCCCTGCCCTCCATTCAGGACCTTTTGGCCAAGCATGCAGCACGATGGTACCGAAGGATGGTGCAACGGCGGCTTCTCCACGGCGCCTGGCCGACTGTAGCTTGTACTCCGACGAAGCCACAGCCTCCCTATGGCTGAGGAGCCGGACGGAAGTGGCTTGCGAGTAAGTCCTGATCCGACCACTTACTATAGTACTATACAACAAGAGTCAGTCAGACAGAACAGTCAGTCAGTCAGTCAGTCAGTCGTTCAGGCCAGCAAAGTGTGAAACTCGGCGGAAAGGCGGTCTCGACCTTGGCAGTCGAGGTCTGACGGTGACCGTGTTTCAGTCCTCCTGTTCTTGCGCCGTGTGGGCCGGTTCCAGGAGGCCAACCTTAATCAGACGTCGGGGAGGAGGGACACTGTGTATGCTGCGTATGCTGCACTCAATCGATCCTAGAGCACTTGTCTATCTGAGCCCGAACCAAGATTTGAATGTCCTTCTTCTCGGTTTCGAATTGTTCGTTGAGTCGTCGACGCACTCACTGGGTTGCTCATGTGTGCTTTCAAGTGGGGTGGGTCGTATTGCACCATTCAGGGGTTGTTACAATAATGCACGCTACCATGAGAGGTTCGAGTCAAGAATTGGTCTTGGGCCTTGGTTTGTATTTCGGCTCGTGGTATCAACATCTGAGGTAATAGGTAGTAATTGATCACAGGGAGCCAAGGTACTGGTGGATGATGGCGGTGGTGTTGTTATTATTATTGTTGTTGTTTGTCCTGACGCCAATCAACAGCTCAACAACAGGATGAACGACCAGAAATCAGGACGAAAAAGAGCCTACTGCATGTAGCCTGCGTTAGCCTTAATCTAGTCACCTTTTCTTGGACATCATGCTGCAGAATCCCCCAACCTCTTCCAGCCGCAGCGGTTAATACACCACCACTCTGCCTAGACATCATAGGATCTACAACAACATACCATGTACTATGTACATTGTGCATGATTATGGTGGTGAGAGAGATCAGACGAGAGAGACAGAGAGAGGAAGAGTCGCCGCCTCGTTTCCGCCCCTCCCACACAGCCTTCCAGAGAGGCGCCTGTCAAAATCCCAGGCACAACCTGAGACGAGACGAAAAGAATGCCAGATGTTCGGGAAGCTTTGCATCCATCCCGCCGTGCTCCGCACTCTGCTGCATACAGCCGGAGGGGGGGGATGTAAGCTTACCTCGTTTAAGCACCCTTGCCGCTGCGAGCTCCGGCGTCAAGGGTCTCACAATAAGGCCACCAAACCAAACTTGTCATTTGTAGTGCCCAGATTACAGTATGTATACCGTCCACCCTAAACCAGCCCACCTCCCCTTCGGTACCATACTTCGGATTCATCTGATGATGATGATTCTGCTGTGAGAGTTTTCACTACAGGGCTACCACTGCTTTGCTGGTCGAGGCAATGGTGGCACGGCCGCGGGGACGTTTCGAGGGACACAGGTGGAGATGACATTCTGTGACGTCTGTCTTCATCGATCGATTCCCAGGGTCCAACCCTTCTATCGTTCTCGATGAAGATCGCCACGACTTGGTTTGTGTAGCAGGGAGTAGAGCAGACACATCTCTGGAGACAAGGGCCTGTTTAGCTACCGCAAAGGCCTGGATATCTTTCCGTCAGCTCAAATAATGACTATGCCATGCTCCCTCATGCCATGATAGGTTCCCATACCCAGTCTACTTCTTCTTGGTCTTGACTCTCTGATGAGAGAATTGTGCTATACTCCATTCTCTGTTAATCCTGCGCCAATTTGGCACAAGGCGATAACCAATATGCCCTTATTGTGTGCGCTGGATCGCATCCACGTCCTGCAGCAGCCAGTTGAGCAGGTTATAACATGACGAAATAAGCTCAAAAACAAGCGTATTTCATACAAGTGCCGTCAGAGGGATCCTCGGGACGGCGAGGATCCGCGTAGATCCACCCTTAGACACCCCTCTAGGCGGCCAGCCTTTTTGGTTCATGACTATGTACTATGGTACTTTGGGCCAATGATACCCTCTCGTATACCAGGGTAGGGTTCACTCACCATCACGACGTAGGCCGCCGAAATTTTTTTTTAATTTTTTTTCTCGAGTGGTGAGACTGGGTATGTGTTGCCCCGTTGGAAAACCTTTCGGTTCGAAGGACCTGGTAGGGTCGTTTCGAGAAGCCCCAGACCTCGCCTAAATACCAGTACCCACCACCCACGGAGAAGGGGGCTTTACGATGTGTGTGTCGGTGGATCCCCCGCCTTCCGGGGGCGCCCTGCAGGCGGTCATCGGCCTATGTTGAGAATATTGGCCCGTGGCGTGGCCGGCCCTCGTTGTCCTTTTTCCTTTTCATCTCAAATTGCTGGTGGTGTCGTCTCGGCCATGGGACGGCGGGTGCGATCCCCTCTCGTGTTTCACGACCTTGATGGATGAACGATGGTGAAGATGATGATGCCCTGACTCCTCTGACGGCGGGGGGATTTTTATTTCATCCCTGTTAAGCGAAGATCAAGCTTAACGTGACCCATCCTCGCTTGCCTGGTACACACATTACTGCAGTCCATTACATGATACATGAAGATGGAAGGAGAAAGAGGAGAGGGGGGGTGTGGTGGTAGTCCACATGGTGGCGCTGGTGGAGTTCAACAGTCTGAACTGACTGCCTTGGAAAAGAGGATCCGCTTGCGCTTGGTCGAAACTAAACCTGATGTACTGGTTACCTCGCTGTTTATCCTCGTCGCAGGTCTCTGGAGCAGCTAGCCAAGACGACGGAACGACTCAATCCGTGTCGTGGGGGTGGAGAGGGTAAGGGTGGTATGCACTGCTTGGATCGACGCCCAGCACGGGAGAGCGACTGTCCAAGGGTGATCGTGGGTCTTTTCTCTCTCTCTCTCCTATCTCTCTCCTGGAGAGAGAACGAGCGGGGTGAAACTACACACCGTGATCTGTGACAAGGTCCATGGGGGCGACCGTCACAGCTCCTGTAGTTCACTCTTTCTGCGTCTGGATAGCTGGACGTCACCTATTGCAAGCCTCCGCGCTTCAGATGGACCGGCATTGAGAGGCCGAGGGATGACATATGCCCCTCGCTTGCTATCGGGACGCCTCGGTTCTCGAAGGCGGTAGCGGAGCCCCTGAAGGCCCGAGAGATGGTAGCTCAGGTACTTCCTGTACTTCCAAGGTACAAGTGAGGTTGTACATCTGGACCCCTTGCTGCGAGGATGCAGCTAAGATCAAAATGGTGTCCGCAGATATGACCGTTGGATTTGGGGCGTGACAAGATATGGAGGAAGATGATGATGTTGTCAGGGTTCATCCAATTGCTGAGCCTGTTGCCGCATCTCTGCCACTGGATGTGTTGAGATCTTGTATGTTGAGCGGGAGAAAAACAAAATGGTTGAACTTGCAATTGTGAGCAGCCTATAGAACCTGACTCCAAGCCTGTGATAAATTAGTGAGGTTAAAACAGGGCAACAGCCATACTTGGTGAAATAAGTGAATTATCTCTTCAAGCACTCCGTCTCAGTTCTGCTAAGTGATCAAACGATTATGGCAAGGAGAGCTGGTCCTGGTTGATAGCTAGGTGATCTTGAAAACAAAATAGATTCGAGGTGGAAGTCTTGGTGCATCCGACGTCAAAGAGGAGATGTGTGCAAGTGTGTATACATGCGTCTTCATGCGTATGTATGCATTTATAGTCGAAGTAGCTTCTTTGAGGATTCGACCTTTATCTGGCGAAGCTATCCAGATACCACTGGCGGAACTGCCTACTCAAGTTCCTCCACCCACGTACGTCTTCTGCTACAGTGGACGAACAGCTTGAAAAAAAAAAAAAGGCATCGTGATATTCATTACTAGTTGGGACATGTCCCTGGAAACAGCCATCAGAATTCCCGGTTCGCAAAGGAAACGGGAAAAAGAGAGAGAGAGAGAGAGACAGGTTTTGTGCCTGCTAATCATGACATCAATACAATCCTTGGTCCCCAAATTATCAAACAGATGTGATCTCTGTTCTCAGTCAGACTCCGTCACACATCTAATCTGCGAATGGTGACTTCTTCGTGGCCTAGACGGAGATATTTCGTGGCTGCTGCCTCCTTGACCCTCGTCTCGGCATCCAGCTTTTCCTTGGCCTGCCTCGCCAGCTCCTTGATGACCAGCCTGGTGCTCCTCGTGAATGTGTTGTACCACGAGGCGTGGGGCTTGCACCGCCGGCGTTCGCACATGCCGGCCGTCTCCATGTTGAGCTCCTTGCCGGCGGCCTCGGCATCCTCCTTGGCCTTCCACAACTGTTCGTCGGTAAAGCAGCCCTCGGCAGCCAGGCTGTTGCCCCTGTAGATGGCCTCACCCTGCGCCGACCTGGCGAATATGGAGAAGTCGTCAGGGCAGCCAACGACGTCCAGGCGGCAGTCGTAACCGCACACGTCTTTCTCGAAGAGGCCAGCGGTGATGGCCGCCCGGCGCCGCTCGTTCGCAAGGTCCAGCAGCTGTTGCATCTTCTTGTTCAGCACAATCTCCTCGGCCAGCGCATAGCGGTCCGAGGCGGACGTGGTCAAGAAGTCTTCTTCTTCAGGCGTGAGAACGTAGCATTGATCGACCTTGGCCCAGAAGTCGGACGGAACGTCTAGAGTGTTGTCAGTGAAGCTGTTCATCATACATAGCAGCAACGCTTGCTGTCCAGCCATAAGATCAGAAGAGGGAAGAAAGACAAAAGTGGGATCTCACCAAAAGGTATCTTGCCAACACTCCAGGGCACCTCCCCCTCGACGGAACTGGGCAGGTTAGAGCCGTCCAGCAAGCCCATAAACTGCTCCCTTGTGAATTCCGCTTCGTTGACCATGGATTTCCCCTGCTCGGGAAGTGACCGCACGAGCAGCTCCCACCACTCGTCCGCATGTCTATCACTGCAGAAGACACTGAAGTAGGTCAGCGGCTTCATGGCGCCCTTCCTCCCCGCGTACCCCTCCTCGTACATGCGCGCGGCGTTGAGACATCCCTCCAGGGAACACGTCTTCTTGTACCTGGTGACGTTGATGCCGCGATCATCAGTGCAGCTGGGACACACGTAACGCACGATGAGGGCCTCGCCGATGGTCTTATCAACACCGACACACTCCCCGTGGAACCAGTCCTCGCAAACGTCGCAGCTGATCATCCAGCGGTGGTCGTCTGGGCCGCGGCAGATGCAGTAGGGACCGTGGTCGGACTCCTCGTCGTACAAGGGCCCCTCGCTGGCGCCGTCGATATCGCTCGAAGCAGCAGTAGCAGCGAGAGGAGGGGAGGTGGGGGTCTCCCCGGGGCCGAAGCTAGACGATTTGCCGCCGCGCCCGCCGCGCCTGGAAACTGAAGTGGCCGCCCTGGTACCTCCGCGGGCGGCCCTACCGGCACGTGAGCCCCCGCGGCCTCGACGGCTTGAAGTCTTCTTGACGAGCGCCGCCGTACCTTTCTTCTTGGCGGCTCGCGCCGCGCCCGAGGGCTTCGTAGAGGGGGAGGCTGCTGCTGATGAGCCGTCCAGCTGCGAGAAGAAAGATGGAGTTCGTGATGAGCGAGGCTCGCTCTTGTTGGTGGTCGGTGTGGGGAGGCCGTCAGCCATGGGCAAATCTGGTATATCTGCCATGTCTGTCTCGCCGTCAAAACCACTGCCAGTTTCCATCTTGATGCTGGCGTCAGATATCACTGAGGCAGCGCCGCTGGGCACTGCATCCATATTTGAAGTTGAGGGCGAGTCTGCTGAGCTCTGCAGCGTGTGGGGTGAGTCAGAATAGAACCTGTTATCAGAATCCATGATGGACATGTGCCTTGCCACACGGTGTTTGAGAATGGGAAAGAACAAAATAGACAAGATGCAAATGCAGCAAGTATCAACCGCGCCAATGTACCCAAAAAATAAATACAAAGATATAAACCCTGCAGTATAGAAGAATATGTCTGACTAAGAAGAACTTGTGTCGAATTGAGCAGGAAAGGGAAGTGATGAGGGCATACACTTGGGTGATGTTGTTTGGCTCCCTTCGATGTGTTTCTTGATGGGAAGTTGAAGTTTGCGAGGCTGATTGGCTGTGCACACCTTCTCCGCCCGGGCCCGCTAAAGCTTGCAGGGGACAGGGATCAGGCGCCTTGCAGAATCAACCAGAGACCCATAAGATGGTCTGTGCACCATGCAGGTCCTTATTTTTTTTCTTCATCTTTTTGAGTTGATAGTCTGCGATCTATCAATACAAGTGCTGAAGAATAGGAAATTCTGGGACGTGTCTAACACTGAATTTCATCCTCACTCTTTTTTCCCATTCATCCTGGACATTATCACCTGATACTTCCTCTTTGTACTGTGTCTTTCTGTCTGCACCAAAAGCACACCACCATGGCCCGGTCCATAGCACCCTCGAGGGCACTGCTGCGCAGCTTCCAAGATATCTCAGCCGCAGCATCATCAACACCATCGAAATCATGTCGTCGGTTACTCTCCTCGTCACAGGGCTCCTCTTCCATACAGAGACCCACCGTTTTGCGATCGATCGCCCATTCCCAGAAGCACCAACCCCTCATCCAAAAGCGCTTCAAATACAAGTCAATTGAGGAGGCAAAGAGTCGGTACTCAGTAGGGGTATGCAGAGAGACCTCAACACCCTATGTGCACTGCTGCAAAATTAGCAGGAGGATCAAGACAGGGGAAAAGCTAACGTTAGACCGTGCTGCTATAGCCGTTCTCCTGGAAAGCAGCCGTACTGTTTGTCGCGACGGCTGCCGGCCTGATGTGGTATTTCGAGTCCGAGAAGGGGCGCATGCAAAAGAAGCGGATAGCAGAGGCGAATAAGGCGGTCGGCAAACCCAAGGTGGGAGGCTCGTTCAACCTGGTGGATCAGGATGGTAAACCCTTCACGGATGCCGACCTGAAGGGACGACACTCTCTGGTACGTCGCGGCTGCAACGTTGCGTGCTTACACAGCTTGTACATTGCCGTCCCTCGCTGACACGCGTTCTTTTCTCCCTCTACTCCAGGTCTACTTTGGCTTCACCCACTGCCCCGATATCTGTCCCGAAGAGCTCGACAAGATGGCCATCATGTACGACTACGTCGAAAAGCAAGCACCGGGCGCACTAAACGCCGTATTTGTGACGTGCGACCCTGGGCGCGATGGACCCGAGGAGCTGAAGAAGTACCTTGCCGAATTCCACCCGAAGTTTGTGGGCCTCACGGGGACGTACGACGATATCAAGGCTATGTGCAAGGCGTACAGGGTGTATTTTAGCACGCCTTCAAAAGTGGCGCCGGGACAGGACTATCTGGTGGACCACAGCATCTACTTCTACCTAATGGATCCCGAAGGCAATTTCGTGGAGGCCCTGGGACGACAACACTCGCCCGAACAGGGCGCTCAGATCATCTCGGGCCACATCAAAACGTGGGACAGTTGAAGAGAACATGGGGCAGCAAAGAGAAGAAGAAAAGAAAGATTTAAGGCGCTCTGGCTTCTCCACTCATATCACGACAGTCCGAGGAACATTGCACTGTGGGAAAAAAACAATGCATATTTATGTATATAATACGAGGGCTTTCAGATATACCCCAGATCTTGTAAGCCAAGAGGCTAAACTGCATGGGCTGTTGACATCGAAGAGGGATGCTGTTTCGAGAATAGTTGCATGTGAGGCCCTGCAGTCATAAGAGAAAAACAATCACGCAATTGGTCCAATGAAACCCTACAGCTTTGACCTAGACCTTGAGCTGCAGGGCGGCTCTTCATAAGCACGTGTACGTTGGAAAAAAGAAGGCTCCCCCCCCCCCCCCCCCTCCTTTCTCGCTCCTGGAACTCATTATGACATGCAAAGAATGATCTTCAACCTGTTCTCCCCCAGGCTCAACAAAGGTAAACAGCCAGGTTACGCACATGAGCGCTGGGGAGAACCGTAATGTAGCCGTGCTCCGTGGGGTGTTTACGTCATTTTTCGGGCCCAACCGAGCCTCACCCTCTACAGGATTAGAGCTTTCGAGCTTTGGAGGGGCTGCGCCAGGGGGCTATCGATACTGCTAATGCCCAACGATCATGACCAATTGACACATGAAGATAGAGCACACCTCTAGGGGCAAGAGAAAAAAAAAACCTTGAACCCTGTCGTGTCCCTTCGCCGTGTCATGTGCCTCGATAATTTCGCAGACGAATTGCTTCTGTTGTACCTGAGCAACCCTCTCCCAGTCCCCATAGAGCGAGTTTGTTTTTCCTTCTCATTCTACCAGCATTTTACTAACACATCAGGCTTATGACAATAGTACATACAGCCTGTTTGTGTGTATCTTGTGTGCCTATCCCTAGCTGCCGTTGCCCGGATCATAGCTTCTTTCTTATCTAACCCAGACACTTAGTCCCTGTATCACCCTCTCCAATCTACCACCTCCTCCTGCTCCTCGTTCTCTCTAGCATCGAGCTCGGTTCAATCTCGACAAGGCCTCGTTGCCCAAGCTCGAGCACAACACTACTTACAAATCACTTCAACAATGTCTACGTCCACGCCTCCCATCCTCAACGCCCATGGCCAACCCATCAGGTCCGCCCTGAAGACCGACGACGATGTCGCACGCACGCCTCCCAGCGGGCCCGTGAAGGGTAAGCATATCCCCCGAAATCTGCGAGGAGGGCTTTCTGCCTCCACTGTCTTACCAAACATCATATGATTCTCGTTCCTGCCTGTTCAACATGGCACAGCGCAAGTGCTGATTATCTGTGTTTGCCTTGGTGTCTTGCAGCGCTTCTGGGCTTTGTGAGATTGAGGTATACTCATATGGGAGATCCTCCAAGTGCTGGAATCTTTTTGTGATGACCATGGCGAGGCGTCGGGAGGGTTGCCCAAATGCTTGATCTTCATCAGGTAAACGCTCCGCCTTCTCGGGAGTCAATATGCAGACTATCTACTCTTATATGTCTGCTCCTGCGGAGTGACTTACGCTGACCATATCACTCTTTGCAGCCGTTCACATAGCCGAGCCAGAACCTCCTGCACACGAAGAACCAATGTTCAAGAGGCAGTTCTCTGCCAGCGTGGGTGGAAAACGCCTCAGCGGAAGACCACCCATACCTACTGGCAGCTCCTCGCGCTCGTCGGTGCTCTCCTTGAACAATATGGAGACGTTGGACCTGGGGGCGCACCAGAGCGGCTCGTCACTGGTCCAAACACCTGATGAAATTCCAGGCCAGTCAGGTGGTAGCCAGCCGCAGCAGCAGCAACAGGGCCCAGATCAGCAACACTCCCACAGGGTGGATCGTGTCTCGGAGAAGCTAGTTGCCCAGATAGCTGAGTGGCTCCAGCGCGAGAAAGCCAAGAGGGAGTCCAGGAAGCCAAGGAGACACCACCATCACCATCACCACCTGCGCCGGAAACATCGAGAGGCGCAGCCTCAAGAAGAGCCGATCCCGGAGCAATCAGAGCCAGAGTTCGATACTTCGCTTCAGCGGACGACTTCCATCGACTCTAATTCAAGTGATGTGTCTTTGGATCGGCTGCAGCGCATCCTGGACGATAGCATGTCCGCCCTAGGCCTGAACTCGATACCGCATTTTGGGCCGAGGCTGGGCAGACGGTCTTCGCATCGGAGTAAGAAACATGCTTCACGATCGTCGCTGCATCTGGCTCGTGCAGCCTCATCTGACACAGACTACGTCGACGGCGATGCTATCGTACCGAGCTGCGATGCCATGCTAGACAACACCCTGACACTGAAATACTCTCAAGGCACCGCGGATGATTCCATCTCTGTGTCAAGCCGACGAGAAGAGAAGGAGAAGCAGGTGTGGCTTACTTTCAAGAACGAAATCATTCGCCTGGCACACACTCTGAGGCTGAAGGGCTGGAGACGTGTCCCGCTGGACTCTGGGGACGATATTAGTGTTGAACGGCTCAGTGGCGCTCTGACGAACGCGGTCTACGTTGTGACCCCCCCTGAGAACTTGTCCGAATCCACCGAGCAGGCCACGAAAAAGAAACCCCCAAAGCTGCTCCTGCGCATATACGGTCCGAATGTGGAGCATTTGATCGATCGTGACAATGAGCTCATGATCCTCAAGCGCCTCGCGAGGAAGAAGATTGGACCGCGGCTATTGGGCACCTTCAAGAACGGTCGGTTCGAGCAGTACTTCAACGCAGCACCCCTGACGCCAGAGTCTCTTCGCGAACCGGGGACGTCAAAGCAAATCGCGAAGCGTATGCGCGAACTTCACGATGGTGTCGACCTTCTAGAAGAAGAGAAAGATGAGGGTCCGACGGTGTTCAAGAATTGGGACTGCTGGGTGGACAATGTTGAGAAGAGGACACTTTATCTCGACCACCTCACATCCATTGAGAAACTCAATACTCCTGTTGAATCTACGGAGTCATGGAGAACTCAGGGCTACGTATGTGGCGTGGAGTGGCCCAAGTTCAAAGCCATGGTTGACAAGTACCGCGCTTTCCTCGTCCAGTCCTATGGTGGTCCAGCTGTACTGCGCAACAAGCTCGTTTTCGCGCACAACGATGTAGGTTTCCTGTCGGTTCTACCTTGTTCGTCCTTCTGTCCATGCTTACATCACCTATAGACGCAATATGGCAACATTCTCCGTGTTCGCCCGGACGACGAGCGCTCGCCGCTTCTGCAGCCCGAAAATGTACATAAACAACTGATCGTTATCGATTTCGAATACGCCTCGGCGAATACCCCCGGTCTGGAATTTGCCAATCACTTCACTGAATGGGCATACAATTATCACGACGCAAATACCTCCTATGCATGCAACGCCGAGGGGTACTATCCCAACCTCGAAGAGCAACAGCGGTTTATCAAAGCCTATGTGGAGCATCGGCCCAAATTCATGACTAACTCGTCATCCGCCTCTGACGATGTGACGCCATCCGGAACGCCGCTCCTGGGCCCACAGCAGACGCAGCTGCCCATGACCACGCCGAGCTCTAGCTCCATCGTAGAGTTTATGCTGGACGCCCGCGTCCCACCCGGAGGGTGGAAGGAGGAGGAACGACGCGCGGTAGAGTTGAGCGATGCCAAGGTACAGGATCTCATCCAGGAGACGAGGCTGTGGCGCGCGATGAACAGCGCCCAATGGGTGGCTTGGGGAATCGTGCAGGCCAAGATACCGGGGTATACCGATACCGACCAAGGCAACGAGCCTGCACCGCCCTCGCCCGCAGGTTCGGAGGCGACGGTCACGGGGGATAATGGGAGTACCGGCGAGAACGGCGGTGACGAGGAGGGCTTCGACTACCTGCGGTATGCGCATGATCGGGCGCTGTTCTTCTGGGGCGACTGTGTCCAAATGGGACTTATCAAGATGGAGGAGCTCCCTGAGGAACTGAGGGGCCGCCTCAAGATTGTAGAGTACTGAGAGTATGACGATGGATTCAGAGGCTGGGCGAGAAGCTCGGACACCTGGGGCAGAATGAACTGTAGTATCGTTAATGAATGATGTCAGGCATTGCGGGAAGGTTATTGACCCAAGTACTTTAAAGCACTCAAGTGGACATGTGAACCGAATCACATCGCCTCGAAAAGTATCCCCCTCGTATGTATTAGAAGAGAAGAGAGGAACACAATTTTCACATGCCCCATGCAATACGTAAAGGTCAACACAAATCATTGAATCCATCATCAGCCAAAGAAAGAACAATTTTTTATATTTCAGGGTATACAAGCATACCAAGGCCCCTCCGTATCTCTCACTGTCAGTACAAATTATTATCATCAAGTATCCGCCGACAGCAGATCAGAAGGAAGAAGTGGTACACACACGCACACGCACGCACACAAGAAGAGAAAAAGAAGTTGAACAGGCCAATAAAAGTCGACAGGCCGAAGCGTAACACAATCGCTAAGAAGATGCGGCAACATTTGATCGGTACACGTATCCAGACACGAAAACACAGCCAAAAAAAAAAAAAATAAAAAAAAATAAAAAATAAAAAAAAAGGAAAAAAATATAAAAATAAAGAAAGATTAATATCTCGCACAGGCATTCGTCGTCATGGCAGGTCGTAGATGAGTGGCCGCGAGGCTCATGGTGGGGTCGATCCCAGTCCTCTCTTTTTTCTCTTCAAGTTCGTCAATTCCTCCCTCCCTAGTTTTTTTTCTTCTTCTTCTTTTCGGGTTTTGTTCTTTCCTCCCCCCCCCCCCCCTTCTGTTCTCTCTTTTCTGCCAGAGCGTTCGTTCTTTGCATTCGTTTCAGTAAGCCATCCCCAGCAGCCGCGAGGCCCGAAATGCGATCTTTGAGACAATATAGAATGGACTTAAGGCTATTCCCTCCTTCGCCTTTCCCCCGGTCCATTGAAGGTGTGATACAAGGGAAACAGACAAAGAACAGGAAAACGAAATGAAATAAAAGGACATAGAAAAGAAAATAGGGGCAGCTCTTGACGCAAGTGCGGATTATTGACCGCCCGTGATGAACTCCTAGGATCCCCTTCTCATACTCGTGGTGGCCTTATCTTTACTGGTGGGAGGCTTGGGCGCAGAGGAGTAAAGGAAGAAGGGGGGGGGGGAGGGGGTTGAGCCTGACGCTGGGCAAGCTGCGGTGCTGTTATATCCCGAGATTGCTTGTCCGTCGATACAAAAAGCTCTCTGCCCTCTCCCCCTGTGCAGGATTGAGGTTTTTTTCTCTTTTTTCTCTTCTTTGTCTTGTGTTCCTCGAAGCATTTAGCTGCATGGTCTCGCTTCTCGCGTGACCTACCCTTCCTCGTTTTGTGGCGAGTTGCGTTCGCGGTTCTTCGGACATTGCATTCCAATGGCTGGACTTCTTGTACGACGGTTGACCGCGTACTTAATTTTCCGGCTGTCCAGGGTGTTTTTGCTAGGGGCAAAGGGTTTGTGCTTCCTTCTCTCCTTCTCTCCTGTCTCTCTCTCTCTCTTTTGTGTTCCACCTCCTGTGGAAATCGATGCTCTCCCCTATTCTCCTGTGCCATGCCTGAGGCCTCAGTGTCTTTCCCTTCGCGACGACGTGTGCTGCGATGTATGATGCGACGACGAGTGGTGGTGTCTCGAATGGGTGTGCGATGAGTGACGGTGTCTGCCGCTGCTGCTGGAGTGGTGGTGGTGTCCGCCGCTCGACTGCGATGCGTCCAAGGCGCGCTCCATCTCCTGAACCCTGTGGCGGAACCCCCTCACAATATCCCTTATATGGCGTATGCGGTCGAACTCGGTCTCGAGCTCGTCGATCTGGCCCATGATGGTGTGAAACCTGAGAATCTCGGCGTCGGCGTTGTCGATCAAGTTCCCAGCCTGGTCGTACACGGCCATGGTGACCTGCTGCGACTGCTCCGTCAGGTGGTCGAGCTGCTGGGAGATCTGTTGCATCAGCCTCTCGAAATGCCGGCCCAGCTGTGCGAGCGACCCGGAGTCGAGAAGCAGGAGGCCCTGCGAGGAGGCTCGGCTCGCAGCGCGCGATGAGCTCGAACCTCCGCCTGCGGCGATGGCTGCCTCTCTCTGTGCGTGCTGTAGGGCGACGATCTCGTCTCCCGAGAGACCTAGCTGGTTGACGGACACTGCGTTGGGCACGGCTTGAGACGACGAAGACATGATCGGGGGTGGGAGGGGCAGGTCAGAAGGTTAGCCCCTCGGACGGTGGGTGTGAAGACTTTGAGAGCCTGTAAGCTGGCTGGAGGGTATCGGTTCTTCTTTCTTTCTCCTTCTTCCCTTCCTTCTATTCTTTTCCCCCTTCAGGGAGAGCTGCAAGGCGGAGGCTCTTGTTCTGGAGCTGCTGCTGCTGTGTCTGCGTGGGGGAGAAGGAAAGAAAAATTCTCAAGCAGCGCACTGCTGGTGTGTTGGCCCCGACGACGTGGCTCTGTTGTTGCTGGCGGCGACGGCGCTGAAGGGTGGCACGAGGGCTCCCAAGGGTGTGTCAAAAGTCCCTCCGGGGGAAAAAAAAACACAGACCGACCAAAAGAAATAACAAGACACACAAAAGCAAAAACCAGGCCAGACCGTCAACGGGGACAGCAGCCAACTCAACCACGTCGAGCCGCAATGCGACCGACAGCTGGTGGCTGACTGCTGCTGCTGCGCTGCTGTTGTGGTATGATGCAGGTGTGGTGGTAGCAGTGGTGGTGGTGTTGGTAGCGGCAGTGGTGATGGTGGGCACGATGCGGACGGCCTTTGTGGTGGTGGTGCGACCAACGACGCAGCGGTGGGGGCGGCAGTTCAAGATCTTGGTGACAGCGATGATCCTGTGTCTGTTCCCACAGCTGAAGATCGATTGCGGGGTACGGCGCGCGGCGCCGCCGAGTCGTCCCACAGGGGTCGTCGCACCACGAATGCGACGAGGACAACGTCGACTGAAGAGGTTGCGGCAGCTGCTTCCTGGCGCACGGCGTCATTGTTCCGTTTGTGCAGCGCACATGGCAGGTCCTTTTTAGTGGTGCCGGTGGTGGGAAGCGTGGGTGATGACGGCGATGGGGAAGAATTCGGGCGATGTGACAAGCCGCAGAGTTCACCAAAAAACGAATGAAGATTAAGCCCCTCCCCAAAACTCTCCCAACAACAACACGTCGTCGCGAGGCTGGTCGTTGGTGGGCCCAGAGACCGGTGGTCACATCTGCTTTGTCGAGCTAGATGGAGCAGGAGACACGGCAAGGCTCGATCGGTGAGGACATGAGAATGTAGACATATAGTTCAGAAAGCGAGGGCGCGCAATCGAATCAGAGCTGACCGGTCGACTGGTCGAGATAAGAGGCGCAAAAAAAGAGGCGCACGACTGGGGGGCGATGCTGGGTAGGCGACCAACAGATGGTGTAGGGGGGGTGCCTCGTAAGGTGCCGCAGCGCCTGGTCGACGGAAAGTCTGTTCTGAGTCGCTCTGAGCTGCTCGGGCCGGCTGGATGGTGGTTGCCAGTGTGTCGTCGTCGGGTTTTGTACGAGGATAAATTAATTGTATAATTCAGCAGGCCAGATGACAACGCTAGACATTAGGTAGGGGCACGACCTCAAAGTGGCAGCCCATCCTCCACGAGAGAGAAGAGTCGTGTGCAAGGGACCCCGAGACAAGATGCGGAGGTGCGCTCCCCTTCTGCCCGCCGGGTGTACGTTCACATGGGGCCTTGATCCTGCCTCTTGACGTGTGGATCAGGTCTTGCTAGAAGGGCTGATGTCGGTCGATATCGCTTGGATGTGTGCTGATCTTGAAGATCAAATATAGAGGTCGTTGTCGTCTTTGCGCGCGGCGGTCTTTACATGCTTGATTCCCGAGTCGCGCGTCAGCTGATCCATGGATAGACCAGTGCCGCAGCCGTATGTTGTTCCGACTTTTTGCGCCCCTCTTTCTCTTGTGTGTGTGTGTATCTGTCTCTGTCTCTGTCCGTCTCGTCTCGTCTCCCCTCTTGAGCGCGTGGTTCAGGTAGGGCAAGAAACAACCGAATCGTTTTGGTTTGGTCACGTATCAGGGCGATAGTGGGTTTGGTCTTGGAGCATCGAGGATGGAAATGCGGAGATGCATAGTGGGATCTCCAGTCGGGACAAAAAGAGGAGCAACGGCTGCCCAGATGCTTTGCCTGTTGAAGAAAAAGGTTAATAAAAAAGCCCGCTGATGCTTGACTTTACTTGGCTTGGTCAGGTCGAAGTCATGTGTTTGAAAGGTGCTGGGTCTTATTTCCGACGATGTTACTGTTGGACCAGGTACCCTAGCCGAAGCCCAAATCCTCTGAAGATGTACTGTGTACCCCCAATTCGGGCCAACCCTGGAAGAGACTGCAGTCAACGTTCTCTAGTACTACCACCATAATATGTTGTGCTACCATATCATAGTGTAGTGTACAATATATCTTCATTCTACCCTCTCTCTCTCTCCCTCTCTCTCTTTCTCTATTTACACTATACAGAACTCAACCATCATCCAAATCGTTGATAACTTGGTCCTACTCCTCGGTAATACATTGCATACCCAAGATATCTTGTCCAAGGGTTCTTAATCACTCGATCATCTGCATAGGGTCAGGACGAGGCCGCCTGACCAGTCCACAATGTGTTTTCAGGTCACATACTGCTTCTTGAGTCCCTCGAACCGCTCAAATCTCTACCGTAGGAGATCTGGCCGTCTACAAAAACCGGATAAACGAAGGTGCGAAGATTGACACTAGCGCATGTGGCGAGTAGGGGCAAGACTCGAGGAGAGTGAACAACAAGGAGGGATCGAGTCACAGCATTACAGCGGCAATAGGACGAGATAATAGACTATAGGGTGCATAGCTCTGGTTGCATGCAAGCTTGCTAATCTACAAGAGCCGCCACGGGCCGCCATCAAACGGCGGGACGCTTTATCCGAGGAGCTGCGCGAGCTTCGGGATGGGGGGTTCACGGTATTTTTCAACTGCATACTCCTAGAGACAGCCAGAAAGACGAACAAGGTCAGAAGACGGTCACAACCAGTCTGATGGACACAACAAACACACACACACACACACACACACACACAACAACAACACAATGATATGTAAAAGGCCCAACGCCAAATTGCTATTCACAAGATTCTCAACTGAGCTGCTGTACGACGACTCGTCCCCCAGGCGAGAATCTCCAAAGGATATGAACAAATATGAAAATGAAACATAGTAGTTGTATCTGGGTATCTGTCTAATAATTGCATGAATATATATTTAGGAAGACTGGTACACTTGGAAGGATCCAAACTCCCAATATGCGTCCGTAAAGTTGGATGGGTTGTTTGCCACGAAATCCGTACAGTTGCTCGGGCCTGGAATGAGAATGAGATTAACGGTTTGATCCATGAGAAGACAGGAGGAGGAGGAGGAGGAAGAGGAGGAGGAGGAAGAGGAGGAGGAGGAAGAGGAGGAGGAGGAGACACGGAAGAGGGGCAAAAAGAGATGATATGAATTTTTAATTTTTTTTTCACTTACATCCAGCCGAAGTATAGTCGTCGCCGCCAGCCCAGCTACCACAAAAGTCGATATTGATAATGATGGACTGGTTCTGGAAGTGCGTGTCAATGTCACACCCAGTGTCGGGGAAATCGGCCGTCGCCGTGCCCCAGGTGCTCGGGTCGGGGCTGCCGGCGTCGATGTCGCTCGGGATGCTGCCCCGGGCAAACTGCCAGACGCGGATGCCCTCGCTGCGCCACTCGACGGCGGTGACGCCGCCCCCGTTGTCGTTGTACGCCGCGCCAAAGGTGGCGGTGTCGGCCTGCACGCCGCACCCGGCCTCGTCGTTGGCGTCCCAGTAGCAGTTGTCGTACAGCGCCGTGCCGTTCATCTCGCGCTTGTGGTCCATCTCGCAGCTGCTCTTGGTGTGCAGCGTCATCTGGTTGCCCGTCGTGCCCATGTTCACCGCCTCCATGGCGTCGATCTCCCCGTGCGCCGGCCAGTTGTCGGGGTCCGTCAGCCACAGCGCCGGCCAGGTCCCGCAGCCTACTGGTGAGTGCTTCACGTCGAAGATGAAGAGGCCCTTGTCGTACGTCGTCTTGGACGTCACACGCACACTGCTGCGGGCGGTGGTGGTGTCACGGCGGTCTTTCCGGCCGGGGCCACCACCTTGCGAGGACTGACTGCCCTGGTTGTTGTTGTTGTTGTTGTTGCTGTTGTCGCTGCTGGTGGTGGTGGTGGTGCTGCCAGTGCTGCTGCTGGTGCTACTGCTCGAGTCGCTCGAGGAGCTGTCGTCCGCATCGGATGTGTCGACGCGGAGGACGGCTGATGAGCTGGAGGCATATGTCAGGTTCAGAGAGCTGGCCGTCTCCGAGTCCACATATGTCACGGTGCCACCCGAAGGATCTTAAATTTTCCCTCCCAATCGTCGTCAGCGCATGAGTGAGTGATGCAGGGTGGGGTTTGTTGCACAGTACCTGTATCCGTGTAGTAATCGAATAAGCTGAAAAAGTCCTCGCCCTCGTAGGTATCCGCCAGTGTGTAGTTCAGTGCTGTGTAGTCGGGATATGCGTTGGCCTTGGCCTCCTCGACGGGGACGACAATGACGATGATGAGCACAACGACGGCCACGCCGCCTATTATGATCCACGCCTTCTTGCTGAGTGTCTTGAGGAAGCCAAAGGGCCCATGAGGCTGCATCTCTACCCGCCCCATCGTCTGCAGTCCAGCGAGCACCGACTCTGCCTGGATTGTGAGTGTGGGAATCGCCTCCTAGGTGTCAGGCACTGAACGGATCAAATGTCAATGTCGCCGATGTGATACGATCAAGCAGACAATGATCTAGTTGTGAGGGCACTTAGACTTGCGTGTGGAAATAGTGAGCGCGGCCTCTGAAGAGGAAAGAAAGTTTTGGAGAAAGGAATTACAGAGCAAGATGATATCAGTTAGGAATTTCAAGATTTTCTCTGGGTGTTTGCCCCTTTCTCTCTCTCTCTTCACTCTGGGGTTGCATTGCTCGTTTTCTTTCTTGATACAAGCAGCCATGACTTGTAAGTACATGGAAATCTAGCCCGCCAGTAAGACGTGGTGGGCCCCAATGTTAGCAGATACTACCACTACTACTACTACTATTACTATGGTACGTACAAGGCGGGTTGGGAAATTCGACGTCTTGCTCCGCCCTGCAAAGACGCGCGGTCTGCGTGCCGACAACCTCTCAGAGGCGCCCACACCCCTCAGAGAAAACCGGGTCTGGGTAGCCAAATCAAGATAAGTCTGATAAGGAGAGAACGGCTGCCAGTGTTGAGGGATAGATGTCCCTGCCAAACCTGGTAAAAATAGGACCCCCTCCGCCACATTGATTGACGGGTCTGCATCAACTGTTTTGGGAGAGAGGGGAGCAAGGGACCTGTCCTTTGCCTGTGGCGTGATAGCCTGTCCCTTGTCTGTGCCAGTGTATCAAGAACGGCTGGTAGTCTGGGATGACGACGTCGTTCAATCTCCACCTGACGCGCACGCTATTTAGTGGGCCAATTGTCTTCCGTCCAGCTTTTTCACTCGAGGGAACGAAAACATGAGAAGACGACGAATGACGAGGGAGAGGTAGGTGATAGATATATTGGTAGGTAATGGGTAAAGAGAAGGAGGCCACAGAACAGAATGTCAATCTCCAGCTACTCTGGCTGGATTTCTGGGAGATATGATTTGCTGTTTTCTCGCCCTCTCCTTCTCTCTGTGATCTTCTATTTGAGGCTCTTAAGGTTTGTTGAGTTGGCCCGAGTTCTGATTGGCCGCCTTCGGAAAATATTAGAAAAGGGCTTAACACTGGTTGACGTGGTCTTCCTTTAGAGTGCACGCTTACACCTCAGCCTTTCGTCGTTGTCGTCCTCCCTTGTTCATTCGCTTTACCCCCCACTTCCCGAGAGCAAAAGAGAGAGAGAGAGAGAGAGTGAGAGAGAGAAAAGGAGAAGAAAAAGGCCTCACTACCCTCGCCTCTCGCCTCTACTGCATCTCCATACACACAGAGGAAGTGCTTGGAAAGGAGAAAAGAAGTCCTTCAGATGAGCCCTCGGAGGGCCCGCCCATGAACTACTACTGACTGTAGTCCTGCGCTACCACGAGTTCTTATGCGATTATCACTGAGCTTCACTATATACAAAAACGAACCAAAAGACTCAGGACTTGCCGAACACAGTGACTTCTATTGAACCAATCAGCCTTGTCGCTGTCCTCGATGCTGAGGCTGCGACACACACACACACACACACACACACACACACACACATGATGGTGACTACACACCCACTTGGCCTCTTTTAGTCTACCCTCGCCGGCCACCCTTCCATCTCGAATGCATGGTTCACTGCGGCCTTGACATCATCCTGCACGGTATCAGGAACCGCTGCCGGGTCCAGCCGTTCACGGGGCATCTTTTTCTCATCCCAGACGCCCGTTCTGACCAGACACGCGTTCCACTCGGGCCCCTCGGACGCGTGAGACCCGCTGTCCGGTTCCTTCTTGCCGATCCACATGTTGGCGCCGCGGATGTCGCTCTCCGGGTTGTCGCCCACCATCCAGACGCTCTGGAGGGGGGCAGCATGCTCGACGCGATCCTCGCCGGTCTGCCACAGTGCCTGGAAGTGCCTCATCAGAACCTTTTGCGCGTAGTGGTACGTCGATCTCTCGGGCTTGCCGAACGTGAAGTCCTTCATACGGTAGGGTTCGGCCCCGGCCTGTGCCACAATTGCGCCGAACTGTGCTCTCAAGGCATTCCGGAAAGCCCCCTGGCCAAACCGCGGCAGGTGATAGCCCGTGCTCCAGAGAAGATCGCAGTTGCTGAAGACGAGCGCGGGCTGGCCGTCCGACTGCCATGCCGCGGCGGCACCACCTGAGTGAGGATCGCCATTCTTGGGGCTGTATGTGCCCAGATATCCCCGCTGGGACAGAAGCAGGTCCATGACGAGCTGGATGTCGACAGCCCAGTCCCGCGGGTCGTTGAAGACCAGGATCGCGTCGATCTTCAGGCAGTCCTCCAGCCTTCGCCTGGCGTCGTGGGGATCGTAGACGGGCTTTGGCAAGGGGAGGATTTCCTGCTTTGCGTAGAACTCGGACAGGGGGTCGAAGGGGAAGATCTGCGGACAGGCAGCCAGGATGTCGGCTGGCGTGACCACCGACTTGAAGCCGTAGCCCTGTGCAATGCGGCGTGCTGCAGACGCATCGGAGCCCAGGACGAGGATGGTGGACTCGTGCAGGTTCCTGATGCCGACAGTAGACTCGAGATACGACGGCAGGTCGGTAAACTCCGGGTCCATCGCCTGCGTGAGATCAGCCTCGGTGAGCAGCTGGTACGGCGTGTGGCTCTGCACGAAGTTGGACGTGTCCAGCTCCACGCCCAACTTCTCGGACAGCTCCCTCACCCGAGCTTCCTCGGACTTCCCTCCACCGTTCGCTGGTGGCCAGTGTCAGTATTGTGTGTGAGTGGAGAGGGAAAGTGTGTGTGACGGACGTACTGAGAAGAATAAACGGGATCTTGTGTTGCTGGAGATACCTCAGCGTCTCTGTCGCGCCCTTGATAGGTTCTGACTTATGCAGTAGCACCCCATCGATGCTGTAGAGGGGCAAAATTAGCTCCAGCCGCCAACTGGACAGCCAGTGAAGGTCGAAGGAGCGGGAAGAGGGGGGGGTAGGGGGGAAGAAGACGAGATCAAGGTGGCCTTAAGGTTCCCAAGACTTACTCGAAGGCAAACGCAAACCGCGGGAGTTGCCCAGTGCCCTCGTCGCTCCCTAGCGACGTCTTCGAGCTCCAAGCCCCGCTCGCATCCGTGCTCTCGCTCCCCGCATCGCTGCTTGATGGCGTCGACCGTCCCGAGAACGACCTCGACTGTGGCAGACCCGAAGGCCCGCATGACCTGTGCCGGAGGCCAGTGAAACAGGCTACAGGCGAGGCCCGCCACGACAGCGGCGGTCCTTGCGGCCGCCTTATAGCGCGGCTGGCGAGGAGCACTCGCGCCCCAGTCAATACACGCATCGAGAACCGGACGACGACGAAAAGAGGCAGAGAGAGGCGCTAGGATGAGTATATATAACACACAGCGCAGTCCAGCCCCGCCTCAGTCTCGATTCCGGTGCCGGTGGGCGGACGCACTATGCTGTTTGATAAGTCAGTGGCTCAGTCTTGTTTTCTTGTATCGCAAAGTGTGAATTGTTCTAATAAGGTGTTTCGCAATATACCTTGTGGTGTTATGGAGAGAGGTGACGATGCCGATTTGGGAGATGCTGATTATGGTAAGATGCTCAAACGTGGCTGTTGTTGACGATTCATGATCCCAAGCAAGTCAGTCCGTTTTAGTTGATAAAAGCTTGTGTTCAAGGTACAGTAAATAGCAGTAGGAGAATGTGAGAGAGCACTTTGTTAGTGGTCGTGTCCGGTGTCCACCCTGACTTAGTGGCGTCTTTGCCGGCCAGGGCAAACCAGCCCCCCCTTGGTGAAGACAAAATATATAAAATCCAGGGCCACTGTACTCATGCAAAATTGAAAGAAGACCTCCAACAAAAAAGAATTGAAAATATCCACGAGAAACAAATTCAAAAGCACACATCATGTGTCAGGCATCAGTCACGTACGTAAATAATGGACAATGTGAATAAGATACCACCACAGCGGCACGGCCCTCACTCAGCCACAGCCCTCCTGTCAAATTACTATTACTACCAATACATAAAATGTACAATGCAATTTCTTGTGAAGCACGCTCTTGTCCTCATCAAACTCGCTCCTTTTCTTTACCTTCTCTCATTACTCAACCGTTCTTGCAAGACAAATGTGAGAGAGGATAATTGGAGGGGAAAAAAAAAAACATCCAGATCCAGAAGTCTATCAACGCCTTGCCTTGCTTAACTGTGCGCACCACCCCAGAAATCACTCAGGGCCGTCCAATATCCGTCTTGCCAGGCCCATTCTCAGCTGGCTTGATCGTCTCGTGCGTAGTTCAGCTCGCGAAGAGGTGTGAGGAGGTAGATACTTGGGTAGGAGAGTAGGTAGGTGGACAAACGTCCAATGCCGAGCTTCAGATGATATAAGCCACGTGCGTAAGCCTGCGTCTAGCTTCGAAAACTCCTCTCCCGAATGCTGTCCGGTCTGAATCGTGACAGACGTCGTCGATCCGCCCTGTCATGCCTGACAGAATGGGCACCGACAGTTGAATACAAATCAATAGTCATATCGACAAGAACAGAAACAACAAGAGACAGAAAAGACACAAAGAACAAAACAAGAAAAGAAAAAGAGGACCGGGAAAAGTCGTTCCGCACAACGTGCACTGCGGAATCCAGCACGCCACCTGCTCAACTCCCTTGCTGAAGTGCTCTTTTCGGGGGGGGGGGGGGGGAAAGAGGCGGGTATCAAAAAAGATTCTGTGCCTCCAAGAGAAACAAAACCAAAAGACCGCAGCATGAATGGTGTTTCTATTTCGATGTTGTACAGTAACGCCCACAGTCAGACGTCATGAAGGGTAACGAAGGATGATGAGTCTCCTCTCTGTCTTTCCCCCCCTCCCCTTCCCCTTTCTTCACGACTAGTGAGAACGAAAAAGAAGAAACTTTGGTCGCGGAGTTGATGCCTTATGTTTCCTCGGTATTCTTCGGTGTTGTCGCAGATTCTTCGTTCTCTGTGCAAGCTATATCTGTTGATAGAAGCTGGTCTGGATCTGGTCGCTACTTGATGAGGAAATGATGATGTGCTGCTTCATAGGGCTGACGGTGTCTAGTGTCGGCCGGCTTGGCTCTGGCTTGCACTCGTTCGGCTGCGCGTTTCATCCTCCTCGAGCACATCGCTAAGGCGGGTCGGATGATGGTGGCGGGGCATTGGGTCCCAGCCAGGCGCTGCATAGCCGCTGCCCGAGTAGTCAGGCTGGCCAGCCCACTGCTGGGATGACGACGGAGGGTAGCTGACACTGGGCTGTGCTGAGGGGGTCTCGTACTCTTCTGCACCAGAATCATCAGAATCATCGTCCCCTGGTGTGCCGGGGTAGGGAATTTTGTGACCCCCGGAGTCACGGATGAAATTGCCATGAGCATCGATGAGGTACTCACCCTCGCTGTAGCCACCTTCAGATTGTCCCTCGCCGCTGTACGGCCGTCCCTCGTCGCCTGCGCCCAATGGCTGCTGGTAATATCCTCCTCCTCCTCCTCCTCCTCCTGCACCACCACCACCACCACCACCACCACCACTACTGGAGGCCGGCACGGCTGATGATGGATGATGCTCTGGCGGGGATTGCGAGTATGGCGGGTATGGTGGCTGCGGGGACGAGGCATCCAGCTGTTGCTGCCGCGCTTCGGCGCTGCGCCCGGGGACGCCCTGTGACATGGGCACGACCTGAACACCGCCGACGATAGTGGGCATGCCTTGCTGGAGTGAGATGGTGCGATCCCGCTCCTCCTGCTCCCGGCGGCCCAGCTCCTCCCAAGCGCGACGGGCCTCCTCCTTGGATATGAGCAGCTCCTTCTGCATCTCGCTGATCCTCTTCTGCGTCTTGGAGTTGTTCTTCTCATTGTCCAGCGCCTCCTTCACCGCAGCGGCCTTGGACAGCCTCTCCTCCTGCAGCGCACGCTCTAGGCCGGCCTTGGTCTCCTCGTGCCGCTCAAGCTCGGCCCGGGTCTCAAAAAACCATCGCTGGAACTTGCGCTCAGAGCTCGCCCGCAGGCGCTGGAGCTCGACGACCGCGTGGAACAGGTTCGCACCCGCCGCAGAGAGATCGCTGACCTGTCGCGACAGCTGTGCTGAGACCGGGTCGCGGTCGATTTCGTCCGCGTGCTGCTGCAGCTTCCTGATCCAGAAGCTCGTCAGGCCCTCCCAGTGCGCCGACAGCGCCTCCCACCGCTCAAAGGCGTGCGGAAATGTGTTGCGCGGCTGCACCGTCACGCCAGGGTCACCGGGCAGAGCAGTCGTTGTACCGGGGATCTGTGCTCCGGTCCCGTCCATGCTCGGCACGCCAGTAAATTGGAGGGGCTCTTGGCGCTGCTGTCCACTGGTCCGCGAGGTCCGTCGCTGCGTCTGGCCAGAAGGCTGCTGCGCTGTGGAGACAGGCTGTGGCTGTGGTGGTGCCGAGGCCTGCTGCTGCTGCTGCTGCTGCTGTTGTTGTTGTTGTCGTCTGCGCTGGGTGCCGGGAGGGTCTATTGGTTGGGTAGAGATGGGCACCGAGGGATCACCACCCGCGACTATGGCAGCGCCAGCTGCGGTGCCTCTCCGATCCGCTATCCTCTTCTGTTGTTGGTCTTCCAGCTGTCTCGCTTCGCTCTCGGCCTGGAGCCGTTCCATCTGCTCCCGTTCCCGTTCCCGTTCTCGCTCTTGTCTCTTGCGCTCTTCTCGTGCTGCCTCTCTAGCCGCGCGCTCCTCCATGATCTTCTTAGGACCCTTGATGCCCTGTGATGGTGAGCCGGTCTGGGATGACGGGGCTGTCGGCCTAGCGCCAGGCGAGCCGAAGCCATTTGTTACGGCCGGCGGGCCGCCGACCATACGAATGTCGGCCATGGGCGCGTTTTCCTCGACCAGGTCGGGCGTGAAGGGGTTGGGCTGTCTAAGTGCCTCCTCGAGGGCCCAGAGGATTGCACTGTGGGTATGCTTGGAGACGCGCAGGAACGGATGTACCGAGGAGCGGTCAGTCGGGCGGGAGGAGGTCCTCGGCGGGACGAGGGACGGGGGAAGGGTGGTAGAGGCGACGTCGTCGACGGGGTCGCTGGGCAGGCCTTGGGAGAGATGCTTCTTCGTACGGCGGCGGCGCCCTGTTGCTGGTCGCGACTTGTCCTCTTGCGCGCCGTCGTTGTCGTCGTCGTCGTCGAGGATGGGCTTGGTGAACAGACCAGGGTGCCTGATACCAACCGAGACGGCCTCGAGGTGTAACGGTCTCGGGGGAGACGCGGGGGCGGGAGGCCCTGGATGGCCTATGAAGCGCGGCGTGCGACGTAGGGTTCGTTGCGACAGTGGGGTGGACGTGTCCGACCTCGAACCTATCTCGGTAGATAAAGGGGTCTGAGATCGGCGAAGTGTCCGCTGGTGCTGCTGCTGGCGCTGCTGCGCCGAAAACGAGGTGGGTTCGTAACGATCGTAACGGTCGTAAGGGTGCAATGAATCAGGATCAGACACCTTTGCTGTCACTTCTTCCCCCTTATCACCAGGCGGACGTCGGTTGGCGGACAATGTGAGAGGTCAGTCACCACTTGCAGGAAGTGGTGACGCGGAGGAGAGGGGGGGGGGGGGTTCGTGAGGTGGAAAGTCGGCGGAGTGGTGGTCGGTATTTGCCGTGGCTGGAAGAATTTGGCAAGCTAGAGAGACAGAGAGGAGGAACCCTGTGGAATGATGAGACGTCGAGGCGGTCAGCAAGCTGGACCCGATTTTTGAGGCTGGTCGAGAACACACGAAGTACCCAAATGGCGTCAGGGACCCGTGCTTGTCCAGGGTCCAACTGAGATACCAGCACTAAAATGGAAGCTGGCCAAGGCCCCAGGAGGAGGAGGAAGAGGATAGGGTGTCCAGACTTACTAGCTTGAGGGTCAATGGCTGGCCAGTAAGGCGGAGCTGTCGTCGCAAAGACAAGAGAGGAAAGAAATGCCAGCGCGGAGGATCAATTGGTGGCAGCAACAGCAGCGTCTGGGAGCGAGCGCAATGCCTCGGTGGGATTGTTTTGGTACGCGCCCAATCGTATGTGTTGACGTTGCAGTATAATTACGGCGCGAGTCGTGGCATGGGAAAATGGGAGGTTGGGTGACGTTGCAATGCCAAAGCTGGTGGCGGGCGCAGCAAGCAGATCCAAGGCGAAACGAGCCTGTGGGAGGGGAGGGGGGGGGGGGCCAACACACCACCAAGAAAAACAAATCAAAAACCCACAGGATCTGAAATATGACAAAGCTGCGCTGCTTCTCTCGGATGGGGATTTTTGTTTCTTTCTGAGATGATGGGATTCGATTGCCAGCAGTTGAGACGTGCTGCACTGGGGTGAAGCCAGGGGCATTCATTCGTCAGTCTCCAGTGTTCATTGCCGGGGGCGGGGGATAAATCAGGAAAAGCGACAGAAAGTGGACGAACTGACCTGAGCTTCAACTTTGACAAACTTGAGCCTCAAGCACCAGCGACCTTTTTGTCTTTTTCTCCCTTTGCTTTTTATCTGTTCCCCTCTCTTTCAACACAGCGTCAGTGTGTTGTTGTTCGTTTGGCACCCAATGCAACTGAGCCTGAGCAGTCGAGCCTGATGATGCGAATCCCGACGCTAGACAGAGAGAGCTGATGACTGATAGCGATGCTGATGCTGATGCTGACGGTGATGATGCCCGAGCTGCCGTGCTGTGGTCGTCTCTCCAGCGTGACCTTGCACCAACAGGGTCTGGTTGCCGCTTGCTTGGGCCGGTTGATCTGGTCGCTGTCTCGACAAAGAGGAAGCAGGACAAGCAAAGCCCGTGGTTGTTGCACGTCCAATGCTGGCTCTTTCCCCACCTGCAGCTGGCCTGTTTCCTGGCCTGCTCTTGGTCTATCCTACGGCCCCTGATGGAACTTGCTTGGAAAGGCTGGTCTGATCAGGTCAGGTTTTGCCAGAACTAACAGCACGCACACGTTGCTTGTCGCTCGTTGTACTGAATTAGCCACGTAGCCTAAGGTCGGCATGAGGACGAGACGCTGGTGCGAGCGAGAAGCTTCTTCCCCTGCACCCCTTCAGGCACCAAAGCGGGTTGAGGATGTTGATGATGGCCCTCAAATTAGGAGGCTGGGCAACAAGCTAGAGGGTGTGTATGTGTTGGCCTGGCTTGTTTGTCGTTACAGAAGAGTCGCTGTCATGCTAGTTGCTTGTTGCTGTAGTCCACCTTGTGTGTACTGCACAGTCGGTGTGTGTACCTTAATCGGTCCTGTCTTGTATCGAGAGAAATTCTGCTCCCTGTGCAAAAGGAAGACAAATCTGAAAGACGAGGCTGCTTGGACCAGGAAGAAAAAGATGGGGAAAAAAAAAGATGACAAGAGACACGAGGGCAGAACACAGTGCCAGAAGGAAGGGGTTTTTTACTTGGTCGACTCGTAGGCTGTGTATGAACCGAAAGGGAACAAATAGAAGAAGAGACGGGCTCTTGTCATACAAGACACGCCACCCGCAAATTGTGCATGCAGGTCTTGTCACGCTCCTAAGGGTCCGCTCTCTCTTTCTCTCTCTCTTTTCTCTTGTCTCGGTGTCTCGGGGAGCAAAGGGAGGGAAGAGCGAGGATGAGGACGAGGGGAAGGAGAGGAGAGTGTAGTGCGACGAGGATGAGGAGGAGGAGGAGTTGGCAAAAATGGTGGTGCAGTCGGCAGATCAGATGTGTACTGTTCTATGCTGGGCTGCGCTACACACGGGGAAGGAACAGGGAATAAATTTTTTTTTTTTTTTGTTCCTTCTTGTTTCTTCCCCTTCTACGATGTTGCTTCTGCGGTCCCGCGGGGGCGGAGAGAGGGAGAGATCGATCCCCTAGACAAAAGATGACATTGAAATTGGAGCCAGGCTGAAATCAACGTCCGTGCCATTGGCAGAAGAGTCTTGTGGGCGAAAAAGGTTACTTGGCCCTTGTTCCACGTTCCCATATTCCTGGTTCCATGCTGTCCACATCCTCCTTCTCCTACTTTCTCCCTCCCACCCCTGGCCCATATATTGTGTAGTATCCGGGAATATATACATAAGTTTGTACCCGATATAGCCTCAGCCCCTCCTCCTTCTCCTGCTGTAGTTCTCCCCGCAGGCAGGAAGGAACTAGAGCCAGAGAGCATATGAGAGCCTACGCCGAACGCACAGCAGCTGAAAACTCTCAATCTCTCTCTGCCCAGGAACACGAACTCCTCCACAAGTCTGTTTACTAAACGATACAGCGCCGACTATTAGTGGCCGTGTCTCAGTCCAAACACGAACAAGCCGACATAAAAAAAAAAAAAAACGATCATGAGAGTTGGACATGCCAGGTCCCAATCCTCGATTCAGGAACAAGAAAAGACAGAGCCGATGATGCAGCGTCCCCACAAGAGCTTGCTGATCCCTGTCGGCCTCTGCAGCCAGTGGTACCATTTTACTGTGGTACGTACAGGTACAAGATCTCACGAGAGAGGCCCGGACTTTATGTGAGGCCGCGATGGCTGACGCAAATAACAAATCTCGACGTCTCCCTCACCATTATCGTGTGCTGCTGAAAACTAGGTTCAACAGTGCAAACGAGGCCAGAGAAAGAGAGAGATACACACACACACACACACACACTCTAATAAGTACAGGCGGGCAGACGGTGAGAGCGAGAAACTGGCGCACAAACAAGATTCGACTCGGCCTCTCCGTCAGTCGAATGTCCGTACCACCCCCACCCCCATCCTCAGATCCTCCTGGGCCCGAGCGACAGATGACAGAGCAAAGAGGGGGGGGCGCGCCCAAGACAAGAAAGAAAGAGAAGAAACAAGAACGTCATGCAATGGCATGCCACAATGGCGGTGTCCTCGATGCTGCCGGACCCAGAGGGAACATGCATCCATCAGTCCGGGTCATGATGCTGCATTGCAATTAGTCTCATGCTGGGCACCTGCAAGTGCATAGGTACCTTATGCGTTGCTGCGTTGGCAGTACATGAGAGGTGACGACGGGCTGGACGGCTAGCGCAAGCCCTGCATACACAGATACAGACAGACAGGCATCCTGGCATCCTTTTCCCTAGCGAGGTCCAATCCGCCGGATCTATTACCACCCCTGCCTACATAGTAATGTACTCTGGTACCAATGTGCCACCCATGTGTGTAAGGCAGGGAACGTGGGGAGAGAAGGCTTGCCCATCTTGCCACCCCTGGTACGGCTGCAGGAAATCCTGGAAGCTTTTACATGGCACCGTATTATTATCTTCTCTCCCACCCCCTCCTCGCCCTCCTCGTCGTCCAGCCTGACGGACTATCCGGTGTGGCTTTACCTGGCACTCCTGGCCATCAACTCTGTGGCGCCCCTTGGCGGCTTGATGCCCAGATGCCCAGAGCAAACCAACCCCTCCGACCTGCCTTGTGCGGCATGCCCTCCCCCCCCTCCTTTGACCACCTGCATACTACCAAGTACTTTTATATACTGCCTAATTGTATAGTATGTATATAGTACAATACATTTGAGACACAAAACGACTCACAGTCTGAGACACATTGTACGCTAGGCATCGATGGTCCACGGGGGGAGAGAGGCCAACACCACCCACGCGCACATTGACAACGCAATGGCAATGGGCGCTCTAGTCCCAATCGTCTTCTTTCTCTTTTTCTTTCTTAAAAAGTCTTCAATGTTGCACACTAGTCTTTCAAGCGATTGGCATGGAGTATACCAGGTGGTTGGGGTGGAGGGGGGGTCCCAAAGAGACAGCACAAGATAGAGAGATCTTGAGGAACTTCATAGGGTGGCACTGTGTGCGGCACAGACGGAACCTTTTGCGGGCGGCCGAATTTAATACCTATAGACACCGTCCAGTGAGGATCAGTAAGCTTCCTCATATGCAACAGGCGGGCCGCTGCCGCTCGTGGCACGCCGGGATGGGACAGCAATTTCGATCGTACGACAGGCCACGGGGATCGCCAAGGGGATCAACCGTGTGTGTGAGACAGCTGGTATCAAATATACTAGCAAACGCGGCCGCAGACGAAGAGCTCGTTCCGAGATACGAGATGACAGGCCGTCTCGTTCCTGCTGTCAGTTTGCGAAGGAACCAGGATGATAATTGTGCAAGCGTAGGACAACTTAGACACAAGCGACTGATGGATACCACTTGGAAAAGAAACACAGAAGAAAAGCAGAAAAAAAGACTTCTCGCGCAACATCAGGTAGACCAAGGCTGGCATGGCAGCTGGGCTCCATCAGTGCTGGTGTGTATTAACGGGTTGGGTTGAGGAACTGCTCAAAAAGTTTGCCTATCTAAACACTTATGAATTTTGTGAATTTCAACAACGCGCCTTCGTGGCGCCCGGCTAGCTCAATCGGTAGAGCGTGAGACTCTTACAGGGTTTCCAGCTTGTTAGCAATCTCAAGGTTGTGGGTTCGACCCCCACGTCGGGCTCAATTCCCGTCTCGATTTCTTTTTGTCTTTTTCTTTCTTTCCCTTCCTGCTCTTGTTCCTTCTTTTGAATTATTCCTGTTGTCGAAAATGATTGGTTAGGTGTGAGGTTACGTCTGTGGTCAATACCTCAGTTTATTATGAAGACGAGCTTCTGGCAGCCGTAGCCGAATCAAGAGCTGTTCGGAGGTGCAAGTTCCAGAACTTTTACGCCCGAGCTCGATTCCTGCCCATGTGTAACACCTCCTCCACATCCCTACCGGTCTATTTCTTTTATCTGCTTGTTTGCGGTGAAGCATACCAAGCACACTATCTAAAATTAATGTATGTTCGTGATATGCGACGAGAAGTTTTGTAATCAGGCCTGTTCTGAATCAAAAGAAGGATAAGTCGTGCCCATAAGAGGTATAGACCCTAACCCCTTTCCCATAAGAGCCGGCAGCTTGCTGCAAAGTGAAGAGGCCCACTTATAAGCTTCTGCAGAAATTTCCTCGCCTTTTTTAACACCACACCACACGACCACTGCTCAAGCTCTAGATTTTACAACCTTTGGGCCACTGCCCCCTTCTCCACCGCCGCTCTCCTCGTCCTCCTCCCCCAGAAACCCCTTTCAACAAAATGCCCCCAAGGATATCATCACACTCGCTACAGGCATGTAGCGCAGAGATCTCGAGCCTGGCGAGCTCGAGCAACTCCATAATAATAAGCTCTGCGTCGCCTCTGGAGCGGGCGCTGCTAACGCGCCGACCACCAGCGCTGTCCTCGCCCTCGCCTTCATCCTCCACCAGGAGAACCTTCTCCACGACCACAGAACGGAGGCGGAACGTACCAATTGCCAAGGCCGGGTATATAAAATGGATGAGGGAGCGGGGCAAGGACTTGGAATCGCACACGCCCGGCCAGACCAACTACCTCGGCGGCGAGAGCGCCAGGCGGCAACCCTTCCCGTCGAACCCGGCCTTCACCAGCCAGCCTGTGCTGTCGGAGGAGGCGCGCGAGATGATCTGGAAGAGGGTCTTTATGGACGAGGAACCCATCAAGGTGGTGTCTGCACAGCTGGGTGTGGACCACAGGAGGGTTGCCGCCGTGGTCAGGATGAAGACGGTGGAGAAGGAGTGGGAAAAAGAGGTATGTGTTGCTTGGCGCGTCCACCAGTTTTCTTTTGTCATTCTCTCTCTTCCCTTCCCCATTACCCCCTCTACCAAACTTTCCTATGATGAGTACAACAAAAATTCGATTAGTCTTGAAGACAGCACAATGTGGTTACAAAATAGCTTTGCGAGCCTCTCTGAGCGGAAAGAATCCCTTTATACCTTCTCTATTCATCATGCAACATCACCCAACTTGGGGCGCGTGGAAGCACCGGCTGACCCTCTCTTTGTGTATTGTACGAGTAAACAGGGTAGGAAACTGGCCGTCCCCTACTCTCGAGCCGTCCTCGAGATGGTCCCGACCCATAGCTACCCAGACAACCAGCCCATCCAACCACTGGAGCCGTTCAACGAGATCCATGTCCACGGGTACACAATGCAGCAGCTCTTCGTGCCGACTTCGGAGTCGCGACACTTCACCCGCGAGGATGCCGCCAAGGCCTTTCACCACACGATGCTGTCAGCCGACGCTCGGATCCCGCACAAGGAGCTGGTCAGTCACCAGAGGCGGGTGCACGAGGGCATGCGCGAGAAGGAGTCGGAGGCGATCTTTGTCAAGGAGGCGAGGGCCTCCCAGATGAACGATGAGGCGCGGGAGCGGGCGGTCGAGGAGCACAGCAAGAGGCTCACCACGGCGGTGCCCACCGAGCGGTTCGAATTCCGGTTCAAGAAGATGACGGTTGATGACGTGGGCAGGACGGGAAGGGCAAGGAGTGGTGTCGGCTGGAGGTATGGTATTCCGTCCGAGGACCGGAAGAAGGATCAGGTCAAGATTCCTACCAAGATCGACTAGTCGTAGGCGGCGGCCCACACGATACACACATAAACACATAACACACACATACTCCCCACCCTTCCCCTCTCATGTAGAGGCTGGAAGCGATCACTATTACAGTGGCAGGCGAGGGCAGCACGGGCACGAGCATGAGCACGCTGTCAGGCTCGTCAAGCCTTAAGGAATCTCTGGGACCCTATACGTCATCAGAAGCATCGCCAAGATGCATGAACGAATGGAATGTTTGATACCAGGAACCAATAATTTGCCCTGAACAAAAGGACCGGTTGGTTTTTTTTTTTTTTTTTTTTTTTTTTAATGAGACTCCGTCGCCATGCTGCTGCTATTTGCCCATCCGTATTATCCGCTCAAGTATCTGAGAAGATGCAGTTCAGATCACTACAGCCGGCTTGATTTCAGACAATAAGCCGGGCGTGCTCCTCCCACGCCACAGGGGCCTGCTGTTGGCCGTCCACATCAACGACCAGGTTCTGGCGGATGGCCTCGATCTCAGCACTGGTCAGGCCGACCTGGTCCCGGAGGTAGTTCTCCACGCTGCCCCAGCGGTTCCGCAGCGCGACCAGGGTGGCGGCCATGCTCTCGGGCCGGCTGCTCACTATGCGCTCGGCCTCGGCGTTCCGGCCGCGGAGGGGCTCCCTCGTGATGAGGTGGGCGACGAACTCCTCCTTGCGCTCCTGCAGACCCAGCTCGGTCAGGCTGTACTCGTGGGCGACGACCTCGTCAGACACGCCGCACAGGCTCAGCACCAGGGCCACAAGCACGCCCGTGCGGTCCTTGCCCGCGGTGCAGTGGACCAGCACGGGGAAGGGCGTGGGCCGGCGGGCGAGCTGGCGGAGGATGATGGCGAACGGGGTGGAGCCGGATGGATCGGCACCGGCCTCGAGGATGCGCATGTACACCTCGACGAAGCCCTGGAGGTCCCGAGGGAAAAGAGGATTCGCTCCTGTGTTAGCCTTTTTGTTCTCCTGTTTTTTTTCTTTCTTTTTCTTCTGGGATAGATATGAGATAGAGGGAGAGGGAGAGGGAGAGGGGGGAAGAGAGGATGAGAGGGTGAAGACGGCTGGAGAAGGAGGGACAAGGGAAGAGGTTGGTGTGATATCTCATGTGACCAGGCCAACATGTGGAGAGAATGCAGTGTTCTCCCGATCCATCCGAGAAAGTGCAATATCATTATGACCATTGTGAAGATGGTGTAACGATTCCAGTATGCGAGATCGCCAGATGCAGTGCATATACTCCGCCCCAACACGTCTTCCCTTTCACCCTCCTACCAAACCGGTTGTTACTGAGCCCACATGCTCGAAACAATGAAACCAATCAAAGCTCAAGTCGACTTCACGTGCACTCAAGTGCCGTGCCATCCATGCCTGGGGCCTGGCCAAGAGAGGGAGAAGAGGAAGAGGGGGGGGGGGGGGGACGGATGAATAAGACATCTTGACACCTTCATTTTGGCTCTCCTCAACGGCAGATTCCGAGACGTACCGTGGTTCCTTCCCTACCAAAGTTCCCAAACCGTTCGGCGATGGCCTCGGGGGAGTAATCCTCCTGCAAGAAGACGGGGGTGAAGATGCGCTGGGACCCAGCCCACTCCCTGACCTGGCGGCTGCCCGCGCTGGCGTCGTTGTCGATCTCTGTCTGGGAGCGCAGGTCATAGACGTGACGGATGCCCAGGTTGCCGGTCACGAGGTCGATGCCCTGATCAGTGATCTTGGAGGGCTCGGAGGCGCGGTAGAGCACCCCGCGTCGGACCATCTTGGTGGGGTCCGCGGCGATGGGGTAGCCGCCCGCATCTCTGAAGTTGGGGAGGCCGGGGATGTCGACAAATGGAGGCACAGGGGGAGGTTTGAGGTCTTGGTTGGTGATGTCGGGGGAGGCAATATGTGAAGGCATGTTTGGCAATGTTGTTTACGTTTTTTCCCAGTTAGTTTTCAATTTTTTTGAGTTTTGTTGTTTTGTCAGGTTGCGAAGTGGCGTGGGGTTCTTGTTGTGGTCGAGAGAAACACCACTGCAGTACAGTAGCTTAAAGTTATGGCACAACGTAATATGTCAAGTCAAATTGATCGTATTTATTGAGAAGCAAAGCAATAGAGAAGATAATGGAAAGGAGCAAACAACAAGTAATTTGTGTGTCTGCTCTCTGAGAAGAATAATTCGCTGACAAGAACTGAAGTGGGCACATGAACTGTCACAGACGTATTGATATTGTCAGAGGGCGTACTGCATTCACACGTGGGGCCCAACAATCTACTCGTGATTTTTCTTATTTTTAGAACAACCATGTAGGGGCACTGTCCACTAATCAGAACAAGCCTCATCAGACTCCATCGATGGTTCAAGTAACGCAGTGACTGTTGTTGGTTGGCGATAAGCATAATATTGTTTGGTTTGGTTGGGGTTTGGAAGGGGAGTTCTAGGGGGGGATCCATCCTTGCTTTCTTGCCCTCTAATTGAGGAAAAAGAAAATCGTCATATCGACCAAAGGCGATACAGTACTGTTGCATCTTGTACATGCACCTCGAGGGATGATCATCATTATTTGCATCAAGCTCGAGGTTTACCCATTGTTCGATCTGATGCCCCCGGCCCTCCTTTTGTATATATTTTAACCCCCCCCCCCAAAGACTTCACCACGCATGGTGTTTCTGTGCACCACAACAAGATAACTTAAAGAATAATCTGTCCATTCAGCTCAGCTCTCCTTCCTTCACGCTGTCGACCTGCTCCTCGGCTGCCAGAAGAGGAGTAGGACCTTTATGATAACGGCCTCGCTAACGCATACAAAGGTCCCAACGGCTGCAGGGTCTCATGCGTTGCCTGCGTGCTTGGTGTCCCTGGTACTACTGTAGCATCGCCCTGAACGCCAGCGGCACCTACCGGCCGTCGGAGCTGACACCCGCATGAGGATGTGAGGCGGATGTGGCTGCAGGCTGAGACAGTGTAGTGGGAGAAGGTTGGGAGGAGGAGACCCGCTGGCGAATCTCTACTGATGGAGGGTGGCATGTGGGGAGGAGTTATGCATGCCAGCCCGATCTGACATGCGCCCAAAGATGCAATAATAAAAAAACCATGTTTCGCTGTGTCTCACCGCCGCTCTCTGCCCCGGGAGGACGCATGATGAAAAAAAAATGACACGAGGCTGCCGCAATTGCATGCATACAGCTTGTGTGGTGGTCATCAGGTCGTTCTGCCGAAGACATAACAGCATCAATGTAGATGAGGAGAGCGCAGCAGGGAAACCTTGGTCCGCCTCGCCTCATGTCACCTAGACCCATACATCCTCCACCCTTCACCCCGCCTCCATGACAGACGTTCGGACCGGGGGCTTGATGTCGTGCAGCAGCAACAAGGGAAGCCTTTCGGCCCACGGGTTCGTGTACCGTACACCAGCAGGGGGGTCGAGGGGGCAAGGGCCCTGACCCTAGCTATGGTGTCTCTCGTGGCGACAACGGCTGGTGCAAGGAAAAGACACAAATGTAGAGGGATGAAAGAGTAGAAGAGGGAGGAAAGGAGCGAGAGAGAGAGAGAGAGAAGGAGAACGAGAGGCCTCACACGCCATACATATTGATCGGGCGGTGGCAGTTCTTTGATCCCGTGGTAATAGTCAGTGATCGCCCTACCAAGTGTAATTTAGTGATTCACTGCAGCGATTCCACTCTTGTCACGTCGATTTTAGGGTGAAGCGTCCTGCCTAGAATGACAGATGATTGCCCATTGTCATATTCACATCTCCACAAAGTATTTCTACATAGACTTTGTAGTAGATTGAAAGGCGTGGTACTTCTCTTGTGTGTAATTATACCTCATCATCACACAGGCGTGACGACTACCTTTCTCTCCCTCTCTTTCCTCTCCTGTTGCCTGTGCCGCTGAGAGCCTGTCTCTCCTCAGCCTCCCTCCTTCAGCCCCCCTTTCCGTCCTCGTTCATCCGAGGCGAGAACAAAAAGAGAAGTGGACAGTTTTTTTTTCCCTTTCCTTGCCTTCTTCCCTTTTTTTCCTTCTTCTTTCCATTTGAGTTTGCACATTCACCAGCAATAACCTCATGTGACCCTATAGCTTAGGTGTGGCTGCTTTGCACATTCCCCATCATCGGTGTAGGGGGTGTGGAGACGCTAATTGCTGCTGCTGCTGCTGCTACTGCAGCAATTGTGAGGCCTCTCTTCAAGGCAGTCTGTCATGCAAGGTGGAAACCTCGTCTGCGTGTCTCGGTGTGTGAGCCCCAGGCCCATCTCCTTTTCCTTCTCCTCTAGGCAGGGCGTCATGATTTCCAGAGCGATCAGCCTATGGGGACTTGTCCTCAGACACCTAAGGCTGCCGATTGACAATGTGGGTAAGAAAGAGAAAGAAGAAAATGAAAAGGAAAAAGAATTGAGTAAGTGAGGTCGGGTCTGAAGAGCACAGGAGCCGTTGTACCGGCGCCAACGTCTACGTCCAGGGGTGTGTGTATGCGCGCGCCGAGGGAGCTCCCGAACCTGTGGGAAATTTGACCGGGATGCTGCATCAAATATGCATGCAGTTGAGAACTGGGGGCCAGCTCGAAGATTTCATAGGTCTCTGTTCAAGAAAAATTTATCCCCAGTAATCTCACAAAAACAGGATAATGCTCAGTCGGGGCGTGAGACATGATTTGCAAAGTTACAGATGTGATTGGCACATATGGCGTGCACAACCAACATGTGATGTGGTGTGGTGGGGAAACAATGCCATCCCCACCTAGAAGACACCACATTTGGAGGTTCAAAAAGAAGAAACAAGGACAGGGAAGAAAAGGGAAAAGAAAAGAACAACAGAGAGACAGAAAAAGGAAGGAGGAGGGGGGGCGGTTGATCAGGATCCCAGAAAGCAAGGATCTTCAGTAAATCCTGGTTATGGAAGGCTTCTGGAAGACACCTGGAAACTAGCCCATGCAGTCGGGTCAGATCGCTTGGTTGGGCGGTTGGGGGGGGGGGGGGAAATGCTTGTGATCTTGGACCACATGGCCTGCTGTGAGACTTGTGTGAGATCTGAAGTGGCCGCTCACACGTTGGGAGGAAAAATGCAAAGTCTATTTCAATGCCATATCGTACACGTACTTTCAAACATCACCCCCAAAGGCCAAACAAACTTCAGTTCTGCGTACACGTACAAGAAGAAGGAAAAAATTCAGACAAATCCTCCCGCGCCTTGCCAGATCCTGTACATAGCAATACGTATAAACACAGCTTTCATACATTGATGAAGGAGACAACATCGTGCCAAATTGCTTCAAGTGGATGAAAAGAAGCCATTAACCTAGTGATATTTTCTTCTGTCCAAAGGAAATAGAACACAGAGAGGGTTCGGACACTGCCTGTCGAATCAAGGTATGGTGGTTGTATAAGGTACGAAGATGGAATAGGCGAATGGAATAGGCGAATGCTCGTATTCTCGAGGACAACAAGCATTCATGAAATAGCTTATTGGATCCGCCGGCGGCGTTCCTCATGCCTCTCGATGGTGCTGTATTGCGATCGCCGACGATGACAGAATGTGCAATGAGTATCGAGAGACGGCGACATTGGTCCGCCGCCGCAATAGTAGCAGTACCAGAATATCTGGTATCGAATTTCGCAGATTTTCGTGACGCCATTTTCGTTGACCGGAACGCGGACGATCTGTACAGGATTAAGATTAGACAACAGCAGTGTATAAAGAGGACTGCCAAATGGAGGGCATCTGATGACTTACTTCGTAGTCATCACGGGAGGTTCCACGAGGCATAATTACATGTGATGATGTGGGTTAGAGACTGACGCTTTCGGAAGGGCAGCTATTCAAGGAGATGGGAGAAGGCTGAAGCGTGCTGTAGAGTATATGGTGACAGGTGAGAGGAGTAATACAACGTGCTTCTTAAGGCGGAAGGCGTCTCGAATGGAGTTTCATGGGCACCGTCGAAAAGACGAAGCAGCTGGCTCTTTTTATCATCACCGCCAGGCAAGAAGATGGCAGCATGCAAAGTCTTGATCATCAGCAAAGACAAGGCGAGAGATGGACCCACAGACCAGGCATAGCGGAACTAGTAATGTCGAGCAAGACATGATGACCTTTGAGGGAATAGAAAATCCGCCCTGGTCGATCCAACCAAGCAAAGCCCCGTCCTGTGGACGAAAAGGTGTCATGCGCGAAAAGACGAATCAAAGTCATCCATTTCTTAGGTGAGGTATCTGTCCATGGTGCAGGAAGTTTCGACAACTGGGTCACCAAATCCGGTGACGACCGCCAGGTCACCGAAGAGGTGGGAAGGCCAAGCCTCTGAGGGAGGCAGACTGGTCATCCTGAGGTCAAGATGCTCCATCTCGAAGGTCCAGTTCGAAGCTTGAGCACGAGAAGGCGGCCGGACGACTTCCCAGGCCAGGGCCCTGGGCACCGAGCAGGGGAAGCCAGATCGTGACATAGCAATGACACGAGTATTACAAGTTGCAAACGCGGTGGAGGCCGAGAAACTGGCCCCTGATCGATAGCTCCATGCAGCAGTAAAAGAAATTTGCCACCCCGCCTTGAGAGAGTAACATGAATTCCTAGCCGGACATCGTTGATTGGTGTCGGTGTGCCAAAGGAGCGGGCTGTAGTTGTAACTCGGTGACCATTGGCAAGCCAAATGCGGCTGGGTATCCGTGGAAGGGTGGCAGTCCTGTCGAGACAGACTATGAGGCCTATTTGGTACATGTCAGGTAATCCAAGCAACCCGACAAGCTCAAATTAAGGTCCCTTCGACACCGGCGCCGTACTCCGAGAAGATGGACTTGATCTCCTGGTTGCCTTTCGAAAGACGAGGGCGAGATTCGCCAAGAAACGGACTCGCGAGGGCTTGCGGGAATGTCGTTGAATCTATGACTCAAAGCAAGGTTCAGTTAGCCATCTCCTAGCGGGGAATCGAGACAGCAGATGTGAAATGAATAAATCTACATGAACAGTGGACAAAAACACGTAGGTGTTTGACAAGAGTCAGTCTTTCCATCCCCTGTCCTGACGTGAGACGGTAGGTTGGGTAATAAGACGCGCCGACGAAGAGAGATAACCTCGGCTGAGGTTTGGGACGAAGACCTGGTACGACCAAGCCTTCATTGAGAGAAAGAAGAAGAATAAACTTGATTAACCATGGTCATGCGTGCTGAGCCCGCCAAGCTGCGGCAGCAAGGCAAACGTTGCACTTGCTGGTGGTGCCTGGGTGGTTCGCACTTTTTGCGCACCATCATCAGATTTGACACAAAACACACCGTGGCTTAGGCCTCCAAACAGAGTTGCTCGGACCGGTGGGGTCGACTTGTACCAGATCAGATCCATAAAAGCCTTGCTTTGACGGGGAGGGAAAGAAGCAAGAAGAGAAAGAAGAAAGAAAACGAAGGGAAAAACCAGGCTGTGAGAGAGAAAAGCCTCGCAACTGCAAGAGAATGCCACATCCTGTGCTTGACTCCAATAGTATGTCCGAAATGATTTGACCAAGGCCCTGTTACCCCGCGATTGCCTCTCGTACGCGTCCATGGTCGAGCCCAGATGCATGCGAAAGAGTGCAATCGTTGTCATGGCTTCCATCAAAGGCGATGGCTTGTTAGCGGAGGACTGCTCCGAGACCATAACTCAAGACCGTGGTTGATAAGGCTGCCACCACGGGGCCACCGATGGAGCTTCCTGTCACCTGAGAGCCAGGATGCTGAAAAGATCGCTGCTATGGCTCATCCCCTTTGAACATGGCGGCCAATGATCGATAGACGTGAAAGTAAAGACCGCTCCTAGTCGCAAGTCGCCCTGTGAGCTCCGCCAAGCTTGCGGCGAAGACTCGCGGGAGATCTGGACAGACCATCATTAGCAAATGTCCATCAGTCATTCAGACGACAGCTGGGACGCATCTGAAAACGCCTTGAATCCTGCTGCGCCGCACATGCGGGTTGAAGCTTCGATTCGCAGGTCGATGATCGCAGTATGTGCACAAGCTGCATGTGATGACCCATCCTGAGGCATGGTTTTGGGGGTTTGGAGAGGTTTGAGGCATGGAGTTGAGGTCTTTTCGATTGTACCCCTCCTTCCCTGGTCATCTTTCGCCCAGAAAAGGCTTCGGCCGAATGACGTTTTGCTGACTAAACAAGGCTCTTTTCTCACCAATGCGGATCTGGCCTCGACGGTCTCGACTTCATCCAAACAAGACTCCAAAATCTTGTGAAATTGCCAATGTACCATACGCCACGACTGAACAACTTTTCATGGCAATGTTCCTGATCCTTTGGATGAGTATCGGCCCGATCTTGGCATCAGATCCAGAAGCTGGCTGTCTACAGAGCCACCCCCTGTACACTTGCTTCATTTACAGTCTGCCACGATTTTCTCTGCTTCTCCCTCTCTAACCTTTCCCTTTTAGTTTGCAATGTACTATGGTATACATCTTTGTCTTCGTTTGTACCGTCTTTAGTGTAATTATAGGTGAGGATCCGCAGATCCCAAATCAAAGGATGACTGGGTGTCATCGAATACTATACAGTACAACCCTATAATGTTCATCCAATGAGCTCTCATTTATCTAGAAGAGCCGCATGAACCAAGTGCGGTGCACAGGCAAAGTCTACCCTCCCTCCCCCCCCCTTTAGTTACGCTCCTTTTCAAAATTCTCTCACCATTTGTTTCATCCCCCATGTATAGTTGGCATTGCCACCCATACCTCCTTCTGTCGTGCCCACCATTTTCCTTCAGAGCGCAACAATCAACGTGAGCCTCGATACATCTTGGCAGGCTTGGAAGGCCTGTACAGATCGGCGTCCTTGTTGGGCTGGGACCTGTACCTCAGCACAGCATATTAACACCAGAATTAGATGTTAGCATGTGACCTTGGGGCAGAGAACCAGTCGTGAAAGGTAATATACGCTTGCTGGACTCAAAATCACGCACATATTCCGATTGGCCATCGTCAGATATCGAACTGGCGAGGTAGTATGTGCATGCGATTGGACTGGGATGCGAGTGAGCCTTGCTATCTTTCTTTTGTCCAAAAGAGGCAGGAATTCCCGTGTTTCCGTTGACGCCGTCTTATTGTCCCTCTCACCTGGGCATGCTCAGGTCAGGATTTGGCGGATACTATAGGTCGAGGCCATAGCTTCCAGCCACTGCGGCGGGCAGGCTCTCAGTTCCATACCTGGCAGCCAGGACGCTCCGCCTACCTGCCCACTCAGGTTAAGGCTTACTACCTAGAAGGGAGGAACAGAACGGTTGCAATCTACTTACCTTGGTATGAGAGGGCTGGCTGTAATTTTTTTTCTTTCTTTTTTTTGCGCTCCCCCCCAACTCTTTCTGGTATTCGACGTTCCTGGACAACGAGGCGCCGCCATCCATAACGATTTGACTCCGCGAGTAGGCTGGATCAATTTTCACAACTTCCCCTACGTAACTAGCAACTTTTTTTTCTTTCTCAATTCGGGCATTCTCTGACGGACTGTTTTCCATGAACAACAGGAGATGTCAAGTTCCGAGACCCAACAATCCCCCTTGCATCCATTCAAGCCACAGCCGTTGACCCTTGCCACGGCCCGGCCGTTCAAATCTATACGCCCTTGTGTCCAAACCTGGGACAGTATTTGTGCTGGCTCCATGGGCTCATCTGAAAGATCCATATTCATGTCTCGGATGGGGCCCGAGTGTGTATACTATTGGTGTGAAATAGCGAAGGATTTTGTGAAAAGTGTGTAAAGCAGGGTGGCTAATTTCCTGCCGACTCCTCGCGATATGCCACTACTATCTCAGTGGCTGGGAGAGACTCTCTCGGTAAGGTTATGTGCTACGAAAGTACCAACGACTGGGGGTGACGTGATGACCTAGTCCCCGCAGTGCAGCAACGTCTACACAGGGGCAGGTGGCGAACCAAGACGTGTGGTTGCAACGAGTCTGCAACTAAATTGTGCGGAGTAACACAAATACGAAAGAGCCTCACCCTCTCAGGATCAACTCAGCACCCACCTCTGTCGTCTCTCTGTCCCCTGGTCACTTTGAATGGTGGGTGCGACGTCGACGACTGCCACGCTGATAGAGTGGGTGTGCAGAAGTTACACACCTACAGCTACATGGTCGCACACCATTCCGGGAGCGCCAAAGCCTTAGCTCTGAGCAGTTCTTTGGCTCCTCTTTCCATCAGTTCTATATCGTCTTGTCGGGCAAAACAATGTAGCGCGTTTGTTGCGCAGAAGATGTGCGCGCTCGGTTGGGGACGGGGCTTTGGGGTTGGTGGATGGTGGTATCATATTCTTTCTGTTCCTCTCTCGCTTCGTACCGCACCGTTCATCATCTCCGTGGCCAACGGCTGAGCAAGACAGCTGGACTGGCAGCTGACCTCGACCTGTTTCAAGAGCAGCAACGGGGTGCAGGAACCCATGCTGGTCTGTCAGGGGATCGACAGAAGCTGCAACATTGGCCTCTTTGCTGCGTCAAGGTTGACAGCCGGAAGGATGGCTGACATAATTAGGATATCGGATGATTGTTAGGCCAGAATGTTTAGTGGAAGAGGTATTTGCCGCGAACCGGAGGCAGCAACGTAGTTGCAAAGCACATTCACGAGATGTACACTGAGGACGACTATTGTAGGGCGCATTGCAATGTGGCCGGTAGAACAGCCCTCTTTCCTTATCGTCAGCTTCTGTATTCGTTGGGTACGATCATCCAAGCACAGCCCAGCCTATGAGCCTACGTCCCTTGGCCCCTACCACCTCAATCTGCGCGGTCTATCACACAGAGGAGGAGCCTGTCGATCGTCTCGGGCTGTGACCAGAAACTACCACCGGATGACATTCAGCTCTAATAACAGAATCCCCTCCGCGCGAGTGCTTTGGGAAAGGTCTCACAGCCCACTTGTCACCGTTGAGTCCTCTCCATCTCTGTCCAATGGCTGGTTATGTCCTGACAGTAGTGCTGAGCTACGATACATCGGCACGTGAGCCCTCTCAGGTAGCAATTGGCTGGAGAGCACCTGGTGCACCTGGTCCCTGGTGCCCTCAGGTCCGCCAACAGGGATCCGGTTGCGTTCTGATCACATCCCATACTTAGCTATGGCACTGCAGGATGGGCGGGAGCCTTTCTTTGGAGTTACTGCTCTGCTGTGTGGAGGGGTGGAGACCATCCCAGCCTTATAATACACCGCTTTCCTTTTGCTGCCTGGATGTGTGCGTTGAGGCGGTTCTTTGACCCAGATACTTGTCGCCCGGAATAACATGTATCGCGCCCTTCCTGAGGATCATTTCACACCACATGACTCAGGAGACACATGCCTTCGAGGTTGTTGGGCAGATTGCTAGGCTCTCAGACTACCTCCCTGGCGCTTTCCTTGAAATACCATTGGAGCGAATACGAGTTATAATGCTACAGTGGCCAAGGCGGCGAGCAGCGATGGCCACACGAAGTCCACCTTCGCAAGGTTATTGATTCTCCGAGTCGGTGCATAGTAGAAGGCTTCGCAGCCGTGGTTCTTGAGACTACAACGTTACGTGCTTGCGCGGCTTGATTTGGGAAAAAGGAAAAGAAGGAGTCGAAGGAGCGCTTGTGAAGGACAAGGTCCACGATATCATATGACGATATGGTATCGGAAATTACACTACATGTGCGAGGGATAACAAGATATTCTTAATTTAGGCCTCAGCTAGGATTCTGATGATCTCTGCTGACCTAGTTGGTGATGGGGCCGAGAGATAAGGCTGCGTGTGAAGGTGCGCCTCAAGCAGTATGTGTGTGAGATGAATATTACACATGCGGGCGGGACGGCTCAGCAGCAGGTAAGCATGAAATGTGAGACGGCACAACAGCTGCAGCTGCTGAATGACTGCAGGCGCGAAGACAAGACCATCCTGGGTAATTACATCGAAAGGGCAAAAGACCACGGAAGTAGGATCTTATGAGGTAGACGAACAAAGTTATATAGGAACGCAGCTTAAAGTACTTAGAATGAAGAATATTACAAAAATCTTCCTATCCAAAACCCATTTGAGACCATCCAAAATTTGTGAAACCACGTGTATGAGAAAACAAACAATGAAAAGTCAAACATGTAGTCCCCGGGCTTCTGGTCCCTCCATCTACAACTGTTGTATGCTTTGTATTGCACGAAGGAGACCTCCATGAACTTTTTGTGAACGATTCTGGCGCGAGCCATTTGAAAATTTATGAATGCCAGGAATAAACAAGAAAAGGATGACGAAGGCAGGGGGGGGGGGGGAGAAAGACGGTTGTAGCATTGTCAAGTTCAAGCCGCCGTCAGCATGTGTACATTGCATGGCATCACGATAGGACGGTCCTGTAGCGCACAAGTCAGGGATCATGCATTGGAAGGGGATCGTTGCATGCAGGAACAAGACCAAGGCTGATGATGATACTTACCATGCTAGTTATAGGGAGTTTGCAATGCTCATGTTGGAACAGGGAATGTCGTAGACGGTGCAATAATCACAGCGGATGTGATTGCAGTGAACCTCTGTGCATCGGAGGTCGACTGTAGTTGTGAGACCGTCCCGCCCGCAGTAGCACTGGGATCCGAGAACAATATGTCAGTTTCTCCAACACCTCATACTTATATACTTGTGAGATACATACACAGTGCCACCAGAAGGTACTCGCAGCCTGCATGTGCGATGTTGGTTCTTGTTGCTGGCGAGAAGAAGATTTCGAGGATTTGCTGTGTCCATGTCTCGACGAGGAGTGCTTTTTCTTGTCCTTTGATGAAGTTTGAGGCATCTTTATGGCTCAGCCTGAGCTGTTTCAATGTTGTGGATGCTCAGATTTGTCTAAGAAGGTCGAGACTAAGAAACGAGCAGGATGATTAATGATGTTCAGAGAGAGTTATTGAGACGACGACCGGTGCTCAGGATTTTATATCCAGTCTGGGAGATTATACCTACCGCCCGACCGAGAGGCGACGGCACGACTGCCAGGGGCCAGACGCGGCGTGGTATGGCACTGTCTGCCTTGAGTCTAGATGGACTTGAGGCCGTCATCTTCGATACAACCAGTGAACATCAGCCATTCTGCTTTCGTCCACCAGCTAGAAAGCCCCGAGTACATGAGAAGGAACAGAAGCACATCTTGACATGTCTCTATCCAGTCAATGTGACTTGACACAAACAAACAAATATAAGGAAGAAAATCGAAGACCGCGACATGTGTCGGTACGGATGTATACCTGCCCCGTGCAGAGTCTCGGTGTAATCGCGGGTCTCTTGCCCTTTCCCTTTTTCTCCCCTTCTTTATTTTCAACCTGTAGAAACTGAACAGGACCACAAATGCTGAGCCTCTTCCTCCCAATAGAATCACTCTCGGGGTCAGCTATGAAGTCGGAGCCGGAAGATGGGACGGTCTCGGTCAATGGTGTACCATTGTGATAAAGGAGCATTCGAGGCGGAGACATAAAAACTTGTGCATGGAGGAGCCCCCTCGAGAGGGGGAAACGGAAATGATGACAAGAAAAAAAAGAAAGAGATTATCAGATTCATTAAGATAAATCGCCAAATCTGATAGGACGAAATTGGCGCGGTCTCAACGCCTGAGGCAAGACATGCACCCTTGACATAGGGCTGAAATAGGGCGCCACACTGTAGGTGGGGTTGCATGATGTGCTCATGGACCACTCCCCCACTGCATCATCTTGCACCTCGAACAACGGCGACGACATGGGGCAAGGGAGAAAGAGTGGTGTGGACATGGCTGCGGCTCACATGTAAGCTGGTAGATGACATGCGCGCAGAGCTACATGTGGGTACCTTCAAAAGGTATGCAACGGCCGGCCTCGTCTCGGTGCTGAACGCCGAGAGAGGGCCCAGTACCCAAGCCATGTTTTTCAAGAACCAAAACAGAACTGATTGGAGAGGGATGAGTGGGGAATGATTGTGGCGGACTCGGGAGCCCGAGGAATTGTGCAGAGAAAAGTGCAAGAAAAAGAGAAGACGAGGCTGTAACACACTCGACTACACCGGCATGCATTTGACACTAAACCCACCGAGAGACCGAACGACAAGCATAAAACAATCCTTCCCAGATATGGATGTGCTTGCCGTCTCGGTACGGTCATTCTGATTTAGAAACCAACCATTCCTTAGGTCGTGAACTGCTTGTGTTAACTCCCGTCGATTGCGATTCTTGTGATGGGGATCTGGAGACATCCCTGAAGAAAGTACTCTCATGTGCATTTCGGCAACCTCCACGTCTCTTGGGAAAGCCTCATCCAAACCGCCGAGGTTGTACGGATATGCCTGAGGCAGTGTTAAATTCTCCTTGGCACCCAAGCCGCACCAGGGCGTCGCGATGCATCACAGCCCCGAGAGGTTTTCCACTTCAGGAAGGAGTCTCCGTTGACATAGCCATATGGAATTCCTCCGCGTGCGGAACCTAGTCCTTCGCAGCGGCTAACTATATGATGAGCAATGTAACGATAGGGCGAGAGTCTCACTCGTGGTGGTCGCTAGCAATCTCTCTCCCTCTCCACCCCCAAGAATTCTTCCGCAGCTTCTATGGATGACGGCCCGCGGGATCATGGCCAGAACGAGATCCTTCGTCCAGGAATGGTAATGACGGTTCCCCTCAAGAGGACTCGGTGGGCCTGAAGCGGGATCTACGTTGAAGGATGGCATGCCTGAGGCACTGTCTGAGATGCTCCGCCAACGTCATGATCAAGTTCTTCCGTACTTTGGCCGCCCTCCCCTCCTCTCTCTGTCATTCTTTCACAGCTCGTTTCATACTTGCAAGCCCACCGTCACGACAAGGACTTTCCTTGACAGTACAAACAATCCCTAAAATATCGTTCCAGTACCATGGGGCTGATTTACGATCAGCCGCATATGCACCAAGCCTCACAAGGCTGGTGTAACCACACAGGAACAAGTTCGAATCCCTCCGGTATAGATTACCCAGCAGTCATGCTTGCAGCACACGTGGGCGACCTGAAAATGAGGAGGTCAAGAGTGCGAGACTTCTGATCTGTATGTGATTGGGGTCGATATGAGACCATCTATGGCGCCTAGAAAGCCAGTTTTCTCGACCAACATGGACAGACCTAGAGCCAATTATAGGAGACTCTATAGTTGCGGTTGTCCGCAGGAAAGACCTCAGAAACCTTGTCTGGTTGTCTTGCACATTTGTGGGCCAAAATATGAAGGAGATTGTCGACTAGCCCCCAAAGAAAGTCCAGCTGCGAAAGATTCAGCCTCTCAGCTGTCCAAACGATGACCACCAAAATGAGCCCACGTTCGAAGTATCGCCGAATATTGCCACACTCGATTGTGTTTATGGACAGAACGATAGAGAAGAAGAAAAGAAAAAACCACCCGAGAAAAGAAACGCAGTCATCTCGGTCACTACTGGACGCCGGGGACCGAGAAACGTCCACCAGCGAGACACGCACCTAAACGTCCGGGCTCCCGTCAGCCGCATTCTGGGCGATAGCCACGACATTGATAAGATGCACACGAAGGGACAAGAAGCGCTGAGTTTGACAACTTCTCATCCGAGCTTGCTGATCTCTGGGGGCTCAGGGAACGCCGTCATGATGATTCGGAAGCTCTCAACCAAAGGAGATGTTTCTATTTTAAAATCAAATGGAGATGATACAAAGGGAAGATAAAAGAAAGAAGGAAAGAAAGAAGTCTCAGCCCCTCAGCCTCAAAAGTCAGATGGGTGGACCGGGCCTTTTGAGAATTGCTACTTACTATGCCCTCACTTAGGCCGTTGATCGTCTCTGGCGCGCTCTATTGATAGGCGTCAATTGTTTTCAGATGCCCGACGAGGCAACTTTGTTCACCTTCAACAACAATACTTGGAGTTGAAGGCCGAGGGAACATCGCCGTCCTTCGACGACCGTGCCCAAATCAGCGCGGATTCTTGAGCAGTGAGTGGCCTTACTTCTCAAGTTTGAACCGGGAACAGGAAACGGACGAAGGGGGAGTTCCGCCGGGAAGAGAAAAGAAAGTATGCCTGGCAGAGTGTCTCTCCCCCGCCAGACAATTTGCACATGATCTGGTGGAGAGCAGCGCGCACCGATCGTTCATACCCACCACGAAACCACAACCCAAGGCTGAATGACGATGCGGCGTTGCAAGCCCGGACACTACTTTGTACTACTTTGGCAAATATTGGAGCGAGGCCCAAATAAACAAAGACATCTCGTTGATAGATGTTGCGTTTTTTCGTAGATGATCATTGTTGCGCCTCTCTGATATCAAAAACAGGTCCTGATGGCCACACCGGCTTCAACGTCAAATCCAAGACAAAACAATCTATTCACAAAGAAGTATCAGTGTCTCTATCGCTTTCCGCTTTCAGATCTGTAGATGTTGGCCTAAGATGAAGGGCGCGAAAGCGTGACAGCCAGGTCATCACTGCCGTCAGGTCTGAGTGAAAGTGAAAGTGCAAGCCTTGTTCTTGTTTCAAGAGTGTCGAAATTGGCAATACGATAGTGAAAAAGAGATCGATACGCCGACAACAACTGTCTATCAGGTACTCACTTACTGGTTGGGCTGATGGATGACTGACCGGGAGAGGGAGAAAGAGAGAAAGAGAGACAAGCAGAGTCCAGATGAGCTCAGTTCACCCAATAGATCCTGGCGGGGCAGGTGGGCCTAAAACAAGCTTCGCGCCGTAGTGGGTCGCGCCGAGGGGACGGCGCGCTGGTCTGGGCCAAGCGCCGTGCTCTTCCAAGCCTAAACCAGCAGGACAGACCCTTCGTCATTGGCGACGTTTCATTGCGAGCCCTCTCACCCAACGTCATCGTCTTGGCATCCTTGTTTCCCTTTCTCTCCCCCCTTGGCTTAGGCCATTAAAAGCGTGCTAGACGCCAGCTCCCTTGGTGAAAGCAGCTGGAGGGAGACTTTTTTTCTCTTCTTGGGACTTTCTTTTTCGGATCGAGAACGTCATCTATCCAATTGCCATGATCAGAGTGCTCGATCTTGAAATCCTTATTCACTGCTTCAAATAGCAGTCTGCTGCTCCTTGCTCTTTGATCCTGCTTCTACTCCCTTTCCCCCCAAGGCGTCGCGATATCTATTGAGATTCCTGGAACGAGAGTGAATCAAAATCACGGCACACCGAGACTTTGTGACGCCTGTACGCGAGATAAGAGACGACAAACATTCCTCCACGAGACTGTTAAAATCCACGAGACCAAACGAGACGGTACCCTGCCTTGTTCCCTCACAATCACTTCCCACCTGATTCTTGAACGGAATAGGTCTGCCTCAGCTTCGACCTCGGATCGAGACAGGCGCATACAACTATATCTTTCCACACCAAGCAACATACCTACCGAAGGCAGCACACTCCTCTCCCAAACAGCTGTTCAAGATGGGCGTCTTCGGCTTCGCCCTCTCCTACATCGCCTTCTCGGCCCTGCATATCGTCCAGCTCGCCCTCGGCCTGGCGGTATGCGGGCTCTATGGCCAGGACCTGCACCGCGCGCACGACGCGGGCGTATATACGGACTCGAAATGGGTGTACGCGGTGATTGTAGGCGCGCTGAGCGCCTTCACGGCGATTGTGTACCTGATCCCCTTTGTCCTGCGCATCTGGCTCGTCTGGGCCTGGGACCTGGTGCTGTTCGTGCTGTGGATCGCGCTCTTTGGTGTCTTTGGCAAGATGTACATACACGAGAACCCTGAGGGCGACAGCGGCATCCAGCGCATGAAGAACGCCGTCTGGGTTGATCTGGTCTCCGCACTGCTGTGGCTCTTGCTTGCCGTCGCTGCGTTTGGATATTGGTGGGGCCACCGCGAGAGGCATACGCGCTTCACCGGCCGCGCGAGGGTGTAGAGCCCCTTCCCCGAGTCCAAGAACGACGAGAAGCCAGTCATTGCCCGATGCCGTCAGCAGTGGCTTTGATGGGGCTTGAGAAAGGGAATGTGGCTGCAGGTGATTCAGCGGGGTACCGGCGTGAAGGTTACACAGGGATGACCATCGGGTGCGCCTTTTACGTTTCTTGTGGTGATAATGATGATGGGACATGGTGTTGGCAGCGGAGGGCGTGGTCTGGGTAGTTGTTGAGAGAACGGGATGTACGAGCGGGTTTCCGATGTTTGTCTATCTTCATGGTTTGATATCTCACGTTTCCAGTTTGTGGGGTTGAATGTTTTGGTTCCTTCACTTTGCAAAGATTCCCATATACCATTAGAACACAAGACATTAAACTTCACATCTACATAATAATCCTATTGTACACCATTTCTTGGTGGATTCTGCGAATCATCTGTAACGGACGCTCTTCAGATCTTGCCTACCCACAGTACATGGCCCACATGCCTTCTAGGTCGATCAGATCCACAAACATACCTCCAAATGTACCCAACTTAGCTTCTATTGTTGATCATCCAGTCTAGGGTAAAGCTCCGAAAGTGATCTCCTACTTTCTTACTGCTAGAGTTGGTAGCCCAAGTCATTTACATGCTTCGTTGTCCAGACTTTGCCAGAGTCCTTGACCATTGACAAGTAGAGTATCTGGAACAAGTTGTCCCTGAGCTGCATGGGAAGAGAGAAAACGCTGGTAGTACCACGGAAACAGGACAAAAGCAGCACTTCATCACCAGCACAACGCCCCTGTGTGTGGGTGTTGCGGGGGTGTCTGGGTGACGTCAGCAGTGCAGGACCCCACCCACCATTTGCTGTCCTCCGTCCTGTTCCTCCTCCTCCTCCTCCTCTTACAAATCGGTTGCAGCAAAAAAGCAGCCGCACCACAAAAAAGATACCAAATCGAGACATCTCGAGGCAGGCAGAGTAGCCATGTGTGCCATGGTAAGATGGGAATATCCACAGCTTGGCAGGCAGGCAGGGAACATGACAATCCTGGCCCCCTAGATCCTGGCGATTTTCTGTCGGCAATTGGACCTTTCTACAGCTGCTGCAACAACATTGGTCGCACATTTGAGATTGGAAGAGAGCTGCTGGCACACCGTTATTCTTCTCGCTCCTCCCCTGCGGAAATTTTCTCAGAAAACGCGACCAAGCTCAGGATGGAAATGTCGTTGCTGATCATGATACGATTTCGGTAACTGTGCTATGTAGGCGCACTCGGACGGTTGCACAGACCTGTGCTTGAAGCGAATGGAAGAGGCGTTCAAAGGGTTTTCAGAACTGCAACTCAATGACGGCATCATAGAAGGGCTTTCACACATGCGGCACAAAGGACTCTCCCACGAGATGTCACCGCCGGAAAATACCGGTGCCTCTTTGGTATGGCCACGGGTCTGTCCATGCGCAGGCTGACTGGATGGTGACAGAGCCATGTGGGCATCAAGCGCTGGAGGAGCACGATTCGACATCCCGCTGCTGGTGCACAACGCTGGTGTTATCGAAGAACAAAAACACCCACCAGTCGAAACAGAGAGAGATTGAAAAAGGAAGGGTTGCATGGTGCAAACCCCAGGATCAGCATTGCGCTGCGGCCCAAGCGGCAGATCTTTTCCCAGCAAGGCATCTTTCTCACCAAAGTCTCCGTTTGCATCCCTACCCAACGCGTCACGAAAGCCTGGTCACGGTTCTCAAACGTGTGCTGTGTTCGTGGACCCAGGCCCCTTCGCTTCCAAGATGCCGAAGAAGGGGATCGAGAGAACGAGAAGAAACCACCAGACACCCACGAAAGCCAACATGTGCGTTTGCACCCTTGCCTCTGCTCTCCCGACAAGGAGTTTTATCCCTCCAAGGATATCAAATGACAGCTCAGACGGCGTCCTTTAGGGGACCCGCCATTAGCGCAAACTTCAGGCTCCCTGCATGTCTTGGATGATAGCTATGCGATGGCTGCATTGCCTGCCTATCAGCCTGTTGGGATATTGCAGGATTGAAGGGGGGTGGGGGGGGGTGCCAAGAACACGCAGTAGATGATTCTTCTCACTTCTTGCTGTCCTGGCCCGAACTTGTACGACCACAGAGGACAATTAGCTGGCCAGACCACTCGTGCAGAAGAGGTGTATGAAGAGGAGGAGAATGGAGGTTGTTGAGAAATGATGCTGGGATGACGACGAGATCCTGGATCGGACCCCTCATATTACCGACCACTCTGCGGTTTCTTCGGCAGTCACTCTTGGTTCGATAAATTGCTCGACGAATCAGAAAGGAAAAGGAAGAAGAATAAAAGAAAGTCTCCAGTGAACCACCGACGACGTGTCGCCCCGATAAGCATAAGGTCTGAGTGAGGAGGAGTGCTTTTGAAGGAATCAATCTCGGCCACGACTTGGCCACCTCAGCATGCGTTTCACAAACGGATACGTACAGCTGTGGCGTTCTGGGCGTACCCATGCGATATGTTATGGGATCTCAAGATGCTGCAAGGACTGGCCGTGCCACTAACAGGCTATGTACGTCGCCCAGTTTGGCAAGCCGCCGGAGGATTGGGGGGGGGGGGGGGGGGTTTGGATCAGGAGGAGGCGAGGAAGAACTGGAAGATCGGGAGGAGGGCTGGCAGGAAGTGCGACGGTGTCTCTTTCCCCTTCAGCTTTCTCTGCATGGTGCTGTTGATCTTTGTTCAGGGTCTGCTAAAATCCTAGTGAAGCCCAAACAGGGTGTGGAAGTGCTGTGGTGATCACTGCTGTTGTTGTGTCTAGCGCCCTGATATTCATAGACCACCCCGGCATTGACTGACTGGATTGGGCACAGATTCATCCTGACAAGCACAGCACACAGATATGCATGTGGGTTTCCAAGCCAAAGAAGGGGGCTTGGTAATGAGGGTCAACTTTTGCCCCTTGCCTCTGTTCGCTTCTCTGCCTTTGTCTTCTCTTTGTGACCATGACAGCTTCTCAGGCACACATAAACAGCCCTGTTGTTTAAGAATGAGGTCATGGAGTGGTCAGTTGTCTGCTGTGTCTCTCTCGTGATGTCGTTTCGGTTTTGAGAGGTCATTCCGCTTAACCGAATAGCCACTCATGCAACCTTCCAATGTACACAGGGGGGGGGATGGAAGGTCATTTTTTGTGCCCACCTAAGCCTAAAGTCTAAAATTGTAGCCACAGTAGGTGACCAAAAAAATGACAGAAGAGAGCTCCGGGGTAAGGGGAGAAGAGAAACGGGACGTGCCATCAGGGGATACCAGCTGCACTGCAACTGCAGGCCAGCAGGCCAGCAGAACCCATTTCTTGATTTCCCTGTTGGATAAGTAGGTTGATGACTTATTATTCTGTCCTGCTCGATCCTGCAGGCAACTAGTTTGTCAAGCATGTCGCTGTTCTTTCTCATGTATTTGTTGAGCATTTCTTCTAGAAACAACATTATCTTTTTGGATTCTTTTCAAGTTTCTTTTTCACCCCGCTCGCGCCCCCTTCCCATAACCAGCACCAACCTCATCCATCCGCCAAACACTGCAAAGCTCACCACCGTTTTATTCCCGCCAATACATCAGATCTCAACCAGACTATTTGTTCTTGTTCCACCCTTGAAACCAGACACAGGCATCCCCCAGCGGAAGTTGGTTGTGACCTTTAATCGCCTGACATCTTCTCGGTGGGCCTGAACCACATTTCTTGCCTGACCAGTGGGGCCAATTACAGCGCCTGCAGAGAGAAGAAGAGGGAGAACAGAGAGCGAGAAGACTCAGAGCAATTCCGTTTGCTGCAGGGGCTTTTTTGCAGGGCCCAGGTCAGAGCTTGTCTACATACCATCACTTCTGATATCAGCAGTGCAAACGGCGAACGGGCGGCCCAACCGACAATCCTGGGCGACAAGGCAAAACGACCAACAACAAACGACACATCGGTTTCGTTTTTCAGTCAGCAACAAGGAATAAAGAAAGAAAAAAAACTTCGCACACACAATTTGACTTGATCTCACCGTCAGATTGAGGCACTACACGAAGCACCTTGCTCGTGTCGCTTTTTTGGGGATAAGGATTATCCTTACCTCTTTGCTGCGAGAAGCCGCCCGGTCTGTTTGCAAAGAAAGTCACCAAATCCGCTTTTCGATATCGCTTCCATAAAGCCCTTAAAAGTCGTCGGTGAAGGAGGAGGAAGAAGAAGAAGAAGAAGGAGGAGAAAACCATATACCAAGCCTCATTGCCCATCGTCCGTCTTTTATTGAGCACAACACTGCAAAGTCTTCATAACCATCGGCATCTTGGATCTTTTCCTTTGGAGTTCGGTGAGTAAACATACTTCTCCGTTTCTGCCGTGTTTGTCTCTGCAACTTCGCAACCCAAGACTCCTTCATCAGCTTGGACCGGCTCCACGCACACCGAGTTGAGCCATCCTGATTCTCCCTACGCAGCGTGTCTGATGACAATTATGCGGCTCCTAAGGATGATTCTTCTTGCTGGGCAAAGACGAGGCTCTCTTTTGTACTGCCTCCACCAGCGGCTGAACTCTATCTTGGATGCTCCACATGTTTCTCTCGGCACGCTGGCGCCATCTCGGGGGGGGGGGGGGAAGACGGATCTGTTGCCGTGCTAGTGGCATTGCGGAGGGGCGTATCTTGGCCCAAAGGTCCAGTATAAGCCCACAAGGGCAGCTTCTTCGTCTTAAGCAAAGGTTCGCGTGGCCCTCGCAGCGGCCCCCAGACCTCCACCTAGAGCCTATTATTCCTCTCCCACCCTGCCCCCTACCGCCCTCTCTCCCTCTCCCTTGGCCTGCCTCGAGCCTGTTCGATCTAATCACACCACCGCATCGTCACGATCCCCAAAACCCTCCATGGTTGATCTACGTACAGCTCAACACCATGCGGATCCCTCCTGGCTGACTCGAAGAAAAGAAGAGAACAAAATGATAATAATACATGTATAGACATTATTGGACGATCGCTTCCTGCCTCAGCTGGTCACTATGCTGCCCACCACGAACGTGCTCGGTCGCTCGGCGGCCCTGAACCCTTCTATACTGCCAATACATCTAATTGAATCAGCTGCGGAGGATACCGGCACCGGCACCGTCATCAGACCCCGCAGGAGGACCTATTCGAGCTCCTCGGATTCCTCGGTTGCGAGTGTACGCTCTGAGGATCAATTCGTTTTCTCCCCCTACCGCACGCCATCTCACGAACAGGCGTCCTTCTTCCCACCAACAAAAACAGCAGCCATGGCAGCGCAGCGAGGAGAACCAATACTGCTCGATTACGATACAGACGTAGAAGGCGGTAGTGAACGAAAACGAGCTGTTGGTAAGCTTGACCCGAGAATATCCCTTTTCCGTCCTAACATTGCCCAACTTCATTTGTGTGTCACCTGCGGACCCCAAACCCCCGGAGACGTCGGTCGTGTTTGCATGTTACAGCATGGCTGCGGCGCCCGTTAGTGCAGGTGTCAGTCATCAGCGTGTGTCGTGGCATCTCAAGTCGTGTACTACAGGGGGAGTGTCGATCGGATCGTCGTTGTCCAGTGCGACATTGCTTCTGATTCTGCTTCTGCTGGAGGGAGAGTTGGAGTTGGACATGGAGAATTCGTTCCTGTCGTCGTTGTTGGGCTGTGACAGTGTAGCAGGCTCTGTGCGCTGCGACTCAGGGTCCTCCTCCTATGTCTCACGACACGGGTCTGTCGTCCTTGGTCCAACCCCGGCTTTTACCGTCCATCCGCATTCCCGGCTCAAGGTGCCGCCTGTCAAGGGCTAGACAGCTCCTCGCAGCGTCGCATTTCTTTTGCGATTCAGGCAGCTGTCAGGATGGGCCACTAACCGGAATCTGCGCAAGCGCGTCTCCCGCTTAAAATTGTCTCAGGGCCAGGGGAGGCTACCATTACTGGGTATGCAAAGCACGGCAAGGTATCGTGGGGAGGGGCTCCTTAGGGGCCATTAGTGCCGGCTACAACGCCCTTGCCAATGGCGTTTGGGGACGTCATCTGTTGCCCACTGCAGCAGGCAGATCAGATCCTCTTTCTTTTTTCTTTCTCCGCAACGATGGCAACGGTTTCCCTTCATGCATATAGTCCAGAGTGACAACACTACTTTCAGTTTTTGGTTTTGCTCTTTTCTCTTTTCTGTCTTTTGAGAATCGGCTGACTGTTCTCCCTTCCCTTTCTAGCTGCAAGAGATATCACCCAGACCTCTAGCCAATTGGCAGACAGCAAATCAACGATCATATCCTCATCTAGTGAGCCCCCCACGCCGCACTCCAAGCCTATCGCGATTGAACTGCCTCAATCCCTCTCGCGCAAGATTGCGTCCAGTTCTGCCTACACCCCCATTGAGCCTCTATCCGCCCGCGGCGATATCTCAGGGTAAGTCCTTGCTTGTATCGGTTGATCCATCATTCAATTAGGAGGGACGAGGGGGACTGGCTGGCTGACCATGGCTTTGACAACTGTCGTAGTGGTTACTTTCCGTTCCACGAAGACCCTGACGAGCGAATTCATCGTCCACACCCTTTCCACGAGGCTGCAAAGGCGGCCAAACGTGCCTCTGAAGAGTGGCAGCACGAGGATCCTCAGGCCAGCAGTACTCAGGCCAGCAGCGCACAGGCCGGTGGTGAAGCTTTCGCAGCCACCACAGCGAGTGTGAGCCGGTCTTCGGTCCCCAAGCCCACCGTGTCCAAGTCAAACTCAAAGGCCCATCACTCGAAAGTGAGCTCGGTCAAGATGCCTCCATCGCGGGGTACCGGTCACAACACTCCCGTCACATCATACAACCCAGGCGGTTTGGGCGACATCCCCATTCCTTTGGGGAAGTATTACCCAAGTAATTATGAAGCCGCAAGGGCACGGAAGCAGGGCCAATCTTCCTCTCCCTCCCGCACACAAACTTCCCGAAGCAGCCTTCGACCGCCCTTCACCGCCGACACCACGCCTTGCATCAAATCAGACACCGCCGTGCCGCAGGTCAATCGGCCAGATGCACCACGAGAACGATCCGACTCGGAGGCGAAGCGAAGACTGCAGCAGTATCAGCGCGATATGGTTGCGCAGGCTACCCAAGCCGCACGACACCTTGCCAATTCTAATGGTGCATCAGCGACTCTCGCCTCGGTGCATGGTGTGACCTTGCAGAAATTCATCAAGGGACCGCATGGGCCTATCTCCCCGCGCCTGCAGCCCCTCGGTAGTCCTGGACCGGTCACCCCCATGGACCTCGAGAATCAAGGCGGCGACGGTGGATACCTTGCGCGCGGCCGGGCTGTCCCAAGCCCGGATGCTGGTCGCGAGATGGAGGCTATAGCTCGGGCCATGAAGGCCGAGGACGAGCGAAGGCGTCGAGAGGGCAGAAGCTCTCCGGCCGTCGAGGCGGGTGGATTCCTCTTCTGAGGGGCCTCATATATTCCCGAGAACTGCCCCATACTGTCACCATCTCATTTGTATCATCTTCACTATCGTTTCATTTTTTTTGTGGAGTTTTGGTTTAGTTCTTTACGCCGCGATCCTCCTTCTGGTCTTACTTATAAGGCATCTATCGATTCTGGAAATCCGCAACGGGGTATGCAACTATCTCCAGTGGCGCTGGGAACTCACCAGACAACGCAACGACATTCACAGGCGTCAACGGGTCCAGACAAACATGAGGAACTGGACACTAAATTCTTCTTCGGTCAGCACCACGGGGTTCATGGATACAACCCAGCGATTGATCATTTCTTAAGATACCCGAAGCGTGCATTGTACCCAGGATAGACGGCAGCGATATCACTTGAAAAGGCAACAATTACAAAGTGATCGCACGACGACATGACTACATCTGGACAGATGCCTTCGATTCGACACCTCCAGAACGGTGGTTCCAAGCGGCAAACATTGTCTTTCACTACGGCGGAAGAAGAAGAGAAGAGAGAGAGAGAGAAAGGCAGAAACAGATTGGATTAACAAAAGCGAGCCCTTCGCCTTGTTTGGGTCACTGGCGTGCACGGCGCTGCATGTGCATATCGGAGGAATGGCGGGCGTCATTAAAAGTATCCTTCCACCATTGCGGTGACCAGATAGCAAGATCCACTGGGCTGGATTGTGTATTTATTCAACAATCGTTAGGACTGCAAATTTTCATGGAAAGCATGTGTCTGCAGTCAATTAGGAACCCAGCGACTCTCAATACTGTCCGGCACATCTGCCGAACTTTATGTAAAGAGCTGTCACGAATAAGGAAAAGAGGAAAAATATGCCCTTTTTGCTTCAGTTAGAGGGAAATTGAAGCATTCATTGACGGGACTCATGTTGCTTCGTTCTCAAATTGTCGAGAGCAGTGAATCTACTTGTCACTACGTCGAACCAGACGGAATGTAACAATGGAAGTACACCATTCATTTAAGATACTTGGGCAGTTATCCGATAGTGAGCACAACAGCCGCCCGCGTTGCCTGCGCCGTCCACCGGTTCTAAAGGAAGCCGAGCACCTGGGCAGGCCGCAGTGTCTCATCAACAGCCAGGACATCCTCGCCTTTCTTTCGCGGCCCGCCGTTGTTAGTGTCATCAAACTTCTTCTACGGCAAGCTGGGCCGACAGGAGAACGAGCGGAGAGCGAGGATATGCTCGCGTGCAGAGGCGCGACGAGGAGATGGTGTACTAGAATTTGCGAGTGCACAAGTGCGGTGGCGGTGAGAGTGTGCGATGAGAAGAGGGCGTCCTTACCAGGACCACACACGTGCCAGGAGAACATAAAGGCGGAGACGGTTGAGACTTTCTGCATATATTCACAGTATCACTAGGATCGGATCTACGGATGCTGTGCGAGCACGCAGACAGATGATGGGCGCTGGGATGGCACGAGGGACAGGTGGGAGCCGTCTCATGATGGGCATCACCAATCGACCCAAGAATCAGGAAATTTCGTCCAGATATGATCTACGACTTCTTTTATTTCCCTGCATTATCCGTCGTACCTTGTCTTATTTAGATTCTCCAGCACTCGATATCATACCACAACTTCAGCAACTCCTCCAACCCCTTCATTGGACAGCCTGTAACCCCCTGCGGCCCCATGATATTGCATCTTGTTGTCTCAATCCACCTGGGCTCTTAGAGATTGATACATAGTTTCTGCTGCAGCGTTGTACATCTTCCCTCACATTTTGGGTAACCTTCTCTATGAGATTAATATGCACCTAGGCATAATATTAAGGAAGCTACCTAGGTACCTTTTGGAGTAGTTGTGGGTTGTTTCAGTTTAATTGCCTGACCCATCATATTGCAGGAATGGTTCTGATAATTCCTTAGTGTGAGAATCAACAGCAAGTCATGTCTTCTCAAATTAGAAGTTTGAGTAACCTTGACTTGTCGGACCAAAATAGCCCTTTTCCTTTCTGATGTTGCTTCCAAATGCCCAGTATTTATATACTTACTTTTTATTTTAACCCCCCCCCCAAATAATATCCCCCCAAATTGCTTGAGTACATCAATAATATCATTTAGTTAATTACCTTGAGGTTCTCAAAGAAAAGTTGTGTGAGTCCGACCGTTACGCAGCTATATAGGCCATAGTCCCCTTCCAGTCAGCTGGGAGTGGTCACTCCTTTTAGCTGTCGCATCAAAGTACCCTCAGCTTCTAATACTCAAATTCTTTACAAATCTTGCCCGTGTTTGCCGATGGTGTAATTTCGAAAAAGATCTAATGGCAACTTCCGCCATGGCTTCAAGAACGACATGTTCTTAGTCCTTTGAACCGTGACGATGACAATTGCATCGCCCGTTGGGTCCTCGGCAACGGCTGGAAAATTCGCAACCAGAACAGCCCTAAGTGGAAGATCGTCACTCTCTGAGTGAGTCTCATAAGTTCTATGGACAGATTATACGCTGGTTCAGGACGAACTTCCGCAGCAAGTTTTCCGACCTGCGGAAGTGGCACGCCTGGCGACACTTCCCCTGGGGTGTCTATGCCATCTACAGCTCGGCCATGACCAACATCGGCGACTGTCTGGGCCTCCCTCACGGTTTGCACCCTCAGCCGCACCAGCTTCTGCACCGAGTCCGCCCACGGACCTCTGGCCATGGCGCTCGTGACAAGGCCGCACAACGTCGGTGTTCTCCAGCTCATGGTGCACTGAATACTAGATCTGGGGCTTACCAATTCGCTTGAGGTCGCGGCTGTTCCAGCTGTGATCATAGAAAATGACGGCACATTACAGCTTGATGAGGGAATACCGGATCTTGGTAGCGAGGATCCAGATGATCCTCTTCTTCATGACACTAGATTCTTTTTTGTAGTCAACTCAAGTACAACCGCACTGGGTTGAGCTTCTTTCATTGCGCAATGCACCCGCATTTGCACAGGTCCACCGACGACGAGGACTCAAGGGCATCCGAGTGGGTGTTGAGAAGCAAAAGTCGAAATATAGGAGGGAAATTGCCGTATCCTTTGGCAGAAGTGTATTGCACTACATAGCCTGGGATAGAGAGGATCGGATTATTGAATGGCACAGCTTCTCTTAGGCTTCTTTCATGGTCCGGATTAGCACAGAGAGGGGTAGCAAATTCAAATAGTGAGGTTTAATTTTAATATCCGGCAATAACCTTGAAGGGATAACGATAGTGACGGGACCATGTTGTGCCCGAGGTATGTCAAATGAAGAGACAAGCCGAGACCTTTCAAGCCTGGCATATATGTCTTCTGTATGTACACGAAGCGAATATTTGTATGTCACCATCGACATCTTGGCACATTCTCACCCGTGCCTAGAGTTCCATGTCTCTTCAAGCATGAACGATTGCATCGACAATGCCTGCGAGTACCTACGGGCATCTTGCTCCGTTAAAGGTGTTTGTTCAAGGATAGGGCTGACCATCACTTGGTCGGTGAAGCCTTGTGCAAAGCCATCATTGTGATGTGAACTGGACGTCGCCAGAGTCGAATGGCCTTTGCCTTCTCGCTTTGATCTGGAGCCGCTGTGGCCGCCCTTGACTGAAGGGACGCGACTTCGTCTGTGGAGTGTGCCGGAGGTTCGACTGCCGCTGGATGAGGCTTTTGTGGTATGACGGCTTTGGCCTTTTGATGTGGCACGAGAATGTTCGGACTCGGACAGGTTCTCGACAGCGTAGGGACCGTGGTGATCGGGTAGGGCAGCGGCCTGCACAATGACTGGACACACCAACTCGGTAGAGCCAGGCTGTCTTATGTCAACCGGGTTCTTGTACAACGATGATAGTTCATCGACAGAAGAGAAAGAGAGAGTCAGCATACCTCCCCAAGAGGAACGTGCAAGTCCAACTCCATGTTGCACATAAAACACAACGGTCGTGAGGATTGAGACAGGTACCGATGGTCTGTCCGTTGACTACTAGTAGAGTATGACCGTGACGGCCCCAAATTGGCCATTCTTGTTGAAGTTTGCTAGGTGAAAGATTGCCAGAGCCTTTGGGCACCTGCCTGGCTCTTCGTGGAGAGAAGTGATATCCCACTAGAGCAGAGTCATGGAGATATATATCATCACCTGGCTGCCCCAGGTCCGTGGCGATCCAGGCCCGAAAGCGCCACCCAATTTCAGAACGCATTCTCCCGTAATTACGCAAAAGAAGGAAAACCAAAAACCTGTTCATCATTCCACTCAAGCATGTCTTAGTATCGTCAATATAGCTTGCTCTAAAATTAGACCCCCAATGCAGCCTCTTCGTCTGCACGCGTTACACTAGTCTGCATAGGTGCCTGTGGCCAGCTTGCCGATCATTCGAGGCCAGAGGCTGAGCAGGTGTACAGAATTACTGAACCGTAGATGGTTGGTCCGAGTTCTGCCGTGAACATGTGATTGGAACGTGGACGGTGGCTGAGCATGTACAGGTATCCATTACACTGCAGCTTACATGGACTGGTCTCAGTGGTCATACTGCATGAGCCTATTGCTTCTGGTCTTGCTGACTAAATTCAGCCGCTGTGTTGAGAAGGTGATTGACTGACCGCTGCGTCTCAGCTTGACACTTTTGCTTCTACTTTTTCCGTCTCGTCTGTCTTCCTGGCAAGAATTTCAACATGGAAAATTCAATCACATGTCTTAATTCGCTCAACACTTAGCCCCTCTTCTTCTGCTCAGCCGGCCCTGATTCTCTCTTCGTTTTCATGTGTGTGAAGCCAAAGTACTATCAACCGGTGCCCACTCCCCTTCTCCCTCTTTCCCGGGTAGCCCGAGGTGTTGAAATTACTTTCTCACAGTTGGACGGGCCTATGTTGAGGTAAGTCGCACAACGTGCTCGGTCAGCGGCCGAGTTGAGCCGTTGTGCTTCTTTTCCACGCCACCCGCCCCCTCTTCCTTTTCTTTCTTTCTTTCGAGAGGGTAAAAACAATCCTTGGCAGCCACTCAGCCTCTCACTGAGACACAGACGCCCCCCCCCCCTCCTTCGCTTCCTATAGCAAGCGCTTGTTGTGTAATTCGTTAACGGCCGTTATCGGGCTCAACTGTCGCAATTGTGCATTTTCTTTTTCTCAAAAAGCTACGTACAGTTTGATTCTGAACTTTGGTAATTACCAAGCAACATCAGCAGTAATGGCATCTCGAAGCATCTTTACCAATATTCTCAACGTTATGGCCAGAATCATGAGTTGATTACGTACGAATCTCTGATGAGTTGATTCACATGCCACATGCACCACAGCTTCCGGGGTCATCTGCGATATCGCTTTCTCTAAACTACTTCTCGGCGACCATCGTAATCATGTCCTCGATATGGTCAGACCTGGATCTACATTTGCTTTTGAGTCTCACAAGTATCTATGGCAGTATTTGTCGCTGTGTGAACGGCTTGTGGCTTGTTTGAGATCATAGCTTGACCTATGATGACCGAAACAGCACAAGTTCACTCTAACACCACGCCACAAAGACGCAGCGTCTCTTACATCCTATAGCTAGTAAGCTGCGATGTATGAAAATTTTGTCATCACATACTCATTGTTTTGAAAATATTCAGTGAGACTATTTGAGCACTTGAAAGGGCTTCTTGGCTCTTCCGGTCGTTTGGTTTCGGTCTATTGTTCTTTCGTTGCCATCGTTTTGGGATCAGATTTGGCCATCTATACTACAGTTGGATCTATCCATCCTATACAACACTAACTCAAGTAAATGGATCCCTGCGTGTTCATACCATACAATAGAACGAAGAGGCCGCTTTGGTTCTTTGTAGGCACAGCTTTTGGACTTTGTATGGGTTTTTGGTCACTCCCACTGTGCATGTGTCCCGTACTTCTGCGTATCCTCTTCTTTGTCCAAACAAACATTACGACCGTTGCTACAAAGCATCTGGTCATTTAACCAATGAAGCGACTATTCCTGCCTCCTCTAGATTGCGCCACTTCTGTGATTTGTATTTTGTTCAGGTGGTCCAGCATAGCTTCAAGGCTGAGTGCTCTGGGCCTGCGTTTTGCCTAACGCTTCAAAGTCTTTTTCTCCACGGCTGTCCGCAACAACTGCCACCTTTTACATGCGCTGATCGATTCTCCGTTGCCAAGTATGTCCGTTCAGGACCTGCATCAAACTTTATGTGAGGCATTTTACTTCTTCTTGAACGTGGCCCATCGGGGATGAATCGAATAATATGGTGCTGTACGAACCAAGCGAGAGGCAGGACACGGTCTTCAGCACGATCGAACGTGTCTGCTCGGTATTCTCTCTCTTTGGATGCATTTTTATCATCTCAACATTTGCACTCTCCAAGCCATTCCGGAAGCCAATCACTCGGCTCTTTTTCTACGCATCATTTGGCAACGTGATGAACAGTGTGGCGACACTTATGGCGACGTCATACGTGAACAATCCGAACTCAGCAGCCTGCCAATTCCAAGGGTTTTTAATCCAAATGTAAGATGATGACCATCTTCCGCCCATCAAGTTGTTAATGTTAATACTGTGGCCAAGGTTTATTCCGGCCGATGCGTTCTGGTCACTCGCTATGGCGGTCAATGTCTATCTGACATTCTACCGGAAATACGACGCGCACGATCTGAGAAGAATGGAATTGACTTACCTGATCCTCTGCTACGGTGCACCATTTGTTGTGGCTTTTACCTTTATCTTTGTCTCCACTCCAAGCAAGGGCCGGATGTATGGTGATGCTTCCCTTTGGTGCTGGGTCAGTAGCCCATGGGATATCTGGCGCATCGCTACATTTTATGGTCCAGTCTGGTAAGTCGTCGATTCCTGACCACTTTTGCCTGCCTGGTAGGTACTGATCCGTTACTTGACAGGGTAGCAATATTTATCACGTTCTTTATTTACATCCGGACCGGTGGACAAATCTACCACAGGTACAAGGCTCTCAAATCCCTGAACTCATCTAATCGCCTGGCCGAACAGCGGTATCTCACGGACCCGATCTCTACCACAACAAACGAAATCTATGTAACGTCTGAAATCGTCGCGAGTTTTGGTCCCGCCGAAGGGTCTAATGGGTTACCTGCCCCGCCACCAGACGCCTACTCTGTCACCATCACATCTGAAGCACGACAGCCGCGGGCTGTGAAAAGCGATCTTGAGCACGACTGCGAGAAAGGCGGAGTTGATGGACCAGACAATAAGATTGAGCCGTCCAAAAATGAATGTGATGCAGCCCCGTTGTCACCCGTGTCTCAGCTATCGACCACATCGTTTACAAGGCACTCATTACGTGTACCGCGCAGCAATTTCTCAAAGATGGCCATGAGAGCAAGATCAAGGAGGACACAATGGGGCCACCGCCGGGTAGCCGCTCTCGACGAGGCCAACAACGCCGCCTGGTCATACGCCAGGTGTGCTTTGCTCTTCTTCACAGCACTGCTCATCACATGGATCCCATCGACAGTGTTTCGTGTCTATACCGTCATAAACAAGAACCAGCCCATCAGTCTCGGGCTCGAGTACACGTCTGCATTTGTCCTGCCACTGCAGGGCTTTTGGAACGGCTTCATTTATGCCTTCGCAACCCGAAGAGCATGCAAGAGGCTCTTTGAGAAAGCGAAGAGGCGATTCCCTCTAAAGACCCCTCTAGCCATGTCGAGCGACAGCCGAGGAGACAGGGTGATCGAGGCTGGGGTGGCTGCGGATGGTATCATCAGCAGGTCATGCCCGAGCCCAGTCAGGCAGCCCTCAAAGCAACGAAATAGCTTCATGATGGGATTTGTATCAGCGGGCAGGAGGTTGGATCTGGATCTTTTCAACGATGATGTTAATGGGTAGATTTAGTCTTGATGTATGGCGTATATGCACGCTCTTTTGTATGAAGCATAATCACTTTCGTTTTGGGTCCTATAAGGTCCATACTCTGAATCATCATCATCAAAGCAAATCGTTGGAGAAAACAACAATGTGCCTCTTTCTGCAACAACTAGCTCAAGCCAGCTCATGCACACTTCCAATGAGCCTCCCTAGGTGAGTGTTACTGGCATGGAATCTCAATTGTGGTCTCTGGGAGGTCCTGGAAGCCTGGGACCTTTCATCATTTAGTGAACATTTGGAAGCACACTTATATTTACATACTGTTGACTGTATCGTGGCTGCATAAATCATAATCTCTCCGACTCGCTGCCCACCACAGGCCCCAACGCCTTGGCCAGATTTCATCATAAAATTTGAATGTTGTTTCATCCACAAGAGACCTCTTGAGCAAGTATGCTGTCCATGCTTGCCTCTGAAAAAGAACAAGCCGAGCTGCCCAGCGAGTCCTCAAATGAGAGCGGCTTCTGGCCTGTCAACCTCGCAACCGTATCTGTACCCTGCAGCACCTGCCCATGGGAGATGAACCTCCCATACGACGCCAGATCTTCCAAGCCTTCATTGGAGTACCGTCCAAAGAAGTCTCCATGCATGCTCGCACCAGCAGACAACCGCCGCTCTCTGTGGACAACCTCGGGCTTGTGGTCTGAGACAGGACTTACCGGACAGCTGTCACCACTAACACCACCAGCCCTTGCAGCCATCCACCGCAGGATCTCCTTGTTCGACACCGCTCTCGGGCCCGTAACCGTATATACTTTGTTCGCCTCTCCTTTTCCCATCAGCAGCGCTCCAAGCACCCGCCCACAGTCCTCCCTCGCCACGAAGGCTGCTCTGCACTCTTTTCCGCCGAGATCTATCCCTGCCGATGTCCGTCCCGGGGGCGCAAACACTTCGGCGACGGTGTCGACGAACAGGCAGTTTCGTTGCACGTTCCACTCTAGTCCACTGGCGCGGACCAGGGCTTCTGTGTATGCATGGTCTCGCGCCAGCGGAGGGGCAGCGTCCTCACCAAGCTCGGCACCCACGATGCTTGTGTAGACCAGGCGGCCCACGCCGGCCCTTCGCGCGGCCTCAACCACATTGCGATGCTGGGCGCGGCGGGCGGGACCGGCGAGGTAGTTGGGGGAGGAGACAAAGGCGACAACGTCGGCGCCACGAAAGGCTCGTTCGAGGTTTGCTGGGTCGTTGTAGTCGACCATGAGCACACGAGCGCCGCGCGCAGTCCAGGACGCGAGGAGGGGCCTTGGAACAAAGCCGGGCTTTGGGGAGGTGAAGGTGAGGGTGTCGGTGGGCTTAGCGAGAGTTAAGGCATAGGAGGCGGCGACGGAGGACAAGTGCCCGTCCACACCGGTGAGTACGTAGGTAGGCATTTTGAACTTTTTTTGACTTGTTGGGGAGTGTAAGATTGTGAGTGAGTATTGTTCCAAAGTGCAAGGTGTGATGTGATACGAGATGAATAGACTCTTGTTTCCTCCTTCTGGATGGCCAAAATAGGGACACCAGGTTCTTTTCGAATTGTTATATTGCTAGGGATCAATTATGAAAATTGGACTGTGATGTTGGGTGTTGAAGGGTGGAAAAGGAGGGTGTATAGGGTAGGCACACAGACACTAGAGGAGAGGACTAGATATATACTTTTGCAGGCACTGAGAAGGGTGGGGAGGGGGGGGAGGAGCGACTCATTCTTCCCTCCATCATGGCCCATTGAAAACAAAGGAAGGAGGACGAAAGAGGGAGAGAAAAGAGAGAGAAGGCACGAGACCTATCTTCCCCATGGAGACCCCGTAGGTAGCGGGCATCTCCTGAGAAGCGTCGGTCCGGGGTTGCGGAGAATTGCCGGGAAGTGTGATTATCATGCCACTTGGGCGGTCTCATGAGTCCAACCAAAGTAAAAATGGCGCGCTCAAGGGCGACACTTACCCATACCCATAAGAATAATACAGAATTGGATGCGCACCAATGAATAGATCGAAATGGCTACCCCTCCATCCTTTTTTGGTCATGAAGCACGGAGTGCAGCGGAAGTCAGTCACCTGCAATCAGTCTAAGGTTAACTAATTGTACAGAGGTAGGCGAACTCTTGGCCGCCCCCCCCCCCCTCTCCGTCTTTCCCACCAAGGAGCCATCTAGCCAGGTGATGTTTCCAGTTTTTCTTTTGCCATCTTCTCTCAGCTACTGGCTGAACCCACTTGGTATCCTGGCTGTGGAAGTTCACATGTGATGGTGTAATTATGTCTCATGGATATCCTTATTTCCATACGATCTTCCTCGTCAAATCAGCTTAAGTCAAACCAGTCGCTATACATAAGTGTCTCCAGACAAGGCATCTAGTCGACCCATTTAATCTTTAGAGAGATGCTTACCTGTGATTGATCAAGTCACTTTGGAATCGTAACTTGCCTCAATCAATTTGGAGGTGTCATACGAAACCCTTGCTGAAACATGCTTGAATGTGAATTTTTTTCCTTCCTAGTTTTTCTCATGTAAGAAATATACCTTCTAGACAGACCAATACACACGCGACAAAGCCGTTCGGAGCTATGGAGAAAATCACCGAACCGTCGCTTGCCATTGCTCTCTTTCCTTCGCCCCAACCTGGTAGCAGCATCTGCGCGGCCACTACTGGGCTGCCGTCTCCATCTATCTCGTGCACACCCATGCCTCTCGGCCTCCTCGGCCTCCTTTCACCTTCAGCCCAGCTTCGCGGCCTCATCCTGCCCCTTGTGCTGCCCTTCCGCCTCGAGCTCCCTCTCGGCCTGCCGGTAGTACTTGGCGGTATCGACACCATGCTGGTTGTGGTTGACAAAGTTGAACCAAGGGACCACGTCTGAGAAGAGGGAGGAGAAGCGTGACTGCCGAGCTGCGACGCCCTGCATGTGCGCGGAGAGCTTGCTCACGCCGTAGAGAGGCTCGCCGCGCTTGACCTTGTCCACCATTTCGCGCATGTCCATCTCAACCTCGCGGGCGTTCTCGGTGAATCCGTAAAATCGCACTGTGGGGGGAGCAGCCGGATGATTATTCGTCAGCCAGCTTTGTCAAGACTGTTATGACATATTGTCGTAGTTGCTTCCTATAATGGTCCTCCTTTCCGCCCTTGGAATATATGGACCGGGGTTTTCACGTACGGATGGATCGGTTGTAGAATGCCAGAAAGCCACCGCAGATACCAATAGCACCGGCCAATCTCATGACGCGGGCAAAGCCACCTCTACCGACGTAGGATGGGGCGAAACGCTCCATCGTCCACAACAAGCCGGGTCCTGCTGCGGCCGCGGTGGCACCAAAGGCGTAGTCTGAGGGGCGGGCATATCCGATAACTCGCTTGAAGTGCCTGTAGGGAGAGCACCTGTTAGATCGCCTCGCTCGACGCCCTCTCTTTATTGGACATGTTCGATGGGGGAGGAAATCAAACAGGGGGCTTGAGTTCGTACGGGTCATTGTCTATGAGCTATTGATTGCGAGTGATACGGTTAGCGATGGGAGAACGGGACACGCTCACAGGGCCAATTGGCAGGCCAGAGCAGAAAGAAAAGACTCACAGGATAATCAGTCTTGATCTGCCTACTTGGTATGTAGGTCTGAGATGGTTGATTCGACATGGCTGCTGCGACAGGACCAGATCTTGCTGCCAGCGGGTGTGAGAACTGGAAAACAAGTTGGGTGCCGGTTTGGAGGGCTTGTCAATTGATGATCTGCTAGTGGACGTCAAGCTCGCTCTCCAGAGCAGAGATGCCTCAACGGTCAGGCCTCCAGAAAGCTGGAATTCGGGAGCAGCCGAAAGGTAGTACAAGGGGGCTTGGGAGGGGTGAGGGGCACTAGGTGCACGGGCCCCAGTCCATTAAAGTCGTAACGCGTTGCAAACCAGACGCGGGGAATTTACTGTTTATTCCACAAACACACACACACACACACACACATATACACGCAGCTTTGGGCCGCACCTTCTTGGACCCACCATCTTGTCTCTTTTCTCAAAGCGCACAAGATGCCCTCCAAAAAGGGTTCGGGGAAACCAGATAGCCTCCCGCCTCCACCTCCAGATGATCTTGACAACTACTTCCTGGAGGGAGATTTAGACGAGGATGACCCGTTTGCTTCTCCCAAGGGAGACAAAACTGGCTCCAACATCAAGCGCAAAAAGCCTGGTGATGAACTGGGTCTTGATGAGGAGGTATCAGCGGCCAAGAAGCCCAAAGCACCCAGAGTCAAGTTGGATGCAGAAAAGTCAGCCTTGTTACCCTGCGCACATGGAATTTTGCTGCATGGGGCTCTTAATACTGACCTGACGCACATAGGCTACTCTCAGACAAGGGCCTAGCAGAACTACGCAGAATGGCCAGAGATCTGGAACTGAAGGGCAAGGGCCACGAGGTGAGATTAGGAGAATCTCGAATGTTACTTCTGCAACAACTTGGAGGCTTACCGGCTACTCTATAGTGGGGTGACGCAGCGCGTCTCCTGTCCTTGTACCAGGGTTGGCTGGATGGCCTCTTTCCCCGTGGCAAGTTCCTTGATGCACTTGCTATGGTGGAGAAGACAGGACACAATCAAGTCGTCAAAAAAGTACGCGAGGCAATGATCAACGAGGACAGACCCAAGACGAACGTTGCCGACGAGGACGAAGACGTGGACGGCGCTGCCGCCCCCGCCAGAAACGAGCAGGTGAACGGACAGGCAGACCGACAGGCGAATGGTCACGCGAGCGAGCAGGCGAACAGGCATTTCGTACCGAGGCCGCCTGAAAGTGAACGGGCACCTAGGTTCACTGCCCATCCCCAACCCCACCCCATGTTTCCCTTCACACCTATTGGCGGCAGGCCATTGCGACGGCAAGACGAGGTGGTCTGGGGCGATTTCCTAGATCCGACCCCTCCTCCACCTCACATACCGAATCATGCGGCCGCACAGACTGGAACTGCCCCCGCTGTTGGCGCGGGTACGACGCAGCCTCGCCACTCAACCCGGGACGGCGACGATATCTACGGTGCGACACCTCCTCCTCCCGATAGGAGGAATGATGAAGCCGCAGAGGCTGGAGGAGAGCCGGATGGTGATGAGCTGGATGCGCTGATGGCAGCGGATGAGGCCAGTGGATCCCCTCTTGCTATGAGACTGGCTGGTGAACAGGCCACGAGCATATCCAGCGGCGGCAACCACAGGTCTGCACCAGCTCAGCCTGAGAATAATGATGATGACAATGATGATGATGACCTGGATGCTCTCATCGCGGAGGCGGAAGCCGAGCAGGCTACCCGACAGAACGCATCAACAACTGCGGCAGCCAACATGAGGGGTTCTGCTACAGCGGATGCGGCAGCCGCGGATGATATAGATGAACTGGATGATTTGGATGCACTCATGGCAGACGCGGAAGCACAGAATGCTTCCTTGAAACCCGCTATGCCTGGTGCATAAAGCAGCTTTCGAAATCGGTGTTCTCAGACCTCAGTGATGAGGAGGGATCGGAGGTGGGGGAGGTAACCGCAAAGATGGACGGTTCGCGGTTCATTCTGGAAAGTCCTGATGACCTTATGATATCCCTCAATTAATTATGATTCCATTATTCCTGTAGAATTTATTTATCAGCAGTATACTGTACAATATGAGGGGTTTTTTCTTCTTCTTTCTTTTCTTTCTGATTCCTTTATTTTTCTCTCTCTTTGTATTTGCTAGGTACTTGATGCAAGAGGGTGCTGTTGAACATGTAAATGCTAAGCATGGTATGGCGTCAGTGAAAGCTTAACCCCAGATCTTTTGGTGGGGCTTGCTTGCAACCCTCCATCCCACTTGCATCCCCCATCCCACTTCTCAACGAGCCTTGCTTCTACACAACACAACACACAAGCTCCCTAGACATACCAGAACCCTTGGGGCTTATTCTTTTCTTCCTCTCTTTTCCTCCCTTTCCCCTTCTCTTTGTGAGATGAGCCACTCTGGAAACTTAGCAGCATGACAGATTCCATAGCTGAAGCCCTTGAACGGCTTCAGCTCGTTGAAGAGTCCATTCCAGATGACCCTATCGACGACATTCTCTCGAGAACAGCTCCCAACCAAAGCCAAATACGAGATCCTCAGAAGCTCAAGGCGCATCTTGAGGAGAAATACCTCACACCATCCCCAAAATTTTCTACAGAGTGGCTAAACAAACTACAGCAGTCAGTCATTGCTTTCTCTTCCTGACCATAACAGCACCATCTTGCGCCGGACCGGGCACTGACGACACACACCGTTCTAGGCGATGGGATATCGAGACCGACTATACTGACCTATTTACGATTGCACCTACCCAAACCCGCACCGTCACACGTTTCCTACGACAAGGCCTCGAAGGCCGTGTCGTTGGCTATAAGAATGTCACCGTCGCGGCAAACAGTGCCACCGCAAAGAACTCGACTTCCCTGCTGCGAAAGCCTGGTGCGAGGACAGACTTTGTGCGCGGCGCAGCTGGCTTCTTCCCCTTTGCTCCTGGTGGCCTGGAGGGAGTAGAGGCTACAGCTGCGCTTGAGGACCAGGCGCTAAGAGGAGATGGCTACCTTGACGGCGAGTCTGGCCCTACAAACAAGTTGGAGAGGATCATCACCCTCGGCGAGAAGGACAGCCTCCTAGAGGTTGCGCCTGGCATGCCGCGCGGCCTTGACTTCACCAGAAAGAAGAGTGGAACCGAAGAGACGGATGCCCAAGAAGTTGAGAAAGAGCTCGATCAGGAGCCGGATCAATTGCTCAATGGCGAGGATGTAAACAAGGACGTCGCTACCAATGGCCAGAGCAGTACACCGGAGGAGGATCTAGAGGCCAGCGAGGAGGATGGCGAGGATATAGACGCCTTGCTGCCGGTTGAGTTCCCAGCGCTGGAGCCTCGTGGCCAGCTCTCAGCGTCAAACACTAGAAGGGCAGGGCGCGAGTGGGCACACATGGTGGACATCAATCGGGAGATACCCAACTTCCGCGAGCTGGTGCCCGACATGGCGAGGGAGTGGCCCTTCGAACTCGACACATTCCAAAAGGAGGCTATTTACCACATCGAGAACGGTGACTCGGTCTTCGTTGCAGCACACACCTCAGCGGGCAAAACGGTTGTGGCTGAATACGCAATTGCCTTGGCTACAAGACACATGACAAAGGCCATCTACACATCCCCCATCAAGGCACTCAGCAACCAGAAATTCCGCGACTTTCGGCAAACTTTTGACGAGGTGGGCATCCTCACAGGAGACGTGCAGATCAACCCTGAGGCTAGCTGCTTGATCATGACCACGGAAATCCTGCGGAGCATGCTCTACAGGGGTGCTGATCTTATACGCGACGTCGAGTTTGTCATATTCGATGAGGTGCACTACGTCAATGACGCAGAGCGAGGTGTGGTCTGGGAAGAGGTCATCATCATGTTACCTGAGCACGTCTCGCTCATCCTCCTCTCCGCGACAGTGCCCAACACGCACGAATTCGCTTCGTGGGTCGGCCGCACTAAGAAGAAGGACATCTATGTCATTTCTACCCCCAAGCGGCCAGTACCGCTGGAACACTATCTCTGGGCCAACAAGAACATCCACAAGATTGTGGACTCAGATAGGAAATTTAGCGAAAAGGGATGGAAGGATGCCAATGCGGCTGCACAGCGTCGAGATCAGGCCCCGGCTTCCGGACCCGTCGCCCCCACCCGAGGCGGCTTGAACACGAGGGGGGCTCGTGGTGGCAACAATGCCAATTCGAGAGGCGGCCAGAACCAACGCGGAGGTCGTGGAGGCAACAGTCAAAGAGGCAGGGGAGGACCACCTCGGGCGAGTCACAATCCTGGCCACATGGGTCGCGGCGGTCGTCCTGGATTCTCTTCGGCTGCCCAGGACAAGAATCTCTGGGTTCATCTGGTGCAGTTCCTGAAGAAGTCAAACCTGCTTCCCGGATGTATCTTTGTCTTCTCAAAGAAGCGATGTGAGGAGAATGCCAACGCACTGACGAACCAGGATTTCACGACGGCCCAGGAAAAGAGTCATATCCACATGATCGTCGAGAAGTCACTTGCGCGGCTGAAACCAGACGATCGGACACTGCCCCAGATCATCCGGATGAGAGAGCTTCTGTCACGCGGTATAGCGGTACACCATGGCGGCTTGCTGCCCATCGTGAAGGAACTCGTCGAGATCCTCTTTGCCCAGACTCTTGTCAAGGTCCTTTTTGCCACAGAGACGTTTGCCATGGGTCTCAACCTCCCAACGAGAACGGTTGTGTTCTCTGGCTACAGGAAGCATGATGGTCACTCGTTCAGAGACCTTTATCCTGGCGAATACACGCAGATGGCTGGACGGGCAGGACGGCGTGGTCTTGACTCAGTTGGGTCTGTCATCATTGTCCCACCTGGCGGTGGCGAGGCGCCACCGGTTGTCGATCTGCAGAAGATGATCCTTGGCGAACCGCAGAAGCTTCGATCACAGTTTCGTCTCACCTACAACATGATACTCAACCTGCTCCGAGTGGAGGCTCTCAAGATTGAAGAAATGATTAAGCGTAGTTTTTCTGAGCACGCCACACAGCAGTTGCTGCCGGAGCACGAAAAGGCCGTCAAACTCTCCGAGGCGGATCTGGCGCGGGTCAAGCGGGATTCTTGCGATATCTGTGACGTTCACATGGACGAGTGTCATCAGGCCGCACAGGACTACAAGCGGCTGACGGGGGAGCTGTATAAGGGTATACTGAGCCTTCCGATCGGCAGGAGGATATTCACCCGAGGCACCCTCATCATCTTCCAGAAAGACGGAATCCGGACACCGGGGATCTTGCTCGCAGACGGGATTAGTATTCAGGTCACTGCGAGCGTTGGGCCTACGCTGCACGTTCTGGAGATCAAGCCCAACAGGGAGACACGCGACTCTACGGACTTGCTGCCTTACATGGAAGCCCTCCGTGGCTATTTCAAGGAGCTCCCCAAGTCGAGACGGCTCATCCACAACAAGGTCATACACGTGCCTCTGTCGGACGTTGAGGTGCTGACTGGCTGCGTCACCAAGAACATCCTCCCTGAGATTTTCAACGGAGGCGAGGATCAGAGGAAGGCCAAGGAGCAGATTGCCAAATTGTTCCAGTCCTGGAGCAACCCTGCTTTCCAGGAAACAGATCTCGGCAAGATTAAGAGCTTGGCTCTACAGGAGATCAAAGAGAAGCGAGTGCAGGCGGAAAGCACGGTCTTGGGCTCTGAGGCCTTGAAGTGTCCTCAGTTTCTCAAGCACGCAAGTCAACCCCTCCCTCGAAGACGAGAAGAAACGCGCTAACTCAAATTCCAGTTCGCCATGTGTCACGACCAGTGGCTGATCAAGGACCAGATTGAGGTGCTCAAGCAGGCCCTCTCTAATCAGAACCTCCAGCTGCTCCCCGACTACGAACAGCGCATCCAGGTCCTGAAAGATCTTGATTTCATTGATGATGCCTCTCGTATTCAACTCAAGGGCAAAGTCGCGTGTGAGATCCATTCAGGCGATGAGTTAGTGCTCACCGAGCTGATCCTCGAGAATGTCCTGGCCGACTACGAGCCGGCTGAGATCGCCGCTCTTCTCTCTGCGTTCGTTTTCCAGGAAAAATCTGACAGCGAACCCAAGCTGAGCGGCAACCTCGAGAGGGCTCGTGACAAGATCATTGAGATCTCTGAGAAGGTCAACAACGTTCAGACGCTCCACCAAGTCATTCAGACATCTGACGAGAGCAACGACTTCGCCTGTAAGCCTCGCTTCGGCCTGATGGAGGTCGTGTATGAATGGGCGCGGGGCATGAGCTTCAAGAACATCACGGACTTAACAGACGTTCTCGAGGGAACGATCGTCAGGACCATCTCGAGATTGGACGAGACGTGCCGTGAGGTGAAGAATGCCGCAAGGCTCATCGGCGACCCGCAGCTGTATCAGAAGATGGAGACGGCGCAGGAGATGATCAAGAGGGATATCACCGCAGTGGCGAGTCTTTATGTGTAGATGTCGTGCACCCACCTCACCGAGACATACACATATGCAAGCAGCCCCTCAGCTAAGAGTTGTGCCAGCATGCCTTCGCCAGGAAGGGTGATTATCAATCGATGTCCCTGGCAGCTGAGAGTGTCACTCTATATCTTCTCTCTGATGTTTGAGACTACAAGCATGGCATATGGCGTCAGACATGTATTATGGGATCACTGCTAGGAAAAAGGACAAGGCATGGTGGCGTTTGATAGATCAGAATTCACAAATGGATTTCTTGTCTACCCTGCCCCTTGCTCTTTCTCTTGCTCATACGGTGCTGTTGCCGTTCAGCTAACTCTTACCTTAGGTGGTTGTACGATCAGCGATGAGCAATCTCCACATGTGTGCTCCGAAGAATCTTTCTCAAGCATCACCGTACGTTCTCGCTTCTCAACCAAAGAAAGCTAGGTAACAAATACTAGAACAGCCTTCCACAACCTATTCGCAGGCACCTATCCATGTTCATCAGGAGCAAGTCATCTCACACTACCCCTCACCTCGCTACAGCGCCCCTACCATCCTAAAGCCTCCGCGCCCAAGCTCCCCTAGCTAACAACAGGAGTCCGTCCATTTCCAGCACGTCCCACCAGCCCACGGACCTACAGGCATGCACTTACTTCTCCCGTCCCCCTCTAGACCCCCCTAAAGCTTACAAGCTCGGACTCGCTTCACCCTCTATTGGCCGAGCCGCCCCTCCCACCTCCCTCCTCTTCTCTGGTCTTTATAGTCTTTTAGTTTTGACAGCTTCTTTGGGGACGCGTAGGATCTGGCCAAATGCCGCTGTGGTTAGGAGCCATGTTGTGGCACGGATCCTGGTGATGTCCCCCTTTTGTTCAAGTGCAGAGGTTGCGTGTTCGAGCGACGGTTTTCTACTTTTTTTTTTTTTTTTCACACCTCAAACCATAGATTTCTAATCCTAATCAGGGTCAAAATTTAGGTGTAATCATCATTCTTTTTTCGCTTCCCCCTGGACTAGCTTGCACATTTCTCCGGTATTTCTGCTTGACTGAATTCTGGCGTGTCATATCAGCTTTACAAACCCCCCGCGTTGCTGCCCCGGAACTGACATCCTCGGCACGTATACGAAGCATGTCACTCTTCAAGCATTCGCTGCCCTTCTCATTTTATGGAAACTGTGTTTTGTGGGAAAGGAGATGAATAATCATGGAATCGTTTAATGATGGTTGTTAACGGAGTCCCTTGCGCCCGCCAACGCCGAAATGCGACTGATAAGTTAAGAAGAATAAAGAAAAATAAAGAATGCCCTGCATCGCCAGGTGTCTCTCACGTCTTTCGCACTTCTGCCGCCCTTTCATCAACTTTTATGGACGCCGGCCAGCCTCCCCCTCCCCCTCTGCTACTCCTACTCCCAGGCCCGCTCCACCGGCTTCCTAGGCCCGTAGTGCCCTCAGCCTCTGCTGCAGCGCGTCCTCCTGCTCGGGAGTGGGCTCGGCAGCCGCAGATTCCTGGACAGGTTCCTCCTTGGAGGTGGACGCGGAGGCTAGCTCCTGCGACAGCTCGACGCCGGCGTCGTCGGCCAGCTTGCCGAGGAGCTCGCGAACGGCGTCATCGGACACTGAGGCGGAGGTGGACTGCATCATGGCATCTTGGTAGATAGAGTTGGACATGGCGTATTCCTCATTCTGGTTCTTGAACTGCTCCATCGCGACCATCGTCTGGATAAAAAGAAAGAAGGCAAATACATGTCAGCCTGAGGGAGAAAAAGGTCTGCAGGTGGATTTGTTTGGGGAAAAAGGGGGGGGGGGGGTTCTGGTGACGACGTACCCTCTCCGGATTCATCTGCTTCTGTGCCCTGTTCATGGTCTTGCTGCTCTGCATCATCATGGCCGTCATGCGATTCATGGCATTGTTGGCCTGGATCTGGGCGACGTTCAGGTCGGCCATGTCGGCCATCTGCTCCATCTGCTGGGCGACGGCCTGCTTTCCCAGAAGCAGCTTGGCCTTTTGTTCTGCCTGCGCGAGAGAGGTCTTGTCCCCCTTCTTGATGAGCTGTTGGATTTCTCGAACTTCCCTGGTCAGCCTTTTCTGCTCTATGTTTCTTGACGATCTGAGAAGTGTCTGTTTCTTGATCTGCATCCAAGGGCCGGGGGAAGCGGAGGAGACAGGAGGACAAGATAGTCGCCGCGGTCAAGGAGTCTATGAGAGAGGGTACGCACGTTCGTAATCTGCTTCTTCATATCATTGTCGGCCTTCTGGGCCTTCTGGGCCTCGCGGCGGGCTTGTTTGGCGGAGAACTGTGGTGTCGCAACGTCAGTCTGATTAATCCGCCCCGTATGCATCCATTTCTTCTCTTTATTGCATGATGAGGTCAAACCATACCCTCGCCTGGAACTCGGTCTGCATATCTCGTGCAAGTTGTCTTTGCGACATGGTGGCGGCGGTAAGAAAGGCTTGGTCGCTTATCGGAACAGGATGGACGAGTCTGGAGGCGGTGGCGGGGAGGGGTTGGAGAGGGGGAGTGTTTATGCTGTATGCGGTGGAGACGTTCGATAATGCGTCTGGCCTCTTGATCAAGGCCAAGTCGTTGTAGTCGTCTTGGTCGTCGTCGTTGTTATCGATGAAAGTCGCAGTTGGATGATCTCGGTTGGGCGCCCATCACTAGCGATTCGACACTGAGTGACACGCCTAGAGAGTGGGGCAGGCATGGCCGCCTGTGACTGAGCCACTTTTAATGACGTTGGTCTTCTCTCGGTTCAAGCCACACACAAGCCAAAGACCGTATCAGCCACATCTTTCAAAGTCAAAGGTGCATCAACATGCAAGTACTGTACTATAAGTCCATGACGAGGAGGGGGAGGGAAATGCAAGTATGGCAATGCTTTCTCACTCTCTCAATATCAAGTATTACATTTTCATGCAGTCTATTTTTCTTCTTCTCTGCGTCATCTTCCCATGAGTATTTTTAGGATGGCATCTAGGGCAAATAAACTCAACGTCCAGAACTTTCCGCGTCCGCCGCTGCTGGAGAAGACGCCTCGTCACCTGCAAATCAAGTGGAAGGGCGAGACCATCGCCGACACCAAGGAGGCATACTGGGTGCTTGAGACTCATCATCCACCGAGTGCGTAATTTTTACACCTCAATATACTTATATATACATGTTTACTCTGCTCGTTATTCTTGAGTTTTTTTTTGTTCTTATAAAAACAATTATGGACTATGTACTCACTTTCATACTTGACACAGCATACTATCTTCCCCCGGCCTCTCTCAACATTCCTCTGGTCAGGACCTCCCGCAAGACGTACTGTGAGTGGAAAGGAGCGGCGACGTACTGGTCTGTGACCAGCCCGGCCGACCGTTCCGAGACGGTTGCCAACCGCATCTGGTCCTACGGACAACCGACGACGGGCTTCGAGGCCATCAGGGACTACCTCTCGTTCTACGCCGGGCCGTGGGATTGTTTTGTAGACGGTGAGAGAGTCGAGCCGCAGCCTGGAGATTTTTACGGTGGTTGGGTGACGAGCGATGTCGACGGGATTGTTAAGGGGAAAGATGGCAATCGGGATCCTATTGTTTGAGAGTAGTAGTGAATTGTCTTCAATAATGCATACATGCGTACTATGTTTGCTACGTGGTACACTTGTTCCTCGTCTAAGCCACGTGCTTGACATGCCAGGTCCGGACCGCGCAAGCAGTGTCGCCATGGTCCACGTACGAACATGTCCCCGAGTGGGTACACTATTTCGGGTCTTTACAAACTACCGCTTCGGAAATTGGCTGGGGTGTGTGGTTGTCTACTGCTATTGTTTCCTTTGCAGACCAGCTGGATGAAATAATTTGATGGAAATGATGAGATAGTAGTACAAAAATGTGTGGGTGATGAGGTGGATAGTGCCATGAGCCCAGAACTATTGATACAGATTGCGGGAGTATTGCTGCAAACCCCCCAAATGTCATATACCATACAAAGTGTATTGGGATTGCGGGTACCCAAGATCGGCTTGGGGGTGGCTGTCTGTGGGTGGGTGTGTGATTCGATGTTCCTCTTATTTATACGCTCGAAAAGACGTTGGCGTTTAACTCTGCCCTGAACATGGCCAGTAGTTTCTGTTGCTCTCTTGATCAAAGCATATATGGTCCAGCCTGCAATGCCGCCGTAGTTATAAAATATTTTTTTCCGGCGTATGCTGATTAATTCCACGTATGCGTTTCAATTCTTCGGCGAATTTTAATGGCAGTTTTTGGCGGTTCCTATGATAACCAACATCGGATAAAGCGCAGGAAGGACTGCGCGGAAACTTTACCGTTCTTACACGAAGGCCCTGATGCGCATCTCCTACATTCCGCGAATATTGACCTGAGCACTTTTCTCGATAAGGCAAACTTGATCCAAAAGCGGACCTTATCCGTTCGCATTCAGGCTAGTCTCATATGGTGTGCACACTCTGTTCATTGGTGCTACAGACGAGCACGATAACATGCTCAACCATCTCGTAAACCTAATATTGAATATCCTTTGAACCCGTTCCTTATACACACGTCTTGCACTGTCCTTCTTTCTGAACCGACACAAGGCTTCGCCAATATCTGCGCCGAATCTGAACTGGCGTCTTGGCTCGAGGGCGCAGACTAGCTAGACCATCCGCCGCTTCTTAGCTGGCCTGCAGCTCTCGCTCCTAAGCGACGAGCCCCCTTCGTCCCCAATAGAGCCGGTGGAACGACTTTTCTTCCATAGCTGGGTGATCGGATGCAGTGCTCTCAGTGCGTCTCTGACAATGGGTTGTTGAATCTGTAAAAGCCGTTCAGCGACGTTTTTGACATAGTTGTGACAGCCTTGAATGTCCTTGGCAAAGTAGAATTGGTCAATATAGGACATGTAGAATGTCTCGTTCTCGGGATTGTAATAGTGCACATGCGCGATGACCTCCCTCTGGCAAATGGCAGCCGAGAAGACAATGGCGTCGCAGCTCGAACGAGTCCTCTCCGGGTCAATCTGATCTAGCACCCATATCAGCGAGCGGACACGGTGGAAGCCGGCAGTGGCCAGCTGCGCTTCAGCTCCGTACAGAGTGCCGCCGGTGGCTTCTGACTTTACCTCGAGGAGAAAAGACGGGAATATGTTCTCTCGTGTAGGTTGCGAGTACGGCCGGACATTTGGATCATCTGCTGCAACGAGCTCGTCTCGAGTCCATTCCGACCTCAGGGTAGGCTGAAAGCCGACGTGGTGGTCAGTTTTGGGTGTGATAAGCGGGTAGTCGGGGTTTCGAGGCAGCGGCTTAGATGACCAGAGAACATCGCGTCCGACGGCAAGGGCAGGTTCAGCCAAGTCAAAGAGGGGCGCCGTGATGATGTCCGAGACTGACGGCTCACAGGTGTCCCAGACCTCCTGGATCTTTCGTCTGACACTGGCCTCTCTATCTCGTTATAAAAAAGGATTTCAATCAGTGAAACCGAAGGGGTATAGACACCGCCATCTGAGAGCTTTACCAATCGCCGATATAACTCAGACAGCCCGGCACCAATTCGCTGTGGCCCGTGTGATTATCAAATCAAAATGGGATTGGGAAATGGGGAGTGGAACTGCATTTGATTGTGGCCACATGCTTCCGTTAGAGTTATGAGATAGTAATTAATCATACTGGCGGCCGCTTCATGGCACTTGCGCTTCGATGTTGGCGCTCTAATGCGCGGCCGCCTGGTGTCACACAGCCAAAACTCCGCCATCATCCCCCCAATCCCGAGGAGGCGGCGTCGCTTACGCAGCGCCAGGGATCATGCAGTCCACAGTCCATTAAGAATGCCATGTCTGACTGTGCGCCCCCTCATATGCAGACTCGCATAGGAATCATCTGGTCTTACTTATTTCTGACACCGTCGGCTAAATAAAACCTGATCTAATGCACGCTGAGCACCAACTCCCTTTTTTCCCTTTCAAAAAGTTCGACTTTTTTTTGGGGGGGGGGGGGGGGGAACACGGCGCGGACGCTATGGAATGCAATGAGAAAAAGGTGCATTGGTCGTGCGGCACATTACACACCCTCCCTTGTTGGATGTTACATGTTACTGCTACTGCCACCCCCCTCCTCTTCCCCACCACCTCTCTCTTCCTTTCTCGGGACCCTTTGCCTCCCTAGACATATTTAACCGTATGAGGCACTGAATAATCGTTGTCGATGAGGTGGCCACGGAAGGGATGCCAATAGGCTGCACGGGAACTTCTGAGCGGGCTTCCGCTTTCGAGGATATGCTGCCTTGATTGTCAGGCCGAAGGGGGGGAGCTGATCGGCTTGGAGATTCAAGTGCACGCACACACAGCAGGGGTTGTTGTACAAAAATGTAGACAGGCCGCGTATCAGGTTGCGACATACCACCGTAGTCAGGGTAGTAGTACTACAACAACGCGTGAAGAGTGGCTATAGTGGGCGTCGTCCCATGGTGGGTTGCAGATTTTGTCCGTCGGGCTCCCGTGCCGATGTTGTCAGTTGGGTGATGTGCTTCAAGATCATCATCAAAGGGTCCTGCGAGACGTCCAGGAACAGCCTGCCTGGTCGGGTATTCGGCATGCACTCAGCGCCCACGGATAGATCGGGCAGACTATACCGAGTGTCCCAGTGAGGCGCTTCGTTTCACAGAAAGAGGGTAGGTCTTTTGGTGAGGACTACCTGGCTCTATAGAGAGAAAGATCAAGTCAGGGCCAAGGTATCTGGCTCTTTGGTATGGTTGCTTGGTTTCCTGTAGTGAGTGCATTTGGGTGTCTGTTCAGGGTGCTAGAGTTCCTACGAAAGACGTGCCTCAGCCGGGCACCGGATCTGACTGGCTTCCTGACATTTGTTCCTTGTTGCTTGTGTCTTGTCTACTGTTCAGTAAGAGGGTTTGGTCCTTCACAAGAGAACGCTTGGGCTTTGGTATGGACGGTTAGACTCCTAGAGTAGAGCTTGATCTGCTGGTATGCGCACTCAGTATAGTGGCGAAAAGGCACCAGGCCGTTTAGGATAGGCGCTTGGGCATCTAAGAAGGCGCTCGGACAATTAGAAGGGGGCTTGGGGTCCTACCAAGAGGGTTTGGGTGTGTTTGGTATAGGTGCTAGGCCTTCTGGTCAGGGTGCCATGTCTCCTAGAAGGAGATCATAAGGCCGTTTGGGTCCCCCGGCGCAGGCGCTTGGTCTTTTCGGAGGCCGCTAGGTCTTTGGGGAAGAGGGAGAGAGCCTGTTCAGTTTGACATGGGGTGCTCAGTCTGGGCGGCGGTGGGTTTTCACAACATGATCCGACCACAAAAGTCTCAAATATTTGTTTTCTTGTCAAAAGGCAAGGCAGGGTGATCCTCTTTCCCCAAGCACCGTTCGCAAAAGACCGCACGTCCCAGAGCACGACAAGTGCAATACACGGACGATAGCAGGGGTGAAGAGCTAATGGCCCGCACTGACGGGCAGCTTGTACAACTATCTAACTATGGTATCTGGTGTAGGACCCGCCCCCTTTTCGAGGTGGCAGTTCTGGAGCCGTCGACGTACTCGCAGGGCTCCTGTATGACCCACAAAGGAGGGGGGAACAGGGCCGTGTTGGCGGCCTTCTCGAAACACAGCCTGTGGGGTCCCAGCGAAGTTTCTCGTGGGGCTAACTCGACCTTGTTCCTGTGTTTGTGGTTCGCCGGGCTCCTGCTTCCGGACAGGCGGTGGGCCATAGCTCTTCTTTTATTGTGGAGGAGAGCAGGGCTGCAGGGCCACCGGGCTGGACGGCATCTGGGGCTGCGCGAAGCTGGGGCCCGCAATGGCGGCGCGCCGGGACTGGTTCCTCCGGACCGTGGTCGCCACGACATCTGGACCGGGCTGCTCATCACCGCCTTTTGTACGTTGTCTTCCTTTGTTTTTTTTTTGCTTGTGCTATGCACTTCAAGGGCTGGGTATCTTCATGATGTGTTGTCCCGGGAGGGGCCCCATCACCGTCACCGCTGAGTCGGCCCCGCCGAGTCCTACATTGTAATCGCTGCCGGTTGTGCGTTGACACACCGTTCACGTTGTCAGAGTCGTTTGTTGTCGCTGCAGATGTTTATTTACTTTTTCCTGTCTTTCCCTTCCCCTCCGTTTCTGTCGGCGACATGGCCAAGAATGGAGATCATCGCGCGTTGTCCCTGTGGATCGCGGGGGCAGATGTGTTGGCATCTTTATCCGCCATCAAGACTACAGAGATGGAGATAGAGAGGAAATGGCGGTCGGTGTTTCAAAGTGTTGTTTGTGGTGATTGTTTTGTTGAGGAGCATGTCACGACAACGCACTGCCGGCCCAGAGGAAAGACTAGAGTCGGCTGTCCTTCGGCGTTGGAATTCGAACCATCGAGGATTCCCACAATCTATCTATCGATTCTCGATAATCGAGGAATGATCTACAGGAGTATCGAATCTGGCCTCTCTATTCCAAACGATGATGCATGATACTATAGTGGTACTATTCAGGAGTAGATCGGCTGCTCGGCGAAGAGGCTATATTTAATGTCCTACTTCATGCATAGTACTATGAGCATTAAATGGAAGGAGGACTTTCCATCCGGGGAACATGAGTTTCAGGGTCCAAGCAGTCAATGATTTCCATGTTGGCAGGTTGGTCCAAGAGGCCCCCACGAAATGTCGTGCTGCTAGCCATGCCTAGATGGTGATCTTTTTTTGTGGGCTCCAAAGGATGGCGTGGATGGGGAGTGAGCAACACTACACGAATGGTGGATTACGCCCCATTGTAATGTACACGTACTCTGGTGCAGTTCTAGGCTGTGTGCCATGTACCCCGGATTGCTAAAGCCGACTTCCAATTATGGAACGGAGGACCCACCATATTCCTCACCATAAGTGTACCCCCTGTTTTATCAGATGCCAGTCCAATCTCGCCCGGGTCCTGTTAAGAGCCACTGGAATGGTCGTTCGGGATACGAAGAGTGCTCAGTTAGTTCTGAGATGGTGCCATGGTAAGTTTCACACCCCGAATGTTTATTGCACTCACACCCCCAATCCCCTTTCCTACCTTCGATCTCATTCTAGAGCCTTCGGAAGAGAACTCATTTTTAGATTTGATGCGAGCCCTCACAAGGGAAAGCAGTAGATATATTCAGCATGGCCACTTGAAATGATCAGAGAAGAGAAGATCAGTACTAATCAAGAACACTTTTTGGAACTCCTAGACATCAACTTGTGTACAGACTCCCACCGGTGTACCTTTGTACATGATGTACTACGGTAGACGGTAGACGTCCACGACGACCTGCTTCAGGGGGTGACTACCTAGCAAACTAACGCCCGTTACGAGTCACACACCCCCCCTGTCGCCAGGAACCCACTAAGCCAAGTCTCAGCTTCCACCCGAGGGATGAGTTAGGGGGGGGGGCTTGGGGCGAGCCAAACAGGGAGGGTACGAGGGTACAAGTAGTTGCCTCAGGACATTCAGGGGGTATCTCTCAGCACATGTTCTCGAATAAGGGATGCCTACAAAAGAGGCCACGTTACCCTTCAGCCCCGATCGCAATGACCCTGACTCTCTACGCCCAAGCCCATCCACCAATCCCCCCTTCTTTTCTCTCCTCCGCTCCCTTTCCACTTCTTCACCACTCTTTTTTAGTCTACTTTGAAACGTTGAACGTCCTCACAATCATTCTGGATTAACTCGGCTTGTCACATTCACAAGGGTAATATCCACACATACGACCTGAAAAGAAAGAAGAAAAAAGACCCCAAACACCCAACAAGCAACAAAAAAGGTCTGGACAAGTCGAGCGACCGGCCCACTCTGTAACCAGGTCGGAGGACCCATCTCATACAAACAGTCACAATCATGATGGACCACCGATCCAACCTCATGACGCCGTCGCCGCAGGTCAAGTCCGAGGACTACCTGGGTGAGGACGACATGATGCCCCTGTTTGATGACGGTGCGGACGACCACGCATCGGTGGACCCGTCGAATCTATTGTCCACCCCGGGTGAACATTTCCGGGCCATGTCGCCCTCCGATGCGGGGACTCCGGCACCCGAGGGTACACCAGAGACATCCGACAAGAAGCCCACCAAGAAGAGAAAGTCATGGGGCCAGGTCCTCCCAGAGCCTAAGACAAACCTGCCTCCCAGGTACGTCAAACCCGCCCGCTTTTCAATGACAACTCTCAATCTTACTGACATGTATTTACACAGAAAACGGGCCAAGACAGAAGATGAAAAGGAACAACGCCGAGTAGAGCGTGTTCTTCGAAACCGCCGGGCAGCCCAGTCATCCCGTGAGAGGAAGAGGCTGGAGACGGAAGCCCTGGCCACCCGGAACAAACAACTCGAGGACGCCTTGCTCGCCCTCACCCAACAGTATCAGGTGCTGGAGAAGGAGCTCAAGAAGGTTAAGCCTGAGCTGGGCGGCATCTCGACGTCCAGTGACTCCCACGTCACCCTCTCCCAGCCGCTCTTCTCGTACCCGGCGCCGGCACCCAAGGTGGCCGAGGTCGAGCAGCCGGCGCAGCAGGACATCTCCACGATGTCACAGCCGACCCTTGACCTGATCAACAGCCTCGTCAGGCAAGCCCAACAAGAGGCGGACGGAAACACCCCCAAGACCGTTAACCCGGCCACTATCTCACCCGCCCTCGCACCAATCGCCGAGGAGCCAGAGTCTGAACAGCCCGACGCTGTCACCCCCCTCGACTCGGCCGTGCCCCTTCCTCCTCCTTCTCAAGCCGCCAACGTCACGGAGGCTGTTGTCGCCGACTCCACCACCCGTTCGACACAATACTCTGCAGCAGTATTGTGTGACCTGCAGTGTCAACGGCTGGTGGAAACGACGACGACACTTTCTTTGACGGCGGTCTCGGAGCTGCAGAGCCTGGCTCTGCATTTTTCGACAACCTTCTTCACATTCCTGACTTTGGCGATATCCCTTCGCCAGAGGCAAGCTCTATTGATTTCGATTATCAAGCTGGTGACCAACCATCCGACCTCGACTTCACCACCACGTGGGACGAGTACATGTCCAACCCTGCCGACAATGACGACAGCTACGGGTTCCTGCAAGCCCCTGCGTCTCCGGCTCCTGCGGAAGCTTCTAACCAGCAACCGACAGCTGGCGCGTCCTCTTCTGGATGCGACGCTCGAGGTATTGCGGTCGAGGCAAAGTAGGAGACAAGACGGGGTCGGCGCGCAGGCATTCGGGTGTCAGTCAACGATCGCGGGAGACTTACCGTCTGACGAGCGTCTGATGTCACTGGCTGCCGCTATTCGACTTCTGGAGCGGAGGATTGAGATGAGGATTAGCAAGAGCGGCTCCCTCACGTCGGGGAGTTTAGGAGGTATTTCCAAGGCACGAAAAGGTGTTCGATGGCGTCAACAGGCTCAGAGTGAAAATTAAAAATGAAACTTTGAAATGTTATATGATTCCAAACAATATCTTTCTCTGGTCCCATTCGTTGTTTTATGTGCTATCTATCCATGTGTTATACACGTGTCCTAGGAGTATAGCGACAATAAGTGATCGCATGTGACTTGCCCCCTGCCAAGCCCCCTGAAGAGGCACGAGCATTTCGAGTAATACTTTCTTGCCACTGAGGATACCTTTCTCAGTATGTGTAAGGGCCTATTTATTTCTGAGGCCAATTTGGGTATGAAGAAGGTAGTAATTGTACACACATAGGTATATAGATACGTCCACTCATACTGCACCATCCATCAATATCTCGTAACAACCACCTGTATCCCTAGTATTCACGTCTTGCTTGTGTTGTCCTTGCTTCTGCTGCAGAGCTTTGTCGGGAGGAGGTGTAAATCATTACACATACTGCCTCCTACTCTGAATTGGCAACGAGCCCCCCTTCCGGCCCCTCACCTTCTCGACCGTTGTTGCGCCTTGTGTCCAGAGGGACCCAGCCATCTCCTTCATCATAAGTCACTGGTACTGAAATAATAATTCTCCCACAGATACTCATAATCCTCAAGTATCGTACCCACGAAGCCCGGCACGCGCCTCCTGACACCGCCCACCACGCCCTTGACGAGGTGCTCGTACGCGGCGCCGCGCATCAACCACCACCACATGGTCCGGCCGCGTCTGGCCCACTCCTCCTTCTCGAGGGCGGGCATGTTTCGGGGACTTCCGTCGCGGGCGCGGAGAGCGAGCTGGCGCGCAGCGAGCTGCACGGACAGGCCAACGAGCCAAGGGGTCCACGAGGCGCGCCGTCTGGACGGGTCGGTGCGGGCGAGGGCGAGGGCGTAGACGAGCGGGGCCAGGATGTAGAGGACCTCGGCGGTGGACGCAGACCCGCGGAGGGTGTGCAGGAGCTTGGTGGCCGGCTTGATGTCGTCGGCCGTGAGGACGCGGGCCAGGAGGTACGAGGAGATGTCGCCGCGCGCAGGTAGGGACGGGAGCGTGAGGCCCGTCCTGGGCATGGACCATTCCTTTCGAGGGTTATGGGGTTGTCGGGCATCATCCACCACAGAATGGGGAGGCGGCGCATGACCGTTGGGCTGGGCCTGTATACCGTTGGCATTTCCATTCGCCTTGGCATTTCCATTCGCCTTGCCGTTCTCTGCGGCGTGCTCCTCCTCCTTGTCCTTCTCGTCGTCCTCCTCTCCCATCAGCTCCGCCAGCGCCTTGCCGTCGTCTTCTTCTGCCTCTTCCTCCATGTCGGGCACTCTCTCCCTCTCGGGTAGTGCAGGCGTCACCAGCGGGCGGGACCGTGTAATCTTCAGCAGGAGCAGCCTGCACAAGGCCTTGATGGCCTCGACCAACACGACGACACGCCAGCGGATGGCTTGCCCGCGGCGCTTGGCCCACATCTCCAGGAGGAGCTCTGTGTACTGCACGACCTGCAAGACGATGGCGACGCGGCGGTAGAGATCCGACTTGGCGGCCCAGAAGCGCGTGTATCGGGCATGGAGCGACCTCGCTAGATTGGACGAGGCGCTGGGCGTGACTGACGCGGACGGCGAAGGGGAGGAGGATGTTGTGGCACGGAAGAGGAGGAGGTCGTGGTAGAGGGAGAGAAGCTGCACGCCCGAGTGGATGCCTTCTGTAGCGAGCTCGGCATCGCGAAAACGACCTAAGAGAGGGAGCGAGAAGGTGGTCAGGTCAAGTCAAGAGTATAATGTTGGATGGTCCATTTGAGAAGACCACAGCAGAGACCTGGAATGAATGCCACTCACCTGGTATGATGTACGTAAGGGAGCGCAGCGCAGACTCCATCTGCGCAACCTGACTTGCATTCTTGGTGACAAAGTCATCGTACCTCGCCAGCCATTTTGGGGGCAGGGAGATGACGCTGCGTAGGTTTGGTGTTGTCAACACTGGTGACCGTCCCGTCTTGTTCTTGTTGTCCGTAGAATCTGCTGGCGACGCCATGTTGGAAGCAGCAGGTTCAGGTCTTTTCAGACATTGGGCGTGAGGTTGAAAGCTGAGCTGCTGGCTAGGTGGTGAGGTGGTTGATTGAACCACCCAGTGCTGGTTTGGTTGGAGAGAACGGAGTGTGTAGCTTAGTTTCTGTTACTTGTCATTCGATTTAGCTTGTGAGAGAGAGTGTACACACTGATCAGCGGCGTCATGGCTCAGCTGAACCTCGGTTGCGGGGGCTTCTCGAGTGTGTTGCATACAGTAACAATCCTATGTGGGGTCTACGCTTACTGTTGTTAGTCCCTCACTACTGGGTCCAGCACAAGGCTTCTCAGCGATTCCAGTGGCTGGCTGGCTACCGCTATTAGAAACTGCATACAGGTGTCGAGGCGCCTTTGTCAAATTGCCATCATCGTCACTGACTTTTCAGTCATATTTTGCATTCTTCATGAGGGAGTGTTGTGCACATTTAATGCCTGAATTATTTGGTTCTACCTGATAAGCTGTTGCACTGACAAGGAGAGTGGTCAGAGGAGTGTGGTTGTCATGAAAAGGACAAATGCTTGGCCTGGGTTCTTTTTCTTACACTGCACACTTCTTTCAGAAAATATATATATATATATTGTTATATTCACATCAATATTCAAATGCACCAGTCTGGTATCTCAGTTATAGTTGTAATGGGCGATATGACCTTTCAAGTTGCAAGAAAACCACAACCTGTATGTGACACCTCGACAATGACAACGACAGAGCTCATAACGACCACCTGGGTAGATCCCTTGTGTTCCCAGGCCCACTCATCCGCCCGAATACTCATATGTCTGTTATAGCTCCAACAACTTTTGGCAGGGTAGCCGATTTCCTTCTCTAACCTGGGACACAACACCGGAAGCTGCATTATCCATGATCTCGACTTGTCTGCTGTACTACTGAGGAAGCGCTTGGAGGCCAGCCCGGACACACCACTCTGATCAAAGCGGCGTCAGTGGTCTTAATGTTGATATCTTAGACTTTGCCTATAAATAGGGCTGCTGAGTTGGTGGTCATGGTGGTATGCCCAGAGGCGAACTCATGTGTGATGTAGATTGACTCGCCTTGCCAATGCACTGCTGTATCCAAGCTGGGATCATCAGGTGGTCGAGCAACTGTCTGAATTACTCATCGCAGCAGCAATCACTGTTTGAGTTGAGATCCTCGACACTATCATCTGCCCATCATCCTCTCTTGTCACCACGATGTTCACACTTTATGGGCCAACATTGCGAGGGAAGCACATTGGGAAAGAATAGAATGATCAGGGTATAAAATTGCACAAACTCGCTCTCCCTTTGAGTGATTGCTAACCAATGGCTACATCATGCATCGTGTAATTCAAGGTTCTTTTTGGGGTATTGCCGCTGTATCTTATATCTTGAAAATCAACTGTTGTCCCCCTTCATGTCCGGAATCAGAAGAGCGAAGGAACTGAAAAAAAGGCCGGAGGAAAAAGGGGTGGGGGTATTCAAAAAGTACTACCTCACTCCTTGCACTCATCATGTTCATCTCATCCTTCTCATATCTTCTCCCCCACTTCATGAGATCATATCATCTCATTTTCGTCCTCCTCCTTCTTTATTTTCATTGAGAAGGCTCCGTGGTGTAAGTCGCCACGCCAGGTTTGAACTCGTCACTGACTTCCAGCTGCTCATCTGTTATCAGGGGTTCGTTCGCAACAGAGCCCTCTACCGAGGTAGACGCGGTGCTCGCATGCGGGCCATGGCTTACAACTCGGTGGTGTTCAGTAGATGTGGCTTGGTCGCCCTCTCCACTGACTGCTGCCGGAGTGGCGGTATCCTCGCTGTCGTCGAGACGACGAGGGACAATCGGGGCTTCGGCTGCAGCGCTGTGCTCTTCAGTCAAAAGAGCCTCAGTCTCGTCCTCCTCCTCCTCCTCCTCCTCCTCCTCGGCGGGTTCCTTTGCTCCTTCCCCCTCAATCCCACCTGTCGAGAATGCATGGGAGGAGTCGTGGTCGGCTTCTTGGCTCTGCGCCGACTCCTCGTGGCTATCGACCACCTCATCTCCTGTCTCTTGGTGTTCTTCGCTGATGGTCGGCAGGGATGGGTCCTCCACTGGAACTGGCGGGGGCTCAGTCGGTAGTGTCTGCTGGGCACCTGCTGGAGGTTCCTCGCTGATGGTCGCAAGCGGCTCCACTGGCGACTCCCTCACCGGTGGGAGGACCCCTTCTGCTACAGCTTCACTGGGTGGGGGCGCCGAGACGACGGCCTGCTCAGCTGGCTCCGAGCTTTCCTCCTCTGCCTGCACGGGAACCGGCTGGGACTCATGTCCAGCCGGCTCAGTCCTCTCCTCCTCGACCTGCTCGCCAAAGCCAGTCCCAACCTGCTTGGGGGGTTCATTCTGTACTGTCTCCTGGCTGTCATGGTGGGCGGGATCGTCGACCACTGCCGAATCTGATGTGAGGGCCGGATAACTCGACACTGAGGGTTGTGCTGCTAAAGTCTCCTGAGCTTCAGGCGCTGGCGTGTCCCTGAGACTAGTCTCGCCAATGTGAGCCTCTTCTGCTGGCTCAGGTGTGGGCTCTTGTGCGTCTTCCGCGACGACACTGGCACTGGCAGGCTCTACTTCATTCGTCACGCCCACATCTTCCCTGCTGGGGGGTTCGCCTGTGACGCCCACGGTCTCAGCCAGGGGAGCACTGGTCTCAGCAGCGACCTTTTCAGTCTTGGGCAACCCCCCGGCAGCATCATCAACCACCACCTTCGCAGGCACCTCTTCATTTACTTTTGCTTCGTTCTCCTCGTGGTGAGCAGGAGGAATGGCCAGCAGCTCCTCGTCCGGCTTGGAATAGACGCCGTTGAAGACGGGCAATGTAACGGTGGTCTGCTGTGAAGGAAGGCCCAATAGCGACACATGCGCGCCGACGCCTCCGTCGGTGCCGAGGTCCGGGTTCAGCTTCGGATTTAGGCTCCATGGCCTTGGGTGTTTCTTCGTGGGCCTCACGCTGCCCCTAAAGAACGGGCTCATGATTGTTGCTGTTGGTCTCTCTTTCTTGTTTGAATGTTCTCTTTATTTCTTTTTCCCTCATATGAAGGCCGAGGTTTGGTTTACGCCTGTGTCTTCAATAAGGGTGGCAATAGTGCGTGTACACAGATTTTGTGTGTGAGAAGGAAAAATCAAGTGAGAATTGCTGCCGGATCCGGGGAGGAAGAAGAGTGGATGGGATGGATGGTGGGGGGCTGGGGACATCGATGATATGCGCTTGAGAGACGAGACGGCGACCATCGAAGTGACATGTCTCTCCCTGCTTCTTGTTTGGGGGGGGGGGGGAGCTTTGGGTCTAAGTATGTCAACGTTAGTCGCCGTTACCTGTGCCTTGCTTTTGCTGTTCCCTGCGGGGTTCCGGGACGGATGGATCCGACACAACCAGAGAGAAGAAGAGGTGGACGGAATCTTGTGGCAAAGGCGTCAAGGGCGCCAAAGGCAGGCGTTCATCGGTGTGTGTATAAGCCACTGCAGTAGTACGACGTAGCATTGTAAGTAGCACCGATTGGGGCTCCCTGGCAGGCCTAACTTAATGCAGGTCAAGGCCAGGTTTTTGGTTGATAGGGACGATGGGGTCCGCCAGCCATGGACATTGGAAATTTGGTTGGCGATCCCTCCAAAGATCATGCCATGTTCCTCTCTGCCTATAATGTGCAAAAGATTGGTGCTGCTTTTACTACACAACAGTTGATGACACCCCTGTATTTGTTTATCGACAGCGGCAACTTGATCAATTGGCATGATTCATGACAATGAGCCTGGAGGGGTACTTACTTATACTCATAATTATCTCTCCGACAGACAGACTCGCTGATCAGCTGGTCACGGCTCACTGATGACAGCTTGTTGCTAGCAACAACCTTCTCCTTGATATTCCTTTGCATAAGAGATGATGGCTGTGAGGGTAGTATTTTCAGCAGTCTGCAATGCAATGATACACTGCAGCATAAAAGACAGACCAGGGGCGGACCAGGGCCAGGGCTGTATGGGCGTGTGGGTAGGTATTTTTGAAAAAAGCGCTGCTGTGTCTGTATTACTCCATAATGATTACACCCTTAACCTATCAAAGAATGAGCCAGTGACGCCACAAGATGATGTTCTGGTACAGCGCTCAGCTGGTAGTATCTTGAGTGTGAGCATATTGCTTCGAAAGGAGTCCAAGTAAGCCGATTTTTCTTTTTGTCATGCCTTTACCCTTCCCAAACCTGCCGCCCACCAACAAGAAAAGGGGCCAATGTTCATACCGCTCAGGTTCGTTCACTCGCTGAGAAAGTACAGATATCCGCTGTAATATCCGTCGGCGGTTCCTCGTGGCCGTTGTTCAGCTCGATAATCGACTATCCAGCACCATTTCAAGACCCCAGCCTGTTCAACTGCTGGCTACTCACTTGGCAATAGTCGCACAAGGACCCGGTCCGCCAACGTGGCTTGCGTTATCGCCCTGTTGGCTGAACTGCACGCCCGTGTACCCCAAAGGACAGGCCGTATCATTCCTCGTGCCAGCCCAGCCGTCGATCACAGCACAGGCTGCCACAGTCGACCCCGAGGCTCCAGGTATAAACGACCAGCCATCGCAGCCTTTCCGTGTGTTCTCGTAACAAGCCAGACAGCAGCTCGCCGCATCAGTTGCCCCGGGATACTGGACATCCCAGTTGCCCATAACGCCGGCGATCCCCATCCAGCTCACCTTTGTGACGAAATTAGAGGCTACGCAGCCACTAGGTGTCGCTGTCTGTAAGGCTAGGTTAGTATCATGTTGTTGCTATACAAAGAAAGGGGAGGGGGGAGAGGGGGGCATAGAAAGGAACAGCACCTGCGCAGAAGAAGAGATGAGGGAAGCAGAGGACACAACGGAGGTGGTAAAAGTCCTTGTGTCAGCCAGAGGAGGGGGCGCTGCGATACTCACCGGAGAACTATCGGCCGACGTCGTCGTGCTGCCCAAGGTCGAGGTGACCCGTGTGGACGGGGCTGGGGTGGACGTGGAGCTTTTACTAGGAGAGAAACGCACAGTCAATCACCAGCCTCCGAGGAAACAGAGGTTATTCGTGGGCCAGACAAACACTCACTTCGGGCTGCCTCCACCTGAGCCTTTCTGGCGGTTCATCATTACCACGCCGACGGTGACTCCCGTGAGGACGATGACAACCAGGACCAGACTTGCTATCACCCAGCTCTTATGTCTTGCGATCCAGGATCGATCAGGCTCAGCGTACACAACGGTCGCGCTGCGTCGATCGCCCATATCGGGTTGTATAACCGGACGAACAGACCGGGAGGATGTGTCGTCCGTGCAGTCGACCTGCTCGAGGTTCACAGGCTCTGGTGCGCAGTCATGGTCGACTGCGACCTCGGGCATGGGGTTGATCTGATTCTCGACATACTGCGACCATCGGGCCTCTCGAGGGCCCTGCTGCTGCTGCTCGTGGTCGCCATTGGCTTGCTGCTGGCTGTTTGGGTCGCTGGCCATCTTGGCGATGGGAAACGGAAAAAAGTCGACAACGATGGGTAGTTCGCAGAGGCTTTTTGGAGGGGTAGGCGTGTTTTTCGTCAATGCTGAAGTCGCCGCAGTGACAGCTTCAACAATGTTGACTAACAGTGCGACATCAAGACTATGACAGGTGCAACAGAACGAAAGGGGGATCTGTGTAGGCTCAAAAGCGAGATATGTGAGTACCACCCCTTCCCAGCAAGTACAGTATGAATGCGCGCGGTCTGTGCTGTGAACGACCTACCGTGGCTGTAACAGGCTCGGGCGTATCTTGTACCGCGTCTGCTGTGGCCCTTGCAAGTTTTTTTTCTGGTTACCTCGGTGCTTCGTCAATGAAACGAGTGAAAGGAAGGCAGAGAGACGATGTCTGTGTTATCAATGTTCCGTGGCTTGTGCGAGGGCAAGCAAACAATCGAAACCCTTAATGCGTGTGCGGCCACATGGACAGCCAGTCAAAACGCAAGTATGCAGGCACCCTCAGGCTGACTCACAAATTTTGGCAATGGCTGTCTGTTCTTTTTCCTTTCATGGAAACTCCTTCAAGAAAATCGCGACTTCCACGATTCGCAAAGGACCCTAACAGGGCAGGCATAGACAGTTGCCAGCCGTTCCTGCGCTGCCTCAGTGGAAGGGCGCCAGACCTAAGAGCTCTGGAGGGTTGAGGTAGAGTGCACAGTCAAATGAAGCTTTTCTACGCTGTTTTCAAATGCACTATGGTTCCCAGAATTATCACATGCAGTGACCGCCTGCACTGGGAAGATCCAATTCAGACTCAGGCCCTGGTGAACACCACTGTGGAGAATCACTTCAAGTAACATGACAACAATCATGACCAATCCTCCCCAGAGTAAACCAACCTGGAATGTATTCACAATCAAAGTAAATGAGAAGGACAAGGTTCTCGTAAACAATGTATAGACTGGACTCTGCAGTGATGTTTTTAGCTCATTTCATCATGTGTTTATTTCAGATACTCATGATTCTAATCCCTGTTTGGGTAATTAAGATTGATTGTGTACTGTGGGATTAACCGCCGAATCATGTACGCTCACCAATAAATATGTAGAGGTTATAAAGTCCTGGTGGGCTATTCTGCGCATGTGAAAGTACAGGAGGGGTCTCTTCGATTAGGAATGAGATGACCCGCCTTCCCCTAAGTTCAGCATACTCTCTCAACATCTTCTTAGCACCTTGGCCGAAAGGAGTCTTTCTGAGAAGGTCATTGAATGCTCGGCGTCGGGAAGAACTTGATTCAGTTGCTGTTATAGAGACAGGGAGTCCATCCACAGAATAGTTATCGAAGATCCGCTCCAGTATAGGCAATGTTGCATACTCCATTACTGTATCATACTTGATGACTTTTAGATTGTTAATGCTCTGTCCAGCCTTGTACCTCCAAAAGCTCATGATCATGTCTCGTAGCTTCAAGGCTCTCCCCTGGTCTCGATGGTTCAGTGCTTCATGAACTGTCACTGTGCCACTGTCAATGTCAGCGCCTAGAATGGCAATCAAGGTGCTGAAGGAGAGACCAGGTATGCTTATGTGGCCTCTGGGATTTTCAGAGTTAGTCGGTCGGTACTCGTAACCGAGGTCCTCTACTGGTCGAATGGTCTTGGGCATTTTGGGTTCTCGTGTTGGTGGGATGAGGATGATGAGAGCTGAATGCAGTTATTGTTTGCATTATGTGAAGGTTCTGGAGGAGAGGTTTTATATTCTTCAAGGGCAGAATTACATATATGGCTTCTAAAGTTGACTACTTACTAAATACTCTGGTTGATTCATATTCTCTACCTTCTCAGATGCGCTTATGAAATCACAAGAATTGGATTCCAAATGATATCAAGGAGTCATCGCTCTGCATAGACCTGAATGCACAAGTGCTACTAATCAGAGGAAATTCTTGATGTTGTAATCAGGTCCATGTGTTGCCTTGAGCAGAATGCAGCCTACATGTAGAAGATGCTCGAATAATTTGGTTGTCTAGTGGAGGTTACATGTTCACTTTAAGCTGCAAGTCCTACGCATCCATTCCAAAAGCAGTGCAGCCGAATAGAAGGTAAATCTCGATTTCAGTTTTGGTCTGAATGGAAAGTCAGGAAGAACACAATTAGACTTTGGACAAGTTTCATTACGATATTGGACCTGTCGAAGAAAAGATGTTCTTCAAGAAGATCAATGAACACATGCAGAGAGATTGCACAATATAGCTGGGAATTCAGGTAAAAGCAACAGTATCGAGATTGTTATTTGTTCATTATATTAGCTCGGCTTCTGAAGCATGCTCACATTTCAATGTGACTGGCTGGCAATGCTGCCCAGAGGTTCAAAGTAATGTGACTCCTTTGAGGCTGGTGCCAATCCTGGCTCGATTTACGATCAGATCGAATTATCTAAAGAGAACACGATTGAAATCATAGCTGTATGATAACTAGGCCTGCCTTGCTACTTAATTGAGCATATGGTGTAATTAGGTTCTACTTGAGAGCCACGCAACGTTACAACGACAAGGTCCTGGACACATTCGTAATTAGCTCTTTACAAGATTGCTGCTAGACTACTTGCAGCTTCCACTACGGATGATCAGCAATCCTTGAGTGCATATATAAATGAGCATCAAATGGAAAAGCTGTGTGCAGCAATTCTACGCTGAGAGATCTTGATCATTCATACCTAGATATTGATGCTGAATTTCCATGTTAATGCTGAGTATGCCGTTTTCTGATCCCTCTATTCGCTCTATGTAACTAGCTCGCCCTACTCTCCAAATCAGAAGCTATTTTTCTGGGTCTATCTTATTCCTCATCCCAGAGCTTTGGGTATCAGTTGCTTTGACCTCGAGGGCACCTTTTCTTAATGAGTAAATAAAGTACTTTATGCCTCGGTCCCCCCAATCCTCCTTCATCCTCTTCACCCTTTTCTTTTCCTTTCCTTCTGGTCCCATCATCTGTATCCCAGCTGATAATGAAATTGCTGCACACCAGGGCCAGACATGTAACGCCGCGCGTGTGCACTGCCCCTCTGTCACTGGAGCAATCTCGTCAACTCGGCTTAAGAAGCCCCTGACAGTTGGAAATGCAAACAGAATACGCAGTGAAGGAGATGTGACGAGTGCTTCTAATTCATACCAGCCTTAGCGTGGTGCATATTGGAAGGTAGAGTGAGGCAGCTTCAGCAGAATGCCACTGTAGGGTTTTCTCCGGTTGCAGTCGTCTAGGCTTTCTCTTTCAGACTTCGTTGGTACTAATTATGCTCAAACCAAGCCGGTTCTCAGCGGCGTGTCCTTGAACTTGTGTAATATATATATGGTCTTGCCGTACAGTACATGTAGTCATAGTCGTCAGAGAATTCATTCAATCAGTCATTTTAAAACAACATTGTTTGCAAACACGGCATATTCCTATTGACGTGTCTACTTATCATTATGCCTCTAGATCCCCCCTTTCCTCTCTTTCGAACTCGCAGGCCAGGTGGAGTTCCCATTCAAGTCAAGACTGAGACTATGATTGTGGAAAAGGGACTGGATAAATGAATTGCTATAGCATGAAAGGAAAAGAAAGAAAGAAATGACAAAGAGCTAGATAGCTGGGGCTATTTGACTTGCTGGGAGCTGGCTGGCTAACGGACTGCACCTTGGCTCAGGGCTGGTGACTAACCGGCCCTCGCACATGATATATCATATTCCATGGGTCTCTGCTTGGATCAATTCTTTTTGCTTAGGTTGTGATGTTTATACAAGTTTGATCAGCTTTGATACTTGGAGAGCCCCCCTTCCAAGCATCAGTACGCATCTGTCCAACTGCCACACGCTCCGCGAGGCCAGTTTCCCACCGCACCAGCATCACATTAAGGGCCCTGGGAAGAAATAAACAAGATGGATTCGCCCTCATCGCGAAACTGGCTGAAAGATTCATGTAGCAAAATGTCGCGAAGTCGAGCGAAGTGGGGATTTGTGCCACGTTGTTAATGCCAGTGATAATGCAATAGCAGCGCTTCTGCGATGAAGGGCGAAAAGAATACACTTCAATTGACCCATAGGATATAAATAAGGATAGAAAGCGATATAGCAGCGTGAATGCTCTGAAAATATTTTTCCTCATCATGTCCTGCTTTCCGGCTCCTGCTCTCTCGCCCGGCTGCGGGATCCTGGCTCTTCACCAACTCTGCTGGGAGCTGCGCTGCCTGCTGTGACTCGCGCTGGGAAGGATATATACACCTTGGTTTAAAATACCCTCGTCGAGAGTGTTTTGAGGTTCTTGAGATGGTGGGTCTGGGCTGCCATTCTCAGCAGGCCAAACCTCGACATAGGAGCTTCTGGTGTATAATCAAGGTCACAGCGCCCAAAGGGTCCGTGTCGTCAACGTGTGTTGCAGTCCAATCAGGTGATTATGGCCACTCTGCTTATTTCCCCGAGCCCGAGGCGTGATTGAAATGTCGACATAGTTGGGATGAATTTGTGAGACACTTGACCATGGTAGACGTCTTTGGACGTGCAATCACGCAAGTTTTATCATCGTATAGCAACGTTGACGAAATGGATGAGTCTCTTATGTGGATTGTTACGGCAATCATAGCACAAAGTGGTCGGTGTAATTTACTGCTATGCCCATTTCACCGCCGTTCTCTGGGCGGGGTCTTTCCCTTCGTACCAGCCCCTCGCCAACGGAACCGGGTCATCAATGTCGTGAGTGCAGTCCAGGCCGACAAGACGGAGGCTACACAGCGTGTCAAGCCTCTACCGGCCGGTGCACATGCGGCAGGTCTGTGTTAGTCCTCCGCTCGGCAGCCGAAAGGCGAGTTCAGCTGCACAGCTTCCAAGACTAGGATGGCACGCGCGGTTTGCTGACGGCCACGTGGCGTCCTTTGGCATGGTCGGTTCTCGAAGGAGAGAAGAAAAACTTGACGAGGAGGATGAGCAGTGACAGGCGAGAGCTGAAGCTGGTCCGGTCCGAGACAGAAGGCCCGAAAGAGATGCAGGGTCAAGAGTGGAAGAGGGAAAAAGGAAAAAAGTACTATCACATATAGGGCGTAATCAATGATGACGCTTACGTGACCCGTCAATAGATCTGGCGTAGGCGCATAGGGCGCTGCTCAGGCGCATAGGGCGCTGCTCAGATGGGTTCTTCCGGGAGGCTGAATAGTAACTGGCCACAGGTTGTTGGGAGGGAAAGGGAAGGGAAAAAAAAAAGAAAAAAAAAAGTACAGGCGAAGGAAGCGCTGCTGGGTCCTGGACTCTGTACTATTGACCTGGGGGCTGTATTTTGCAATAAAGCGGGGCGCTTGTCATGAAAATAGAGTTGGCTTTTGGGACCGAGCAGGGACATCAGCGTAGGTGGGTCTTGCCTGTCCAACTGCGCAGGGTATAGAATAGCATGTTCGCGGGTCGAGCAGCGCTGGCACGTGGCTGACATCGAATAATGTCGCAGGAGAGATTGACAGTGGGACTCCCCACACACACCTGCGAGGCCCGTGACAGTGAAGCGGTGCGAAGAACGGAAGATCGCCGTTCGGCTCTGCGAGTAATTGACCAACGGACACAAAGCAGAGGCCCTGTTGCCAGGGCCTGGAGGGATCTAGATGGTGTGGTGACTGAAGGAAATAGAATGTGGACCGTGTACACCGAGGGTCTGACCACCGAAACGCACGCAATCTGTAAGCGAGGCACGGTCTTTTTTCTTACTCCTCCTGCTCCTCTCCACCCTCTCCAACCATTCTCGCGATCCGTTTCGAATCCGCAGAAAGAGGGAAAGAGAGAGAGGGGAGAGGAGGGGAGAGGAGGGGGAGGAGGAACGTGCGGGATTGGCGCGCGGCGCAACTTTCCCAGATGGGTCAATTCGGACCCGGGTGCTACTCTCCAGATGCATAGAGTTGGGCACATATGGGCACTCCCATGTGTTCCTGGCCCGAACCGTACTCTGAATTATTCCCTGTGCTGTATGGGCATCGATTGCCTCCCTCGTCGTGACCCCGGGCAAGAAACCCGATTGCCAGGTCTGACTCGTTTTGGGTTCTCCATGGATCTGTGCGGCGGGGTCCTCGATGACCATATCAGGCAGGAAGCCGTTCTCCGCAAGTACCCTTAATAATGATGATGATGGGCGAAGCGAGACATTCAAGTAAGAGAGGGCGAGAGTTGTTTTCTTTCCTTCGTCGTGTTATGGCCGTGCTCGCTCCCAGCTTACTCCATCACATGCACGCTGCCAAACATAGAAAAGGTAGGCCAATCTGCGCCGCAGGGCGGATTCAAATCCTTGTCTCAAAGAGGATTTAGCAGGATCTCGATGCAAACAGGTATTGAAGAGAAGTCAAGGACCGCCACCCGATGCGATAATACTCTGGCAGTGTCCTCTTCCGACTGCTCAAGCCCTGTTACTATTTGAACGCTGGACAGAGAGGAGAAGAAGAAAAAAAAAAAGAAAAGACTGCCAGGTTCCGCGAGTGACCGAACAGACGACGACGCAGGCGCACACGACGACGGCGGGACGACGGCGAGAAGGACTAGGACGGCACTGTGACACCATGTCAGTCCCAGGCTGGCTGAAGGTGTGGTACAAGAAGCCGGAATGGCGCGACATCAACGATTACACCCGCATGGTGAATGACGAGAGCCTGATACCGAGACATAGGCCCAGGAGCCCGACACCAGCTTTTGCCTCGATCCCGAGCCGATTATCATTAGACAGAGTGTTGGAGAACAAGACGTGCAGCCCCATGTCGCTGCATGACTTTTATCTGTATCTCAAGCACATTGAGCACTCGTCCGAGAACCTCGAATTTTACCTGTGGTGAGTGAGGTTCTCTCCAAGCACCAGCCCTGCGCGCGAAACATCTTGGGGGCGGGGTGACGGCCGGCCAAAAGAAGACCTGCAGCTGACCGCATGTATCTGCAGGTACAAGAGTTATGATGCAAATTATCCAGGCGTGTTGAGGGATAGAATATCGACCGATGTGAAACGACCCCCAAGGGCTCACTCGGCCGAGACCGACCTCTCGAGTGTTGTCTCCATCTACAGAAGTGAGTAGCGGTCCATCCTCGTATAAACCTTTCCTGCGTCGCGAAGTTGAATACTGACGTCGTTTCTTTCTTTTCTCTCTTTCTCCCCTTCTGTAGGCAAGGAAGCGTCAAGATCAAGAATAGATCTAGAGAGGAGAATAGCACACCTCGAGTCGCCCTGCATCCAGGCAGCCAAGGACAGGTCGATATGGAGCATGTTCGTGCCGTACTGGCTCCGGAGACAGAACCACGCAGACTGTGCAGATGGATTCTGTCGCCTAGAGGCCATCAACGAGAGCGGAGATATAGAGCGGAACGCTCCGTCGCCAGACCCGTCGCCGGTGTTTGGTAGGCCCTCCAGCAGCAAGTCGTCGATCAAAGAGAACCGCGCCGAGCTCGACTCGGCCATCGCCACGTTTCTGGTCCCGGGGGGCGAGAAGGAGCTCAACATCTCGCACGTCCTGCGCCAGCGCGTGCTGCAGCAGCTCGAGCAGTCGTCGGACCCGCGCCACCTCAGACCGGTGGCAGACCACATTTACGAGGTGATGAAGAACTGCTCGCACCGGAACTTTGTGAACGTGGGCGTGTCGACAGGGACGTACGAGACCATCTGCGTGGGCAATCTGATCGGGATCCTCTTCATCATCGCAGGGCTGCTGGTGGTCCTGCTCCAGGCCTTCCACCCGTACCGCGGCGCGCACACGCGGTGGACCTGTTTTTATGTATTTCCGCTGTGGCAGATGGGCGTGACCTTGTTGCTGGTCGGGACGCAGGGTATGTGCATGGTGATGTTGTCCATGTCCAAGAGGCAGGCCCTTCCCTGGGAAAGGTTTGACGACGGCGCGTCGGTCGTGGCGGACTCGTCAGGGCCCCAGGGCTGGCTGGGCAAGTATAGGAAGTTTATGGACAAGACGGTAGCGCACGACCGCAAGTTCAAGGTGGAGGACAAGCACTTGAGGAGGCTGCAGAGGATGATCCTGTTCCAGTGTGGAACTGCCGGTGTGATCGCCGGCCTGCTGGGAGTCCTGCTCTTTATCTTCTTGCCCATCTGGAAGGAGACGTACCATCATCATCATTGAGCTGGATGAAACTGGATGACCAAGACAAGAACCAAAGAGTCTTGTGTGTGCTTGTGTGTACGATGAGATGAGTGACGTCTCAAACGGTGGTTCTGGCCGGGTTCTATTCTGTTTTCTTAATCTTTTCTTTTCTCTTTTTTGTTTCCTTCTGGGATTGGGATCTTGTCAGCTATATATACCCTTGCATAAGTATCTTAGTATTGTAAAACAATGGAAATACTCCATGAACGTTGTACATATATATATTGGTTCGAATACATATCAAGTAAGCTCAGACTCTGTGCTTGGACTTGTATCTCTGCGGAGAATGTTTGGGGGGGGGGGGCATCTTTCTTTGTAGATGACTAGGTTTCTGCCTGTGATGCTGCATCGATATAGAGGCAGAAAGGAAAGGTACTTCTTGTGAAACCCTGAAACTTTTGAACAGAGAGAGAGAATCCTCACCAGCCTCAAGCATTGCAGAGAACTTACTGACTGACTTCATGCTTGGATTGAAAGTTGCTTTTGGGTTTGAAACACCGTAAAAGGAAGAACGTCAAATGAAGAAAAAGGACCTAGATAAGTACTTGGTTGTACTGTAAATGCTGGGCGGCCAATCATAATGAGGCACGATGTTAGTGTGGAGAAAGCAAGGATAGGATGGCCCTGCCACTAGGAGAAAGGATTAAAAAAAAAAAAGTTTCCACGCCCTGCGGCCAGCCTCAATACCAGAGCTCCCCTCTCCTCCACGTCGTCTCAACACCCGTTCACCCGTTCGTACGATCGTCAAATAACTTGTTGTTATTGTCGGCCCACACAAGACAATATGACGACCGCAACAGTGGTCCCCCGTTCCTTGCCCGCCCTCCCCGAGGGCTGGTCCGCTGACAAGGACTTTAAGATCGTCGGCAAGGTCAGCGCCTCTACTGAGCGCACCATCGAGCCTGTCGGCCCTCACTTCCTCGCCCACGCCCGTCGTGCCCGTCACAAGCGCACCTTCTCCGAGGATGACCGCATACAGGCACAGGAGAAGGCTAAGAAGGTCGAGGATGAGGATGACGGCGAGATCAGCGAGCCTGAGGACCCCATGATGCTGCAGCGCGAAGCCAAGGATTGGAAGGTATTTGATTATTTTTACCCTCTCGTTTTCCTTGTGTCCCCAATACTTGATGGCTGAGAACCAACCCCATTGAAATAGGAGCAAGATCATTACGCCGTGCTCGGCCTTTCCAAGTATCGCTTCAAGGCCACCGAGGATCAGATCAAGCGCGCCCACCGCAAGAAGGTTCTCAAGCACCACCCGGATAAGAAGGCAGCGACGGGCCGCGCCGAGGACGATAACTTCTTCAAGTGCATCCAGAAGGCCACCGAGGTCCTGCTTGACCCTGTCAAGCGCCGTCAGTTCGACAGTGTCGACGAAGCCGCCGACGTCGAGCCGCCCACCAAGAAGCAGCTGCAGAACCCCAAGGCCGACTTCTACAAGCTGTGGGGCAAGGTCTTCAAGGCCGAGGGCCGCTTCTCCAAGAACCACCCCGTGCCCGCCTTTGGCGATGCCAATGCCACGTACGAGGATGTGGACACCTTCTACAACTTCTGGTACAACTTCGACAGCTGGCGCACCTTTGAGTACCTGGACGAGGACGTTCCCGACGACAACGAGAACCGCGACCAGAAGCGCCACATGGAGCGCAAGAACGCCAACGCCCGCAAGAAGAAGAAGGCCGAGGACAACGCCCGCCTCCGCAAACTCGTCGACGACTGCATGGCTGGCGACGAGCGCATCCGCCGGTTCAAGAAGGAGCAGAACGCCGCCAAGAACAAGAAGAAGATCGAGAGGGAAGCCGCTGAGAAGGCTGCCGCCGAGGAGGCGCGCCTGAAGAAGGAGGCCGAAGAGAAGGCTGCCAAGGAGGCCGAGGACAAGGCCAAGCTCGACCGTGAGGCCAACAAGAAGGCCAAGGAGGCGGCCAAGAACGCCGTCAAGAAGAACAAGCGCGTGCTGAAGGGCAGCGTCAAGGACGCCAACTACTTCGCGTCCGGGGATGCCAGTGCCGCGCAGATCGATGCTGTGCTAGGCGATGTCGAGCTCGTCCAGGGCAAGATCGACCCTGACGAGATCGCTGCGCTCGCTGGCAAGCTCAACGGCCTCAAGGTCGCGGATGAGATCAAGGGTGTCTGGAAGGACGAGGTCGCCCGCCTGGTCGGTGCTGGCAAGCTCAAGGAGGGTGATGCCAAGACTCTTTCCGCTTAGATATCAGGACTGATCGAAGGCGTTCTGCATATACATACAGGGGGCCAACCATTCGGCAGGAGTTTCACTAGACGTAGAAAAGAGTCATAGAGAATTGATGTTGTCTATCTTCATTATTTAGACCCTTGGAGATGACTGTTGGAACCAATTGACTATCCTCATTTGTTTAGGGATTTTGACTACCATTTCGTAAGAGCAAGTGTTAAGTAGCTACTTGAGGTGTTTTTGCTGAGCTTCTCTGCCTGAACGACAGGTTTCCTATATCTACAGTGTATTTCACAAGAGTATAGGGGCAAGTGAAACTTCTGAGAAAAAGTGTGATATCCGCATTTCTCGAGCAGCATATTCTTCCCACAGAACACGCACGTTCTATTCTCTATGCAGACCGTCCCGCACGTTCTAAAGGAGAGGTATGGGGCAGTGACTGAATGCACCAACACAAGGGTTTATTAAAAGTACAATTGATTTTTCCTATTCAGTCACTTCCTGAAGTCTATGCCAACTAACCAATGACAAGGAGGAGGGCCGCCGATCCGTTATTTCACGACTGACATCACACCTTTTTTTTTTGAAGTAGGTCTGGATATCAATCAACTTTGCCCTCCGCTCGGGTTATCCTGCTCCGTTCGCAACGGTATGCTGTGCAGTCGGCACGACTGGCCAACAAACCGCCTCAAATCCGTCGTCCTTCTGTTGTCGACCCCGGCCGATCGATGCTCATCCCTTACAGGAGCTTCAGCAGCTTGGCAGCGTGCTGCTCGATGAGAGGCTCAGTAGGGAAGCTCATCTCCTCCAGCTTCTGAGCATAGGGCGTGGGGACCTCAGCGCCTGTGACACGCTGGGCAGGGGCATCAAGGTAGTCAAAGGCATACTCCATGGCGAGGGCCAGGATCTCCGCAGACACGCCGAAGGCGGGGTAGCCGCTCTCGACGACCATGAGACGGTGTGTCTTCTTGACAGACTTGATGATGGCCTCGAGGTCGAGGGGCTTGATGGAGCGCAGGTTGATGACCTCAGCCTCGACGCCGTACTTCTTCTTCAGGCCCTCGGCGGCGACGAGAGACTGGCCAACGCACCGCGACACAGTGACGATGGTCAGGTCCTTGCCGGCGCGCTCGATCTTGGCCTTGCCGATTGGCAGCACAAAGTCGTCCTTCTGCGCGGCCTCAGACATGGGGAAAGACTGTCCGTACATGAGCTCGTTCTCCAGCACAACGACCGGGTTGGGGTCGCGGATGGCGGCCTTCAGCAGGCCCTTGGCATCCTCGGCTGACCATGGCGAGACGACCTTGAGACCCGGAATGCTGCCGTACCAGGCGCTGAAGTCCTGCGAGTGCTGGGCGGCCACGCCGGAGGCGAAACCGTTGGGACCACGAAAGGTGATGTTGCAGGGCTGGATGCCGCCGGACATGTAAAGAGTCTTGGCTGCTGAGTTGATGATCTGGTCGATGGCCTGCATGGCGAAGTTGAAGGTCATGAACTCGCACTAGATTTGGGAGAGAAGATCGCGGCGGGTCAGCAAGTTTGCTCTCATCTTGAATTCTTGGAGGTTTAAAAAAAAAAAAAAAAGAGAGGAAAAAGGCCACCAAAATTCAAAGGAACGAAAGTCCCTCCGAGTTTCTGTTCCTCTCCTTGCCTCTCCTTGTCCCCCTTCTCCTCTCTTGAACTGAGATTCCCCCGGGAGGGCTGTCTGCTACTCACCACAGGATGCAGGCCACTCAGCGCGGCACCAACGGCCAAACCACAAAAGCCCGACTCGGTGATGGGGGTGTCAATGACTCTGCGGTCGCCGAAGCGGTCCAGGAGGCCCTTGGTCACCTTGTAGGCACCATTGTACTGAGCAACCTCCTCACCAAGGATAAAGATCTTCTCGTTGGCCTCGAGCTCCTCGGCCAGCGCCTCGTTCAGCGCATCGCGGACGGTGTACTCCTTGGTGCCGGAGGAGGCGTACGTCCGAGTCTGAAGCAGGGTGGAGGTGGCGGGGCGGAGGGATTTTGGTGATATCGAGGATGCGGTAGACAGGAACGAAGAGCAGGAGGTACGGGGGCTTGCGACGCGGGCGTTGACAGCCAAGCGGCTGGCGGATCGGAGGAATCGGGACATTGCTGTAGAGAGGAACTGGTTGTGATGGAGATGATGAATGCAGAAGAAGAGGCGGAACCAAGACAGGCCGGCAGCACCACTGAAGAAGATCCGTCACCCAAGGAGACTAATTGGGGACGGCTGTGTTGTGGTGGCGGTGATGATGATGGTGTTGGGGTAGTCTTGGTCGAGGTGGAAAGGATGCGATATCGCCAACTCCTGCGCAAGGGCAAACGATATCGCCGGAGGGAATTTTTTCGCTGATGGCCTTCAGGGCCGCCCCAAAGCTCCGAACCAATCTGCGGTAGTGCGTGGGACCCCTGCAAGCTCAGCATCAGCATGCTGCCAGCAGGCTAAATTTCTGTTGGGCTGCGGCGGGATCCACTGGAGCTACGGTCACCGAACGGCTAACAACCAACAATAACTGTTAAATGCCTCCAGCCAAAGAAAAAAGCCACGCAGCCCCGCTGTCCACCACCAAAAGTCATATGCGATACATAATCGACATCTCAAGGAATTATTGGTCTGTGCATAAACGACGACTTCTCTTGACTTCTGCCTGTCTGCTTCCCTTGTCTTTTTGTCTTTTCAGCCAGCGATCTCGTATGTCTATATATTATTATTAGTACATGTACAATGCATCTTTGAACACTTTTGGTCATGGCCCCAGATCCTTTTCTCCCCAGCTCCATGTTCGATTCACCTAATTGGCTGGCTTGCGCCCAACCATAAGGTACATGGGTGTGAACAGGTTCAACCGCGCACCGGCAACGAGCCCATCAGCACCCTCGCTCAGCGCATTCGCCGTCTTCTGCGTGCCCTTGGGCGCGATGTGCAGTCTCTCCATCACGCCGGCGAACCCGTGCGTGAAGAATTGTCCCAGCTTGGTCATCCGGAAGATGGTGAACAGGTCGCCCATGGACTGCAGGTACTTCATCTCGCCAGACAGAGGCCAGTACCAGGGCATAGGGTCGGGCCGCTGCGCCAGGTCCTCGTGCTTGAGCAGCTCGAAGCCGGCAGCCCTCATGGCATCCAGTCCCTCCTGGATGGGAACCATGTTGGAGATACCGTTGCCAAGCTCGATGGCAAGGCGGATCTTGCGGTGCTCGGCGTTGCTGTTGTCGTAGTTATCCGTCATGAGCCACTCATACACGCCGAAGACGCCACCGGGCTTGAGCACACGGAAGATCTCGCTGTAGACACCCTCCAGCTTGGGAGCATGGACGGTAGCCTCAATGGCGTAGACGGCATCGAAGGTGTTGTCGGGGAAGGACATTTGCTGCAGGTAGTCAGCAGAGCCGGCCAGGGAGGCAGAAGAGGAAACAAAGAAGAGAAAAAAAAAGGGAAAGAAAAAAAATAAAAGAACTGGGGAAGAAGGGGTATTCTACCATGAAGTCGCCCTTGACATAGGTCAGCTGGCTGGAGAGCTTCTCCTTCGCCGCATAGGCTGTCGCACGGTCAATCTGGTAGTCGTTGTTGTTCAAACCGACAATGTTTGCGCCGGTGAACTTGGCGATCTCGCGCGCAGGTCCGCCCACACCACAGCCAACATCCAGGACGTTCATGCCCTCTTGAATGCCAATCTGGTGTGCCAGGTAGTGCTCATGACGGGCAATGGCCTGGTAGAATGGCTCGCCGAGGGAGAAGCGGCAGAAATGGAAGGACTGGCCCCATCCGTACTCGTAGATGTCGGTAGCAAGGTTATAGTAGCTGCGAGCAGAGAAGAGAGAAGGAATAGTCAGCTCCGTGTACTGGGAAATTCTTTTAAGAGTGTGGAAATACGTACTGTCTCGTCAGAGTAGCATACTCGTCAGTCCGCGCCTATACCAAAAGACGGTCAGTTCGATTCCACATTGGCTGCCCCCCGGTTCTGCGCGTGTGGGCGCGGCAGGATGGCAATGTATACAACCTACCTTGCGGTCGGCATCAGTCTCGTTCTCGGCTTTTTTGCCATCAAAGTGCTTGAAGTACTCGTCAAGGGCCGCCTGCTTGGCCTCAGGGTCCTTGAAGAGGATCGTCGCGATGCCATTGGCCTGGGCGGCAGTCTTGCCGTGCATGGCCTTGTTGAACGCGGCATCGCGCTCCTTGTTTTCTTGCTCCAGCTGAATCTTGCTGCCCATTTTTACGTGTTGAACGATGGAAACTTTGTAGAACGGAGTGGGCGGGAATCAATTGATTGGGAACGAAGACGGAGGAGGAAAGAACAAGACGACGAGGATGTAGTGCTGGCAAGACCACAAGTGGGTATGGTGACAATCTTAAACTTTTTAGCATATGAGCTGGCGCAACAGGGGGCGATCACAGGGGTAGCCAAATCTAAGTGTGGGGCAAAAAAATGGGCATGCGTACTAAGTAGTCGTACCCATGGGGCATTATCGGATGTGCACAACTTATCAGGCCCTGAACCCCTGAGATGGGACCCAACCATGCTACTAGTGGACATTTGTAGATGCTGTCTGTGTACCATGGCTTTCCAGAGACATTCCATACCTGTTTCCTGTAGAAAGAAGTCTGGCTTCAAGATCGCAGCAGGACGATCTGGACTCATCTTGAGATCAAGTTGCACACAGTACTTCATCAGAATTGTCATGGTGGTATTCCTCTGCTACTGATGATACTGCTGCTGCTGTTGGCAGTGTCAATCCCTCTGAATTAGAGAAACTATGATGTGCCTTCCCAATGGAAAGTCTGAGCCAGTATGGAATAGCTTGCTCATAACAGGATTGCCCCCCAGTCGGCCATCTACAAATGACTGGGAGAAGCAAAGCAGTACAAGGTTCGTTCGGAGACCCTGGATGGCTGAGGTAATCATTCGGCCTCCCTTGTGTGATAAGATAAGCCCGCTGCCTTCCGGGCTCTTTGCGCCACCACCCGAAAAAGTGCCCAGTCAACACTGCGAACCTTGGATGTCATTATCCTTCGAACATCAATCATCTACACCTGCAAAGCTCGCCCCACCCACGACAGCAAGCCCATCAACATCCATCTTTGATCCCATCCTCTCTGTCTCTCCTGAGTTGTGATATCAACTCACGCCCGCACCTGAAACCGAACAGATCGTACCGCCTCGACCCGACCGCCAATATGCCACCACAGATTAAACAGGACCTGAACCGCTCTGGTTGGGAGTCCACCGATTTTCCTTCCGTCTGCGAATCATGCCTACCCGAGAACCCCTATGTTAAAATGCTCAAGGAGGATTACGGCGCCGAGTGCAAGCTGTGCTCCCGTCCCTTCACCATTTTTAGCTGGTCCGCCGACCGCGCCCACGGCCGCAAGAAGCGCACGAGCATCTGTCTCACCTGCGCCCGCCTCAAGAACTGCTGCCAGAGCTGTATGCTGGACCTGTCATTCGGCCTCCCCATCGTCGTGCGCGACGCTGCGCTGAAGATGGTCGCGCCTGGCCCCCAGAGCGAGATCAACCGCGAGTTCTTTGCGCAGAACAACGAGAGGGCCATCGAGGAGGGGCGAGGGGGCGTCGAAGAGTACGAGAAAACAGACGAGAAGGCGAGGGAGCTGCTGAGGAAGCTGGCACAAAGCAAGCCGTACTTTCGTAAGGGCAGGACCATCGATGGGGATGGGCATCCAACAGGCGAGAGCTCCAGGAGCGCTACCGGGGGCAACGCTGCTGTCGGCGCAGGCATGGGAGGTGCGGGGCCGATCAGGACCAGAGACTCGAGGGCAGCTGGTGCGATGGGTGCGAGGTCTGGGGGCGGGGGAAGACCGGGTGGTTCGAGGAAAGGCGCGTTTCCTTCTACAGCACAACTTCCTCCTGGTCCCAAGGATTGGCAGCCCCCGTCGGACAAGAACATCATGTCGCTGTTTGTCACGGGCATCGAGGACGACCTGCCAGAGTACAAGATCCGGGACTTCTTCAAGGCGTTTGGCAAGTTGAAATCACTGGTTTGCTCCCACATGTCACACTGCGCTTTCATCAACTACGAGACAAGAGAGGCTGCCGAGAAGGCCTCCGAGGAGTGCAAGGGGAGGGCGGTTATCGCCGGCTGCCCCCTGCGCGTGCGATGGAGCCAGCCTAAGGTTGTGGGCACGATGAACCGGGAGGAGAGGCTAGAGATGCTGAGGGATGGTCGCTCAGCGTTCCCCCAACCTAGGAGACAACACGGTGGGCAGAGAGCAACAACCGAGGACGGCAGTGCGCAGCAGGAGGAGCCGGTGGCCGCCCCTCCCGGTGCTGTGGATATCAACTACGCCAGTCTGGCAGGCAATTGAGAGGTGTTGTTTCGTAAGACGCAAATTCTCTTCACATCGGCGTTTTGGGCGTTTGGAAAGGGGGCTGGCGACAGACCGATACCATACCATGCACAGCGAGAAGGTTCGGAGCATTTCAGGAAACATTCGGTGTCTCATTCAAGTCTTCAGAAGTCTTAAGCAGAGGGGTATCATTTCGTTGGGGGGGCAATTCTTCTCTAGCCATTGTAATCTTACAGTTAACCCGCCACGCCTTGTCGTGTCTCTTCCTATCCGTGAGTCCGTGTTGGAACCAGTGCATTTGCAAACGTTCACCAAGACATCATAAAACACCGATTCTCCAGGCAGCGGTCCTCCTTAGGCTGCTGGTCTTTCTTCGGCTTCCCTGGGACAAAGACATCCTTAGGTGTAGGTGATTCCTTGACCTCCATACCTCGCGGGAAAGGAGATCCTGCCTTCCAGCAGTTGTTGCGATCATGCGATACAATGCTTGTGTCTCAGCTCGAGCAACATCCGTCTCCGCTCGCAGCCTTCTTCATGCCCGCCAGAGTGATCGTGTCATTGTCACCGCGCTCGGTGTACTCGTGTATTCTCAGTTCTACGCACCACTTGTTGTTAGAATCTTGCCCTCCAATACCACACGAGATTTTTGACCATCGCCCTGTGTTCGGATCAAAGTCGTTCCATCTCTTGTACTCACTGTAGGTACTCCCATCACCCTGCTGGCTTCCCTGTACAACATTCGCCCTCAGAGCTTCCGCAACAGCCTCCGCATGCTGAATCGCAGGGGCGACAGCCGGGTCTGCCGGCTGCAGACTTGCCTTCTCCCGGAACATGGTGCGAGCCTGCAGCCGCGCGGCGGAGAGCACGCGCTCGTCGCCCTGGAAGGCTATGCGGGTTGCGCGCAGGATATTGCGGTAGGCGGCGAGGGCCATTGTGTGGAGGGACATGGAGGAGCTCTGCAGGAGTCTCGACGTACGTAGGCAGGAAGGAGGAAATAGCAGTCGTTCTAGGAGGGGAGAGAGATTTGTAGACTGCGGTCAAGGTTGATGTAGCGGCGAAGGAATCTTGTTATTTGGGTGTGTCCTGGTTGGATAAGAAGAAATATTTGAAATACGTAAGTATTCTAGCCTTCTAGAACATCACTGGATGGCGATCTTCGTGGCTTGGCGGCAGCTACTGATATCGTTCCCATTGGCCAGGCAAGCTGACTAAGACAGCCGCTCAAGTATATGAAGCAATCGAAGGCGACCACTGACGGAACACTCCACACCACCCCTGGAACTTGTTAGGCCAACTTCAGACTTTTGGTCGCTTGTTGACAACTTTGGACTATTTCTCGCAGTTGCGTACTGCCTGAATAAGTACAAATCGATTCTAAATTATTATAAAGGATTATGATGAACGAATTCTGCCCTACATGTCTGGATGGTTGGATATGGACGAGCCAGCACCAGTGAAAATATCTCTTGAAAGCAGAGAGACTGCATTTTCAATGGGACTAGATATGAGCATGGAGAGGTCTCCTCTGCAGAGGTTCAACTAGAGGCATCACACCAGCGGCGAACCTAGTGCCTCGTGGACATTTGCTTCCGAAGCCGAATTCGCATGTAGATTAGATTGTATCGATAAAATCTGATTTTGCGCACCACGGCGTCTTTCGTCGTGGATTGTCATGACTGCTTTCTCTCAGTCTCGAGTTCCCGTTGCACGTCCTGCCTTTCAAGGGCCGGCCTCATCTGTCCATTCCTGACCATGAAATCCTCCATCCGCGTGTTGACTCCAAGTACCAGACAAATGCTCACGATCGATTAATTGCAGCGACACTAGAAGGATCCGGATGCTCGGCAAGTCTCCTTATGCAGAGAGGTATACAGCGAACAGGCACGAATGCCGGGCTAATACTCATCTCCTGCTTGGCTCGATGCTTGGCGCTGCCAAATCAACCATGTTTTTGTCATGTCTTTATCCAAATTGCCTGCACACCAGTAAGTCCTTGAAACCTCCGTGTTCACGGTACCATAAACCTGTCTTGGATATTGATGGGCCCAGTCATCCAGGCCCAGTCCTATCCAGGCGTTGTATCTCGGACGAAGGGCACCGAAGGCATTCGTCACCCCTCAGACATCCGTCAGCCTCGTGACCCTCTACAGTCATGTTTACCGAAGAATTGTTGACAAAGCTCAAAGACTTCGGTGTCATGATAAGGATGAACCATGGCTTAAATCTGCTCGGGGACAGATGTCTGCTGATCGAATACTCTAGATAAAATCATGATGCCGGACCACTAATGCATATAGATGGCATGTGCTGACAGTGCTGTCTAGAGTGAAAAGTATTAGCCGCTGTATCATCCATACGGAAGCATTTCAACTTAAATTAATTTAGATGAGGTCCAACAAACCTACGGTCTTGTGCTTACTGTCCATGCTTAGGAGAGACAAACAGCAGCCTGGGGATTCAAGAATACTTAGCGCTCCTTCCGGATATGTATAAATCATTTCCTCCTAAGATTGTGCTTCTCGGCAAACCACTCTTCATGATTGCCAAGGCCTTTTGATTTGGAAGTCCTGTCCCTTCTGGGTTCCTTATAGATCTTCACATTTGATATCCTCTTGAGTATATCGCTCGCCAATCCATCCACTATGCGGCTGGACATCTTGGCTTCCATCCTCTCGGCGGCCTCCCTCGTCGTTGCTCATGGCGCAGTCACATCTTACGAGATCGGTGGCACGTAAGGAATTTTTTCCCCGCCGCAAGAACCACACGACTTACAATTCTACAGCACCTATCCAGGCTATACAGGTTACTCGCCATCAACCTCCCCGCCGACTATCGAGAGACAATGGCCCGACTATAACCCAATCCTGTCCGTCAGCGATCCAATGATGACCTGCAATGGCGGAACGTCAGCCGCTCTAAATGCCACCGTCGCTCCCGGCGAAAATGTTACCGCCATCTGGGCCCAGTGGACCCATCAGCAGGGCCCTGTCATGGTGTGGATGTACGACTGCGGCAGCGACTTCTCATCCTGCGACGGCAAGTCACAGAAGTGGTTCAAAATTGATCAGATGGGCATGACGGCGCCCCCCCTGACTGGCACGAGCTGGGGAACGGCCATTGTTGCAGCGGTGAGACTCAGTCCTCCCTACTCCTCCTCCTCCTCACATTCTCTCATACACTGCCGGATGTTCAAACCATGCCTTGTTGCTGCTAACGCGAGGGGGAAAATATGTCAGACCCTCAAGTGGACAAGCACCATCCCCACGAACCTGGCTCCGGGCAACTATCTCATCCGCCACGAGCTGCTGGCTATTCACCAAGCCAACACGCCCCAATTTTACCCCGAGTGCGCACAACTTGTCGTCACTGGAAGCGGAACAGCAGCCGCGCCCTCCAGCTTTCTATATTCGATTCCGGCTTATGCTTCGGCGACCGACCCAGGTATTGACGTGAGTCTCTCCTCGAATGATATTGCCGAGATGGTTCCAAGCTGACTTTTGTATTGCCTCCTCTTTTCCCGGTTCTAGATTGACATTTACACTAGCACTGCCACAACATACACAATTCCCGCTGGCGATGTGTACTCTGGATTTGAATTCTAGATAAGCAGACTCTCTGAGATCAGCTGTCTGACAGGACAGGAACAGAGTTTTTTGATGTGAAGATCACTGGGGAGCGACAGACAATCTTGAGACAATGCCGTATTACTTGCGTCTTTAATCCGCCCTCGCTGTCATATCTTAGCTGTATCGACGACTTTTTCATATGCTTAGTACTTTCCTTTTCTTATTATACATATGAGTGATGTGCACAATTTAGTATATCATCAAATCATGTGAATCCAGACAGTGGATTGTATTTTTTGAAATTCCGTGTCATACACCGTAATTATCACGAAGTATCTCCAGTCTTCAAGGTGCGGAACTCCTCGAGCGAAAAACCCATGTGTCAAATCGATGCTCCTTTGCCTGACCCTCAACCGCATGGTCAAATTGTCCGTTGTTCGTCCCCCAGTCGTTTTTGAGCCATCCAAGCCAGTAGACATAATTCTCCGCAACGATAGGCGTTTACAAATCCTTGTGACTTCCCTTATAGGTGGGGGAATCCAGCAAACTGCCGCTGCAAATCAGTAGAATGGTATTCGTAATAGTAGTCAGTTCCCTTCGTCAGATATTAGTCCGGGGTGTTAGTGCCAAGAGATCACCGGCAGTAGTGGAACGGCGCCTAGAAGGTTTGCGAGGATGTAGGTTGTTGACCTCGAGTCCTGCATGATATAGAGATGCTGGCCATTCAGAACGGTCACCGTTGCCTTATAGGTGATGGCGTCGGTTGTGACATTATGACATGATGATTCGAGGCCGAGGCTATATGATATATGAGTCTGTAGCGGGGGCTTGTAATCTTATGCTCAACTCTTGAGTGGGGCTCGCTGAGGGGAGGCTGTGAAATCAAAGGACTAGCTCGAAATAAGAGTATAGGGAAGATGAAGACTGATGGGGCCCGATACGCGCACTCATGAAGAACAGACAGACTCCTAAGCCTATGTCAGCTATCTGAGGGCTACTACGTCTGAGGAGAAGACCAGGCCAGACTCGAAAGTCAGCTATTGGCAATTGAATTCTGAATATTGCCGCTGAGTTCTCACATTTAGTTCTTGTGGTCTTCTTGGTGGTCGGCCCCATCGCTCACTACCTGGAACTATCCCAGCGCCTCGAGCCCGGGCAATGTTCTTCTTCAGCGGTCTTCTGGTAGCATTTCATGGACTTGAGACGTATGAATTGCATAAAATGCATGTGGGAGGTACGCTGACTGGGAACAACCCCGCCCCCCCCCCCCCCTACTGCGCGGGACAGAACACGTCTGAGCAGGAGCTGCCCAGTGATTAACTCCAATTAAAAGCACTGGATATCAGAGACGTTGTAGATTCTGATACATGGCGTACTCACTCTTACAGATCAAGCCCGACCCTGCACTCCTGCACCACCCTCCATTTCCTTCAAATAGACGTATTTATCCCATTCACTTTGGTCATGTGTTTTTCTACCCTGCATGCATTCTGTACATTTACTTTTACAAGTATTGGGTACAGGAAGGAATGGGGGAGAGGGGCTGGCCGAAGCGTGTAAGATGATTGGCCAGGGGTTTAAGGTCCGTACCGATAACCCCCTCCATGGTCTTTGGGGGCGTCCTCCGAAACGGACCCACAAGTGCCTCGGCACGATGTACATCTGATGAGTATGGCGATGGCGATGGACACGGATTGAAAGGGAATCGACGTTGGATATGCAGACGATCTACGTAAGTTGTGGCTGGTTGAGACTCCAGACGCATTTGCGTACTGTACCGAGTTTTGGCAGGTCCAAATTGGAGTTGGCCGAATTGCCGGGAACCAACCCCCCTTGGTGGTCGACCAGCAGCGCATGACACCGTCTTGGTGTAATGTTGGCCAGATGTCTCATGAAAATATCCGAGCAAGGCATCGTGATGTTCAGTCAAGTGAGAGTGTGAGCAGCCGTTTTAGGGAAGGGGCAGTTTTGAGGACAACAAGTCTCAAATGGCCACGAGCGTCGCCGGAGTCCACGGGACACGAACCCGTGACAGCTTCCCAGGGCAATCTAGGGCCTGCAGCATAAGCGGACACGGCATAATACTACAACATGCAGATGCACTCCACTGAAGGTTCACCGTACAATAAACCAGCACATTCTTCAGTTCTCTCTGGTTTGGGCAGGGTATGTTGTCAGGGAGGCAGACAGGGCAGCTCGTCTAAAGTAAGGTTTCTTCCTTCTTTCTATTCTTTTATAAAAGTTAGAAACTGGGCAGTCCCGACCGCTTGGAATGGACAAGGGGCAAATGCAGTCAATTTCGCGATCATTGCGACTCTGGCTGCCAGGGAGATTGCCCTCTAGTGGATTCGACATTGACTAGACCCCACCGTAATTGGGCCTGGAGCCACCTGGGAGCGGCTGACTGATGGAAACCGACAGCGGCTCATTTTAAGTCAGGGTCTCTGTCCAATAACTTGGCAGTTGGCACGCCTGAGTGCTTTCGATCCGTGTCCACGCCACCCTTGGCACCTGTCGCCTGCATGGGGGGCGGACCTGTCGCAGGTACACTGCCAGGGTTCTATTGTACAGTGGGTCACCCTGCACTACTGTATGCACTATGGTAGTTGGTCCAGTGGTACTATGTACTGTAGTACTGTACTACAGTAGTAGGTAGTACTGCGTACATATGTCTACAGGCTGCTGGGAATCCTGCTGCATCGTGCATCTCCCGCCTTCCGAGCTCCTCACCAGGAACTCTAGATGCTTTTTAGTACATAGTACATACTACGTATGTACAGTAGTATGATAAAGTGCTAATTAGCACATGTGCTAACCAGCCTCGCTTGCCCGGCCCTCCTCCTGCTCATCGCTTTTCCATCTTCTCTGATTCCCAACTCCACCTTCTCTCTTTGCGCTGCTCCAGGGCGTCTCTTTTCCTCAGTTACCATCGTCCAGGTCAGAGCCCTGACCTCGCCTCTCCTTTTCCCTCCACATTAATCTCACCAGCCTTTCAACTTTCTCGCCTGTCCCCCTCAAGCCTCGAAGCCGCGCAGGTTACACACCCCTAACAATACAGAGACTTGCTGCACCCTGGACGGCGATCGACCTGGTCTGCTTGCACGCAACCTTGCAACAGCCCATTGCACCCAATTCGACCTGAAACTCGCTCATTCCGTCAAGAAGCCACATAGATTGTCATCATCTACGAATACCGACATCCATTGCCGTCGAACTACCACTGACAAGACGAGGAGAACATATCTGGTTCCACTCCTCTGCGCGCGCCCCCTTCTTCACATTGTACAGCAGTGTGCAAACCTATAGCTGCAGTTCTCCCTACTCCGCCCCCGCGCACTACGAATCTTCCGATACGAAACACTTCCGGTTGTCGCTCACGTTGCCTTGGTCTTACACCTTTTTAAACACCCTACGTGTCTCTGTCATCGCCCTACTGCTGTTCCGGCCCGAGCCTGAGACACGGTCATTTTACACACGCGAGTAACACACCCGAGCCCTACACTGCAGCTAATTTGCCGGCCCACGCTATCATTCCTCTGCTTCGCGGTCGCCGCCACAACCCCCTTCACCCCGACACCGCGCGCATCAATTGCCCTCGCCTCGGCTCACGATAGAGTCGACATCCCTCCGGAGCCGCATCTCCGTATCCTTTACCGAACGCACCCGTCGCTTCCGAGAACGATCGCATTCTCGATCCCGGATACGCCGGCGCTCGCCCGACATCATGCCTTGTGGACTTGGTGGAAGCAAGACCGTCCAACGCAAGCTCGTCTTGCTGTAAGTCGATGATAAGCCTTAGGGGTGACTGAAGAGGAGGATGATGCAGCAGGGCGGCAGGATTGACGAGGACAATTGGCTGACAACGTCGTCGAATAATTAGGGGCGATGGTGCCTGTGGCAAGACTTCGTTGCTAAATGTCTTTACGAGAGGGTGTGTATCTTCCTGGGCGCTCCCTAGCCGTCGCCTTTAACGAACCTCCCTCGTACAAGAGGACAACCAAGACGTGCGGCTTACATTGTTCTCGCGCAGCTATTTCCCAACGGTCTACGAGCCAACCGTCTTCGAGAATTACGTGCATGGTGCGTGCTACCACCGCGGACTACCGTCCACGTATCGAATCATTGTCATAGCAGGCTATCAGAACTGACTGAAGTGATCCAGACATCTTCGTCGACAATGTCCACATAGAACTGTCCCTGTGGGACACTGCGGGTCAAGAAGAGTTCGATAGATTGCGCAGCTTATCTTATGGTTCGTTACTATCTTGCGATATGGATATGGGAGCCTCTTGTGGCACGGGGCTTTGCTTACTAACACTTGCCTGGTAGACGATACGGACTTGATCATGCTCTGTTATAGCGTCGACAGCAAAGACAGCCTGGAAAACGTTGAGAGCAAGTGGGTGGGCGAGATTGCCGACAACTGCCCCGGGGTTAAGCTCGTACTGGTGGCGCTGAAGTGCGACCTGCGCGAGGGATCGGAGGACGAGGAAGAGGCGCCCGCCGCCACCACCGACGGCGCAGACGGACAGAGGGAAAAGAAGCCCATGATCGGGTATGAGCAAGGCCTGGAGGTGGCCAGGAGGATTAATGCCCTGCGGTACCTCGAGTGCTCGGCCATGCGCAATCGCGGCGTCAACGAGGCCTTTACGGAAGCCGCTCGTGTTGCGCTCAGCGTCAAAAAGGACAAGGAGGATAACAAGTGTGTCGTGATGTGAGCGGACGGCCTTATCGCGCCATCTCGCCGGCCTGCACCTGACGAGGGCGGACTCTGCAAACTCGGACGCCCGCGACGAATCACACCCTATCTCCGCGGACCCATCGCGCGGCGTCGGTGTCGGCGTCTTCACCTCTGCACCGTCTAACTCTCTCTCTCTTCCCCTTACACGACTGCATCTCACGACCGCATCCGATGGAGCCCTTTTTTTCTACTGTACAAATTAATATAATGTCCAAGCATACACGAGGCGCTTCACGGCCGACCTGCCGAAGGCGGCATCTCAGTGGAGGGCAGGGGAGACTTGGGAGGCGACGTCCAAAGACTACCTGTTTGGCCTCAGTGGCCGTCACGACTCTCAAACTACTGCGCCCTTTCTATTCTTTCAGGTGCATACTGTTTCAAATCCCTGGTCTTCTACTTTGGTTTCTTGTTGTTTTTGTTTTTGATCGTTATGGCGGGCGAGATGGGCGGGGACCGGACGGGCGGATGGAATTTCGCTTGCAGTTTCTTTTTCTGTTATTTTTTTTTTTTTTTTGTCTCGGTTCTGTTTTTGTGTAGACAACTCGGAGAAGCGTGGCGAAGCCTGGTCACATGGCCTCACAGGAGGTTCTTGAACATCATCTTTCATACAATCACCCTAAAATGAGGTCTCTGTCCTTACATGGAACCCAAGCCTTAAAAAGATGCACAAATCTTTGACTTGAAAAGAATCGAAATGATTTTGTGTGCAACGAAAAGAGAAGGAAGGAGGAGGGGAGAGAAGGAAAGAAAAGGAAACGATCTGGTGTTGACTTGGTCCCATCCATGGTAAGTGACTACTGCCGCCAGAAGCCAGGCTGCAGGTGATAACCAGAGAGATGGGTTAATAAGGCTGCAGCATGTCACTTTTAGTACATACGACCATAGGTAGTGGAGAACTTGGGATCCCGTCTGCTCTCCCCTAAATAAGCCACTAACCGCTCTCTTAGATCTCGTCTCTCCTCGGATTGTAAAATTGCTGTTCGTCGGCCGATTCTTGTGGCTCCGTAGACGGTCAGAATCCGTTGCGGTTACGTATGCGGCCGAACTTGTTGGCCATACAGACTTGGCGGGCCGGCCCATGCTAAGTGTCAGCCGCCTACATATGCAGAACCGATACCGCCTCCCAATCATATTTTGGAGCATGCCTCAAACTACATCATCAATAAATCAAGCCGGGCCTTGCGGGCACAGGAATCCTTCCGCATCTACGCCAACGAATCTATTGACGATTTTGACAAGAGGTACTGTCGCACCGAGGATATGTCGATGGTAAACGCGTGGGACGCGTGGGAGCAGTATGTCTACCTATCTACCACGGGTATAGAGCATGTTCCAAATACTGATGGGGCAGCTTTGCGTGACTAGCTTTTTTTTTTTATCAACGTGCTGCCTATAGCCGATCCGGCTGGTATCTGGTATGGCATGTGTCACAGTGACGCCAATGCGAAACGGCTGTGCCAGACGTTCCTTCGGGATTTTGTCGAAAGCTCTGTCACATACCGGCCGACACTTACATCGGAGTGTTGGGAGCCGGTCCGGACGCTCACGACAGCTAAGACTGTGCAGGGTACAGCGGGGACGAGAGTATTTGACCTTGGCAGCGTGAATCCAGAGAACACGGTACAGTTCCTCGCAAACCTGCAGCGCAAGGCGGGTCTGATTACCATGCCGCTGCATGAGCAGTTTGACTTGATCATCGCCTCCGATGTTGGTACGCGCCAAACCTCTTACTCGGGGCCAGTCCTTCGAGCTGACAGCAGCAAGCATCTTTTTTGTAATCGCAATATTCCTAGAGGGATGGCCCCACGAGGACTGGCCGGTACCATGCTCAACGATTGAAGGGCCCGAAATTCGGGAGGAAAGGAAATATCAGCTTCGGCAACAGATTAACGTGGAACTTGAACGACGTCAAGTACATGAACGGAGTGCCAGCTGTCATTCGTGCTGGCCATCGACTATACTCCAACTTTCTCGCAAAAGCTGATAGGGATCAAGCATAAATCCTGCACCTGCAGACGACCAGGAGGCCTTGCTAATGTGCCATGCAGCCGCCAGCAGAAGTAGCGTGATTTCAGAGCCCGTAATTGAATACTGAACACTAGCCTCCCGAAGTCGGCGCTTAAAAGTAGCCGCTGCTAGTGTGCTTGGCACACGTTGCCCTGATGCGATGCCGCACTCCACCATCAGCGATGACCAACGTTTGAACTCCGCTTTGCTTTCCAAGGTCGAAGTTGTATACATACCCACGCGTATCGCCTCGACCACAGCTACATTGAAGCCCACCATGGCTAAGAGACCACGCGTGAGCCAAACGCAGGACAGCCCGCCCACGAAGAAGGCCCGGACTTCCTGCAATTCCTCCTTGACGCGTCGCGCTCTTCGAAAGCTTCAACGACCGAACGTACGGCAGCCCGTATGCCAAGCACCTCAGCAGACCCGTGGATTTGAGGTATCGGACCTGCGTCGCTACGCAAGGAACGGAGGGCCAGATCTAACATCTCTTCGAGGAGTACGGATCCTACAGCCCTGCATGTGGAATGTCACCATCTAACGCGAAAGCATAGTTTCCCCCACCGAACACTCGCAAGATGGCAGCCTCGGGCTCGTCATTCTCGAAGCAGCAGTCCAAGCGCACGTTGACCGATGACACGAGCGTATATAGCAAGAGGTTCTCTGCTACTGATTCCACATTCGAGCGAATACTGGTGAGACACAATATCTTCTCCGACGGTCATGGCTATCATGAGCATGTTCCCATCGTACAGCATGCCAACTCAGCCGAAATCCGGCAAAGACTATTAGCATCCAGAGCAAGTCTTTCGCCGTCCCGGCGCGATGAGTCTGAGTACAAACGCTTCAAAGAAGCCAATACAATTGCGCTGTCGGAGTCCAAGGTGATGAGCTGCGTCGTGCCTTTTTTTACTGGCCAAGGTTCTGGAACTCCAATCGCAAGCCAGGAGAATCTTGTCTTCAACAACCTTACTTCCCTTACCAACAGGGCTACTGTCGATCCAAAACCTGATATGTACGATGGGGCTACCTTCACACAAGTCCACGCCCAAGTACAAGATGATCTTGATTCGTTGATCGTTCCAACCAAGCATGTATACGCACCTATTGCCCCAAACTATTTCTTTGAAGCCAAATCATCACTTGGGCTACCGCACGAAGGCAAGCAGCAAATCACATACGATATAGCGGCAGGGACCCGGGCAATGAATGCGCTCCAGAACTACAGAGAGGTATCAACAGCACCGTATGATGGAAATGCTTATACTCTTGGAGCAACTTACCATGGGTCGGGGATGCTCAAAATCTATGCAGGACATATGCACCCTGGGCAAATGGGACCAGAGACACACGTCACCCAGGTCAAAGGATTCGACATAACCGATGATGCTGACGCCTATTTCAAAGGTGTGGCAGCTTTCCGAAATGCGCGCGAACTTGCACACGAGTTTCGCAACGATTTGGTCGAGTCTGCAAATTCGAGGGCGCAAGCTGCGGAATACCAACCGCAAGTTTTGCAAGATGTGGTGGAGGGCGAAGACGAGGACGAGGACGAGGATGTAAATGGTGATGGAGATGAACCCACTACAATGACATGGCCGTCGGTAGTCTCGAGCCCAGCAGCGAGAGCTCCGTCTTCGAGGACGCGGACGAGCACGATCCGATCAACAAAACCTAACACCCGTTCTAAGCGTGGACGTTCATCATCACCCCCAAAGCGGAGGACAAGGTCGCATGCAGGGAAACGACCATAAGTGCTTTGTACTCGGTCTGTGAGCTTGTCTGTGAAGTAACGAGTGACTGTTCCTGTGCATGACACGAGAATTGGGTTCCATTGCCGATATCGCTTTAAGGCGAATGGATTCGGTAGTAGCAAATGTAGCACTAGATAAGAATTACTTTACCATGCCCAAAGATGTCGGCCAGGGCCAGGCATATAACAGTACGGCGAGCTGACGTGCCGGATGTGGGCTGGCCTGGAAGCAGAAGCTTCACAGCAGGGTTACCGGCAACCAGTGCCGTCAAATGTTCTCACTTGACAGTAAGACTTTCTAGTGTTCAACTTACTTGACAGTAATACTTTGATCCACAGCACAACTTACTGGACACAAATACAATTATCATGCTAGTAAGCATAAAGCTGTATCAAAGAGTGACCAGTTACAGATTTTGTAATGCTATTATATTGATAGTAAGTTGGGCGAGGCTTACGGCAGGCTGTTAGCAACACCGTAAATCACCAGGCAGTTTAGTTATTCTTGCTCAATAATAAGTATTAACAGGTTCAAAATAACATAGCAGTCACCGAAATTTGGGAGAGGGGGGGGGGGGTATCTCTAGTAGGGTGATTGAAGGTAACGGGGGCTAGAGGCGGACGGTGGGCGGACGGTGTTCGGCTGTCAGACCGTTCCGTAGGCCGGGGCGTCAGTATCTAGGTTCCTCAACACCACGCCGCAGGGCTCCAAGATCGTCAGAAAACCAGGGCAAGAAATCAAAAGCGAAAACGCCATAACCGCCGGATTAGTAGTTAAGTGATGACCATTAGCGAATACCCGGTGTTATATGTTTTTGTTTTTGCTTTTGGTTCTTTTGTTCTCTGTGAGTCTGTCTACCTCACTCTCCCCTGTAATAGAAACAATTATTCCGTTTACTTTTTCTGAAGGCAGTGATTCTTCCTGCAAAGTGTCAACAATACGCCGTCAAGCATCAACAACGCTGGGTTTCTCCAAACCTGGTGCAACATTACGCCAAGAAAGTAACCGCTGCTGTCTTTGATTTTCTTATTTATCTTTTGTCCAAGTTCTAGACCTGGGTCATCCTCTTTTTTCTTTCTTTTTTTCTTTTCACACTCTTTCCGCCAGCATACGATTCCTGACAGAGATCTACGTTCCCCCATCGCCCTCCGACTTTCGCAGGGCCCAGCTACTAATCTAGACGACAATTCCTGACTAAAGGCCGTCTGCCATTCGCCGGCTAAGCCTGAAGTGACCGGGCCGCACGCGGCTGTCGGGATGGCGTCAGCGGCCTAAGGAAAACTCTATGGAGGACTGCCTGACTGACTAATAACAACCAATGCATTCACAGGGTGCATCTCTCTGCCTCCCTCCCTCTACAGCATATGGTCATACTGGGTGAGAAAAAAGGACAAGAAGGCATTCATTTTATACGGGGGTGCTGGTGGGAATGTCATTTTCATTCTTAATTTTTTTTCCCCCCCCTCTCTCTCTCCCTTGTCTTGTTCATGAACTTTTGCCTGCCCTCTATTTATTTTCTCGTGATACCCTCACTTTCTCTCCGTTGTTCGTCCCCAAAGCTGGACGTCTACGATGCCAGTGGCGTCGTGTACTACTATCTCTTTTACTACTACGACAACTACATCTTCCTGAATTATACCCCATATATAGAAGCAGTAGGAAGGAAGGAGGGCAGTCTCCTCCTCCTCCATCTCATCTCGTTCCCAGCACATGATGGCCACACCTTCATATCATACTTCCCTCCTTACAGCGACAGACTGCCGCTCCCATGTGCACCTCATCATCGGCAGCAACTCTTTAGCCGGCAAACGTTGCGAGCAGTCTCTCGCCACAGGTGCGAGGCCTATCCTCGTTGCCCCTGATCCCGAGTCCTCCTCAGCGCAGCCCATTCACTATGGCCTCACCAAGGCCATCGAGTCGTCTCAGGTGACCTGGCTCCGCCAGCCCTTCACGCCTGAGTTGCTCTTCTCCCTCGGCCGCGAGGAGGTCGGTCGTGTGGTCGACGCCGTGTTCATCACGTCCACCAACACCACCACCAGTAATGCCGGCGTGCCCAGCAGCGACTCAACAGGTGGACACGAGAAAGAGGCAGCAGGTTTATCTGCACAAGAGATTTCGACCCTCTGCAGGCGCAATCGCATCCCCGTCAATGTTGTTGATTCCTCCCGGCTGAGCAGCTTCTCCATCCTTTCCACCCACACCGACGGCCCGCTGCAGATCGGCATCACGACCAACGGACGGGGCTGTCACCTCGCCAGCAGGATCCGGCGTGAGGTTGCCGCCTCTCTCCCGGCTGGCCTGGGTGCGGGCTGCGCCAGGCTGGGCGAGGTGAGGCGGCGGGTGCAGGAGGAGGACCATCTCCTCCACGAGGCCCTGGCGAACGGCGGGGGTGTTGGCGGCCTCGGCGCAGGGGACGAGGAGGAAGGGCTGGACCAGTCTGCGAGCTTCAACCACCTCATCACCGAGGAGGACCTCGACGCCGCCAAGGGCAGGCGCATGAGGTGGCTGGCCCAGGTGTGCGAGTATTGGCCGCTGCGGAGGCTCGCGTCCATCAGCGACGAGGACGTCGACGTGGTATTGCAGTCGTACCCGGGCACCGCGGGCTCATCTGCCATCGCGAGCATTGGCCGTGGTGACGAACAATATGGCGGTGGCGCAGGGCGAAGTAGCCATAGGGGCGGCAGGATTATCCTCGCCGGCTCGGGACCTGGGCATCCTGACCTACTCACCCGTGCGACGCACAAGGCGATCCAGTCGGCGGATCTGATCCTCGCCGACAAGCTGGTCCCCGCCGGCGTGCTGGATCTGATCCCTCGGCGAACACCTGTGTCTATCGCGAGAAAGTTCCCTGGCAACGCGGACCAGGCGCAGGAGGAGCTCCTCGAGCAGGCATTGGCTGGTCTCAAGGCGGGCAAGACAGTCCTACGGCTCAAGCAGGGTGATCCTTTTATTTATGGCCGTGGCGGTGAAGAGGTCGATTACTTCAGACGAAAAGGGTGGGGGGACAAGGTCATCGTGTTGCCGGGGATCACGAGCGCACTGAGTGCACCGCTGTTCGCTGCCGTCCCGCCGACGCAGAGGGACGTCGCAGACCAGGTACTCATCTGCACCGGCACTGGCAAGAAGGGAAAGCCGCCCGCTCCGCCCGAGTACGTGTCGAGTCGTACGTGTGTGTTTTTGATGGCGCTGCACCGCATCACGGGCCTTGTGGCAGAGCTGACGACACACTTGCCCACGGAGCTTGGCCAGGAGCGCACCAGCAGCGGCAGAGACGCATCATCATCGTCAGAAGGAGCAGAACAGCCAGGGGCACCGCCCCCGCCAGAGCAGGCTGAGGCAGACACGCAGTCCAGAACAGCAAATCGCACCCTCTGGCCCCTCGACACCCCCTGTGCCGTCATCGAGCGCGCCTCGTGCCCAGACCAGCGCGTCATTCGTACAACGCTGCAGTTCGTCGCCGAGGCGATCGAGCAGGAAGGGAGCAGGCCGCCAGGCTTGTTGGTCGTTGGCAGGGCGTGCGAGGTGCTGTACACGCCTGAGAAGGGGCGGGCCTGGACCGTCGAGGAAGGGTTTGGGGGGCTGGAGGTCGAGGACGGGGGGGCTGTGAGCGCTGCCCTGGGCAGCCTGGCAGCTTTGGCATAGGACTGGGCTGCTGAATGGGGAACAACTTTGCAAGTCGACCTGCCCTTTTCGGGGCTTACTGTTTCACAGTTGAACAGTGAAGGGAACGCGGGGGAAGGGCAGAAATGAAATAAAATTAAAGCCACATCATCAAGGAAAGAAGATGTTAATTAGACTAATGGCTATAACGGGGGAGCGCCTCTTCTTGCACCCATGACAATTGCTCGCACAAGTATTCTCCTCAAAAACAAACCCCTACCTATTCTACAGATTGCTATGGAGAATCACACACCCCCTGGATATCTAGGAACCCATTCCAGAGTCGGAGCAGCGGAGTTCAGGTGACGAGAGTAAAGCCTGCCTCCTCCATCCCCAATTCGGTAGCCGTCCTGTGCTTCTCGTGCAGGAACTCAAGTTGTGGTTGTGGAAAGATGGACAGTAATGAGCTCCCTGTCATGAGTTCTCGGCCAACTCACCAAGAAAGTGCCAGAGCCCCCCCCCCCCCCCAGTTTGTCCCGGGAATATCTGATCAGAGACAGACCTGTGATGTATCTCTCGGTGCCTCTACGGGACAAGGTACGTGCTTCGCACGACCACACCCTATGATAATGGGTACTTTGGACTGCACTGAGGATGCGGGCCTCATATTCTCTGTAGCGTATTTGTATCCAAGTACGAATCATGACAAGGTTCTGCGTTCCGTTTGCGCGCATGGAGGACCACCACGCCAACGATCAGAACGACGTCGTTTTGGTCTTGAATCAGGAAACATTATCTATGCAGGAATCTCGGAAGAGATTGAAAGCCTTGAGTATCTCTCGCAGAGCCCATTGGTTGACTACATGGAGCCCACCCCTCCAGTACGACGATAACACGGCGGCTGCGAACGCAACATCGTTACACACCAAGGCACAGGGAACTATTCTCCCCCGTCCCAAACTCCTCTCGCATACGACCCGACAACATTGCGTTCATGATGGACGCACACGACGGCGTTTGTTCGAGATTTGTCTTTGTGATGTTTCAGCTACAGGCTCGCCTGGTAACCGGCCGTTATTCAAAGTCACACGACCAGTCAGCAAGCGTAACTATTCACACCAGTTCCTGGCCCGCCGGCCTCATTGTGGACGCCAGGTCCGCCTCTTAGTTTGGTACGTTTTGGTGAATACAAGAAAAGGAAGGAAAGACCAACAAAAGAAAAAGAAAAGAAAGTAAAACAACCGGTTGCAAAACCAGAAAAACCGCCGTCAGTAAGCCAAACAAGCAAGAGAAGTTGCCTCCCATCCACTCTTGTCTTTCAGCTACTGCTCTACTGGAATTCATGCCAATCCAACGAATAGATTCGAAACGCTATCCATGCGCACGCAATATGTATGTGTAACGCCCCCCTTTGCGCTGCTCTCAAAAAGCTCCGCTTGCAGCACACCATGTACCCACAAACGAGTGAAAAACTGTGTGCTGCTTGTTGCTATTTGGTATTGTGACAATAAAAAACCCAGTTCCTATCTTTGTCCGCGCGGTGGTGGTTTAAGAAGGTAGTTCAGGGTGAGGATGACCGCATTTCCTCAAACAAAATTGCTGCCCCCCAACATCTATTTCGACAACATCATGATGTGCATGCTGCCTTGTGAAACAATGGCCCCTAAACTTATGTCTCTGCAGCCATCGGACTGCCGGCGGGGCTGACAGAATCCATAGGCGGGGCATGCAGTGCAGGTTTCTCGGCCGTCGCCGGCTGGAGTCCCTGTCGCTTGCGCTCCAGTACATCACTGACCCAGGCCGCGACCTCTTCGTCGCCCGCACCCTCGCTGCTGATGTTGAGTTGCCTCGCGGCGGCATCGGCCAGATCATTTTCAGTTGCCTCCGACTCGGCCTCGGCCTCTTCGGTGATGGTCTCGGGGTTGCCGAGGGATTTAATCCAAGGGTGCTGTAGAAGCATGGGGTATGTGTGACGCTTCTTGGGGTTCTTGTTCAGACATGACTTCACAAAGTCGCGGGCTAGTGCGGAGTAGCCTTCAGTGGGTAAAATTGGCGGTTCGCCCTCGACGATGGCCTGCAAAGAGCGCGGATGTTAGATCGGACCATATACCTCCTATTTTGTTCCCTCTCACGTGCCTCCGGAAATACGGATAATCCAATGAAAGAAAGCCACTTACGTTGAGCTGACCAAAGATAGTCGAGCAGATCTCTGGTGGGTAAGGGTATTTGCCCATCGCACACTCAATGATCGTCAGACCCAAACTCCAGATATCACTCTGGACGCTGTAGGTGCCGTCCGCCCCAGTTGCTATGCCTCCGCCAGAGATGCGCTCTGGGGCCATGTAGCTCTGACAGCCGATAGTCGTCTTCGCAATACTGGCCACCAGGTTGCCACTCACGCCAAAGTCACATATCTTGACCTGGCCTCTGGTGTTGACAAGAATATTCGTAGGTTTCACATCTCGATGGATGATCTTGTGCTCGTCCTTCAATGACTTGAGCCCCATGATCGTGCTGTAGGTGATCTTGCGTAGCACATGTTCTGGAATACCGCCAGCATAGATCTTATCGATGGAGCCGCCGTCCATGTATTCGATGCACATATACACGGCACCTTCCTGGAAGAAAGCACCGTAGAAGTCGATTATGTACGGGGAAGAACACTCATGGAGAATGACCAGCTCCTTGAGGATCGTCGTAAATTTGGCCTCGTCCAGCTCTAACCTGATCTCCTTCATTGCCATGACCCGGCCTGTTGTGCCGTCTGGGCGGGCGCCCTGGGGGGATAGCGGTGAGCTCTCATCTGCCGACGAATCGTCCTGTCGAGAGGACAACTTGAAGCCGCCGAGACCTTGGCCAAACCGGGGAATCTTTGGTCGAGCGTGGCGGACCTTGTACACCGTGCCATAATTGCCCTTGCCCAGCTCCTCCATGATGTCAATCTCATCCAATGAGATCTTGAAGGTTGCTCCACTGGCAAAGTTGACTCCGGTCTTGGTGATAGTCGCTGCCCCTTCAAAAGTGATCCAGCCCTTTTGCGTGTCGACGAATTTCTTGTACTCATCCATCTTAGAGCCCATCCCTGAGTTATTCGCATTCGGACCGCCCATGCCAGCACCTCCGTTGATGTCGGACAGCTTGGGTGTCGCGGCAGGCGATGGACTGCCCGGGAAACCACCAAGGTTCATCTTCCTCCGCTCACTGAGGCCAGGCTTCCTCCCAGCCAAACCAGGCACGACAGGCGCGGACCGGGGAAGGTTTTGAGGAGGCGGCCGTGACAGGCCACCCATACCGCCCGGCAGCTTCAGGCCGCCGGGTAGACCCCCTGGGAAACCTCCCGCCATGGGCGAGCCAGAGCCACCCGACATTGGCGATCCACTATGCTGTGTGTTGAGGCTAGGACGAGGAAGACCAGCCCGCTCGGCCTGTAGTGCTCGTGCCTTGGCCATCAGGTCCATGGGCAGGGTGCTTGCCGCGGGGGGCCGCCGGGCCGTCGTCAGGATGCCTGTCACGCTGGAGCTTGGACTCATACTAGCGTTCTGAGGAGCCGAGACGGTCCGTAACGAAGGTACCCGGCGGGGAAGATCTTTCGAGGAGGGAGAGGGGGCATCGAAGGGGGGGCCTGGAGGATCTAGCGGAGTGCTGGCTTCAGAGGAGTCGTCGGCTTCGGAGCCGGGCGAGGCGGGGTTGCTCTCGATCTGTTCGTCCGGCGTGGCCGGGACGGAATCTGGGGAATCTGGCATGGTGGGCGGGTTTGGAGGATTTTTGTGTGTGTTTGTGAAAACAATCTTGTGCTCGGCTATCTTGAAAGGTGATGCATGTGAGCTGATTGCTCGATGGGTTACTGATGTTGAGGTCGAAGTATGCTTGTAATCAGATGCTCTGATGACCCAGTGTGTGGGTGTCTTGGGACGGTAGCAAACGGTGGAAAGGCAAGTCGGATGATAAACCAAAGGCTAGAAAAAGGTGGATGTCATCAGATGAAAGGCAGCCCTAGGACCAACCCAGAGATCAATGTGGTGAAGAAGGAGAAGGATGAGGAGGGGGAGGAGGTAAGAGCTTTCTCTCTCTCTCTCTCTCTCCTTTCCTGTCTCAGTCTCTTGAAGAAAAGTCGTTAGTGTGATTCGTTGGGCATTTGGAGTTGCAAACCGTTGAGACGACGAAGCATGAGGCAAACAATCCAAGCAGGTGCAGATCAGATCATACTCACTCCAGGTCGGGCAACTAATAATGAAATTAGGCGAGATTCCTTCTTGAGGAACCGGTATTTTATGATGACGAGGTCGGGAGAGAAGAGTGTGGGAGAGGGAAGGTCGTTAGATGCTGAGGTTGGTAATATGCAGGAGGAGTCGGGAAGTTGAGAGAGCGAGATAGCTACTTTGGTGCAGAGTCTGTTGCGTCAGAAGCTATGTGTATGGATGATACGTGCCTTGATTAGCGACCTTGGGGTTTCCTTAGGACAGAGGAAGCGTTTTGGGAGCTGATAATGCGATAACAGGTTGAAATTCCCTCGATAATGCAATTTCACACGTGTCTGCCCAATCGGAATGCGGATTAGCGTGAGGTGCTACCCCTCCATGGCCCCTGTTTTCTCCAGAGGCTTCTCCAAGGCATTCAGTTCCACTCTCGAGCATCTGGATCAATCAGAAGCAGCTGTCTGGGCCACATCCAGATGGCAAGCCTAATTTGACGGGACCTGCTCCGTCTGATTACTATGATTACGTAGGACAGCTGCGCCCAGTGACACTCGACATGCAGGCTGAAGAATCATCATGGTCAGATGTCACGGCAGTTTTCATCGTCTCATGGCAGCTCGACGGCGAGGCCATTGTCGATCCTTCTCGAGGGTCGGGGGTTCCTTGGGGGCAAAACAGCTCACTCCTGCAGAGCAACGTCATGAGCCGAAGGGCTGGTTATGCAGGGATATTTGTCGTAATTTTCTTGACCAAGACTGGCTGGGAAAGGAAACTGATGGAGAACGAAAAATGGCGGCGGGACAGACGCGAATGTCGAAATTCGAGCAATATGAGAAGACATGGCATTTCTGGCCCCACTATGATGATGACGTCTGTTTCTGCTGAACCGTGGTTCGCAGCAGGGGCTCTCCACCCAGCACCAAAACATACCATACCATAATACCTCGTGCAAGCTCATGCTCATTGGTGGTGTATTGCCCATTGGGAGCGGGCCTGGTACATACACAACAGAGAATCGCACCTCTGGAATTTTGACGTCGCCAAAAGCCTTTGGGTGCCAAGAACACACCTCGCCTCTCACGAAAGATCTCCCGCCCTCATTTCCCCTCTCGGCCATCTGAAACGTACGATGGGCAGTCCCAAATTGGCATGCGAGATGAAACATATACATGGTGTTGTCATGCAGTATAGCACGTCTTTGGGGGCACAACATGTGTTCCATACCTGGCAAAACAAGGCTTTGCTCTGCTCTGCTCGGTCAAGCCGACTTCAATGTATTACAGCACAGTTGTCAAGGGACATAGGTAAATCTGCATCGTGAATCAGCCTGTCCGAGCTGAGTCTGTTATGGTTGTTATGACGGACTGGGTTATCGACTGATCGGCCTTTGCCACAGCAGCTGTGCGATCTTCAAAGTTGGTCTGGGAAGATTAGGCGATGAATAGCCCTGCATGACTATATTTGAATTTGAATCCGAACCCCTCTAGTCGCTCTGGTTTGCCGGCTAGCTAGCCAATTATGCAGGTGTCGAGGCTGAGTACCAGCTTTTTCCTTCCTTTTCCCGTCGTCTCCTCTTTTCTTTTCTCTTTTCTTCATTCTTTTCTTCTTCTTTCTAGCCTGATGTCCAGATGGCTGCTTGAGTTGGAATCCGGTTTGTCGCCTCTCGGAGTATTTACTAGCGCCTCTCGCTCATCTCTGGTACCCCAAGGAGCGTGCAGCATGCCAAGGTGACCAGAAGGACGTTGTTAAGAGAGGTTCATTGAGGCATCGCTTGGGGCTTCAAGCGGGCGGCGGACCATTAGATTCGGACCGAGCGAAGACGATTTAGAACAGAGAGCGACTATGGTGCTCATGGCATCCCTGGTCTTGGTCCGTAATTGTAAGGGTCAAGGGCAGAGACAGAGGAGAGAGGGGGGGGGGGGGAATGAAAAATAAAATTTAGGGTTGTCAAAGCGAAATCACATCGATGGCTGCAGTGACGTCACACTCTCGACCTCTCTGTCGCCCACGGAAACACGCTGCACCAGGTCCCCGGTCCCCAAGCTGGGATGTCGCACCTGCATAAGTTGTCGCCTGCAAGCAACACGTTAATATGTGGCTGTTAAGCCTTAAACATCAAGCCTTCGGTGGCGGCGGTGTCAGAAATGTCGACCAAGCTTGTGTGCAACGTAACACAGCGAGTTTGGCAAAACCAACTTCATACCACGAGGTTGTCTGCTAGCGATCGGCCATGCTGTACCCGTCACCCTTTTTGGAGCCTAGTCCAATCAACCCAAGCCATACGAACCGCGGTGCCATACTGTTTGTTGAAGCGAGCACAAAATGACAGGTGAAATGGCTGCAAACATCCTGTTTGACTGTCAGCTTCCCTAATAGACGACGTGGTGTGTCAGCCGGCACATGAAAGTACATATTGGTATATCATAGTACTATAGTAGATGTAGTAGATGATCGGCGGCAGCTGGGTTGGGACTGGCAGGATGCACAGCTCTGACCAAGAATGGTAAGCAGTCGTGGCAGTTAACAGACCTGGCCGACAAGCTCCGGTTGGACCTGAATCTCATTGCCCATCACTCCATCAGCGGGCCAATCAATGCTTCAGCGCGAGCACGTTTACAAGATCCAGACCGCAAGCCGCGTCGACCCTAGTCTGAATTGACATACTGCTATGATACTACGATACTGTAGTACTGTAACTGTTTTTGTGCCAGTACTAAGAAAATGCCCAGTAGACACTGCCTCAGCACAGCAGCCTTGGCTCCAATGGTTGACAAAACCTGCATTCTTCGGTCTGTTTGGTCTGGGCTTGGCTGGCTTGGCCAAGTACTTATGTAGACGGACAACGGGTCGAGGAACCATTCAAAAACGAATGAATCTGAGCGACGAACATAGGTAAAAAGGGGAAACAGGCCTCCCGGGGGCTGTGCTTCCTGCTACCATAGTTGTACACTGAGCATTCAGAGGCGGGTATCGTCATATTGGCCCGACGCCGCCCCCCCCCCCCACTTTCACCCCATTCCACGCCTTTCAGTTGTCTTATCAATCTGCCGTCTTTCCCGACAACCACATCCACCAAAACTGCACGCAACCCATCGACCCATAATTCGACATCGGACACCCCAATTCTTCGTCCACCGCACAGTTGACTTCGGAGCTCGGCTGAGCGTCATGATACCGGTGCTGCGTGAAAGAGAGTCTTGGCAGCTGGCCTGAGCCACATGCAAAGCCCAGGAGAAAATCGCCTCAGATCCAGCAGACGAGCCGCTGCGACCCAATTAGCGAAACATCACCTCTCTGCCAAGGGTGGCCAACACACACGAGACGACTCCACAATTCAGGCCAAGCAGGGCGGATAAAAGCTACGAAAAAGCAGGGGCTCCAAGTCCGTCTCAACAGCCCTGAACTGCCACTGATTCTTGACTCACTTGAAACTTCACTAACGCCTTCAAACATATAGAGGCTGTTGTCGCCCACGATGGTCGCTTCGTTTCGCCTCGCTAACATCGAGACGCCACCGCTCACCATGGAGTCAATAACAACATCATCAGCACCCTTTGTGGTCTTCACTGGGGCACATGATTCTCATCCGTCGCTGGGCCACCTGGTTCTGCTCGTCTTCGAAGCGGTGATGCAGGTAGTCTGTGTCAGTCTTCCAGGATACATTATCGCGAGGCTGGGCCACTTCGACGCCGACAAGCAGAAGTTCCTCGCGAACCTGAACGTGATGCTCTTCACGCCATGTCTTAGTATGGCTACACCCACCCGAACGTTGCACTGTCTCTTCCATACCCGATTTCTTTCCCCCAACTGACGCCTTACGCCACACGCAGTCTTCACGAAGCTCGCCTCCCAGCTCAACGCCGACAAGCTCCTCGAGCTTGGCGTTATACCAATCATCTTCGTCATACAGACCCTCGTGTCGTACTGCGTTTCGCAAGTCGTGACCCGGCTGTTCGGTTTCAACAAGAGGGCCTCCAACTTCGTCACGGCCATGGGAGTATGTTATGCCTGGGTTTGATACGCATGGAGAGAGGGACTTGTCTCGGACGCTGACAGATACTCTCTTAGGTCTTTGGAAACTCCAACTCGTTACCCATCTCTCTCGTGATCTCGCTCTCGCAGACGCTCAAGGGCCTCCACTGGGACAAGATCCCCGGCGACAACGACGACGAGGTCGCCGCCCGCGGCATCTTATACCTGATGATCTTCCAGCAGCTGGGACAACTGGTACGATGGAGCTGGGGTTATCATGTACTTCTCGCGCCCAAGGAGAAGTACGAGGAGTACCACAGCGAGAGAGCCGAGGAGGGTCGATTCGCCGGTGACGCGATGGGCAGTGAGGAAACAGACAACCTGTTGGACTACAATGAGGAGGATGACGAGGAGAATGAGGCGCATAGGAGCGGCGACTCAGACATCTACGAGCCAGCTGGTCGCACGCCGGTGGCGAACATGTCGCAATCATCCCTGGCCGACCTGGACGTCCATCGCGACGGTACCCTCACCCCGCGAAAGCCCGGCCACGGGAGATACCATCACAAGAAGGGCTCTGAGCGCCCGAGCACTGCAGGCACGATCGCCGAGGACATCGACGGCACCCAGGATGAGACCATTCTGTCCTTCCCGCGCATCCGCAACAGCGATGAGCCGGAGCTGCCGGACGGCATCAGGGGTGTGCCGGAGCGGTTGCAGCGCTGGACCAAGCTGAGAAAGGCTGCCGCAGCGCAGGCGCTGGTGCGCAGGCGCCAGGAGGCATATGCCCGTCTCCCGCCTACCCTCCAGCGTGCCGCCGACCTTACACGGCGTGCCGGCAGCAAGGTCAACACGTTCCTTTGGGAGTTCATGAACCCGCCCCTTTGGGCTATGCTTATTGCCGTGATCGTTGCCTCGGTCCCGGACCTCCAGCGGCTCTTTTTCGAGGAAGGCTCCTTCATCAAGAACAGCGTTACCAGCGCCGTCAGCTCCAGCGCGGGTGTCGCAGTCCCGCTCATCCTAGTCGTGTTGGGCGCCAATCTCGCGCGCAACACACAGAGGCGTGATGGTGAGGCCGCAGACCCGGAGGAGGCCCAGATCGGCACCAGGCTGCTGGTCGCCAGTCTCCTCTGCCGCATGCTCCTGCCGACAGTAATCATGGCGCCCATCCTGGCAGTCTTCGCCAAGTATGTGCCGGTCAGCATCCTTGACGATCCGATCTTCGTGATCGTCTGCTTCCTACTCGTCGGTGCGCCCAGCGCCCTGCAGCTCGCACAGATCTGCCAGATCAACTCCGTGTACGAGAATGTCATGTCGAAGGTCCTATTCCAGAGCTATGTCATCTGGTACGTGTCCCACCCCCATGCGCCCGCTTTGATTTTCCGGATCGCGTGCTGATTATAGTCTTAACCAGGATTCTTCCGTCCACCCTTGTTCTGGTCATGCTTGCACTGGAAGTGGTTGAATGGGCAGTCTAGGAGAAATAATCCGCTTCCGCTCCAGCACAGGATGATGTTGCCATCGCCTTGACGCTTCTTCCATACTTGAGCGTATAGCACAGCACACCCACTAACATAGAGAGAGCCTACATCTATTGGCAGCTTTATCATCGCATGTCTATCGGCGTTTGGGACCCGTATCGGGCTCATTGCTTTTGAGTTCTTTTGTGAATTTCTCTCGGTATTGGAGTTCTGGGTTTAGGGACAAGAGGCGGCGACGGATCGCTTCCAAGGGTCGTCACATGGATAAACTGTACTTAAGTGACAAGACGAGTCTCGGGGTAAAAGAAAATGGGGCTCAGTATACTGTGTTGATACAATCGGGGCTTTGAAAATTTTTTCTTTTTTTTTTGGGGGGGGGGGGGGTTTGTGTAAGCACATACACGCCTAGAGGGACAGGAATAACTTACAAAGAAGAGGGAGGATTGTGGTCGTATAAATTAGGCAAGCAAGCAGACATGGGGGTCACAATCTCAAGCAAGACCGAAACAGAGTTTTTTTTGTTTTTTTTTGTTGTCAGACTTCCTGTTCCTTCTCGACGTAGCTCACCCCGTTCAGCACTGGCTCCTGTGCGGCACCCGACGAGACGAGCACCCAGTCCTTGACATTGCCCTTCCAATCGCTGATTCTCACGTCTCTTACGTCCACCACAATCACTCGCACCTCCTCGCCGGCTACGAAGCAACCCCTCCCGCCGTCCTCCTCCACGCTACCACCGAAGCCGGACCCTAACGCGGTCGATAAGGAGCTAGCCTGTGCCTGTGCGTTATTGAGCGCACCGCCGGCGCCCGTGGCCCCTCCTGCCTCCTCGAAGGTGTTGTTGTCCAGGTGCACGCCGCGGTAGAAGCGCTCCTCATCGGTGCCGGGGTCGACGAGCCTGGCGCTGCCGTTGATGGTGGCGGAGATGCTGGACATGGCAGAGGTGTTGAGGTTGAGTAGGAGGGAAGCAAGGGACGAAGGGCGGTGGGCGGCTGGAGGGGAGCCGCCGCCGCCGGAGGAGGAGGACAGGCGGCGGGAGCTGGTGGTCGGGGGCCGGTGGGAGACCCAGTCGTGCACGAGGAGGGAGACGTGGGGGTTCGTGCGCAGGTTGGCCATCTTCCTGGAGGCTGGGTTGGTGGTCATGATGATGACCGGGGAGGAAGAGAAGGCCGAGGAGGGGAGGTAGGTGTAGTTCATGAGGGAGACGGTGGGGATGTTGTCGGTGCAGGTCGCGAGATGAAGCTATAGGTTTTGTTTGAGAATCAGTTTTGAGATGTCAGGCTTAACGGCGGTTTTTGAATTTCTTTCTTTCTGTTCTTTTGTGGAGGGAGGAAAGGAGAGAAGGGGAAAGAGGACGACCGCGACAACGTACGAAGCGAGCGTTCTCGAGGCATTGCACTACATCTGGAGGGAGTGAGGTGGTGAGTTGGCGGTTGTTGTCGCCATTGGAAGCTGCTGCATTAAGTGGTATCTGCGACATGGTGGGCAGGAGAAAGTATGTGTGTGAGAGAGGAAGAGAGGGTGGTGGTTGCTTGCTGGTGGTGGTGGTGATGGTCGTTGTCCAAAGACTCTGCCTTGTGATGCTGTGATGCTATCCACAGGGCATCAGTCCTTGACGTGGGGTGGTAGATGGATGGATGGATGGACTGACGGAACGAAAGGGAGGGTTCCCAGCACTAGCACCAAACACTGTGACACTATCGAACACTATACTCTGACCTTACAGTGCTTACCTACTACTTGCTATGTACTCCACCATAGTGCATAGCAGCTGGGGGGTTGCTTAGCTAAGGAGGGGCTGATGATTAGCTGGACCACTGAACAAGCCATTGGCCTCCAGATGACGTCTCTCAATCGCATTCATTCTTCCCCGGATTGGGCCTGGCCTTCAGGGTTCCCCAGATCTTCAGAATCAACAATGGACTTCAATTGAACCATCACTTTGACACGACGAGGATTATACCCAGCAGTCATGATCATTTAAGGCCTTAAGGATGATACAACAATTTTCTTCCTAATCCATGGCAGTTCAATGATTCTTCCCAGATGCTCTCTTGACTTGGTTCTCAGGAGCTCTCCTTATTACGGCGGTTCATTGACGGAGCGGATATCAACGGCTGAGGCACGAGCAGCATGATCATTGGACATGAACCCTCGGGGACAACAACCTCCTGCCTCTCTCTCTCACAAACGCACTTCCTATGGGTCTTTTCCGAGGGCATGAACACTAATTCATCCTCCTCCTTCTCTTCTTCTTTCTCTTCTTCTTCTTCTTCCTCTCTTCCTCCTCCTCTACTTCATATACACTGTACACCTCATCCTTCTCTATTAAGATATAGCCTGTGTAGCAGCGATCGTAACCAACCATGAGATCCCTCAAGCGTGCCCACCAGCGGCTTCCTCTGCGGTCATCACCGGCCTCTCGCTTCCTCTTTTCCACAACAACCAGCACAGCGTCTTCTTCGTCTTCTTCTACAACGTCACAAATTCCCATCAACCCTATTACCTCTGTGATAATAGCCAACCGAGGTGAGATCGCCCTCCGCATCGCACGCACTGCCTCGCTCCTGGGCATTCGTACCACTACGCTCTACACCGACGTCGACCGCGCCGCGCAGCACACCCTCTCTTCGCCAGCCTCCTTGTCCCTGCCCTCTTACCTCGATGGAGACCGCATCCTCGACCTGGCTAAGCAGCACGGCATACAGGCCCTGCACCCAGGCTATGGGTTCTTGTCCGAGAATGCCGCCTTTGCCCGCAAGTGTGAGGAGGCCGGCATCGTCTTCGTCGGCCCCCCGGCCAGCGCCATGGCAGATATGGGCGACAAGGCCAGGAGCAAGGAAATCATGACCGCGGCCGGTGTGCCCTGCGTCCCAGGCTATCATGGGTCCGAGCAGTCCGTCGAGGCCCTGCAGGGCCACGCGTGCGACATCGGCTTCCCTGTCCTTCTCAAGAGCGTCAAGGGCGGTGGCGGCAAGGGCATGCGGATCGTGAGATCCGAGGATGAATTCGCAGCGCAGCTGACCAGCGCCAGGGCCGAGGCGCGTGCCAGCTTTGGCGAGGGCGGCGAAGTCATGCTCGTCGAGAAGTACGTCGTGCGGCCGCGCCACGTCGAGGTGCAGGTATTTGCCGACCGCCACGGCGGCTGCGTTGCCCTTGGCGAGCGCGACTGCTCTGTACAGCGCCGCCACCAAAAGATCCTCGAGGAGAGCCCCGCACCGCTGCTGGACGAACCCACTAGGCAGGACCTCTGGGACAAGGCTCGTACGGCCGCCCTGGCCGTCGGCTACGTCGGTGCCGGCACCGTCGAGTTTATCCTAGACCGGGACACGGGCCGCTTCTACTTCATGGAGATGAACACGCGCCTGCAGGTCGAGCACCCCGTCAGCGAGATGGTCACCGGCACGGACCTTGTTGAGTGGCAGTTCCGCGTCGCGGCGGGCGAGAGACTCCCGCTCACACAGGCAGAGATCGAGGCGAGGATCGCCGACAGGGGCGCAGCCATCGAGGCCAGAATCTACGCTGAGAACCCGGAGAAGGGCTTCATACCCGACTCGGGGACGCTGGTGCACCTGTCCACCCCGGCCACAGACGAGGACGTCAGGATAGATGCGGGCTTTGCGGAGGGCGACACCGTCTCGCAGGCCTACGACGGCATGATCGCCAAGCTGATCGTACGGGGGCCAGACCGTGAGACGGCCATCCGGAAGCTCGAGCTCGCGCTGAGGGAATACGAGGTCGTTGGTCTCAGCACCAACATCGAGTTCCTCAAGAGGCTCTGCAGGAGCCAGCCCTTCATCGACGGCGATGTTGAGACAGGATTTATTGAAAAGCATCGTGAGGACTTGTTTAGCCCTCGGCGGGTCGAAGACGAGACATTCGTCCAGGCCAGCCTGGGCCTCCTCGCGGAGCAGCTGCGCAAAGAGGGGGCTGCGTCGTCGGGTCCCCATGGCGAGACGCTCGGTTTCGGTCATGGTAGCGCTACGACCAGCGAGAGGAACTACGCCTTTAGGGTAGTCGACGGCTACAGCGCACATGAGGACGAGGTTGTCCGGGCGAGCATCACGCAGCTGGGCCACAACCTCTTCCGCGCCTCCATCTCGCGCAAGGATCAGGATGCCCCGCAGATCTTTGACACTTTGGTTTGTGAACCTACTGCCACGGCACCAACATTGTTACCATCGTCGTCATCATCATTATCATTTTCATTGGCAAAGACCGCTGTCAGGACCTTCTTCCCGCTCGAGAGGATTGACACCACGCTCGTGCGGGATCCAACCCACGAGCATAGGCTCAGTGTGTTCCAGCGCGGCGGCAAGACGGAACTAATGCTGCTGCAACCGTCATGGTACGAGAAGGCGCTGGGGCTGAAGGAGGTCACCGCGAGTGTGGTGGCGCCCATGCCGTGTAAGATCCTGAGAAACGAGGTCGCGGAGGGAAAGACAGTAGAGAAGGGTGCTCCGCTCGTTGTGTAAGTGAACTTGCCCCCATATTTCACCTCAGCCTTTTATTTTATTCTTGATATGCGTTTCTCTTCATGTTTGCTGTCAGAAATGACTCCAGTCGCGTAGCTAGGCTGACAGGACCCCTGGTCCCCAATAACAGAATTGAGTCCATGAAGATGGAGACGGTGATTCGCTCACCGCAAAAGGGCGTCGTCAAGAAACTGGCGCACAAGGAGGGCGACATCTGCAAGGCCGGGACGGTCCTCGTGCTTTTTGAGGAAGGCGAGAGCGGCGATGACGCGGCGTCATGAAGCAAGATACAGCCAATTTGTCTGCATATGTATTGAGAAAAGTGTTCACTCATAGCCCAGGCCTGGACCGGGGGGGGGGGGGGGCACGTAAGCGTGGACAAGGCTGCACAGTGGGACATGAAACATGAGGTCTAGACTCTTTTACACTGTCAAGATACTTGTTCCTAGTCTGCGTAAAGTTACTATTCTTCTCTGGCTTGGGATGACCTTTTGCAGGGGTGTTTGATTGGAGGTCAAGTACGACATATTCTCATTTCCACCACTCCCCCCCCCCCATATCTCTGTTCCTTGCTGCATCTGTTGCCCAATTAAAAAATGCTGACCATCCTCCGCCCGTCACGGCATCCAGCCGGGTGATCTTTAATGTAACGATATGCAAAAACCTGTTCCTGCATCCTCCTGCAGGTGATTGTTGCACACCTTCCTGATTCTCTCCCGGCCGAACGGTCGCCGCCACTTGCCGTGGGGGGTGGGGTTGCCTCAGCTGCCGAGTCTTCATCATTTGATTTGTCCAATTTCCACCCTGTTCCAGATGGCGATGAGCGACACGATTCTTGCGTGTAATTCGACTTGATTCTTATCTCTCGGTGGACTGTTCAGGAGAGGTAGTGGAGCTTGGTCTTTTTTTTTTCTTTCTTTCCATTGTGGCCATGGACGTCGTGGCATGTCGTCGAGCTATACGTCAAGGGAGAAACAATTGGCCGGTCCGTGGGGCCATCAAGTATTGGGATTGGCATCACTAACACCTGCTCATAATTGGGTCTTGCTTTCCCTGTGTCATTGAAGCTGTTATGGTGTTATGGGCCATATTAAGTAGGGTCTCATTCTTCTGACAAGGTAATTAGATATGATTTTTTTCTTAGATTGTTTTGAGGAGAAAAGCACTTGGGGTTCATGCTAATTCAAGAAATGCTGCATGATTGTGCGCTCACTTATGTGCTGGAAAATTGTCCTTCTTTTCTGGACATCTTCTGAGAAGAGTCCAATCTGAATGCCAATCTCAAATCAAATGCAAGAAGTCCAGGCTCATGTTTGAGGACCAGGCCCGCCCCACCCTCCGACGCTGAAAAGATGTTCAGTATATGACAAAAATATGAGTGGCAGTCGAGAAAGACTTTTCGTCCAATGCCCGCGCAAATTCTCCAACACTGAGATTCGCTCAGGGCACTAGACGTCAATGATATCATCTCCTCGTTGGATTCTTTACCAGACTGAATCATTCGCATCGTCATCACTATATTTTACACTCGAAAAGGACACCGAGTCGAGCATGTAAGTTATGTCAAGTTTATGCGTACTATATGCTGGTATGGAGATGCCTAGATATGTGATTAATGTCTTGAGCGCAAGAATCACTGGGTGTGTAGAGTGTCAAGGGTTTATGTAAGTTTACTTGATATTAGTAGAGTGGAAAAGCTGTTTAAGCTAATGGAGAATATAGTACCAACTACCGTAAAGTCACTACTATATGTTTGCATCTTTTGAGCACATTGTGGGTATTTCTGAAACACTTCACAATATTGTGCAATTAAAGATCAATTCATCATTATCGGATCCACATTCACATGGTAGACATAGACTCAAACAATACTATGGCACAGGATGTACCACGGGAGTGTCCACCGAGATTCGGGCCAAGATGCGGTTCGTTTATTTAAACATTGTTTTAGTCTTTTTTGACCAATTTAGATCCCGTCGTCTTGACGGGGATCCGCATCTGAGAAACATACAGTAGATATATCCCAGCAAGAGGGCTATAGTAGATGTTGGGAAGACATGTCGTTGGAGATCCCCAAAAGCCATGCAGCCGCGTAAAGGACCTTCCAGGGCAGGAAGGTCGACAATGCTGTCCTCCATCATTACCACATGTTAGCGTCACATCCGAACCGCTCAACCGGGCATAGTTCCAGACGGGCTCATCCGTAAGGCATATGAGCTTGCGCAACTGATATGCACGGTCACGACATCTTGATACATATATCAAGAGTTTCGCCAAAAGACTGCCTTTTGACGATGTTTTTTTCTGTGAAGATACAATATCAAACGTCGTGAAATATCAAGCCAACAATGTCGGCGCATCGGTGCGCATCGGCAGTTGAAAGCTGCCGATTCAGCGACCACGATTCCCAAAACGTAGCTGTCGTCATTTGGTACTAATAAGTCGCAGTCTGACCAAAGGCAAGGGGGAGTCAGGCGTTTTGGTGTGGAGCCTTGGCAGCAGACCACGTCTCGAGACTTGCTCAAGATACCAGGTTGCCAGGTTAGGTCGGGGCCCAACCTCGCTGAACGTCGAATAGCTGAGCCGGAAGATGTCGACATGCAGATGTCATCTCTCCAGGGCCGCAGCGACAAGTGGGCCAAGGTATGCACCCTCACATGAAAAGTGGCTTGCGGTGCGGGAATAGGCGACCGTATCTGTGCTAGATCCCGCCCACCTTGCAGCATGATGCCATCCACATCTTAGATATCGCAACAGGCATCTTCGATAGTCTCCCCTAGGGGGGGGCGCGGCACTCCTCGTGGGGGCAGGGAGAAAAAGAAAAGGGAAAAAAAAAAAAAAAAAAAAAGGTTGTGACTTGCAGGCGAACACGAACTGGGCCCGCGAAAAAGAGGCAGTGATTGACATGCTGAGGGGTCCCACTCGGGCCGAGGGGTTCAACTCACTTGAGGGACATGCTCTCTTTCACATCTTTGTTTCGTTTCGTTCGGGACGAGAAGAATCAAACTACTTGATAAAATAGGTCTATTATAGAGAAGACTTTCACTTGGCTCGCAAGATTTGTTCTTTTCTTTCTCACTGGTTGGACTTTTGGTTGGTTGATCTCAGATGGGGTTTGTCATGAGCCTACTTACTTTTGGCAAAAAAAAAAAGAAGAAGTAAAATTAAAAATCCTTTCTTCCAGGTGGCCTGTAATCAACCGGATGAACGGGCAGAGCATGGCTAGGATGGGTTACAATAACCATCCTGATTGGCCCGCCTGATAGAATGCAATATGGAGGTAGTGTGCTCACTACTGCTGTCACGCAGGACAAAATTTACATGAATCTGGTACCAGGCGGGTTGACATCCCGCAAAAATTCCTCCTCTCGTCAAGGATGTCGGCGTGTCGGCGTATGACGCGATGAAATGGTCGGAGGAAACAATAGAACAGACGCATCCTCGTGTGGCTCATAGAGACAATTCATCTTATTCTCCCCGGGGAGCGCGGCTCACGAGACAGAGAGAACGTCCAGATGCGTCGACTATATAGTTGTCCTCCTCAGCCATGTGTTTCGTATCGGGAAGGTCTCTTGCCAGCATCATCAAGCAACACAACCACCAGAGCAGCCACAGTCAGGAGCCCTCCAGAACAGGCATCTACACAACTCTTTGTTCGCAAAAATGGCAAGAATCAACTATCAAAAGTGGGCAATGCGCCTCTTGGCTGTGACAGAGCTGTACTTTGGCTTTGGCTTCAGCGCGTCAGTCTCCGACTCCGGCTGGCCGCTTCAGACTTTTGTTACGGAACCAACCTTCCAGCCGCCCGTCTTCGACATCAACAAGACAGGGACAACAGCCGATGGCTACATCTTCATGGACACCAACACAAATGGTGCAGCGTCAGGCAATCTCGTTGCAACAATCATCAACGATGACGGGCAGCTCATCTGGTCTGCCGGCTACACAGACACTACCAACCCTTCGTACCAGACTTATAACGGCCAAGATGTCATCCTCTACTGGGATGGAGACATTTCAGGTGAAATTGGACGCGGTTACGGCAAGATTGTGGTCCTGGACACTTCGTACGAGATCCTGTACAATGTTACCCTCACCGAGGGCATCTATGCGGATGCTACATACGCCTCGTACATCGACGCACACGAGGCTCTCATCACGAGCGACAACACTTTGCTCGTGACAGTGTACAACACCACCCAGGCCGATCTCACGTCTGTGGGCTGGGGCACGGCGGGCTGGATCCTCGACAGCATGGTCTTTGAGCTTGACATCGAGACCAGCGAGGTTCTTTGGTCCTGGTCCTCTGCCGAGCACGAGGACCAGATCCCCTTTGCGGACTCGCATGAGCCTATCATCGAGATCCCCCACTTCGCCAGCACCGCGTGGGACTACTTCCACATCAACGCCATCGCCGAGTATGGAGAGGGATATCTCATCTCCTCGCGTACGCTGTGGTCCGTCTACTACGTTGAAAAGTCTACTGGCGACGTCGTCTGGTATTACAACGGTGGTGACGGCGGCAACTTCACGCTGCCGGTCGGCTTCGAGGCCGAGGAGAACACGGGCAGCCAGCTCTTCAAGTACCAGCACGACCCGCGCGTGCTGTCGACCTCGAGCACAGGGCTGGTGCTGACCCTCTTTGACAACAACAACTTCGAGTACGGCGACCTCCTGACGCCCAACAACTCGTACGGGCTCGAGATCACCCTCAACACCGACGAGTGGACCAGCACCCTGAACCAGATCCTCTACGACGAGGCCAACCCCATCCACACCATCGCGGAGGGTGACCGCCAGACCCTGACCTCCACGGGCGGCGCCTTTATCGACTACGGCTTCCAGCCCTACGCCAAGGAGTTCAACTCGGCCGGTGAGGTCATCTGGTCTGCACAGTGGGGAGATATTAGCGACGGCTCATACCGCTCGCGCAAGTACGTTTACACCGGCACACCCACGACTCTGCCCAAGATTGCGGTCGAGACCGACGGCAGCGATCACACCGTCTATGTGAGCTGGAACGGCGCCACCGAGGTCGCCGAGTGGGAGATTGTCGGCTGTGGCACCTCGGGCACCACTACCGTCGACAAGACGGACTTTGAGACCTCTTGGACCGGCACATGCACCTCTACTGTGCATGCCGTTGCCCTGAACTCGGCGGGCACGCCGCTGGCGACTTCGACCTCTGTTGCTGTTTAGAGATGGTCCACTGACACAGGAGGAGATATCATCTGGTTGAATCTGGCATGTCGAGAAGCGGGCTCGAGTTGGAGGTACACACACACATCCCCCATCATTTGGCTGATGTTTGCCACAAGGAGAGCTGGCATTCAGTGAAGAGTTCGGTACTTTTTTCTTCTTCTTCAACCCCATTGCATAGTCAGCGGAGTATAAGGTTTTGTTTCTTTTTGGAGATGATTTTGCATACGCACACACTTACATGCTTGGGCGAGCAAGATGTCCTACGAAATCATGTTTCCCTACCCACCCTCTAGTTTAGCATTCCTTACTTAGCACAGCTTTATTTTCAATCATAATCTCATGCCTAGGTACATAACGTGTTTTTTTTGCATCTTGACATCTAATATGAATTTGTCACGCCCTTGACAAAGTAGTGCCATATAACAACATCTGGCAAAGAATCACCAAGTATCATGTAGGATGCTTTGGAGCCCACGCCCAGGTAGAGAATGCATTCATTGTAGCTAGTTCTGTTCCAACATCAACGCTGCTGCTGACGTCACGAATCATATCTTGTATAGTTTGCGCCCCTCACGCTACAATCAAATTTGCCCCTCTCACCAAGCCCTTTTCATAAGACGTCCTGACCAAGAAGATCCTAGAAGAGATATCTCTAAAACCCCTGCTTCTGGACTTGGGCCTTCGCAGCAGCGATGGTCGCGGCCGCGTTGGGGTCCACGAAGCCACAGCCCAGCTTGCCGTTCTGGGTCGAGGCGGCCTGGGCAGAGCAGATGCCGAGGCCGGAGGTGCTGATCTCGGCGCAGCAGGCCGAGTTGCAGTCGTCGTCGGCTACACAGCCGCCGGTGGTGAACTGCTCGTTCTGACCGTTGCCAACGTCCTTTGCACCGGCGTTGTTGGGGGCTAGAGCGAGAGTGGAGGCAGCGACTGGAAGAGGGTGCTTTTTATTAGTATTTGTTTTAACACCCTAGCACCCAAGATAGACCTTGTGAAAGATGAGATAAGAGTAAGGGTATGATGGGCTGAACTTGGGATGAGACGAACAGGCCAGGAGAACGGTAAAGGTGATTTTGACCATTTTGGCTTTTTGTTTTGGTTTATGAGCGTGGTATCAAACCGATGGTAATTAAAGAGTGTAATTTTTGTGATAAAGAACGACGACCTGGTCGTATGCAAAAGCGAATGTAGTTAATAGGAAAGTGAGGAACAGTTGTTGATGGGAGAATACCTGAGAAGACCAAACATTTTCCTGTGGGCATCAGCTCGTGCCTTTTTATACATGATATTCCTCTCGCTCATCCAGGCATTTTTCTTCTTCATTGTCTGTATCAATTGTTAGTCGTTACGTGATGATTATTTTCTTGCTACGATGTCCACTCTAGTATTAAGCATGGTTCGTCGCGGATCATGTCGATCACGAGTCGGCGGGGTTTCGGACGACGGTTTCAGGGCATTTTGCCTGTGGAGGTGAATGCTTCAGGTTTGTCGCCCGGCGGGTAAGTTCATGCTTGACCTGGACGACAACATCTGAGCTTGAAGTCTTCAACAGCCGACATTGAGGCAGCTTGTGCCGTTCGTCCCGTCAGTGGCATCAAGATCGGAAGTGGTCCCGATCGTCAAACTTAATGATCCTTACTCCGCAGCCGCTGGGGGTGGACCACATGATATTCATGCCAGGATCTAAAACGATGCAGACGTGCCCCAGTCCATGCACTTCCGGTTGAGGAATGCGACGAGGAGAACCCATTTTCTATGGGCCATGGAGAAGGATATGATACACTGCTCTGCAGAAGCCTACACAGAACACATTGTGGTTCTAGAAGACGCATGAAAAGGGCGACAAGAGCGGTGAAGAATCTCCCAGCAGTAACGTGATCATTTGGACAAGCGTCATGGCCGGCACTTGGGTGCCTCGGTGCTGGACATGGTCGTCAGCTGCTGCCCGCTCCAGAACATCAATGTTTGTGATTTCGTTCACCATACTCGCTTGTCTCCTAGCAATGTTTCTTGCATACTTCGAGCTGGACGAAGGGGCGGGCACAATATTCCAACCCGCTCTGGTGGGAGCACACCATACCACAACAGGCGATGTTTTCGAAGCGGGCATCAAAAGGAGTTGGCATCACCGGGAGATCGACTACGACGACCTGACGGTGGTCCAGACGCTCCAGCCCGGGCGGCTGGAAGTTGTGCGACATCCCGATTTTGGCAACACGTCGGTCCTGGTCAAGTTGGGGCCAGATGGATATGAGGCTGACATGCATCGAGAGACTGAGTTCTACCGAATCCTCGACGGTCTTGGTACAACACCGCTTTTTCTCGGCCACATCACACGGGGCGATCGCATCGTCGGGTTCGTCAGCGAGTATATAATAGCAGAAGGAAAATCGGCGGCGGTGGGAACCCAGACGGGTAGGAAGAAGGCTGCCTGCCTCGCCGCGCTCAGGCGGATGCATGCAAATGGCGTTGCGCATAGAGATGCCCATGGGGGAAATTGCCTTCTGAGGGAGAATGGGACGGCTGTGCTGATCGATTTCGAGTTGTCGGTGGTGAATCCGTCTCAGGCGCAGGTCGCCAAGGATCTGTGGGTCATGAGCCACACAGTCCAAATTGAAGGTGCATAATTACTACATTACTTGGGTTTATGGTGTATACCCATTCGAATGGTTGCTTTTCGACATGTGGTGAGAAAAATGAGAGAGGCTATACAGCACTGTCCTAAACCACAACTTGCTCCATGGATTTTGTTGGCAAAGGTCTGTTGTAGTGTTATTCCAGGCTTGAATGTTTGTTGCTCGACAAACCCCCTGTCGAAATGAGGTAAATTGACAAAGTATGAGTCGAAATGATAATGGCTAGGCCTATATTGGTGCAACTGTTAGTACTCACACTGAAACAGAGAGGAAACCCTACCAAAGACGTAGCGTTCGCATCCTGCCGAGTTCACAATGTCTCATTTTCAACAAGAGCCAACAGCAAACAGGACAAGGACGGAAGAAAGATCCAAGGTTGCAGAACAGCAGCCACAGAAATCATCATCACAATTCCATAAGAAGTATCAACTCTCCCTTCCAAAAATGGATCTACTCTCACATTCCTCATCACTCCTCAACAAGTTCACACAGTCATCCAAGGACTGCAGGGCCCAAAGCCAGCTTCACCTCCTCCCTCATCTTCTTTTCTCGCAGAACAGATGACAGCCTCACCACTCAACAACATCAAGACCCAACAACACAAGCAGTCTAGCAATTCCATAATGGAGGCTCCATCTCACCCCTACACCTTGCCTGCGGGTGTGCACACCATCCCAAGCACAGAACTTGACCTCGGCCCTGATGCCGAGATCGACGAGCTCTTCCTGCACCCAACTCCAGTCTCCCCCGGCCATGATAAGAATCTCTGGTTCTTTTGGCACTCTGGCTACAGAACCATGCACCCCTACACCAAGAGGACAGTCAGGACGTACCATCGACGCTTCTCGCGCAAGGGCTGGACGATCCGCGTTCTCGACGTAGCGTCAGGCTCACCCGCCAACGTCGCTAATTTTCTCGACGTATCAGACCCCTCGCTCTTCCCCAAGGCCTTTCGCGAGGGCACCATAACTGGAAAGTACGCGCTGCAGCACACGTCGGACCTCGTGCGCTTCCCGCTTCTGAACCGGTACGGCGGTGCGTACGCCGATGTCGGGCTGATGGCAATCGGGGATCTCGACGCACTATGGGAGGCCACGGTGGGCTCGTCGGACCCGCACCCGGTCACTGGGAAGCGATATGAGGTGGTCAGCTACCAGGCCGGTGTGGACGACGCGCCCGACCTCACCAACTACTTCCTGGCCTCGCGCCCCGGGAACGCCTTCTTCACGCGGTGCCACGAGCTGTTCATGGCGCTGTGGGACGCCGACGGCGGGCACACCAGCACCGAGGGGATGCACCTCTCCCCGCTCCTTGACGGCATCTCCCTGCTCGGCAAGGACTTGACCTCCGACACCCAGACTGCGCTGTCCGACTACATCATCCAGGGCCAGGCGGTGCGCAAGGTCATGACGACGATTGACAGCGATAACGGGTGGGATGGGCCGGCCTACGTGCGGGACCACATATACGCTATGGACTACATGCCCGGGTCGCAGCTGATCAACGAGATGACGGCGTGGGACGGCCGGCGGGCCTTTGAGCTGATGTCGCTGCGGCTCCCTGCCGAGGGCGAGGAGGAGAGTGCCGACCAGAAGGCTGCAAGAGACATCGTGGAGGCGTGCCTGTCAAAGAGCTTCGCGTTCAAGCTTGCCCATGGGCTGATCCTCGCTGTGCTTGGACCAACGCTGGGGTCGCTGTGGCGGAGCAACGAGGGGAGCGACGACGTGCCAGGGACGTATGCGCACTGGCTGAGGTATGGCATGATACACTGGGCACAGGACGAGCTCCCGCCGCCGGTGGGTTTCAATCAAGTGGAAGCAGTGGGACATGGGCGGAAATCTTGATATCGGAAGATAGTGTTAATCATGCATTCAGACTGCCGCAAAGCACTTGAAAAAAATTGATCAATCGTATGCCGTGGCTACACATATATATCATCAGTTATGAGGCTTAACATCAGAACTTGCATCTGGGTCGTGAACATGTCAAATTCTCTGCCTCCCCAATATTTCGGTTATACGTCTTTTTTCTTTTGCACACGAAAAAAACATTTCGAGTATTTCCTCGACAAGGAAGCTGGAGGTCTTCACTGCCTAGATCTCGGTGCTGGATCAGACAAGTACTTACCTCAAGTACGGGACTTTCCAGGTAGAGATTTGCCTGACTGGTGGGAACATGACTGCAGCCCAAGTGATTGATTTTGGACATGTTGCAAGTCTCCTGCTAAAAGAAAATGGTATGGTTTGGACTCATTTTTTTTTTTTTTTGGTTCTGTGCTCGAGTTCTTGTATATAGATCCTACTGGGCGCGGTTAATAGGTGTTCACCACAGGTCAGGTATCAGCAGCTAGATAGATACTTTATCTACTTAGTAGCCAGCAGAGCAGACTAGCCGCAGCGAGTGGCCGGAGGGCGCTAGCAAGCCTCCAAAGAAGACGATCCCAAGGGATGGTCGCCCCGGACTTTGATTATGTTATCGAATATGACGACCTCGATTACTTAGATGGAGAGAAGTGCATCGTGTGCCAGCATGGACAGAGGTATTAGCCCTCCTCCTCTCAAACGGCAAAGGGTCCAGTCTACTCTTCAAGAGAACCTGAGCTCTCAGCCAAGATCACAATCCAGTGTAGGTCATGGACTGGGCCCAACGAGTGTGCGAGTCTTTACATGGAATATCAACGGCATTCAGCCATTCCTCCCAGCATCGACGTTGCCAATCACGTCGTTCTTCAAGCCTGTGGGCCAGCACTCGAAGAGTGGCCTAGGAAACACGACGACCACGAAAGAAAAATCACTCCCAGACACCGTTGGCAGTCCCCTGCGGGCATTCCTGCAGAGACACTGCTGGCCCGAGATCCTCTTTCTCCAGGAGCTCAAGATTAGCCCGTCGGACTCAAAGACTCCTGCCACCCTACTTCACGCCGTCAATTCCCCCCTCCCATCTGAGAACGGACAGGACCTCGCGCAAAAGACCAGATACAAGCTTGACTTCAATCTTCCGCGAGACAAGCACAACGCTCGTGGATTCGGGGGAAAACTCTACGGTGTAGGGACCCTCCTGCGCGAGGACTTTGCGAGCCGACATGTCGCCACCGTTCGACACGCAAGCTGGGACCACGAGGGCCGCGTCACCATCGTCGAGCTTGGGCAAGAGCAGACAAAAGGCGGCGACAGACCCAGACCGCTGGCGCTCATCAACATCTACGCCGTCAACGGCACCAGCGCACCCTATCGCTCGCCAGACACGGGCAGGGCACTCGGCACGCGACACGACCACAAGCTGCGCGTCCACGAGCGCCTGCGCGACGAGTGTCTGGGGCTCGAGGGGCGGGGCTTCGATGTTGTCATCGCGGGGGACCTGAATGTTGCGCGGGGACGGCTGGACGGGTGGCCGAACCTCAGGACGTACCCGCAGCAGCACTGCCTCAACAGGGCAGACTTCAACAACAAGTTCTTTGGCGATGAGGATAATGCGAGGTCCGAGGCGTATCTAGGCGACAAAGGCCCAAGACATACCAGCAGCTCTGGTGCGGCCGGTGGCAGCAGCAGCAGCAGCAACAATAGCGATAGCAGCACAACCTTTGACGGCGTAGATGCTTTTCGTGCTATCTGGGGAAACGAGCTGAGGTATACATATCATCCACGCAGTGGAGATGAGTGGGGGGCCAGTTGTGATCGGGTAGACCTCATTATCGTCTCCAAGAGCCTGTTCGATAGTGGCCGAGTGCTCCAGGCTGATATCCTGGATTCGCCGCAGGAGCGAGGGACAAGTGATCATGTGCCTCTCTGGGTTAAACTGAGGCTGTGTGGGTGACACCACAGGAGTTCGAGCAGCTCTTGGAATTCGTCTGCCGACGGTAGTGGGAGGTAGCCGTGTGGGTGGGGCTTGTTACATTACACGCGATTGGCGGGACTGGATAGGGTGTTCAGTGTGAAGTTTGGGGCCAAGAAAGAAGGAAGAGAATAACAAGAACAGGAAACTTGGGAATATATACATATGGATTGGTCAGGAGAAGGAGCTGCTTAGAGACCCTTTTCAAGAATAGAGTGAAAGTCAGAGAATGAGCCTCCCTCCAACCGACATCCCAACCAAAGGGAATTTCCAGGTTTGCATCCGGAAAATAGAGCAAACAACTGGAGAAGCTACCGTCTCATCAATGATATCCTCTCACGGAGCAGATTCATCCAACTCGCTATACTAGACAAAACAGTCTGGACAGACCGCATCTCCGCAGCTTTCAAGCCATGTTTTTTGAAGCTGCCATTTGGAATAGGACAAAGTCAAGGAAGGGGAAGGGGATGATAACCGGTTCATCAGACCTTAAGAGCGGGGAACAGTAGGTAGCCAGCTGATATTGCAATGGTAAGTAAATTTGGGCGAATTTTCGGAGTTTGAAGTCGCTGTGCTCCAGCCTACTCAAGTTTATACAAGACTCTTGACTGTGGTTTGTCGACCGACGCGTCAGGTGAACTCAGCTCGTCTGGCTACCTAGATGTCATTCAGTACCGTTTTCACGTGGCAAACGTGAAAATGAGCATGTGTCAAACACATGCACGGGGGGCTTACATGACCAGCAGCAGGAAACCAAGTGCATGAGACAAGATGAGAATACCTAAATGTTACGTTGAGTGCCGCAAGCGGCCTGCCACATGCACAAAGAAGTCAAGACCAGCAACCACCTGAGGTAACTATCGCCAGTCGTGGGGTCAGCGTGGTGCAAACCTCCTTGACAAATGTAAAGATGAACAAAGACAGTGACGATCTTTCAGCGCAGATCAAGTGGATCTTGTGATCCTATGTCTGGACTGAAGCCCGTTCTCAAATGTTCTGGTCTGAGGCGCGGGGGAGTTACGCCGCTTAACGACACGATACAGTCGCATTGCATCACATAGTCGTGCTCCATGGCAGATCAGAGAGACACACACACACAGAGAGAGAGTATGTGTTGTGTGAACCATCTTTGCGTGGTAGTCAGAGCGCAGGTATCATGCATATTAATGCCAATTTTGCTACATGTAATTACTGCCTGTCTCTCACAGTACATGTATTCATTTTGTGTTCTGTAGAGCAACCATGGAGCCCACGGTACTATTCAAGCACTCACAAATGGAACAATTTTTGAGGCATCTACCATGACTGTCGTGGTGTTTGGTTTCTCTCGAGTACTCTGATGTAAACGTTAGTGCTTGAAGCGGACTGCTAGCCCAGAGGTCTGGCGAGCTAGCATGCAGCGGCGTCATGAGTGGCCTCATAACGAGATGGTGCTCTTTGCAGTAATAGTTTTATTCATACGCATCATCCACTTTGTTTAGACTGGCTATTTGAGAAGCATGTGATACTGTCCGCAAACACAGGTCAAGTGGTCGAAATATAAATAAGGGGGCATTCCTCCTCCTGATCTCAGTCCAGAATGAGTCCTCATCCTTATCACCATCACGCTTTTGACATCCTGAAGAGGTAGACAAACCACCTTCTGCATTCCATCAATCTCTCTTTTCAGTTCCACATTTCGACCATACCAAAATCAATATTCTTCTCAAGGTTATCCAGACGATCCCCTGGATTACCAAGATACCGACACCCAGTCACAATCCCAATTCCCGTCCCGAACCCAGAGAGCCATAATTCGCCCAGGATTCTCTCAAAATGCTGTTTCCAGCCTTCTTCGTCTCTCTCGTTTGTCTTATCATCATCGCATTGTGCGGTGATGAACGTGTCGGGGTCAGTATTCCTATTTGTTGTTGATCACTAACCTTGGACCCCTCCTTTTTGATCTTACTATGCCTCCTCGATGTGAAGCTCCTCCCCCAAGACTGACAAAGAGCCACTCCTGGACAGGTCCTTGCGGCCCCTTCCACGCAGCCCCCCAGCACCGGGGACTGCATTGAGGACAGCTTCTTCGGGTGCCTGGGCAGAAGCGGGTGCACTGGGCCGGATGACACAGCCTGCCTCTGCGCAAGCGTTGCCTACGAGAGCTGTGTCCGGGATCAAATCTTTGGGCACTGTCCTGACCGCTGCGGCGAGGCCGAGACGGTCCGGTGCAGCCTGTGCCACGCTTGTGACCGTGATCCGAGGTGTCCTGCATGAGGGAAGCAGACTCCCAAGCCTGGGAGTTTCAAGAAAACTAAAAGAAAAAAGCTGGGGGAAAAAAAAGGAAAAACTTCAGAGATAAGAGAAAAAAAAAGAAGGAGGAGTGTTATCGACGACCGACATGGTAGCGCATTTATAGAGGAATTTCTTGTTCTTGGATTTGAAGCAACCACAGAAGTATTGACCAGGACCAACACGGGGGTGCGATCAAAGTAGCGGTACAAATGGAAGCGATGATTATGCCAACCTTAATATTGCTGGTCCTAATGTGAGATCCGTTGTTTGCTCAAGAACAATAAGGATGACGTCTCTTCTCCTGGAAGTGATGATCCCCTATTCTCAGACACCTCAAGACGACGCCCTCGCCAGCCGCACATAACACTGCACCGGCTCGAGCGCGAACCTCTGCACGCCCTCGTACCCGCTCAGGCTCGCAGGACACCTGAGCAGCTCAAAGTGCCACACAATCAGGGCGAACTGGATCTTGAGCGCCTGCACGGCCAGCCTCTTGCCAAAGCAGCTGCGCGGGCCCAGCCCGAACGCCAGCTGCGGCCCAGCCATGGGATCGTAGACCTCGGCGCCGTTCTCGGCTGCGTCCCTCTTGAGCCAGCGCTCCGGCCTGAAGACAGCAATGTCCGCATCGTCCCACGTGCCCGTCAGCGCTTTCCCCTCGGCCCGCCGCGCCCCAGGCTTGCGCTCGTGGTCGCGCACCGGCATGTTGGGCGTCTTGTACCCCGCGCCCGTGGCCGGCATGAACACCTCTGTGCCCCGGGGGATGCGCCGCCCCAGCACCGTCGTGTCGACCTGCGCCTGGCGCACCACCATGGCGATCGTGTTGGCGTGGCGCTGCACCTCGTCGACGAGCGCGTCCAGATAGGGCGTCGTGCGGAACGCCGCGTCCAGCTCTGCGTGCGTCGGCGCACGGCCCTGCGCCGCCGCCGCCGCGGGCACCGCTGCGCGCAGGTCAGCTCGCAGCCGGGACTGCGCCTCTGGGTGGTCTGCGAGCAGCTTGACGCCCCATGATACCGTTGTGGCGCTTGTGTCGTAGCCTGCCGTCATGAACCCGAAGAACTCGTCGGCGATGGCCCGGCTGTGGTAGTCGGGGCGGCGGCCCTCGCGCGCAGCAAGGTCGCGCTCGCGGAGGAGTACGCTGTGCAGGGCGCTGCGGGGCGTGGTGCTGTCTTTTGACTCGATCAGGGCGATGTACTCGGCCGTCCGGTCTGCAATGTAGCTGTCCTTGATGGCCATGGCGTGTCGCATGTAGGGCAGCTTGCGGACTACCCACGAGGTGAGGCGGGGCGCGGGCGAGAGCTGAGAGTTGGTGACAGAGTCTGCGAGGGTCAGGATGGCGGAAAAGATGGCCGGCACTGGGGCCTCTTCGGGGAAGGGCATTGGGGTGTCAATGATGGCGCTACCGCTGCTGCTACTGCTGCTACTGCTGCTCCTGGTGGTGGTGCTGGCGGTGATCTGGGCTTCCTGTACCAAGGGCCTCTCCGTATCTCGCCACTGTTGCAAGGCTCCGAGCCGCAGGAACATGTTGCTCTCGGTTTCCTCGAGCCCAAAAGAGCTGGCAAAGATGGAGTCCAGCCCCAGGGCGGTTATGTCAGCGTGGGCAGCAAAGGGGCGGCCGGCGGCGAGGTCGCACTTGAGCTCCCAGACCTCGACCATCGAAATTGCAGCGTGGTAGACCTCGGGGGCGCTCACGGTGCTGATGAACGTCGGGCCCATGAGGTGATTGACGAGGGCACGGTTGCGCTTGAAGCGGTGGTCGGTCGAGAGGAAGTGCAACTGCTGTTGCGGCAGGATGCCGTCGATTAGGTCGCCGACGAAACGGCTGCGGTCAAACTCTCTCGTGCGCCGGAGCAGGATGTCCTGGACCTCGAGCGGGTCCGTCAACACGATCCACGGAGGCGACATGGGCTTGACAAAGACCTGGACGATGGGACTGCTGTGGCGCTCGTTGAGGGCACTGAGCCAGCACTGTTCGACGTTGTATCATTTGACATGGTTAGTACTTTGTCTTTGAGCGGAAAAGAGCCATCAAGCCTTTTGGCTTTGGAAAAGGAACCTAAGTACTCACAAAGATGCGCTTCGTGCGCAGGATATAGGCCATCATCTCGGGTACGTCCCCAAACAGCTTTTGAACGGCATCGTGGTTATACGGGATGCCCTCGATGGGTTTTGGAAGGATAGCACGGTAGAGGCCATACAGCGCGGCCATTGTGATGCCGAAGAGGAGCAAGAGAAATGTAGTGGCACCGCCAGACTTGGAGGTTGAGAGAACAGTGTCCATCATGATTATTTTGATGCTGCATCACTGAAGGAGAAGAGGGCAACATGACAGTAAGAGGGAAAACAAGACAGGCCAGCCTTAAGGGGGTGCCCAACGAAGGGGGCAACCCCCAAAGAAGGAGTAGGTAAACCTTATTTATTTGGGACGACGGGCCGATACGAAGAAGATGGACGGACAAGCTTGACATGCACATGGTTTGTGCTCGGCAGACCGACGACGAGAACAGGGCCATGAGCGCCAGGACGTGTTAATTGCTTTCCGTATATGCAAGAGTGGCTTGGCTTGCCAATTGCCTTGTGGGAACCCAGAAGGACGGGGGAAAAGGTGAAAACAGGAAGAAAATCCGTACAGAATCGTGTCCTCGCTGGGAAGGTGAGCCATGATCACTTGTTGGCGATGATATGTTGCCTCCCAAGAGGGGGAGAAACTCTGAAGTATAGTACTATACACACTGGCCTGATCAGCTGGAAACACTGAGTATTCAAGTAGTGATCCGTCGTGTGTATGGTGGCGCTCTGGACTCGGCATTTGGAATTAAACCCCCCCCCCCCCCCACCTCCGGGGCCTAGACACACGTTCTGTGCTTGCGATCTGCCCACTTTGTGCTTGGGAGGATGAGGACGATATGCAAAATGACTTCCAAGCCTCAAATCCAAAGTGTCATCGGCTTGATGAGTTTCTGACCCTGTGCCTAGTAGACCTCGTTGTATCATGTATGGTGCATAACTCCTTACGATTCAACCTCCTCTCAGAGACTGTATGCTTGGCCAACTTTTCGAATCCTTATACTCATTTTGCGCGCGCGCGCGCGAGAGAGAGAGAGAGAGAGGAAAAGAGAGAGAGAGGGAAAGAGAGCAGCAGCAACAGCAGATCAACCAACCCAATACTTGAAACAAAACCACTGCCGTCGTATCGTGGTGGCAGTCTGCACGGCTCCGGAGATTAAGAAAGCTAAGCAAAACGAACCCAGCCACACCTCGCAACGGAAAGTCCAAGGATGCAAATCCTTCGGGGTGGCACCTCGGCAGATATCTCTGTCCAAACCTCGCAAGAGGAAAGGGGAGGGGTTGGAGGAAATTACTGAATGCAGAAGACGCAGCGTCTCATCCATTTCACGCTTGTGGAGTTGGAAGTCCATGCTGAGTAATTTACATGCATATAATTAACCGCATGTAGTGGTTGAGGATGATGGTACTGCTGACGACCACTGTGGGCGTGTACTTGTATACAAATACTATAGATGATGGATGATGTTGCGGCGAGTCAGTCTTGCCCTGTTCTCTCATACGTAAGTAGAACCTCCATTCAAATATGAAGCAGCCATTGGAATGCTGTTAAGGTACATGTTGATTGTATTAATAGGTTTCGGTACGTGAGTATTTCAAAGGAACCGTGTTTAGGCTCGCAAAACAGGCCTGTGAGGAAGCGCAGGTCTTGAGTAGGTGAGAACATATTACAGTGCTTCCGAACACGCCGATCTCACCAACCCCTGTTTCTCGGCTTGATGTTAGGTATTATCTTATCCAAATCTTCAGCCGCGACCAGAGAGCCCCGACGCTGTAGTACATCTTCGTGTGTCGTCGTCGTCGTCGTCGGTCTACAGCCTCGTCCGCCTCGTCATATACTGCCGTCTAAGCATAGTCATCCTTGACGCGTCGAGAGCCGAGATCGTACGACCGTTGGCTCCTGACACTGCGATTTCGGCGCCAGCGGCGGCTCGAGCCCCGATCCGAGCTGCGAATGCCCAGGAAGAACAGCACCGTGGCGATGAGGAGTGCAGCCCATGCTCCCCAGCTAAATCCAAAGGCATATCGTCCGATCTCGACAGATCTGTTGTCGGCCCGGAAGGCATCCCGAGCCTTTACGAATGTCGCACTGGAAAATTTCGAGGTGTGAGCACATCTGCTGTGTATAAATGACCTCCAACACAAATAGGGCCCGCGGAACCTGATAGGAGTAAAAGAAGTCTGAAAAACCTCGACAAACGGGGAAAATGGAGAGGGGAGCATACGTCATTAGAGACACGGCGATGGTGTAGAAGAAGAGGGCGGTCAGAGACACCAAGCCGGAGATGGCCGAGCCCAGACGGCCGCAGCAGGCGAGGAAGCCTGTGAAGAAGGCACAGACGGAGAAGAAGAGCGACATAATGTAGAGGACCCAGCCGAACCGCCACATGTAGAAGTAGTAGGTCGAGGTCGTGTTGTTGCCGTGACCTCCTCCCAGTCCGCTGGGCACGCCGGATGCATTGCTATCCCAGGCATGACCAAACGGCATGGCGGCCGTGGCCTTTGTGCAGTCCAGATTGTCCTCACCACAGATGTAGAAGTAGGTCCACTGCGAGATGCTTTTGGCGCCCGTAATGCCTGATGTATCGGCCTGGAGGAAATATGTTTTGTCCAACGGGGTGGTGTGCTTCACGCCGGAGAGGATGACGAAGAAGAGCATGGTGATCGATCCGGCGAGGAAGATAAGGGCCACGAGGCCCAGCGACGGGTCTGCACCGGGTGTATCAGCATCTCGTGATCGCTGCGAGAGGAGAAGCAACAGGCAGAAGGGTGGGGTGGCACCTACGTCCGGCCATGATATCTCGAAGTGGTGGCTTTTTTCTCTAGAGTTCGCTAATTGTATTCAAGATGCGTCGTCGCCGTGCTGAGTCTGGTCAGCTTCTGGGAAGATAACAGAAGATCGAAAACGGGGAAGAAAAAAGAGACGTCTAGGGAGGTTATCCGAGCGAATCTTGAGCAAGAACAGAGGACGGGGTTTGTTGGACATACCCTCCATAAGAACTCCCAAGGTAGTGCAAGACAGAAGTGAGTGTCTTTCGGTGCTCTGACGGTTTGGGTCAAGAGCAGGCGGAATGTCTCACCGCTCGGGCGGTCGGGCTGGACTAGGCGATGGAGAAAAGGAGAAGCAAACGATCTAGGAGCTCGGATCGCAGAGCTGGGACCGGCGGGGGTTTTGCTGCAGGATGGCTTTGGAGATGATGATGTCGAGCTGTTGTTTTGCTGTATGATGCACGCCAAAGAAAACAATACTGATTACAGGTCAGATAATATGGCGCAAAGGTGTGTGTGTGTGTGTGTTGTGTGTGTGTGTGAAGAGGGTAGGACAGACGACTGCAGGAGGGGTCAAGCCAACTTTTTACCCCGGTTCCAGAGAGGCTGCATCCGAACGAGAAAGTGCCCGTGATTATTGGGAGAGGGAAAAAAATAAACCAGGAATAATAATAATAATAATACTGATTGCTTCGATTTCCCTACTGTAGTAACATGACGACAGTGGGAAACTTGGTTCGCAGGGACCCAGAGCCCACATTGCCCGGCTGCTAAACCGCCCAAGGCATAGCGCTGTCGAGCCTAAACCGGGACCATACACACGCCAAAGCACTGCAAAATGGTAGCGGGAATACTATGGTAAAAGCAGCCGAGCAGCTGCCAAAGGCGTGAAGAAAGTTTAAAGATGCTCAGGCCCCCCTGCGAGGACCCTGACAGGCTGACGTCATGGAAAGGGCCACTTGACCTGGGCTCTTAGCTCCACTATTGCATCGACTTCACAGTACAACGGCTTTTCCACCTGCACAAAAGCACCATACCTGGCCCGAGGAGATACTGTACATACCTCTGAAAATGGTACGACGATTATGTACCACTAGTGCTCGGAACCTTCGGACCAAATAACCATTTCCTAAGATTACTATGTAGGAGGGAGAAAAAATCACACCTTTTATACTATCCAACATACTACTCACTCAACTTACACGATAGAGATGGCGTGTAGGCAAATACTACGTCGTCGATTCGACTTCGTCTCCACTACCTACTTAAGCACTCCCACAGGCCTAAGCCGCCCAGTGACGGCGATGCCACAAATGCATTGTGCTAGTCTCATCGTCATCATCATACCATACACAATCGTGAGTTCTATTCGGGGTAGTACCATATTATAGCAAGTAAACAATACATTGGGGTGCACAGTACTGCTTCCACCACGCGCGCAAGGCCCAGTGATGTTGCACCATGCCATTCCCGGGCCGAGGCTGAAAAAAAGCCGCCCAGCCTCTGCTTAACATCCCGGCCCAGGGTATACGAAGTGGTGCTCGACACCACCGGAAGGACCTGCTGTTGTAGGCAGTTCGGACTTGGAGAGTATTCCTGGTGAGAGAGAAGATGGAGAAAAGAAGAATGCCTCACACCTCGGCTAGCAACCCTGTTTTCAAGACAAGTTTTCCAAGTCCTGAAGGATTGTCCTGGACAACATCCCTTGCTTCCCACCTCGGCGAAACCTCTTCATCATCATTCCCCGGTATAGATTGTGACGGCCATGTCGTTTTTTACGGCCCACTGGGAGACGCTCTCCAGCAAGAAGACATGCTTGTCGGCTCAGAATCAGATGCGTGGGGGGAGAGAGGGAGAGAGAGAGAGAGAGAGAGAGAGAGAGAGAGAGGAAGATGGAGGGAGTTACATAAGATGCAGCCAGTGTTGGAAGACTAGCGATTGCCGTCTTTCCACGAGATTTCATCTGCTTTTGTCTGGGATTATTCTTAGGACATGAGAGGACAGACTCATATGGATCGACAGATTTAAGCATCTGGGGTTTTTTTTTAACAGCAATGGACTGTCAGATCTTTGTCCTGCAAACACCTGTTCTTCAAAGATGCACGCACTTTTCAGGGACGGAGCGCGGCTGGCATGTTTTCATGGCGCGGCGAAAGTTGAGGTTGGCACATAAAATGATGGGCTGCCCTCCCCCCAACCACCCCTCTTTCCTTTCACAAAGCACCTATTCTGGTCAATCAAGACCATTTGCTATCGTTGGATTTAAAGAATGACTATGACCGTGGTAGTTTCTGCCTGTGTGGAAAACTGGGATCGGCCACAAGCAAGGGAGGCCCCGCCCCTTGATATCATCTGGGCGCCCTGGGGAATGTTGCCATCCGCACAAAAACATCCCTTGCCCTGGACTTTGTGCGTGTCCTTCTCGCGTACAAAATACCGACGACTGTCTGGTTTAATTATGACTTGCCCAGGGACGTTTCCAAACCCTGACATGACCTTCCTTCTTGGGCCCAAAAGCCAGACTTTGTGCCTTTTGTCTCTCCTGGCTCAAACCCTCCCCCCTCTCACGACCATAGAAGAGAGAGAGCGAGAGAGAGAGGAGAGATAATAAAAACACTGCAAAATCAAAGAACAATGTCTAACCAGCGCCAGTCCGGGACGTGGGTGTTCTTCATCCTGCTCGCCGTAGCGCTGCTCTGCGCCATCACCAGCCACCGTCGTCTCCTCCCCTTCCCCGAACCCGACGAAAACCTCGACGGATCCCGCGGTGCGTCACTCGCTTATACACATGACTCTTACGACGATGGCGAGCCGTACGTCCCAGCCCCCAAGGCCACTGCCAAGGTGCACAAGGCTGACAAGCCTGGCAAAATCGACATCCCTGGCAAAACCGACCGGCCTGGCAAAATCGACACGCCTGTCAAAATAGACAGGCCCGTTAAACTAGATAAGCCTGTTAAGATAGACAAGCCTGGCAAGATTGATAGGCCTGACAACATCAACAAGCCTGGCAAGACTGATAGGCTTGACAACATTGACAAGGTTGGCAAAATCGACAAGCCTGACAAAATCGACAAGCCCGGCAAGATTGACAAGCCCGGCAACACTGAGAAGACTGACAAGGTCGACAAGGCCGAAAAGCCAGGCAATGGAGTTGGAGTTGACGAGGAGAAGAAGAAAAAGGACGGTGATAAGGGAAAGAAGGAGGGGCATGAGGGCGACGAGGGCGAGTCGCTGCTCATCAGCGCGTCCACCAATATCGGGACGAGCTTGTCGAGGATCCGCGCCGCGATGATGAAGGCTCATGTACAAATACTCGAGGACTAAGCTCAGGCGTAGGCACCATGAGAGGAGGAAAGGGTATCAAGGTATTTACCATCGGTCTCTCTGAGTTGCATTGTCTCTGTGTGCAGCGCCTAAGTTGATGCCCGGCAGGATTGAGTAGCACATATGGAAAATACATACGAGGTCTCAAGCAACAAGTGCTGATGTTCGGTGCCTATCACCCCCAATTCATACTCAGGGTTCACAGATGATTATGTGTGTATGTAAAAACAACGTCCTCTATCGCCCAAATTGTTCAGTCACTCGACTGTGGGACAAGTTGATCGCTGGGGAGTGCGAATTAAGATATGGTGAAAACGAAAAAGAGCTTTTCGTCATGACAAAATGCCCTCAAGTTTGGGACTCATGAAGTTTTCAAGGTACTCTCAATATTCTAAATCGGTCACTGTGACGAATCCCTTATTTCGTCCACACGAGCCGCTTCTGCATCACTCACCCCTCTTATGTATGCCATTGACTGGGCCCAAAGGAAGAACTCGGGAGGTCCGCCAACACGATGAGTGGAACCTGGTGTTTCCTCATCAGGAAGCCTATAAAGCACAGCTCTAAACGCAGCGTGCAGACCATCATAAATCAGGGGATACAAGAGTCTCAAAGTCCGTGTCGTGACATGATCGGACCAAGAGAAACTCTCACCTGTGTCAATCCAAACAACTCTTTCTGCAGCGAACTAGTTGCGGAGTATAATTCTCGTTACTTTGATCTTCTTCTCCAAAGGATACGTAGAAGGCCTTGCGACGTGCTCAAAGGAACAAAAGGTGGATTTGTTTTGTAGCAAGACCCCCCCCCCCCATCACTTGATGCAAACCCAACACCCAAACGATCAATCCAATCATCATTAATCTCCCGTCTCCATACTACACAAAATATGCACTTCAAACTTAGGAAGACTTGTCACCAGTACTTGGATGATACAATTCCATCGTAAATGCGCAAGCATTTTCTTTTCGGACCCACAGGGCTCCAGCTGAACGACTATGTAGCCGGGCGACCACCAACGAATAAATCTCCACCTGTTTGCCTTGACATGGCACCTTATCCTGCTCACGCAGTTGAGTCTAAATCTAGATGGGGCAAAGGGCAATAGTCCCATGCACCAGTCTCTGAGTCTAGATAAGTTCGGGCTAATCATTTGGGTCCCGTTCGCCGGGGCTCAGCTGTGCCGCTGCTATATGTGGCGTCAGCAAGGCGTCTTGATGCAATTGATGAAATGCAGACGAGTGGGTGGCTGGGCATGCAGGCATATCTTTGGGCAGTTGGTTTCCGGGCAAAATAACGACCGCCAAGTGCTCTCGCACACTGACTACTTAATTATGCCTATGACTTCTTTCTCCACAGTTAGGCTCTTGTTATGACATAATATTCGACCTATATGGTCAAGCTCTTTCCGCCTGATATGCAGAGGGAGGATCCAGAAAGCCTCGTTGTTCGCAGCAATGCTGTGGTCCAGAACTACAGCAGACTCATGCATGCTGCTGACGTGGCGAAGAGGGACAAGGGTCGATCTATTGCTGTCAGCCTACGAGCAGATTGACAGGTCATTAAACTACAGAAGGGGGGGGGGGGGAAAGGAAGAGTGGAGAGGGGGAGGGGGAGGGGGGAGAAAAGATTCAATCGACGTCCATCATCATGACTACCTTTGTTACTTTGCTCTGTATTTGTCGAGCCCAACGGCTATCTGGCTTGACAACGAAGGAGGACGACATCACAGCCCTCACAGCAGACGTATGTACTGGTGCACGATAACTAATTCCAGGACACATCCACCAACCTGCGTAGTGAGAGCGTTCTAAAGTTTCCCCCGGACGCTTACAGAACATCTTGACTTCCTCCGAAATTTTCTCAGCCTGTCCCTGTGACGACCCATCTACAATCTCGCTAGTCAGACTTTCTCAAAGTTAGATGTTCTCTTATACTCCTTCTCCATGGCATCGAAGCGCGCCTCAGCCGCCTTCTTTCTCTGGCGCCAGCCCACGGGCGTCTCGATTCTTTGATCCTTGACCGACGGCGTGACTTGCTGGCGACGTTTACCATGCTGCTCGAACAGATACGCCGGGAGCTTGTCGGCGGCGTCGGCATTGCTCGCCATCCCATGCTTGCCCTGACCGTCCCCCATATGCCATGCCTGCACAGTCAAGTGGACATCATCAACATGACTGGCAAGTTCCTCGCCAGTCTGGTACACCTTGCGGTGCATGTCTTGCCCGCCGCCCACAGACTCTTCATACGCGCCCCACAAGCATGTGAAGTCGCCTTGCGCCGCTTTGCAGTGAACCTTGTGGAGATGCCTCTTGAGAGTGTCGAAATTCATCAGCTCTACTGGGCACCCCTCCCACTCGCAGAGGAACTTGGAAAACCTCGGCTGCAGGCTGTCGTATACCCCACGTACTGAAGAAGAGGCTTTGGTAGTCTTCAATGACTTCTCGCGGACGCGAAGATGTAACTCTCGGGTTGGCTTGCCATTCGCCTTGTGCATTTCATCCTGTTTCTTCGCTTTGGCCTCCTCCTCCTCCTTGGCCAGTCTATACCGTAATTGCTGGCTACGAGGTCGTCTAGCTGGTGACGAGGCAGGGTCAATCTTTCCTTTGGTAGAGCTGTCAGTAAGCCGCCGTTTGTTATCAGGAGCCGACACCGCAAGAGCCAATGAGGAGCAACATGGCAGTGGTGGAGATGGCTCTCTGCCTCTCCTCTTGCTTGAGGGGCCCAACGGTGTTGTTTCCTTAAGTGGAGCGCTCGTCACATAGCTCGAGAAATTCACTGTAATAGAATCTTCAATATGGGTGTTCATCTCCTCGGACAAGGGGCTTGTTGCGATGGATTCTGAAGAGAGTTCCTGACTGTTATCTTGCTGAGCTTCTGGTCCTGGCGAGGGGACTCGTCATTCTCTTCCTGCGGGATCTCTGGCTTCCGCTCTTTCGTCTTACTCATACACTTCTTCCGGGTCTGGCAAGATCGTGGGATCTTTCCTACCTGAAGATCATCTGGCTTTCCCTTCATCTTGCGCGAAGGTGCTTTTTGGTTTTGACGAGAGATGAAATCCCCTTCTCTACCTTTGCACTCTCCGATTTTCGCATAATGCGCGCTGCCTTTCTCGCGGCATCCATGCTGTTAGCTCCAGGCGGCAGGGAATCCCAAGAGAAAGCACGAGCTTTCCTTCCCGACGCTTACCATGAATGCTCTCTAGGCCCGCGAGGAGGGTATGATCGAGCTCGTCATCGATGCGCCGCTTGAAGTCCTCGGAAGTGCCTTGCTTCTCTGATTTCTTGCGAGCACGGCTGAAAACGTCCCAACCACGGCCACGAGCTTCGAGCTCGCGAGCTGAAGTGACATCTCGAAAATTGTGCGCTTTGTTTTTGTGGTAACGCCTTTGAAGACCCAGAAGTTCTGCTGTGGTCAACCTGAAGAACGGGGGGTTGGAGGACTGGGCTGTATCTTCCTGCTTCTTCTGCGAAGATGGACCTTCCTGGGCACCAGAAGATAGCTGTGAATGAACCTGAAGAGTGATCACTTCAAGATTAGCATTGACAGCAGCATGATGATTCTGAACTGGAGTATTGGAGCTAATGAAGCTTTCACTTGCATTTTGGCGACAAGGCAAGAAGCTTGAAGTGAGCTGCTTACATTGAGCTGCGGCACTGGGGCCAATTGGTGACATTCTGGCCTTGGGAGTGTGGGAAGGCCCTTGCTCAGCCCATGATGGTGCTACAAGTTGACGGAACTTGACCTGTCTTCTCGAGTATTGTTGGTTGTGTGGTACTCTATATACTTGTTGATATCCTTGTGACTGTCCCTGTTGCGATGAGGATGAATTGGTCTGTCGAGAGGAGTATGGGTTAGCTTGTCGAGATAAGGATTGCGATGCAGACCGCCATCGTGGCTGGGGTTGGCTCATCGTGAACACTGTTTTTCCAGTTGTCAGGACCTGGGCATGAATCAGTTCTAATAACTCCAATATAGATAGTCAACAGCGGATGATTGATTGTTGATAGGGACTCAGGATTAGGAATTGGAGATGTGAATTACCTTGATCTCTTTGCTGTGTGCGATGTATCAGCAGGCTTGAGGTTGGGAGCAAGTTGAATACAACTCAGGCCAACACAATAATTTAATAATCACTTTACCTAAATCTGGGACTCTCCTGGACCTGGGCAGAATCCAGGTGCGTCCAGATTCAGCGAGTTTGCTGAAAATCAGCCCAATGCGGTCAAGACAGACTTCAGGTGAAATATCGCAAGTTCATTCAATTGAACGAGTCACATATTATTCCAGTGTATTCATAGCATTTTGATTAACAATCCTGCTTGTTTCCATCATCTTCTTACCATCCACAGAATGGAGGGTCCTTATATCAGCTGTCGAAACTCCCTTAGCAATCTCACCCAGCACACTCAACAATTAAGGAACTAATGGTTTCAAAGAGTAAAAAATGGTTCATATCCGCTTTAATTCCTTACTATGATCAAATTCTCGAGAGATAACACCACCATAGTACTTCGAGAAAGGCCATCCCACCATTGCATGTGCAGCTGGTCATTTCTAGTAAACTGGTCAAAGAGTAAAACAGCCATATCCACCCTGACAAATTCGAATAAATATTTATTCTAACACTAATTAAGAATGTAAGATAAGGCACTGATTGATACTAAAGAGTTCACCGGCCACAGACGGACGGTTAGCCTCCAAGACATGGCTACAAAAGCTGGCGGTCGACATTTCAGGTCCCGAGGACACCCAGGCAGCCAGCCAGCCATCCAACCTTAAACTTGAATCACACAGAAAATGTGCATGAGAAGGTTTAATTTCGGTCAGGCCAGAATGACATGTAAGCTGTTGTTGCCTTTCCCCCCGAAATTCGTGACCTTGATGCTGACGCCCCCCTGCCCAGGTGCCCGACTCAACGAGGGGCTGCATCAATCCTCATATTCTCCAAGTCAATTCTGTCAATGTCACTTAACTTTGGTTGCCTTCTCTTAAATCTAAATTATCTTCCTGTACAGGTTCATCGGGCTCTGACACATTAAAGGTGTCTCACACAGTCACGATGACTGTTCATTGGCCAGGCGCGCGCGTACAATGAGGCTGAGCTCCAATGTGACGCATTTACGACCCCAGGCGGCCTGGAAAATCCTTGAACATGCTTTATGTTCGAGGTGATCCGTCGGTTCTACGGCACCTCTCAGCTTGCCATGGGGTCTTACAAGCTCCCTGCGACGTCCGCATGCAGGTTGTCCGTGAGACTTGGCCCCGTCAGCCTAGCGCCCACTTTGACAGATGCAATTGATAGCTCAGCAGACCAGACATTCTATCGTCTTGAAACGCGTCATCTGAGACTGTGTGAAACGTGACACTTCTCATCTTGTCGGACCTGGCAACGTCATGAGAACATCTCGTAGCCTAGGCTCGTGTGTTTCGACCACGGTTGCGAATCTCACGTGTCAACATACTCCTGTGCTCTTTTCTATGACAATAACATACAACCTGAGTAATCTTACTGATCTCGGAAGAAATCTAAAGCGTTCTACTTCCCACTCGTTCTCAAGAGCTATCTGAATCATGGCCTTTAAAAAGTCAATTTGATGTAAGAATGGCTTTCGAAAAATAAGAGACCCTACATTTGTGAATGAATGTAGTGCTACGAGTACTGAGACTCAATGTTGTATCCGTCACAGTATATTGCAGGTAGTAGGCAAGTGAGAGCAGTTCTACAGGAATTAAACAGATGTAGACAGTGACTTAGATGTAATCGCGTTTAGGATAACTCACCTATCGCCAGTTCCGGTGTCCTTCACTGCGACAGTGAAAGTTCTTGCATAGCTACCAGCCCATAAGGTACGTCAGTTTACCAATGCTCACGTTAGCAAAGATATGGACAGAACGATAGGAAACCGGACCATCAGACACAAACACATATGATCAAATTTTGGCCTCCACAGGACTTCAACTTCCACTCTGCCGGCCGTAAAACTTGCGCACAGCACAAGGGTGAACCCAAGCTAATCGAATGATGGCACAAAAAGGATTATGAGAAAATGGTGCAACGAAAGGTTGTGCTGATAGGAAGGATAGAGCACTTCAAGACTTTGTCGTTCTTCTCCTCGCGAAGATCTATGTACGATGCATCAGAACAACAGTTGAGTCTACCAAGAGCCCTCCATTACGGAGGGATATGTTGTGGTAGGTAATCCATACTCTACGCCATAAGCTTTCCGACTCTTCATGTTCATGCGCGAGTCGCGTCGCCAGCGATCCGTATATGCGCACTGCCCAGGTGGCGAGATTCACAAGAAAACCTTGACCCTGCCGGGTTTCTCTGATCAAGAATAATAGGACAGGTCTGCAGGCTAGCTGGACAGTTGCTCATCTGACCAGACTTTCCGGCCTGATTAAGGTATACAAGCTGCTTTAGTATTACACCACCGGAAGACCTGATGAGAAGAGAAGCGAGCGAGTGCCAAAGGATTCATGCCATCCCAAGAAACGTTGAGTGATCTCACCACAATCATAGCACAAATAATGGAATACAACTGAACCCACAAAAATTAAATACTGGAAGCAAGTTTCCACCCGAAAAACAATAAAACCTCAACAGCAAAATGGAAAGAAGTGTCCGAGGCAAGGATCGAACTTGCGACCTTCGCATGAAGTATCATACTCAACACAACCCTATTTGGCTGGGTGTATAAGAGCGACGCGCTAACCACTGCGCTACACGGACATGCACTTTTTTCAGATTAGAAGCACGTCAAATTTTGACAAATGATAACCCTGAGACTGAACAGAAGATTCAGGAAACTCTCAGCAACATTTCATAGTTGCAATACAGAATAGACCATTCTATGTTCCGTTACCATAATCTTACTTTAAGTTTTTCATAGATATCTCCATATGATCTTTATGATTGTTTCCCTGCGAAGCCTTAGTGGGTTCAGACAGGAGAGTATTCGTAGTTGAGCTCATCAACCCATGCTGCTGGTAGATTTTGCCATGTTGGCAGCAGCGAGAGACGGCTCGATAGCTGCAGCTAGTCTATTGCCATCACAAGCTCAGATTTGCCAGGGCAGTGCGCGTCAAAGATACTGGGCCTGAACGGGAACTATCAATACTTCATGACCATGAGGCAGTCGTGATGTTGATTCAGCCAGGCAGCCGCTGTGCCAGTTGACAGCGTGATAAGGACACGAGTTAGCGCACAGAAGGATGACAAGGGCAATTGGTGTTGGCCAACTTAATGAGTGGCACAGCACCAGAAGGCTGACGGGACAAGAATCATGCGCCGGCGAGTATTGTCATGACACCACAATCCAGCTCATTGAATTTTGTACTGTTGTCTAACCCAATGTCACCTTCACTCAGCAGGAATGATCGCAGACAGTCACCAACTCTAGATTGCTCTATTCAAGCATATTACACAACTTCCTGAGCTATACTACCGAATCTTGTATAGGCAGTAGAAGATAATCAGAAAGGTTTACTGAGGAAAGGGATAACACCTGGCTTCAGGGTTTTGCTTTTACAACCACTAAGTTCTGTCTGGATGGTCAGATAGGCGGAGTTAAGAAGCGTGGAGATTGAGTCGCCACCAGTCAAATTCTGACCTGAGTAGCAACACCTGGGATCCCCGCGACCATCCAGGCTCTTTTTCTCCCCATCCTACGTCTCGTTCGACATGTCATCTTATCGACCTCCAACCACCTCCCTTGCCATACGAATATATCAAGATGAAGATTTTGCATCACTGAACCGCCGCCCAGCATACTTCCTTCATCGGAACCCTGGGACAACTTTCACGTCGTTGGCGTCTGACCAATGGTCTTACATGATTACAGCCCCACAGTGCAACGCTAACCAGCACCATGCAAGTTATGAAACCTTGGTGCCTTTCCATGACCACAGTCAGAAGAATAAAGGATTGATTGTTTGTTTCTCAGGCTGCCTCTGCACAATTGAAAGCAGGGGGAATACCATTTAGCAATCTGGTTAAATGAGTTGGGTTAACGCAGAGATGATGGAATGGGAAAGACGGATGAAAGGGGAGGAGGGAGTGCGCTCTGAAAACGACGAAGGAGCGCTTAGACATGGATGAAGAAATAGGAAGGACATGGCCAGGACTGCCGTCTGGAAAGCTTTCATACAATCTGGAGGCTCCCGCACACATTCGATCAGAATGAACTTCTGTGTTCCGACTGGAGCAGCTATCGAATGCCGCACAAATTCATGCGTGCAAATCTCACAATCTGCTTCTGAACAACGGGAGAAGAGCAACCTGGACTAAGAAACTTGGAAAGGAAGGAAAGGAGGACCAGAAAAAGGAAAGGACATTGTCACCAGGCTGAGGGAAACGCTAGAAAGTTGGAGACAAATTGATCAGAAGAGAATAGAAGGTACGATGATAATATCTGTACCTTTCCCTAGCGTCGCACTTGATAATAGGACTGGTAATTATCGCCCTGAGGGTCTTTCGAATCGGGCTGGGGAGAATAAGCAAAAGCATGTTGCTGCGTGTTGTAAAATCGCTGAGAACCATCCGCAGAACCAGGAGCGTAGGCAGTCGAGTACCCAGAGGCCGAGTGTTGATAGCCTTGGGATGATCGTTGTCCCGTACGGTAGCCTACCATGGCGTCCTGGGTGTTGGCATGACTAGGCGAGGGCATTTGTTGCTCTTCAGTCTGTTCCTGAAAGGCTGGCCCTCTGGAAGAAGATACCGACACGTTGTGGCTCCCTTCGCTTGGCTGATAAGCGAAAGATGATGGTGGATATTGATCAGTGCTCCGCTGGGAACGCTGGCGAACATGTATTTGTGTAGTCTGTGCCATGGACCATCTTTCGCCAGCCCAGTATTGCGCTCCATCTTCTCTGTTACTTGATGAGGTGCCGGGTGCTGGCATCTGCGCGGATTGGACCGGATTTGTCGTGCTGGCGATGCTTTGATACTGGTGGGGCTGTCGACCAAGGCTCTGTGTACTGGATCCCCGCGAGTCGCCTCTGTAATTATCAAGCGAACTGCTAGTATCTGCAGTCAGCTTAGAGTACATGCTGTTGGTCTCTTGCTAGAAGTATACTAACATTGAACGGGGCGGCGAGCCCACCTGTATCTCCATCGAGTCGGACATTGACTGCGTTGTCTGCTCTGGAGATGTCGTGAAGGTGGCTTCGTGGGTAGCAGCCCCGTAGATCAGAGGATCAGAGTTTGCTTGATGTTTGGACTTTCCAGAGGGTTCCGCAAACTTCTTAAGGTGGCCACCAATTCCACTGAAGTTGATGTTGTCGTAATCGCTCTGCTGTGGCTGAGCCGATTGATTCCGTGTTAGGTTATCGGTTGTATAGTTCTGGTCTGAACCTCCGCGACGCGAGCTGGACCGGGTATAACAGGTGGCACCAACCTGGTAGCTAGCGCTGGTAGGACTTGAAAGATAAGCATAGCCAGTTGAACCCTGACTTTGTCCGGACGAGGTAATCACAGGAGCCTGCGTCGCCATGGGGTCCGAAGAGGCCATACCCTGGGTCGACCACATCGACGAGCCGCCATATGATTCAGATTTGTGATGATCAATCGATGTAGGACCCTGTTGAAGTGCATCATAGGAAGCGGAACCCTCATAGTGCGGCGTAATATACCTGTCAGCACCAACCCCGACATAAGTCCTATTGGCATCGTGATCAGTTGAGGACCTCTGATGGGAAGCATGGCGCCTGGATCGGCCCTCTTTGTTTCTGTTAGGAGGCATATTACAATTCAAGAGATATTTCCGAAGATGCCAGATACAAGTGGGAGGAGGAAACTGTGAGCCACTCCAGCTCGAGGCGGACGAAGCCTTTATATAGTCAGGAGACACACCCCACGATGCCCCGCAAAAGAAAAAGGGTCGGCCCGCAGCTGACACTGGGAGAAAAAGAATCGAGAGGCGGGGGCGGGAGAGGGCAAGCAAGGAGAGGGAAGTGGCGGGACCCCCAAAGCAGGCGGCTCTGCTGCCACTTTAAGAAGGCTGCGTTCCTTAGATGACACCACGCATGCCCTCTTCGTACACTGAGCCTATCACATGAGGGCCCTTGCCATGCAGCTCTCCATCGGCACGTAACCCTTCAGCCGGCCACTAAGCACACGTCTTCTCAGCCAAGGAGAAGAGGTTACTAATCAAGTGATGCCAGGTCGAGGGCGAGCCTGAATTATCTTTCTGGAAACGTCGCAAGCCCGTTCTGCACAATAGATCTTTGGACTCGCCTGCTCCTATTTTGAGTTAGGCATTGATGTAACCTGTCTGTACGTTATTTGGCTCGTTAATACACTGTCAGAGTGAACCTTGATTGCCTTTCCTCTTTCGAAATTTGACCGAACCCGTTAAACACGTCATGCAGAGCTCTTTGGCTTATTCTTGAGGAAGATATGACACCCACTGAACGAGACAGGACCAGCAAGGTGAATAGGGACTCATCCAATGATGAAGCGACAAGAAACAGAGACCTAATGACCAGGCTCCAGTTGGGGTAGATAAAAGCAACAATTCAACATGATGCTTGATCGAAATCGGTGTCTGTGCAGCACAATGGGCGATGATCTGCGTGCATTTCCAAATCAACTTGCACTATTGTATGGTTACGCAAAGATCCCTGGTGCTGCACACCATCCATACGATGGACTTGTGGAGACAGCCACACCGTGTGAATTATATTGGCCAAATTCGTTCATGCTTGAATGTTTATCTCACCGCTACTTACATCAACATGAGTGAGATTACGTGCAGCAGAAGCCTAGAAGGGTGTGCACCCCCCAACTCGTGTGATTCAGCCCTATGATAGTTGGAGGGGATCTGAATACATTGCATCTGCTGTTGTGATGACAGAACCTTATCAGGAACTGCGATAGACTATCCAGTCTTGTGAATTCTGCCGGACACCACTACTTGGATGCTGGAGACGACCGAATGACACTTTTTAGCAGTCTATATAGTCCGTCCACTGGCTGAACTTGCTTTTAATAAGAGATGGTGACAAGAGATTACATCAACATATCAAAGAGCTGGAGAGGATCAGAGAAACGTGGATACAGAGCCTCAATTGACCTGATGATTGTAGAATCTGTCGTCAGCTTACCAGCCTGCAGCCCTACAGGGTATGAATAAGCTCACCTTGCTATACTCTTTCGATCTAAAGGATCTCCGCTTGCTATTCCCCCCCACAGAAATGTGTGCATACAGACTACTTACATTACTACCCTAATCATGAAGACTTTTGAGTTAATTAATCCATCTCTGGGACACTAACAGGCTGACGGGCTCTCACGTGTTTCACGCCTAGAGGCTGGAGAATTTGCGCCCGAATCTAGAAATATCGATGCTGGTAGCCACCATTGATGAGGAACTCCAGGCCACAGACTGTGCAGCCGATCAGCATCAAAATGCAAAAACAATTAAATGATCTAAGGGTTGATTTCAAGAACAAACATTCTTTATGGCCCCTCTGCTGGTACAGATGGCGTTCGAGAAACGCACGTGATTCGCCCTGGTCTCTCCTTATCTCTTTTCAAGGGGCTGCCAAGCAGAGTTCAGACAAGTGAAGGTCAAAGGCTAAATATGTATCGATGGAACAGTTTTCAGTCTTCTTGTTGTTCTGTGGCAGAAGGAATAAAGTGGGGGGGGGGGGAGCATGAGGATAGCCGTGCAATACAGCGCCATAATTAGAGAGAGACTAGACCTCACACCTGGTCATATGATGCGCAACATCTTAGGTCCTGAGTGCGCACTGCAATTATTTTCACGTGTTCGCACAGCATATAAACGCACTTTTACAACTATTGGATTCAGCTAGCAAAGGAAGTCATTTGTAGTGTCAGTAGGAAACAAAGCCGTCCACGCTCGAATGTAGCTCTCTCTCTCTCGTTGAGCAGCAATTAGCAGAGATTTGACTCATGCACTAGGCCTCAAAGAAGCAGAGCTGCATTACAATAGCATCTCCCAGATGCCCATCACATTCCTTGATAGTATTGATATGTCTGTAAGAAACAATCAGGCTGCAAAATGACCAAGGCGTTGGGGTTGACTACAATTATTTATCAATGAAGCCATGTGCAATTTTGGGCTGGCGAACACTCTATGTATAGCATAGAGTGGGGACATGGGCATTTAGCTCCCTGCAGTTTGATTGTTGTGTATGCAAGTGCATTGGATATGGGGTGTTACAGTTTTCCAGTGGTGCAGGTATGTTCTAGACTATGGCAAGGAGTCTATCGATGCAAGGGTACCTGGAAATGGCAAACCAGAGCCAAAGAAACAAATTTTGCAAGCTACTTTCTTACTTTTTCTTCCAATTCTACAGGCTACAACAAAACAAAAATGACCTTTCAGCTGCCTGGTATCCATGAATAATAAGCATCAGGCACCGATGATTGCATGTTTCGTGGGTGTATTACTCGCTAAATGACTCAACGAATAGAACGGCATTAGGAAAAAAAAAAGCAAAATCACAACACATAACCCCATGAAAAAGGAAGAAGAAAAAAAAATTTCAAGAGCATAATGAAACCCCGTACAGAGAGAGCTGTTACTTCAAAATTGACCTCCCCCTCCTAACCCATCTTCGTCTCCGATTCTAGTCTCAAGATCACAAATCCCCAAAATTGACCACCCTCTGACACGAAAGATTTTGAGACCGCCTATTCTCATCTGACGAGCCACAGAAAAATGCCGTCGATCGCCATCTTGCCCCCTCCTTCATCGAGACCTGTGGGCGTCGCAGCATCTGATACCTTGGCGGTATCTGTCGTCATGACAAGGACGATGTCGACGCACACACGAGCCCCCTGAATGCCCTTTGGTTGAGATCCAGTCCCGACCTGAGCCCCGAGAGGACGGACTCTTGACCAGCCTGGAGTTCAACTTGCCAAACCGGAGACCTCCCTCAATCACAATAGGGTGACCTGCTTGATCAGACCTAAGGAAGGCATGAGAAAGTACGGAGATTCTCTAAAATCTGCCGATAGACCACGAGCCCCAATACCTAGGTCGCAGTGCGTGACGAGTATAGGCACTGGGCCAGGAGTGGTGTGTGGCCCGTAAGGCCCGTGGACCAGCCACGAATGCCAAAATTTCTGCCCGCGGCGTCGACACAACGATAGAAATACAAGGAAACAACTCATGCGAAGAATGATCTCTCAACCTGTGAGTTCCGCTGACGCTCTTTGTACCACTCCTGCAGAGCATAGTGTTGAAGATGAAACGCGTCTGGCGTGGTGGTGTTGCCCGACTGGGTGTAGGGACAAAAGCATTTGCCCTGCTTCACGACTGAGCAGATGAAGGTTCGGGGGCGGAACCATGGGAGTATGGTTGCGTAGGTGTGCAAGGTGCTGGAAAGCAAGTAACTCCGAAGTCGTTGAGTTCGTAAGCCTCTTTCTCAAATCCATCTAGGGAACTCTGTTAACATATCCTCCCTTTGTGTCGTCCCCATGGGATATCCTCCTTGTCCCAGTGGACTTGGAGTGCCGGGCAACTTGCTGTTTGATTCTTGAATTCTGCCCTTCAATGGTGTTTTTTGGACTTCGATCGTTTGGTGTGGTGGTTGCGGGAGCTTGAGGGTGCTGTTAGGGGTTTTATGCCACGTGAGTGTCGGACACCTCGCTTGGCCGTTGCGTCTGGTAGGAGGTCAGACTGTCCTTCGTACCGGATCCCTGAACCCATGAGTCGAACCCATAGGGGTCTGGTGGTGGTTGTTCTTTTGACTGCCCAAGATGGCTCATTGTTAGTGCATGTTTGGTATACTTTCCTTGCGTTCTGGATAGGAGATGCTGCGTCCTTACCTGTTCAAGTTCCTCATTCATATACTCCCACGACCCGAGCTGGGCTCTCTGGGAACCAGCACACATGCCTCCGCTGGCGCGTACGGTAGGATCAGGATTCTTCAGATTCTGAAGGCCTTTGCGAAAAGCCTTAGCCTTCTTTTTTTCCTTCTTAGAAGGGCAGCTGCGCGAAAACAAGAAATGGTCAGCATCTGACTTGCTTAAAAGATGACCTGCCGAAGAGCACAATTTATTGCTGCAGGCCTAAAAGATGGGGCCCAATCCACCCAGCTGACCACACTACATACCTTTGGCCTCCAGCTCCGCCTGTAAGTCGCGCTTGCGTCTGGTCTTGGTCTGCATTGGTCTTGGCCATTGTGATCAAAGATCAAAGACTCTACTTGAGGCTATTGGGTTGGGTAATATTTCTTGCTTTCGAACACTTAGTCTTGACAATGAAGGATTCGATGATGACAGAAAGCACCAGGAAGAATAAGTATTGACAAAAAGGTGGCCTGGAAAGGAGAGCTCCCCGCTTAGTTTTATACGAGCCAATACGTACTCACATATAACTTCCAGGGCCGACCAGCTGGAGACCCATGTCAAACATCCCTCTACTACGGACCAGTGGGATTCCATGAGAGAGTCTCCCTACACCGGCTCAATCATATACTCTGATGAAATTATCTAGGGCTGCTGAGGCAAGATCCAGTTGCACAGTTCTTATTGTGGGGCTTGGACTTCAGGCACACGAGGCGAACTGGATTAAGGAGCTACGCCCTTTACCAACAACGATCCCATTGGCCGTACATGACATTGAGTTTCGTGTGTCTTTTTTTCTCCACCGGGAAATGGTATCAGAACTCACCGCATATCAGAGCAGCTTCAGCAAGCAAAAAGGAGCTTGCTAGGCTGAACTCCCTCCAAGATGTCAGAACTGGTTGTGGGGAGGTGAAAGTCCTATCCATGTCATCGTACACAGATGCTTATTCTCACCGAGAGGAAAAGAGAATCGAAATCCAAGTAAATGGGCCGTGAAACAGTGAAGGTGAGTCTTCTATCATACCCCTAGACCAGGGCCAAGGGCGCGCCCTGTGCTTTGACAAAATGCAGCATCCGGATGATGCTTGGTTGCCTGAACTCATAGAAGTCTTCCATCGGTGAGGCCGCCTGTCTCCTGAAAAGACTCGACAGTGGCTGGGATCACGGTGCTGTACAGACACATCATAACGGAGGAATAGCCACACCGCAACGCGGCGCGCCGTCTTACAACCCGCCCGAGCAAGAGTCAAGGCTCCTCGTCCGTTCCTTGGGGCAGTGCATCAGGGCCACATCTGCATCAAGGCTTCTCAGGCAACGAACGTCAGGTCGCCCTACCGAGAATTGCGTCTTCGTGCTGCTTCTGTAACGACACGATAGCAGGGAACACTCGCTCGGAAGCCTTTAGTGGTGGGATTGAACACTTTGAAGGCAAGTGTCTTGGGTGGTCATGTGAGTTTTCGCTGTCAAGAAACATCTTTTTTAACACTTTTTACAGTAGTTTGGGTGTGCGCCTTTGTACACTTGGGTCGGAGGGTGGCGAGGACCCAAGCATGTTCATGAGAATCTGTTCGTGACGGTTTCTGCTAAGCATTCCGACCGAATATTTGGATAGCCCTGTTTTCTGGCCCACCAGGATCTTGTGTTTGCCGTAGAAATGAATCTAGTATGCAATGGATGTACCACGCATTGGATCAGAACATTTCTAGGGCTTCATGAACCCGGACATCTGCGAGATGAAGGAGGTCAAGAAAGTCGGGACAAACAGTAGGTAAGTGACGGGTTTTCTTCTTTCCTTTCTCTCCCTCCCCACATTTCGTTTTGGGGGAGGGGGAGGGGGCGTCTCATGGTCAACTACCTCATCTGCATAGCTTGCACGTGCTTCTTACTTACTTTTTCATTCTTTTTATTTGCTTATACCTTGTAGACCGACTTCTGTCAGCCGCTGCTGCCCAACGCTAGGAAGACCTGCAAATATCAGCCGGGTTTATCAATACAACATTTGGGCATGTAGCCCGCCCCTTTAGTAGTTGCTTGCCCACGGGTTTTTGACCATCAACTAATGCTGAGCTCTGTTTCAGGACTGGTTTCTCAGCATCTTTTCCCATTTCCTTGTTCTCTCGCGACGTCCACTTGACGTGGGTCGTCACGACTGTCAGCGAAACGGTTAAAATTAGGAGACGCCCACCTGCTCGTGGGTTTTATCATCATGGCGGCCAGCAGATGGCGCGTGGCACTGCAAGATAGGACACAAGAACTCTCTAGGTAATCACTGCGTTAGGCAACAGCGGGGGTATGAAGAGGGATTTTTGCCACCCTGCGATCCTACCCCTACTTACAGACTGCGGCTACTTTTAGACCAGAGATCAAGTACCTGCTCTCCTCCTTTGAGGAGTTTCTATTCATCAGCAAATCTGCAAAAGAATCGAACCAACATTAACTTGAAGACAGGCAAGCAAGCAATCAGATTCGACGTCTGTTGAATTCGATCGCGACTTGCACTTCCAACAAGTGCTACCACCTTGACTTGGCAGTATCGAACGCGCTTGTTCGCCCTGTTTTTCATAACAACAAGGTATCTGCGAGGCGGTCACCCTGTGCTTGTGTGGCCATGTGCAGGTCTGTGGCGATGACTTTGGCAGATTCCGATGTGCAGGATAGAGTGTATGATTTGCCCCGTCCCCTTTTCCCCTTCGTCTTCTTCCCACACCTATTACCTTGGAAGTCGACGAGTGCTTTGCGAGAGTCACTCAAGACTCCCTGGGGGAGGCGACATTGAGGGCACCTTGCACTTGATGGATCTTCGCCTCCGGCGACGCCGTGGGGACGGGTCACCTCGCCCTGGAGAGGGCACCGTCGTTCTAGCGAGAACACGCATCGTGATGAGGCTCGTCGGAGGTTTGATGATGCAGGTCTGATGGGCAACGGTGGCGATTTGCTCGCCCTTGGAATCTTGACTCGCTGATATACTCGCAGGTGCGATGAACACGAGACGTCGACGACGACGAAGAAGTTCAAGAGGGAGGAAGAGGACGAAGGGAAACTGCAGAAGCAGAGCAGAAGACTGGATACCTGCCTCGCCACTTTTGCGATTCTGTGGCAGGGCGATGGCATCACCACTCCGGGCGTGCGGCTCCACAACAGAGCGCCACACGACAGCGAGAGTCGAGAACGAAGCGAGAGTCTGCCACGACCCGACACAGCATCACAGACACATTTCTTTCCTTGCATCCGGTTTAACGGCGCAAGACACCGTCCACCATTTTGTCTGGCACTGAGCAAGTGTGGTGGTTAGAAGATGGATCTCCTCTACTTGACCACAAACTCCGCCCGATCTAAGCCGTTGGCACTTATTTATGGGTTTTCATGGGACCAGCCGGAACTCGAACGAGTCCCGCCAGGGTGGGACTATAGATAAGGGCTGCATAACGGGCCACGGGGGACGGGCATGATGCCCCTCTTCGACGGTCTGGCCCTCGACGGCGCTGAGTTATGTTACAGTAACTTGGATGGTGGGCATCATCAGTTCACACTGATAAGTATAGGGTCGTCAAGGCAGGTCGCCGAGGGTTCGCCGAGGGTGCATGTGAAGAAGCGACTCGAGCGTGTGGAAGAAGGTGGAGGAATAGCCGCATGGCTTCGGACTCAATGGTTGATGGCGAGGGTGTGAAGGTACGGCGCTCGCTCGCTCTTCGACTTCCAAAGGACGAGAATGTGGAGTTCCAACAAGGAGAACTCAGAAGACCCGATGACTGGAACAGTGCTACCGGTCCCCGAGGAGAGACGACACTTATGGACTCAAGACGTGAATGAAGTGTGGAGTGTGATTTCATGGCACACACACTAAGAAGGGTGGGTGGGTATACATGGAGAGAAGATGCTGAACCACTTGCTCCTCACCAGCAAAGGTTGTTGTCTAGAACGCCCCCGCCCCCAGAGCCACACCCGAACACGACTGAAGATCGCATTCAGATCTGCCGTACATCCTGGTACGCGCCCAAATGAGACTATCCCAAGTGGTATGGTGGGCTGGCACATTCTCACATCCCCAAGATCGTGCGATGCATCCATCTCATCCTCACAGTCAGCTGTTAGATACAAGCTGAAAGAAAGAGAGGGAGAGGAATGGGAGGGGGCCGGCCCCCGAGCCATTCCCCAATCTTGTCATCGAGATGGCGTGAGAGAAGATGCACGCCCGATGCTCCATTTTGGGATCATGTTGGTGGCCTCCTCAGCTGGTGGCTTCCGGAAGCAGAACGGTGTGCGTGATCCTTGCGTCAATAGCTCACGATGTCGATTACTCAGAATCAGCCAGCTGTCCACCGGTATCAACACCATCCGAGCGAGCGAGGAACTCGAACATTTGCCACAGCATCTCGTGTGGCTTCGATTTGCATGACCACCAGGAGCTCCTGCGCCGATTCATTACTTGCCATTCTGGCAAGAGCACGACGGTTTTTTATTCTTCACAGTGGAGGTGAAACAAGGAGCGAATTGGTAGGTGGACAATGTGAGGATGTCAATGAGGTGACATGGGGATGAAAGCAGGCAGGGGATGGAGCGAGCGAGTCCAGAAGGTTGTCGTCAAAAACTCTGGGACGCTTCCATAGGCCCACGTATAGAGATTGGAGAAACCCCGCTAATCTACCCAGGCGCTAAAACAGCAGCGGGCCGCCGATAGATCTTGCCAGCGATCCACTGAAGAGCTCGGGTTTGAGCCGCATTTTACCCCGCCGTCAGACGCCGTCGCAACCCTATCACACCCTCTCTCCCCCTCTCTCTCGCGCGGACGAGCTTCTCGCAGAACATCATACCGCACTATGCGCCGCCGAAATTCAGAGCCATGTCGAATATGCATCGGCTGATTGTCATCGCGAGCACACGCCCCTCAAACCGACCGATGAGATTGTCCAGCCGGAGGGTTCTGCGGAGTTAGGAGATCGTACAACACGACACCACCAACGCATGCACACAGCTCTATCACTTTACAAACAGGGTGCTGGGGCCGCTGTGGTATGCTGCCTTAGCAAGGCGAGATGCTGTTCGGTAAGCTATCACCTGCAGCTTTGATTGCTCTGCGCTGTATCTGTGGCGTCCTGACCCGGCCAGCTGCACAGCCAACCAGCTGTAAATCCGTCAATATTGGGGTGTCAACAGCAAAGAACCCCCTCCCGCCTTTTGATTGGTAGCAGCAACAGCAGCGGCGGCGGCGGCAGCCAGGCAGTGTTGACCGTCCATGGACTTTCCTCACACTTTTTGATTGGAAGTTCGACTGGGCGCCTGGTATCATCGAGTGCGTATGGCCGCTGAAAGAGACCTGTCGTGCCTATATTTCTATTGATAGGCCAGCACGTGATGATACTCTTCCATGCCTCTCTTCTTTCTCCATCCGGTACTTGAGATCTCGTGAGCGACAACACCCCAGACCGCAACTTCGTTCGAGACTCACCAGAGGTGGTTCTTTTCGGTTCACCTTCCCCCAAGAAGTTGTATCAACACCATCCATGACTACACAAAGACAGATAATCCTTATTACTCCAGCATACTATCATCTCTCTCTCTCTCTCTCTCTCTCTCTCTCTGTCGATTTCCATCTTCAAATCCGGCAGGCCGTCCCTTCAGATGTGTCGACGAGGAGAAGGCAGCAATCACAAGAAGGCAGCAGTTGGATACGACATGCCACTTTCATGCAGATGTGGTTGCTTACTTGAAATAGCGGCGGTGTCTCACGGGCGGTTGGCGTTCTCCCAAGCTCTGGGTCTTATGTTTGTGCTCGTTGGCGATATCCTATATCCTCTCACAACGGCGTGCATCGACAAACAGATGGGCACTTTGGCGGCCACTCCCGCCTCGTATATCCTTTCTGCTGTACTGATTATTGACGGACTCTAACGGACTGGCCGGAAGAGGAGGGAGAAGCCGGGTGTAGGAGCGACGTCCAGACTGCCGACCATTTCCCGCCTCATACACGCCTGGCGGTACGCTCTGGAGGGCGAGAATCTTGATGTGCCACCGGCCGACTCTGAACGACGCTTCATTAGCTCTGAACACCACGACGGGTTCCCGATAATCATTATGCCTGCATAACCGAGACATACACTCACTGCGACCAAGAAAAAGCTTGTTTCCCATACTCTGATTTCGCCGGGGTCTGGGCCACTGCGACAGACCTAAAATCCGAAAACCTACAGGCCACGGAATGAATGGTTTGTATACATGACAGAACTCAAGTGGGCTGCATCTTTCATACGTACCCCCTTGCCTTCGAGGGTCTGGAGGGAGAGAGAATCAGCTTGCTTGGCGCTATCATGGATGGCAAGTTCTTTGTGATCACTCATCTGCTTACAGAAGTGCTCTTCTTGACCATCTGGGGGGAAAAGGGCGGAGGGGGGGGGGGGGGGGTTGTTGCTGCATAGACACTGCTGCTTTGCTGCGCCGGATGAGCTATAGCCGTGGGGATTGTGCTCATGGTCAACAAGCGCCTCGGATCACAACCGACCAGGTCAAACTCTGCCATGCGAGTGCTCGGTTGTTCACCTCTTACCTGTCAGCATTCCAACCGCCTGTCTCGCTTCTCTTTTCTAATTCGCAACCCCCAACGTCGCGTGGTCTCTATGACAGGCCTTCGCACAGTTTCAGCCTGGGCTGGCAGTCTTCCTGGATCCTCACCACCAACACCAACGCTTTCACTTGCCCTCACCGAAGTTGTCGGCCGCCACGCAAACGCGAGGTGCCCTTATCTGTCAGAGTCAACAAAAAGGCTCTTTTGTCATCAGGAGTTGCGGTGAGTCTCGGTGAGAGTCCAGCCGCATTGGGGATGAAGGATTCTTCCGCCTACATGCATGGTCACTTTTCACCCTTTGCAGAGGCAGTCAATGTAAGATGATGAAAGATGTCATGGTACATTGTTCCAGGACCTTTGTTCTGTGCAGAGAATTTATTACTCTGTGCCAGGCAGAATTTGCACTTTGCCTTTTCCCCTGCCCTTCCTTTTACCCGTTCTTCCTCTTTTTTTCCTGGTCTGGTGGTCTTCTTTTCTTGCACTGTTTTGGTGTTGCTGACCTGACTTTGGATGACAAAGTTCACTGATACCTTCCCTTACAAGCCTTGTAAGCCATGGGGCGCTCCAGGCAGTCATTCTCACCTGCACTTTTGCGAAGAATTTTTTTCTTTTTTTGGAATTACCACAATCGCCTGCGTTTTTTTAAAAGCAGGCAGGCTATGATGAATCCTAAAAACCACGGTCATACATGTCGTGGGTAACGGATGCCTCGTTACGTGAAGGTGAGGCACACCTTCTCAAAGAAGATGCTAGACTGACGAGTTACGCCACGCACGCCGATCAGACGCGGAGAAGTGTGTAGTTCCAGCTGCACTGGTCCATAGCGCCTTACAAATCAGGACTTCGGTCTTCCTTTTCTTCTTGCTCTGTGGTTTTCATTTGCCTTGTCGCCTTTATATCTCACTCATCGCCCCGAGTTGTCCAGGGGCATTTCTCGAACCTCCCCTCCCGGGCCCAGCGGCCCCACCCATCTTTGGCCCACCCTGGACCAGCATCAATCCTTCGTTCCCTGAAGGTTTCGGTCTTTCATCCCCTCTAAGCTTGAGGAGCGCGGATTCATGTGGCAGTCAATTGGAAACACATCACCCAGAAAAATCCTTATGTTCCTTCTTAGTGGAAGTCGGGCGCGTCTGGGGTCCTTCATTGACGCAGAGTTGAGGCTCAAGCCTAACTGGTGGTGATTTTCTCAACTCTATCCTGACTTGCAAGACCATAACCAGCCGGTTAAAATCTGTTCCTGATTATGAGGGCCACCCCCCGCCCCTCCATTTTCCCTTCAACCCAGATTTTCGGTTCAAGCATGCACCAAATGGGTCGTTCTTTGGATACATCAGCTGCTGGGAACAGATACCGTCACCCATTGATGCGACACACACTTCTCCTGCCTGTACACAAGCATTGCATTTGAAGGCATGACTGGGGGAGGTTTTCCATCTACTATGTTATTCATGGCTCTGTTGCTCTAGTACGCCCTATTTCGTCAGTAGGCGTCTAGCTAGGTTACAATCAGCTGAGCGTGGTGGTTCGCATGTTGTTAGCGTTGCAGCCCCCCCTCCCTCCCCTCTCCTGCCTTATCTACTTGATTCACACCATGTTCTGAAGTATCCTCATTTCGGGCAGAAGGCTCTAGAGAGGGCGTGTATCATATTGCATACATCACAACGGCTTCGGACCGAATGAGGGGTTTTCTTTCTTCCCGTCTTCTTTCTCTCATCTGATACACCTTTCCGACCTCATTCACCTGCACGAACCCTTTCAATGAATCAGCAAACCAGAGCTTTAAATGAGCAAGGTCTCGTTCCTGAGTGAGATTTTAGGCAATGGTTTCAACCCCCATGACAGGTGACTTGAGCTGTGGCTGTCAATGACCTGAGGGCAGGCTCAGTGCATCTCCCCACCACCGACTGCTGTCTGGCTCCTAATGCGGGGGTGTCAGGATGACTGTGCTCGTAACCAACAAAAGAAAAAGGAAATAAACCACCAACCCAAACACCTAGCCACCCAAGGGGTGGCCCCCATACTGGGCTGCTGGGTTGCATACTTCAATACAAACATGGACGATAATCCATGGATGGTCTGAAGCTGGCTTTGCCTTGTTTCTTCTTGACGGAAAGATCTTCCGGACATCGCGCCTGGCAGAGACCCCTGACAAGCACTGATCGAGTGTGCATATTGGATGACTTCATTCAGACCCTGTCTTTACGTTTTACAAAGTCGGTCCCGTTGCATCAACGACGCAAAGCCTTATCTGCTAGCGAAGGGACAACACTCTGTGACGTACTTGATGGTGCATACATACCTGAGACATTGTATAAGGTGTCTTTCTGCATGTTTCTGTCCTCGAGATCGGACCTGTAGGAGGCTTCAGAACCCTCTGCTCGTGATGTCCCCCATCTCCCATGACCAAAGAAGAGCATACCATGATAACCACGATGGTGGTGATGATGATGATGGCTGGGGGTCACAAGCCACCAACATCATTACGTCATGAGATCATTATTGCCAACTTGGCCCTCTTCTTCTGCACTTGGACTCTCTTGACTTTGTCTATGTCACTATGATTTTTATAACACGGCTGTGCGGAGTCAGCCAGTCCTAGCCCTGGTGTGTGGAGAATGGTGATGGTGTGCTCGCCCTCCAGTATGCCCTTTCTCCATGCCGCGCTTCGGGGCTGCGATCAAGCACATCTTGAAAGAAAATTCGGAGAGGGGTCTGGAACATTTCTGGAAGTGTACTCCGTGACCTGCACTTTGTTACTGCCCCGATCTGGTCCACATCGTTGCCTTGTTTGCGCCTGTCGATCAACTACCTTGTTTTGTATTGGCATGCTTACCACCTACAACTTGTAAAGTATGAGATATGACGAGTATTCCACAACCTCCTTGCGCTGAGTAAGTTGAAGAACTATAGTGAGATAAACTCCAAATTAGAAGGCGAAAGAATGGGATACACACCTAGAGCTGTTTATCTACCTTCTCGGAAGGATGTGCACATACCGCCCAGCTGTTGAGAGGAAAAAAGTTGAGTGAGGATAGTCTGCATGGAGAATATCCTTCAGCTCAGTGAGGCCCTGAAAGGGCGAGCTGCGTGAGGAATGAGCCCTCAGTCTCAACATCCGCATCTGTTGTCTTGCATGTAGCTTGCCTGCGTCGAGAGGTGGAGAGGGTGAGTCGCCTTTCTAGAGAGAATGTGAAAATGATGATTCAAAACCTGTTATTATAATGTGACCAAAATCAAGCAACCAAAGAAATCCGCTACTATTTTGTACTGGCACACTGAAATTATGGCCATCATCACCGAGCACAGAAAAATGAATGAATAGAAACACAATGGAAAAGAGAGACATCAAAGACCGTCAATGTACATATGTACAACCTGACACAATGTACTCGGCAACCTCATCAATCCACCACACACAAAGCCCCCCCCCCCCCCCCAGGAAAAACATATATTTCATACCTACTTTCAACCCTTTATTTCAGGCTTTTTGTTGACTATCTAATAGAGATAAGGGACCAAGGTCTCAGACAGCCTGTCTCTAGGTAGTTGATAGCCCCGTGGCTCAATCATGGGCACTAGTCGGGGATATCTGAAGATCCGCTCTGGCCAAGGCCGGGAAGTCTTGAGAGCGAGCAATCAGCTCGTCCTGAAGGGACGTTCGTTCCTGGAAGCAGAATGGCCCTGAGTTCTGTTAGCTGGTTGTCGTAGTCAAATCCAACCAAGAGGCCTTACACGAGGAGTCCACCTGTGCTCTAATAACCAGAGCTAGATCTCGGACGTGGAGAGATCGGAAACACCATTCGGGTCCAAAAGATTGACAGAAACACACAAAAGCAGATGCCAGCTCCCGGGGCTCCTGGAAGTTCCTCGGAAGACTCCGGGTCCACGGAAAGTGTGTACCTCCTCGGGGAAGCGCCCAACGCTTAATGTCTGCAACCAAATAGAATTTACTCACAAGGACATGGTCCAATCCTGGTCGCCACGAAGGATACCACTGCTGAGCGAGAAGCCTAGGTTGAGGGCGCCTCACCAATGGTGGTCGAGGGTGATGACATTATTCCAGCTCAGTCATCGCCCTCGACCACCATTGATGAGGCGTCCTCAGCCTCTGATTTGGTAAAGTCCTCAGGCTCTGAATCGGCCATCTCATCAGTCATTGTAGCCGTGCTGTCTGTGGTAGATGCCCTGGCGATTCTGGGCAACGTCTTGGGAAGGCTACCATGTACAAGGCAACCTGCTTGATGACTGAGTACATAGCTGCACTGATATTGTTTAGATTCCTTGTCGTATATGATCCATTTCCGGAAAGATGCCAGTCTGCGGCCGAACCAGAGAACCCGCGTGCGCCGGTGCTCTCTCATGGATGGGAGCTCGAAGACCTTCTCATCTTCCTCGAACTTATCCGAGTTGAACCAATCGTCCGGGTACAGGCCTTCTACCCACAGGTGGCCTCGCATGGTCCAGTCCTCGGGAAGTGGTCTCTCGGTAGGGCGGGGGAACTCCTCTGACTCGGTGCGTTCGAGGTCTTGAGCATCAACAACAAGCAGATTCAAGAGCCGAGTGACCTGTGCCCATGGGAAGCGATCCTCGAGATGCTTCATGGCGGATTCGTTCTGGGCCATGTGATACATGTAAGCGAGTCGGACGTGTAGATAGCTCATGATGTTGTTATCGCCATAGCGGTTGAACATGACTTGGTCGCAATCTTTGACGAAGTCCTGAATTATGCCGAACATCTCAGAGGGGACAGGTTCGCCGTCCGTTTCCGCGCTATCAGCTTCCGAGCCATCCATGGGCACATCTCCCCCAGCACTCCCAGTCTTCAGAGTCAATGCGGCTAGAATGACGTTCTTATCTCCCTGTGCATTGGCATCTGTCTTGCCGTATTCCAAAATCGCATTATTGTTGGAGATTGCGATTTGACCGCCTATTGTATTCCAGCCTTTAGCACATCGCGAGATTGTGGGATCAAGGCGCGCAATGAATTCAGTCTTGGTTGTGTTATAGTCGGCCATCATTTGGTCCTTCGGCTGGGGAAGCGGCTTCTCCTCCTCGTTTGTATTGGATACAATGAAAAGGATGGCGTGGGATTTGACAAATGTGAACTCCAAAAGTGGCAACTGATGCTGGTTGTTGTTCAAAATGGGATCGAAAAGCGTGAGAATACTATCGCGTGCTGATTTGAACGGATAGGCGACACACAGACTCTTGGAGTAATAGAAGAGCTGCTGATAAGCGTTCGGCCTGGATAAGATCGCAAGATGATGATAAAGGCGGCCAGTCGTAGGGGCTCTATCGCTAGCCTTTGCGTACCAATGCCTACTGACACCAGTCCAAATCTCCCTATCGCGAATATCCTCGTCCTCGATAGCCATCCGGTATCTGCCGAGATCTCCCAGGCACTCAATCCAAGTATCTTCGAAAGACGGAACAGTCTCGTAGAGCAGGGCCATCATGGAGTATGCCAGGTAGATAAAGGTGAGCATGTGCTCCAGGGAGGCGGGCAGGCGAGATCGAAGCAGCTCAAGGAACGAGTGGATGCCATGTCTCCACATTCTCGCCGGCATTGCGTACTTCTGAGAAAGCCTTCGAAGGGCAGGCGAGGCAGAAGGGTGCTGAGAGGCGAGGAAAAAGTCGTGATGCTCATGAAGGAGGGTGCGGTGGAGAGCAATCAGGGCCTGCCACTGTTCATTGTTGAGTTTAGCAGTGCTCTCGGCCTGTGTGCTCTGAGCAGTGTCAACCTCGATACACTTGGACTCGACCATCACAAGGCCGGCGTAAATCCCCTTGACTTCTGCCACAAGCTGCTCTTGTGAAATGGGCCGTGTTTCTGGCTGAGGAATCATGACTGTCACAGAGGCTGGTTCCTTCTCATCCGCAGTCTGGGCAGCATTCGCCCGAGCTGCCGCGTGCTGCCGCCTTGTCGCGCCTCTTGTTTTGTATTGCGGGGTCGTGGGAGCGGCTGTGGGGGCGGCATTTGGCCTGATCAAGGCCGTATCTCTTTCCGTCCATAGTTTGCCCTTTACGTGAGGTCTCTCGATCTGAGAAGTGCTGTCGCCCATATGCGCTGGGGTCGAGATGCCCTTTTCCTCATCTGCAGCATCGCCTGCGGAATCGCCTGCAGCAGAGGTCGACGGAGATTTCAGCCTCTTGGCAGCGGGCTCAGCGCTGGCTTCTGCTATGTGCTCCGCACTGCGTCGTAGAGTGACAGACTGCTGCGATTCTGCATTGGCATTGACCCCAGTGGCAGCGTCGACTTCTGCCTGGGTTCGGTCTCTAGCTGAAGGTGGCTGCTCACTGCAATAATCTTTCAGCTGGAAATGCACTTTCAAAAATAGCACATTTGGATCAGGCTCCTGCCCTTACCCTCTCGCCTGCCTTCGCAAAGCCTTATTGAAGTTGTTGACAATGTGGGCCATAATTGGAGACCTAGGAGCGACACAGTTCTGTTGAAGAATGCTTGACCGTCGTTCAGGAAGATGCACAGAAAGACAATCCCTCGAATTGATATAGAACGAGAGCAGAGATAATTGAGTGGTTGAAAGCCAGGATGTTGGAGCTAGCTAGCCACCCACCACAGGTCTGAAAAAGCATGTGGGGAAAAAAGAGAGAAAAGGCAAAGGGTTTGCCTGTATAGTGTGGATACAACCCCATCGACGGTCAGGGTATGAAGTGCTCTGACTTTGCAGCGTGAATCAACACGGCAATGTCAATTCAGCTAGGGAAGAGTTCTGGGTCGCTCGAATAATATCAGAACTGTCGGTTGAAGAGAAGAGGCTTCTGCCTCCTTATAACCTTCTCATCGTCTGGGCCGCGCACCGCGTAGATAGTAGCATACATGCACCGACGCCACTGGGACCGGGGCTGGGGTCTCGGGTGAGACCATTTTTTCCAATTTTGGCAGACCCCCCTGATGTCCAAGTACTTTGGTACTTCGGGCTAGGACGCCGTGGATGCTAGCTGGTCGCCTTGGCGAACCACACACACACATGGCGAACCAACAACCCGATGGCAGAGCCTCATCCCATCTCACCGAGAAAAACAAGGACAGTTACATCAAAGATCCAGTTTAAATAGATTTTGCGGGTTGTGGCCTCAGCCACATTGAGTGCTTGGGAGCAGAATACCTACTATACCGAGGAATTTGTCACTGGCGGCGTCCTGAACGTTCGCAAAGGGTTTTGACACATCAGCCTTCGATTGCTCTCAGCTGAAATTTCTTGGGGAACAATGCGAGAGGGGGAGGGGTTTCCAATGCTTGCTTTCTGCCAGGGAAAATGTGCCCGAGGCAGCCACAAGGGGCAGGATGCCCAATTTATAGAACTTTTCCCTGCTGTGTTTACATAGATCGGTATGTATTTATTTTTATTCTTGATTTTCGGTATGGCGGGGAGTGGTTTCCCGAAACCTGTCGTCTGCTGTTGAATACTAGTCATTATACAGAAACACAGCCAGATGTCTTGTGTAGGGGCTGTGGAGAGTGGCACTGGCCCCTTGCACCATGGTCGAAGTCAAATACAATGCAAAATCGAGAGAATTCGGTCATTCTATTGGAGACACTGTTGGACACATGTCGTCAACGGAAAGTCCATGTGTCCTCAAGGACATAGACGTCTGAGGGGAAATGGCTCTGTTGGTTAGTGTATGTCTGTGTAATAAAATGTCAGATAATTATCTGAGAATCCAGCTTCTCAAGAGTGCTGACCTTTCTGTTGTCCATCTTTGCCATAACAAAAATCTTTCATGGCTCGGCCCGAATTTCGATATAGATGGGGGACATCACTCGAGTGTAAATGACCCTACATTGGGTCATCATTGCAGCGTGAATTTCTCATTATTGATAAACAGCTAGCTGGTCCCATGTTTTACTCTTAGTCAGCTTTCATACCATCATTCGTGGTGGGTCGCCTGTGTGCAACATCAACACGAAACAACCACAGCCATCTATATCGCAGCTGCCTTCAGCTCTCTTCAGTGTGATGCTTTTGGATATATAGATGTAGATCAGGCAGTGCTGTCTTCCTCAGTGGTCCTATATTGCAATGTTCTAGCGTGTCCACAGGGCGAAGTCAACAAACGAAAAGGGGATCAGATGAGTCTTTGTGTGTAACTATAGAAGTAGCGCCTGTAGGGTTCTTCATTCTTGTCGCTCTCCTCAGTTCATGTATGTAAATTTTGTTTTCTTCTTTTGCACAGTGAGCCTATCCATTCACCTCTGTCCCATGACAACCACATGCAGCTGACTGTCACATCTGCTGTTGTCATTGGCGATGACAGACATAATGAATTGACTGAGTGCAATCCATATTACGCAGATTAAGGAACTTCCTGTAGTATTGTAACAAAATTTCTGCGACCTCGAGAGCCTGAAGCCCTGCGGGAGCTGACATCTAATCATCAGCGTTTACTCCTCAGGTGTTGGGCTCTGTGCCGGGGTATTGAGTCTATTGTTACACAACCTCCTATCCATGAAGTGTTACCTGTCCATCTTGATTCATCTGTACGAGATGATGCGAGTCAAACAATGGGGCACCAATGGAAAAGAGGAAGTAAAAGGAATAATTGGCAACATGGCAACAGACGACCGAAATTAGGTGCAGCAATGAATAAAAGGCTCGGTTAGAGTTTCCTTATCAGGTCCAATAGCTGGAGGCTGAGGTGAGCAGAGCTTTATTGCCAGCGTCACGCGATCCAGGTCTATAAACTGCTGATAACCGGTCCCACCGTCCACTACTTACAGGTTCCTAACGACCTACAAAATACTTTCAGAATGCATGACCACTCTGCAGAATTCGCTTCACACCACTGATTATTCAATCTTACGAGGAGAAAGCGGAAACAGGTGACTCAATCTCCGAGAAAACCCGATATTCAAGCCTTCGAACTCGCCACATGCCACCGAGGTGTGCTCGAATATCAAGAAGACCTCCCTATCCAGATTCCTACAGATAATTAGAAGAGAGAAAGGGAGGAGTCAAGATAAAGAGCCGTGGGAAATAGCAAAAGTGGAAAAACAAGATAGGGTGAGGTTGCTTGTCTGCCCTGCGCTTCTTGCTGCTTACTGCACCAGGACCGGTCAACAGCCTGAGCTACAGTCGGAGGCAAGTGAGTTTTGTGCAAGAATACAATACATAACACATTCAAACGGCGGATCACAAGTCGCATGATGCTGACCATGATTCGTAGGTTCCAAGTCCTTGAGGTCTGACTTGGAGGGTTCTATGGTGTACAAGCCCCCCGCCGTTCTGTCAGTGCTGCCTATTCAAAGGGCGTAGCGTCCAGGAACATCCTTCTCGCCCGCCTTGCCCAGAGGCTGTGCGTGATCGGGTATAGGTGGAGAAGCCGCCTCATCTATGGGCTTTGGGCACATGCTAAAGAGAGAAAGCCGTGTCGATCGCCTTGCTAGCTGCCAGTCAAGGCAACCAGCTAGTCTAGGAACGGAGCTGGTACAGAGCTTGTTCAGACTTCCTCGGACACTAAATCATGCGTGCTATTTCGCTCTTGGAAGCCTAACTATTACCCAGCTTCTCCTGCCGTCAGCGGTGAGCCACCACCTTGTGGGAGAATGGGCAAAGGAACTGGAGAAGAGTCGGTGAGTCCTGAATGCAGGATCACATTGTGGAGATCCAGGGCAGACAAAATTACACCATTGGGTATTGAATTATTGCCCAAGGCAAAGGTTGAACCATAGATATTGATGGTGGGCATCGGCTGTGAAGGAAGTGGCTGGGTTGGCAAGACGATCCACGTGTCCCCGAGCTTTCGTTCAGGCCGATGGCTTGCTGAGGGTAAAGCCCATCTTCATAGATGGCTGGGATGTGTTGGACTGTGCTCAGTTGAGACCAGGCCTTGGATCCTCGCAGCCCCACAAACCAGGATTGAAGAAGACGCTGTGCATGACGATAACATCTTGGGTGATTTCACTATCAGGAAGAGGGCTTCACTGCCCGCCGCCAGCAAGCACAACCTCAGCAATTATAGCATGCACAGACGCACGCCCGCTGTACCGCCCTGCTTACTGACTTGACGACGCACAGCATGCCCTCCATCAGTTGATTTGTGCTGTATCAGTACCTATCTGGTGAGTATGAACTGTTTGTGGAGACATGCCGGGAACTTTCTAGACGTCAAGTGACAAGACAGCAGTCGATGCAGCCCCTGCAAGCGTCATTTAGCGAAGGCCTTTCCAGTCAAGGACGCTCTAAACCGTGCAGATTTTGTCACAGCATTGAGTGTTACTGGTACGGCGTCGTGGAACTCGAAATTTGAAATTTGATAGGGCTGCACACCTGCATATTACTGCGCATATAGCTTGGAAAGGATTTTCGTCAACCTGGGACGAGTTCTACCTCCTGTTTGATAACTTTCTACATGGTGGCCGGTTGAACGTGTGTGGCTGGGATGTACTCGATAAGGCCGATTGAATGGAGACCGAGTGCACGCAGTTCCCAACACCTGCAGGGCCATCCATGTAAGGGTGGGATCGCTCTCCATAGGCTACTATAGCACACAGATATTCGCGGCAGGGCTGGCACTCTATAAAAATTGGTTGGTAATAAGAGATGCCGGGCGTGCGGGGAGAAGCCGGCGATAATCCTGTTAGCCCCTGTATATGAAGCAGCCCTATACTTGGGAGAATCCTTTTTTTCTTCTTTTCAAATGGCAGATCATTCATCCCCCCCCCCCCCCTTTCCACCATCAACACCTCATGATAGAGCTAACGAGGCGGACGTAGGATCTGAAAGAGCGTGGTCGTGGTCGAGCGAAGGCCAGAAGTGTGCTCTGCCGAAGGAGGGATGCGTGGAAGGATGCAAGAGTCGCTTCAGCCCGTGGAGATCTTGAAGATCTGTACCGAAGC